AATCATTAACGTCCATACACATTGAAGAATTCTAGTTTTCTGGTTGATTTTCCACGCAAATAAGAAAATGATAATCCTTTCTCCGTTCCAAAAACAATTTGTATTAAAAATAGTATAAATTTTAAAATTCAATGTGAATTTTTTTAAATAGAGGGAGTAATAATTATCAAGGGGTGATTAAGTTTTCTTAAACTTGTTACATACGTCACCCCGCATTCTTCTTGATGGCCAAATTTGTGCTTAATTACGGGGATTTATTCCTAGAATTGGGATGTTGTTAATCGAATGTCGATTTCTTGCAGGTTGAATACTGCCAAGAAGGTGCATGCAAAAGCTGAGACTTGTTCTAAGGACATTGTCGATAAAATCTAGATTGCAAAAATGAACTTTAGATGGAACAAACTTTTACCCAAAAAAAAAAAACAAAAAGAATACGTGGCCAAGGTTATAGATCTGCTTAGTAATAATTAATTAAATACTTCATCAATCTCAATATATATACGGTTTATGTCTGATATTAGATTACTCTTGCATTAAAAAATCGTGATTAAATGAATGCATGCATGTGCCCCACCTATGCAGGTTGGTGCAAAGCCTGCAACTGAACCGCAATCCTCCAATGAACCCAGCCATTAAGAAAAAAATAACTAAGGAAAACAAAAGCATTAAGAACATTATTAAAAGATTAAAAAAGGGGAAAAAATCTTGTCGGGATAGTTTTACTCTCAAAAACTGACCTATGATCACAAGGGCGAGATCTTCCATATTCTTATAGTTGAAGAATTAGACATTTCCACACCTACAAAAAATTTGAAGTGACAGTACTCTTTTTGTTCTAAAATACGTTTAGTTTAACAAACTAGTATATTATTGAATGAGATTGAAAAAAAATGATAATACTATAAGTGAACTTCACTAAAGATGAGAAAAGAATAGAAAATTTAGTTGTATTGTTTTGCCGGCACGATTAAGACCAAAGCTTGTTGATTGATTCATGTGTACGATTTGATGGGTCAAAGTAAAATAGAGGGGTTACTTGCAAATACTACTCCTGAATTAATTAAATTTGACCCTGTATTCTCTGATTCTTTAATGGTATTACCCCAAGATTTGGATATAATATTAGTGAAAACTACCCTCTCTGTCCCAAAATTATTGTCCACTATGAGATTTTACTTTTAGTACAATTCAAACTAAAAATAAAACATAAAGTGAACAATAATTATAGGACGGAGGGAGTATTATAATTGCATTAGAGGCAGGGAAGTGTTGTTGTCACACTGAGTTAATGCATGGTACTTTTTTAAGATTTTGACCTGACTATCGTTTTACTGTCCCCTACTGCCCACTATCACCTGAAAGTTGAAACTATGAACGTAACATTAATTAAACTCTTGCTCTTATTTGCATACGATCGCCATCTGTAACAAAATATACGGAGTACATACACGTTAGACTCATCAAACGTATGTTAACTTTTTTTACCTTAATATTATCACTCAGTGACGGAGTCAGGAAATCAATATTAAGGGCGCGAAATTTAGACAAACTATTATTAATGACATTAGAAAATTAATGCAGAAGATGCGAAAAATTATTCAATACATAATTTCTATTAAAAATTTAAGATATTTTTACAAATTACAAAAAAAAAATTGAGCAAGTGAGATGACACCCCTTCATTATCGTCCCCCTAGCTCCACCACTGATATCACCTTCGGACGGAACAAAATGCCAGTCAATCAAACGTTTCCAGTAACAAAAGAAAAGATAAAACAAATACAACTTAATTCGGTCAGCTTAGACATGAACTGAAAGTTGAAATTAAATGCTAAAAAAAAATTGTTGAACCCAAATCTGGGTAGACTCTCTTGACATGTCCTTATAGACATAGTAAAAGAGATGCAACGATGAGAACCACTCAATTCCTTTACTATGTGTTTGTTTAATCGTAATCGGACGATCTAATAATCAAAATTTGTTCTTTCTCAGGACAAAATGAATGATAGAGAGTTGACGTGTTGGTCACTTTAAACTTCATCAACCGATCTTCTACAACATAATACAAGTTTCCAGATTATGTAATCTGATTTGCAACAGTATATTAGATGCATGCTAGTTAATTTCTTTTTGGCTTTTTCCTCGGGGGACAAATTATACAACAGTGTGAGGAGATTTGTGGTTGATTTAGCTATTTTTGTCACATATCCAGGAACCTTGTATTAAGGAGTCTTCTAACTTTTGGGAACTAACAAAATTTGTAATGGCTCGTAGCTACCACTACAACAGCTATTTATTTATAAAATTTGAATGATTTTTCTTGTACAAGAAATTTAGTAATTAAAGACTAAATTTTATGATAATAAATACTACTAATAGAAAACGCAGGTTATATGTTATGTTTTAATTAATCAAAACTTGATTCTTATTAATTAGTTGGAGGATCAAATAATTTTTGAAATCTCGTCAGTCATTAAATTAAGTAGCAATCAGTCCCAAATTAGGAATCGTAATAAACTGGAGTTTCATTCCACCTCTCTTTATACAGGTACCCAATTCCCGCTAGAACAACTCTCAAATTCTGAGGGGATTTTGAAATTATGCTAGCTTTTGGAACACATCAATGTTTGACTGGTTCTAGTTTTACTCAGGAAACTAGAAACCATGAATATCCCATTATTTGTCAATCAATTGAAAGGAACTCTTCAAGAACAATTTCCTTTATTTATTATTCTTTATACTGTTCTTTCAATACTTCAAAACCAATATCACCATAATTTAATTAAGTTTGTTGTATCCACGGGTATTTTCGTTTCTTTCGCTTGGAAGAAAGGTATTAAGTAGTGAATTGTACTGATTTAATTTAATAAAATATATTTGAGAGGTAAACAATTCTAGGTTAACCCGGGTTTACAAGGTCGATGCGAAATTGAATGTTCATGAATGTGTTTGTAGAAGTGCTCATTAGTAATGTTAGAGCCACCCCTCACTCTTGTTGAAGTGGAAGTTAAACTCATGATCTCCTCTTCAAAATAAGAGGAGTCTTACTACTGAACCAATACCTCTTTCGCAATACTCAATACTTCTATTACACTTTGTATAAAGTATATTATTTAATAAACCTAATAAATTTGTGAGACTTGTTTTTCAACTAATTATTGTTTCCTGGAAAAAATGTACCTGTAATTTTTCGTTTAGCTCGTAGGGGGAGGCCATGTCTAGAGTAGCCAAAAATCAAACCAAATTACCCAACTCCATAAAAAAATTAAAAAAAAACCCCTGATTTAATAAGAAATACATAGTCGAAATAATAATGTATCGACCTTATCTAATTTTGGCTACCTGCAGTTTGCCTGGACCCCATGGTAAGCCTACTGGTATACAGCAAAACTGACAACTTTATAAGAAAATAAGAATAATGAAAAAAACACACTGGAAATTACCACTAACAAATCACTATTGACCACTACTTCAAGATTAATGCTTTTGGTTTTTAAACTTTTTTAATAAACTTCAGCCGACACTATATCCTCAATTAACGGCACCCAAAACAAAATAAACTTTATCTTAATAATGTGAAGAATCTAGTACTAACTAGCTATTCAATAACAAAAATAAATAAATTACTAAGTAATTATTGATAATTTGCATTATGAATCAACAAAATATCGCACATAATACTGACTAAGAATATCGTTTCCTATAATAACATAATGAAAATGTTACGTGAGATTTCATTGTTACAAAATAACAAATACAGACAAGTTCATATTCATTACTGCAAGATAAATCCTCGTCATCTTAATTCAACAATTTTAGATTTTGGTCTTATTATCCTCGATGACATTTTAGTAATAACAATCAATTCCATCCATGGATGCAGATAGAGTTAGTGACTGTAATAAGTAATACTACCTCCGTCCCATAATTATTGTCCAATATGAATTTTTATTTCTAGTTCAAATTATACTAAAAGTGAAATTTCAAACTGTATAATAATTTTGGAATAGAGGGAGTAATTGACAATAACAAACATAGTAAATGAATTATAGAAGGTCTGCACTAACCCAAAAAGAAAAAAGGATTTATAACAGTTGGCATAGTTGGATTAATATAGTCCATCATTCATGATACATCATTAGAGAATCTATTTCAATAATTAACACTAAGTACCAGATTTATCAGTTATTTTATTTACTTAATTTATAAACCCCCCACAGCTCAAAATGGGTTAGCCATGCCCCCCACGTCCACATGGTTTCCTGATACCAAACACCTAATTATAACCATCAATTTATATACGTAAATAGAACAAATATTTAAAAGCTCCAAATCAGAAGTATTCTATCCGTTCTAAAATAAGTATCGTTTTAACAAAATAGAGAAATTTCAAAATAAGTGTAGTTTTCACATTTTAATGCACTTTTTATCCCAAAATTATCCTCGAAAGATTTAATACTGTTGGTAGATATTTTTTTAATGGAACTGATTGAGAACATCCAAGTAATTTTCTTACACTATTTTAGAGTTTCTTAAATTATGTACAAAGTGTAGGATGACACTTATTTTGAAACGGAGGAATACTTTTAAAATACCACTAAAAATAGTTGGTGGTATTGAGTCCACTTAATGTATCAAATCAGAGTAAAAAATAGCATCCAAACTTGGACTCAGAATACCACATGAACAGTCAAATCCCATTTGTACCTGACTTTTTTTCCTTCCTTTTCTTTTATATTTTTGTTTAGTTTTTGTATTTTGTTTTTATTCCCCGCTGCCTGTAATCTCGTCGAATGAATTGTCCAACCGTTACGTTTATTTTTGTATATTGAATAAGAATCGTAATCCAATGAGTAGGACTAAGTTCAGTCAATGGAAAAAAAACCGCATCATCATGGATCCTTCTATTATTTTTTTCCTTTTTTTCTGAAATTGGGAGGAGAAAAAAATAAAGTAGTGGCCTAATTCAATAAATACTGATAATTAGGACTTAGCCCAAAGGAGAAGAAAATCTTAGCATAATAATTAAAGTTTTAAATGATTTAATTATAGTACAATTAAGGGAAAAAGATTAATTAAATTAAAAAAAAAATCCGAACAGCACGCGGTACGTGTGGCCCTCAAGTCCAGCCCGCCAACCTCATTTCTCTCGGTCTTTACTCTATAAATATAAAGTTAAGTCCTAAACCTTCGCTCAACCATTCCATCAAACACCTCACAGGCAAGGGGAGGAAAAAAAAACACACACAAACACACACATACACACAGAGAAAAGACAAAACCACATTTCCTTGCCAGATTAAACTGTTTTTCGTCGAGCGAATCAGGAAATTTTACAGGGTTTTTTCCCCCTCCTTTTCCTATCCCAGAAAACCGAGGAAAAACATGGACGTTCGCCGGCGACAAGCCAAGCCAGTGACCGCGGCGAGTACCGACGCCGGCGAACTGATGAAGCCCCACCTGAAGAAGGAGGAGGAGGAGGTGGAGACAAATCTGAAGGCATCGGATGCACTGCCGCTCCCTTTGTGCCTGACCAATGCATTCTTTTTCACCATGTTTTTCTCCGCCATGTATTACCTCCTGCTTAGGTGGAGGGAGAAGATTCGCACCACCACGCCTCTTCACGTAGTCACGCTTTCTGAGCTAGCCGCGCTTGTTTCGTTAATCGCGTCGGTTATTTATTTGTTGGGATTTTTCGGGATAGATTTCGTTCAGACTTTGATTTCCAGGCCCAATTGGGATGTGGAGTACGAAAACCCCGACCAATTCCTCTTACAAGAAGACTCTCGTAGCGGTACGTGCACCACACTCGGCTGTGCCGTACCACCCCCAGCCCAGAAAATCCTCCCCTTGGTCCCACCTCAGCCTTCTAAAGCGGCGGCTCTTCCGGTTCCCGATATGAAGACCACCACCGCCGCCGTTTCCCTCACCCAGGAAGATGAGGAAATCATACAGTCTGTCGTCAGCGGCAAAACGCCGTCGTACTCCCTCGAGTCTAAACTCGGCGATTGCAAACGGGCTGCTTCTATTCGTCGTGAGGCGCTTCAGAGGCTAACCGGCAAGTCCTTGGAAGGGTTGCCTTTGGATGGGTTTGATTACGAGTCGATTTTGGGGCAGTGTTGTGAGATGCCAATTGGGTACGTTCAGTTGCCTGTGGGAATTGCCGGGCCTTTGATGCTTGATGGAAGGGAATACATGGTCCCAATGGCCACTACCGAAGGATGCCTTGTGGCCAGTACTAACAGGGGTTGTAAGGCTATCCTTGCCTCTGGCGGAGCCACCAGTGTGCTGATGAGGGACGGGATGACCAGAGCTCCGGTGGTGAGGTTCGCCACTGCCAAAAGGGCTGCTGAATTGAAATTCTACGTGGAGGATACTGATAATTTCCAAACTCTTTCACATGCTTTCAATAAGTGAGTACAGATTCTCTCTGTTTCAATTTTATTCCTTTTAGTGGTTTTCTAGATGATGATTTAAGGGAATGGTATTTAATTGATAGGTATTATTATTCATCTGTTGCTTTCTTCTTTCTTGTTTTTTGGTTTGGGTTTTAAGTTTTAATTCGTTGGTGGAGGGAAAGGCGGACTTGGACAAAGGTTCAGTGAACGGACACGTAAAAAACATGTATTTTTCAAAGTTTCAAACTTTGTTTTCAGATTTCTACTACTTTTTTTTTTTTTTTTTTGGTTGCTTAATTGGTGGGGTTAGGTTGGGCTTAAGGCGTCTGTTTCATCTGCTGCTGCCTGATGAAAGCTTTTTGTTATTTAATCCTCTTTTGACATCATTTTTTTTTGTTTTTGTTTTTTTTGGATTTACTCTTGACATTGATGTATTTTGGTGGTGTTGTGCAATTTTTTTACCAGTGAGAAAAAGACATAATTTTTTTTTGCTTTGTGGAAGCAAGCACTCAATTTTGAAATCATTCTCCTTGTCTTTCTTTTCTTCCCAAGTTCCAACTTCCAAGCTTTCATCTTTGTCCATGCACGAGACAAGCTTTGTTTTTTGTTTTGCCTTTATCATTCGAATTTAATTATATTGGGAAACCAATTTATTTGTATTGGTACTTTTTTATACTTTCCTGAAGTGTCAGTTTACGTATGTTGTTAAATTTGATTCAAGATGGTTGGATTTTGCAGTGAGTTACTATGGATAGTGTTAATTAAAGCTAATCTTCTAAAGGTGTATTTTACTCGTGCAGATCAAGTAGATTTGCGAGGCTACAGAGTATTCAGTGTGCCATAGCCGGGAAGAATTTGTACATGAGATTTAGCTGCAGCACCGGTGACGCAATGGGAATGAATATGGTCTCTAAAGGAGTGCAAAATGTCCTAGACTTTTTACAGGATGACTTCCCTGATATGGACGTTATCGGAATATCTGGTACTAATTCAAAAAAGTTTGTCAATTCAAAAAATAACAATAGTATATTTGTTCTGGTCCTTATACACGCACTTGGTCAATTTTGGTGCAAGTTGTTATCTTTCTTTTGTTTTTACTGTTCCCTAATATTTCCCATTTTCAACATTTGCAACAGGAAACTTCTGTGCCGACAAGAAACCAGCCGCTGTGAATTGGATTGAAGGTAGAGGGAAATCAGTGGTTTGTGAGGCAATCATAAAGGAAGAGATTGTGAAAAAGGTGTTGAAGACTGAGGTAGCAGCTTTGGTTGAGCTTAATATGCTTAAAAATCTAACTGGCTCAGCCATGGCTGGTGCCCTTGGTGGATTCAATGCCCATGCAAGCAATATTGTCTCAGCTGTGTACATAGCCACTGGACAAGACCCTGCCCAGAATGTGGAGAGCTCTCACTGCATCACCATGATGGAGGCTGTAAATGATGGCAAAGATCTTCATGTCTCAGTCACCATGCCTTCAATTGAGGTAAAAACTTTAGTTCACGTGACATCTTTCACTCCCCACAACCCCAAGAAGAGTAATAAAAATAAAAGAAGTAACTTAGTACAATGCATGTTACTCTTTGTCCTTTATGTTGTAGCTTTAGTTCACTCGTGAACGCTTTACAACCATAAAAAATACTTTCTTTTGGTTTGTTTTCCCAACAGAATTATAGTTGGTAACTTGGAATCAGTACGGATTTTGGATTCCTTTGATCTGGATCAACTTGAGAGTATTGCAATATCCTTAGTGGGATCTTACCTGACACCTAAAACTTTAAAAAGCAAATAAAGGAACGCCACAAATTTGGTTCTGTGCATCAGATGTGTTTGCAGAACCATTCAATTTAAATGTTTGTCTGCCCTGTAGGTACACCATGTGTATCATGCATGTAATCTGAGAGCCTAAGCTGTTTTTCTGTACATCTGGGAGTATTCATTAATCTAGTGTTTTCTCGTAAAGCATAAACCTTAACACGTGTTCTTCTTTAGCCATGCACGTGTAATCAGGATACTTTTGATCTCCATAGCTTTAAGAAAGAGCTTTTTTTTTCATTCTGTTGCAATGTCAGTTTGTTTGAGTAATTTATTAACTTGAATGAATCTACAATTCATCATCAGGTTGGTACAGTTGGAGGTGGAACCCAACTTGCATCTCAGTCGGCTTGCTTGAACTTGCTTGGAGTGAAAGGTGCAAACAAAGAGACACCAGGTTCAAATGCAAGGCTCTTGGCCACCATTGTTGCAGGATCAGTTCTTGCTGGAGAGCTATCATTGATGTCTGCAATTGCAGCAGGGCAGCTTGTTAAGAGTCACATGAAGTATAACAGATCAAGCAAAGATGTGACTACCATGTCTTCAACCTAGAGGAGGGGGAAGTCAACTATCAAAAAACCTCCCCCCAAGTATACCTTTGTGTAGTATATTAGTCTCTCTATTATCAGTGAGCCCACCAAAATTAGCTTATTGGTAGAAACAGAAAAGAAAACAAAAATGGGGGAAGAAAAAAAGGATTTTTATTTAAGAAAAATTGGGAATAAAATTTTTAATTTTTAGTTTTTAATTTTTAATTTTTAATTTTATTTTTTTTTGGGTCATAGTTGGTAGAAGGGGGGGTGGTTCTGCTGTACAGAGGTGAATTGCTTGAATCTATGAAGTGGTCATGAGTAGAAGATGCTACCATAATTTGGAAGCATTAAAGGGCATTATAAAAGAGATGCAGCAATTTGTCATTGAAGTCATGTGGAATGGAGTGAGAGTAGCTGGCCAAATGCTACTATGAGGAATCAATTTCGTTATAGAAAAGCCATTTGGTGGTCACATTGGTGGGAACAAAACAGCAGACAAAGACAGCAGTTTGAGGAGGGGTTTATTGTTGTTTTTCTCTGTAACTTATGCTTATTTTAATTTTAATGTTAACATTTATCATCAATTTAGTCCTGTAATTAAGCCTTTCAAAACTTTTTTTTTTTGGGGGTTTTCCCTCCTCAAGAGGATTCTTCGCCTTGGCTGTTAGCTGTTGTACATGAACTGTTTTTGGGTTTCAAATCAGATCTAATTAAGGCAATTTGACATGTTCATTAACTTGACTTTTCGGATCTTAATCTCTCTCTCATTCCTTGAATTTAGGCGATTTGCTTTTAGTATTAACAACTGTAAAGCCAATATTTGTGTCAATAATACCAAGTCTACTTCTAGAAAAACTTCCAAAGATGCAACTCCCACACAACACAACAGCCAATTCGGCTAAGCATTAATTTATATTTAACCCTCATAATCAAAATAATCTAGCTAGCAATAAATTCTACTACTTCCTCATCCAAATTATTGTTCGGTTTAAACTTTTATACTTAGTACATTTCTAACATGACGATGTTATTTTGTGGCTTTAGGGAAACACTGAGAATGACTATAGCTAATCCATATTCCATCTGTGTCCTGCTTCATGTCATTGTAATCCCGTTGTAATCCCGAGACGCTCTGTCTGTAACATTCTCCGGTGAAACGTTGCACTGCATTGTAAATTTGACATGATTTTTTAGGTATATGACCTTCCTTTTTTTCTGTGACAAAAGAGTTTTATATGATAAAATTTCATCAAACTATCGTAGGATCCACCAAACTCTTAAAACACGGGTACTCGACAATCTTGTACATTAATCTCCGGCTATTATATGTATCGTTTCTAGATGTGGAACGATACTTCTAACACACTGAGTGCTGAAGATAAATTATTTATAGAAATTACAGTGCGAATTAAAGGAGGGACAAAAACAGGTAAGGTTAAGGACTTGTTTGGATATTCACTCATTTTGCATTTTCAACTTATTTTGTCTTTTAAATAAAAAACCTAATGCAAACCAAATTGACGTTCAAACAACTTTCTGATTTACATTATGAAATCAAACTTGAAACATTTTGTTAGTGCAGTAACCATTTTTTGAACTAAAAATAGTTCAGTGATTAAATCCAAAATTTTGCACATTTATTTCAGTTTGTCTCTAGTAAAAAAACCGAGATTCAATCGGATGGTGGTTAAGAAAATTTTTTTTGGAATATGTATTGAAATATCAAGTACGAAAATATCACTAAACAATCGAAAAGTGTCAATTTTAGTTACTGTAAAAAAAGAATTTCAAAAATAATCACTAAACAACGAAAAAGTGTCGATTTTGGTCACTGTAAAATATTAATTTTAGAAGCTATTTTGTAATTTTAGTGATTATTTTATAGTGACCAAAATTAACACTTTCTCTTGTTTAGTGATTATTTTTGAAATTTTTTTTACAGTGACTAAAATTGACACTTTTCGATTATTTAGTGATATTTTTCGTACTTGATATTTTAATACATATTCTAAAAAACTTTTTCCCAACTATCATCCAAACAATCTTTTGCTAAAATACCATCCAAATAACTTTTTCATCTTTCTTTATGTTTTCTACTTAAAACACTTTCTACATTCAAGTTGAAAATGAAAATAAAACTCACGTCCGAACAATCACGGAGTACATCTTTTGGAAGTTGACCGATTCGAGACTGATTAAGGGGATTGATGATGAGGGACCAGATGATCTTTTATTTGGTTTTGAGTCTTTGGGCGGCGCATTAGTTTGTCTGAGGACAAATATAGTTAGTGCTCCTCCAACATTGGTAGACCTAATTTTGCTACCACCATCACTTTATTGTCTTAAAAGAATAAAAATGAACTCTGCAGCATTCTCTCTGTAATAATACTAAACTCTCACTAAATTCTTAGTAATACTACTAAACTGGACATAATTTGTGGCAAATTATTCAGCATCATTAGTAACAAAGATACGTCATGGAATTCACAAAGACTTATGACTCCTTCGCAGTGTGAGTGGTTAATGTACTAATTTAATGTCACTAAACGTTACCTCTTTCATTATTATAGCAAAAAAGTAATCCGTTAGTTAGAAAAGCAATGTGAAATAGGCATATGGAGTGGAAGTATGAACAGGAAGTAACACCAAACATTGCTTAATTACTTTTAAATTTTTAGTGATTTAGTATATCAAAGCCAAGTACAAGAGATACTATGATAATTACGTTATGGGATTATGATATTGTATTGTTATGTAATTTCTTCCATGAGAGTATCACTATATTGACTATTGTTACTCATTGCATCATCACTTCGAAGTGATCAACTACATTTTTTGCGTGTCATTCTTGAAGATTACAACCCCTAAAAAATGTGAATATTTAATATTCTTATAAACCATGCACATTAATTAATTACTAATTATATTCCTTTTCAAATGCTAATGATAGTTTCAAATTGTAAATTTGATTAGTTTAGTTTCCACATTCTAAGTACCTTTTAAGAAGCAAACTATAATTAGAAATGTCTTTCTTTCTTTGTCCCGTAAGGATGTGAGTAGGAAACTTACCGGTCAAAAAAATATTCTCTGTTTTAAAATTTTTGGTTAATTTTAGATTTTACTTTGAGTACAAATTGTGTTAAAATTTAAAATTCAGATTAGACAATAATTGTGGGACGAAGAAGGATCATGTATTTGAGTTCTCCTTTCTCACTATCCTGCCCAATTCTTCCAGCTAATGGCCCTCCTATCCTTCTGTAGATGATGCTTTAGTTAGTTTTATTAATGTGAAAGCTAAATAAAATAACGTGACCAAAACTGGACAAAAACAAAGAAAGGCACTATTCTTGGATATGATAGAGAGTCTTTGAATAAAGTTTTTTTTAAGATCAATAAAAACTTTTCACTAAATTAATTCGTTTCCGACATAGTATATTCAAATTACTTCGGTAAGAGTCGTACTAACTACTACGGCTTTAGTTAATGATTATTAGAACCCGCGACCCGACTTAGAAAACCCTTCTTGGCCGTGCTTTCTTAACTAACTTCCTACCCAATTAATTTCCATATGCTTCTTTTTTCTTTCTAAGATGTGTTGCATTTCAATTGAGAAATAATTTATACTCGTGTGAAGACTTTCTTGAACCACAACCAATTATGGGATACCAACCAACTCTATAATATATACTATCCATTTCACAATGGGCAATTCGATCTGTTTTCTTCATTTCAAAGAAAATAAAAGTCGTAACAAAGGGATTATGATAGAGTAGTAAGGATTCCTTCATTCTTAATCATAAGTCGAGGGTTCGAACCTCGCTATGAGTATGGAGCAATCTTTAATTCTCTGGCCAGCTCTTCCACCCATTGAGGTGCCTACCATGAGCGAGTGAAATTAATCATAATTGCCGATAGTGGACACCCTACAATATAAAAAATAAAAATAAAAAAAAATAAAAGTCGCAAAACGTCACGTACTTTATGACTGAGTATTTTAAGTCTCTGCAGAAAAAGAGAAACATATTTAGCAACCTTTATTAGACAATCATAAATTGCAATAGGTATTTAAATCCAAACAGCTTCAACCCTAGGGTGCCCTAGAATCTCAAGTGGATTATCCCAATCTCCAAGTTAGGTGCGCCTCCCATCATCAAAGTTTATATAAATTGTTATAAGTTTTTAAAATATTAATCCAACAAGCACAATATATAATTTTCATAAAATGCTGTAATTTCTGTTTCCTCTTTCTTTTTCCTTTCTTTCGGAGCGTCATTTACTTGAAATATATTAGTGAAAGTAATAGAGGGAAAAAGTTGAACAAGAATTATATTTTGTGATGAGGAAGAATATTAAAAACTGTGATTATTATTTTGAATGGAAGTATATGGTATAAATATATAAATTTTGATTTATGAGCTATACCTAATCTCCCAATTTCAATTAATAATTGTGTCATTAGCAGTGCTATATATATTAAGATGTTCGTTGTTATTTGTCGACTTTTTCCGCATCCATCAGTAAATAGTACAGGTGCATTTTTCTTGTAAGAATAAGGATCTAGCTATGTTATTATAAAATTGAGAACTAATTAATGGATTTCGTCAATTCTGGTCATCAAGTTAGGTTAAAAGCAGCCCGAAACCGGACGTCCAAAGGCCATTTGTGTTTGAATTTAAGCATAATCCCAAATAAAATGCGTAAGAAACTACACATGATGCAGATTTTGACGTCTAATGACATTTTATTATTGAAATTTGATATATAATAATCATGTATCTATAATAATAGATATATATAGTAATTATGAAATATAAGTGCCTTGCCAGTTTTAGTTAATTACTATGAGATTTAATGCTCGTTTGTATTCATTTTTCATTCAAATAAGAAGCTTAAATCATTGTCATTATGATTATAGTTTTATTTCAAACTCTTATTACTTATAAACTAATTTGTAATTATTATAGTTAAACTTAATGAATATTCAACGAAGCCGACTTAGCTCAGTGGTAGAGCGCGTGGCTTTTAACCACGTGGTCGTGGGTTCGATCCCCACAGTCGGCGTTTTGAAAGTTTTTTCTTTACCCATACATACGGTGAACGTACTACGTATAAATTCAAAAGGTTGCTTCTGCTTTTTTGGTTTTGACTCTGAAATCTCACAAAGCCACTAAACTGGACTTTTTCAGAAATCATTTTTAATTTTGTTTGGACAGCTCCTCTGAAGTGATGAAATGGCTTCAGTATGCATCGGCAAGATTTTTATTTTTTATTTTTTTGCATTTTGCAGGGTGACCACTGTTGGTAATAGTGACTAATCTTTCTCGCTCATGGTAGACATCTCGATGGGTGGAAGAACTGGCTAAAGGATTCAAGGTTATTCCATGCCCATGACGAGGTTCGAACCTTTAACCTATAGTTAAGGATGAACGAGTTCTTGCCACTCCACCACAGTCCATTTGGTTTGCATCGGCAAGATCTGAACTTGTCATAATAACTATGGTCATAGGAAGGTGAAATGTCAAGCCCTTGTATATGTTTTTCCTCGTGACCTTCTTCTGCAGTATCTTCCCTCTCAGCACTTTTGGTACTAGGTAGCTCAATGTAGGAGGTCTATTCCGAGTATTTAATTGATTATGTCCGTCTCAACTAGTTCTTTTTGAAGACCCTTTTGTAGAATAATGCAAGCCTAGTATCATCTAATACCGCCATTCTTTGGTTTCTGATCATTCCAGGATTACGTTAATTAGGGAAGATGCAATTCCTCAATTAACTAAAATACTATATTGAAGAACCTAAATGTTGTGGTTTGGGAACCAGAACGCGAGAGGGATTGATTGCATTTACTTCTTTGATAATAAGGGCATTCCCCTAACTTGGAGAGAATTCGTGATGGAATTGCTACTTAATAGCATTCCTTGATAATCTGGAGCACGGGGATACCCCGGAGGTGTGACGTTGTTGTATTTCATAGAAAACGATATTGTCTTAAGAGAGAATTGTCATTGACCCTCATGATCAGCCTGCTGTGAAATCAGCTGATGAGAATTGGCCTCACATTTATACTTTAGTTGATACTCCACAGAAGGTCAAGATATAGAGAAATCTTGCTCAACAACAGCTCCAAAGGATTATTATTACCTTCACATGTTGAATTTCTGCTTCTTTTAAGTCTAGCAGCATTCACTCCAAAAAAAAAAAAAAAAGAGTAATTTCCCAGAGCAAGACATTAAGAGCGGCCCTTGTTTCATTTGCAACAAGTGTTGTTATACTCCCTCTGTCCCAAAATTATTGTCCAGTTTGAGATTCCATTTTTAGTACAATTTGAACTAAAAATGAAAATCCAAACTGGACAATAATTATGGGACGGAGAGAGTAAGAAATTAGTATTATCCTTATGGCAAGTTTTTTGCTGTCAAGCCCTGCAGAAAATTTTGCAAAAGCATATTAAAGGTATAGATCACTAACTGAGAGGTAGTCATTATATCTCCGTTCCAAACTAAGAGTATTACTCTGTTACTAAGTACAAACACTGGTCTCAAATGTTTGGGAAGGCGGCAGAATTGTTTTCTCTTAAACACCAAAAGCCTATGCTGCTATGACTTTAAAACCATAACATTGTTCACTGCAACTAAGTGCCCACGCCAGAAACCAATAAATTATCTTTTGGTATTCCTGTGATGAATTAGAGTGGAAGAATTTGCAAAGAAGCTGGTTCTCGGACTATTATTTACTACTACTATTACTGTATTACAAATGCATATTCAGAAATTCAGTTGAACTCTCATCGAGGAAAATAAAATAAAATAAAAATAAAAAAACATGTTCGAACTCAGCTTCAAAAGCAGTTGTCTGTCCGCTGTAAAGTGTCAAAAAAACGCCGACTGTGGGGATCGAACCCACGACCACGTGGTTAAAAGCCACGCGCTCTACCACTGAGCTAAGTCGGCTTCCATGCTCTATGAGTGCTAAAATTTTATCTAAACGAACAACCAATAACAACCCCCATTGCACTTGTATTTGGTTGTTCGCTAGTCTAGTACTGGAGTAAGGTAATCACTGGTCGTGAATGGCAGAGATATTAAAGAGGAAGTAGACGGAGTTTGAAGTTTTTCACTAAAACCCCATCTGTTTCTGATTAGAAGTGTCTCAATCCAGTTCTGAGCTTCACCAATTAATGGAGTAGTAGTAGTTGTTAACGTTGACCCTTCTACATCCATGAATCTCTAATCCAAGTACGTACATGAAGGATTGATCCAACTTACGTGTAGATTAACTGCGGATCAAGAATTACACGAGAATTCACTAACATGGGAAGCACTTTCAAGGACCGGACACGGTTCTATGTTGGTTCAGTAATCCTTTTGCAGGTGGTGTACGAAAAACAAGCAACTGGAGTTCATAGCAGTATCATTCTGGCTGCAGTGCGAAAGAAATTCCCAGATGACAATATCTACATTTTCGGAGAAAATACTGTGGAGTTGAGAGCCATCGCAGCCTTGTTATCTGCAAGGGAAACATGAGGAAAACAACTGAACTTTCTATTCCCACTCTCTAATGAATTTCCCAGAGCCAGATAGAAATGTTAACTGAAAGAAAAGACTCAAGCAATAGACTATTGAACAATATTCGCTATGAACCAGTGATTTGTGAATCAAAAGATTGATTCTACTTTTGATTTTTGGGTTCAAAATATCCTTGCACTAAATTGAATCTGAATCCAGAATCTAGATGCAAATTTTCAGGTTTTTAGGTTTAAAGTTACTGTAATGACTCCCAATAATAAAATAGAGGCTTCCTCTGCACTTGTATTCGTCCTTGGATATCTTACAGATTTCAACTAATTCACCTTGTTTCTCAATTCTAGGCTGCGTGTTTGCTTGTTGATTTTGATCTGACAGTAAAGGACAAAATCGATTTTAAGGCCAAGTGTGACTTTGCTTCAAGAGTTCGAGCTCAGCCTTTTCTAGGGAAGAGGCACACAGTGCAATTTTGACTCGTTTACATACTGATTATCCAGCGGAACTCGGACCATGTAATCTAACAGAGGTGAATGAAAACAACAGACTTAAAACGAAACTGCATAAATCACTGTGACTAAGTCTGGTGTATAACGTTACATTGTTAATAACAAATGCAACTTCCTTTCTCCACAAATTAACTGCAAACGGAACGTTAGAACTCCCATGCAAATTGGAAAAGAGAGTACTAGCATCCCCAAAATCCACAAAACCATACATGTGAAAAGTAAACCATCACAAAACAAGTTTCACATTGTGAAAAGTGAGATCTTACAAAGAAAATATCACCATAAATTATATCCGATTCGATTAGTCAAATAAACTTAGGATCCAGATTTTATGTACTATGATTATCCTTGTTTCCACACTTGTGCACTGCTAGACCAGAACCAACGAAAGCAAGGCAAAACACACCACAATCATCAGAATTGACTACATCACCAAACAAATAAACAGTACCGGACATACACAACTACAAAGCAGATATCATCATAAATCAAAGAAGCGCCTATGGCCTTCCAAGAAGGCAAACATTAGCAACGGAATGGGAATAACACAACTAAAATTAGCCAAGTCAAAAAGTCACCATTTTACCATCGTTAGCAGCTGCCGCAGTTGCCAATTGAGGACTAAGTAAACAAGAGCTAGGAGATTAGGATTGATAACAATCACAAATCGGCCGGACATAGAGGGTCTTATATCCATTAGCTCAGTCATAAACAAAGCGACACTATCAAAATTTTGATCTCTCAAACAATTTTAAAAAATTAAGAATGTTAGGAAACAGGATAATTCTGCAAGAAATGCCATAATACAACTTAGCAAGCTATAGGCTATCCCATTCTTATCCAATCTCTTTGAAATAATTATGAACAAATGATCAATAAGAATAACTTTCATTAACTCCACAGATAACCCCAACTATTAGATCATAATCAGAACCAATTGCTTTAAATCTTGAACACGGAGCTAATGTTTTGATACACAATTTTGGTATCAGCTCAAGTCGTGTAGAAGGTCAGGTAATCAGTCGCTCTTACCCTCCTGAGCACCAATCTCCTGCAAGTAATGTTCTGCGTCGAGAGCAGCCATGCATCCTACAAAACCACAAAAAGAAATGCTGTAAAAATAGAATGAACAGACAAACATTGCAATTGGAAAAAGCTTATTTTTTGCAATGAAGAAGATATGAAGTATCTTCATTCTTCTAATGCAAGACAAATTTATGTCAGTGAACATAGCCATAGACACACATCAACTCTATGATCCACAATTATGCAAAGTACACCAGGCATACAGTAAGACTCCAATATCAGACATGTGAAAACATTTAATTGAAAATCTATGGTAACAAAATTATTTTGATAAAACATTCAAACTCAAGGACCTTATCCAATGCCTAAACAGCAATCATGTATCTGGTTTAAAGTAGAAACGTCCGCCCAATAGAAATGGCAATAGCATATTGTCACCCTAAGAATCTCCTTCCTAAATGTTCAAGGAACCAATTCTTTGCTTCCTTGCTTCATAAACCAAATGTTTCTACAGAAGGCACAATAATAGATTAAAAAAATAAAAAAAAAGGGATCACAAGGATCTTAACCACCAAGTAAACTGCATAATCCTACAAGTAACCGTGGACCCAAGTAAAAGAAAGTTATTCTTGCATCACTGTGTAAGATTTCAAACAGTTACCACTTATCTATTTCTTTTCCATAAACCCTCTATCTACAAACAAGATTCTTCCAACTAATGAGCAAGAATCTGAACTACCAACTAGTGGCAATGGCATTGGCAGCAAACAATCATAAATCAAAAGGAACAGCGATATTTGCATTAATAACCAAATAAAAAGCATGATATCATATTCACAATAGGACATATCCCAAAGCACGATAAAGAACAGATATCTCAACTAACCAGATCCAGCAGCTGTAATGGCCTGCCTGTACTTTTTATCTTGAACATCACCAGCTGCAAAGACTCCCTTGACACTAGTATGAGTAGTTCCGGGCTTAGTCACCACATAACCATCAGAGTCCAACTCCAACTGCCCACCTAAGAACTTGGTAGCAGGCTCATGCCCAATAGCAAAAAACAACCCATTGGCCTTCAAATCCAAAACCTCACCGCTCACCAGATTCTTCACTTTCAAGCCCTCCAAAACCTTAGTACCATAAGCTTCCTCCACTGCAGAATTCCACAAAACCTTAATTTTGGGATTCGTCAAAGCCCTGTTCTGCATAATTTTAGAAGCCCTAAATTCATCCCTCCGGTGGATAATGTAAACTTCAGAACCATATTTTGTTAGAAAGTTCGCCTCCTCCATCGCTGAGTCCCCGCCGCCGATGACTGCGAGGGGTTTGTTTCTGAATATTGGGGCAGCACCATCACACACGGCACAGGCTGAAATACCACGATTCCAGAACGTCTCAGAACCAGGGAAATTGAGGCGTTTGGCGACGGCGCCGGTGGCGACGATGACGGAGTCAGCCAGGACGGTCTTGGTATCAGCGAAGATTTCAAACGGCCTCTTGGATAAATCGACTCTACTGACGGTCTCGGTGAAAATTTCCGTCCCAAAGCGCACCGATTGCTGACGGAATTTATCCGTGAGCTCCAGTCCTCCGATCCCTTCGGGAAAACCCGGGAAGTTTTCAACCTCGGATGTCGTCGTCAGCTGTCCACCCGGAGCAATATCGTTGGCCATCCATCCTTCAAATAGAATGGGCTTGAGCTCTGCTCGGGCGGCGTAGATGGCCGCCGTATGAGCAGCCGGGCCGCTACCGATTATACAGAGGCGGGTTTTGAGGGTCTGCGAGATATCATCCATGGATGATTGTAGGCTGAAAGGGGAAGGGGAGGCAACGCCGGTGGATGAAGAGGCGGTGCTGATGGTGGCGACGCCGATTAGGTTGCGGGTTTTCCTAAGGGAACTGAGGAGTCGGGTGAAGCACTTGTAGGTCATGTGTTTGATAATTTGTTCGAGTCAATGAATATAAATAAAAATCGGGTTTGGGAAATGTTGGGGCGGGCGAAATGGGCGGGCTGGTGGTTTTTCACTGTGTGAATAGGAGGGAAATTTTAGGCGCCAAATTGAATGTGAAAATGAAAGAAGGGAAGATTCTCCTTGTTCTTCGGGGAAGAAGAAGTAGAAATTTTGGACACGCAAATTGCAAATTTGCAATAAACGCTGGAATTATTTTTCTTCTCTAATTTCGGAGGGATTTCAGAGCAAACTTTAGACTATTCGTACAAATGTCTTCGTCTCTATTTATATAAATATACACAGTGATGTAATAAAAGAATAATTGTTATGCAAGAAATCCTTTGTCTTCTTGCGAGTTCTATTCACAATCTTCTCTTCTTTTTTCCTTTTTTTTCCTAAGAAACAAATATAGATGAATGAAAGACATCCACGAATTCACTCAATTGCTATCGAATATTCGAATTCATCCCACCCAAAACGATGTAAATTCATCCAAAAAAAACATTTTCTAATGCATTTGAGTGATGCTCGGTGCCAAAGAAGTGTCAAATTTACACTTGCAGCTAGTAATATTATTATTTTTTGGGAGTTCAGGACTCAAATAACTACTATTGATATGTTTTTTATTCTCTCCGTCTCACGAAAATAGGACGTTTGATAAAATTTCTTGTTCTAAAAAAATAGTCATGTTTCAAAATTAAATTAATAAAAAATGACCATAACATCCCTAACACTTAAAAGATAGTGCTTGTTTGAACGTCGTTTTATATTTCATTTTGCCACTTAAAAGTGGAAAGTGTTTCAAGTTAAAAATTAAATGGGAAATGAAAATGTTATTTGGATAGTATTTTGAGCAACAAGTTATTTGGATGGTGGTTTTGAAAAAAATGTTTTGAACTACATTTTGAAAATATCAAGTACGAGTCATCACTAAACAATTAAATACTATTAATTATAGTTACTGCAAAAAAGAACTTTTCTAAAAATAATCACTCAACAACGGAATCCTGCCAAATTTGTCACTGAACTATTTGTAGTTCTAAAATAGTAATTACACTAACAAAAAGTGTTTTAAGTTGAAATTTAAAATGTAAATCAGAAAGTTGTTTGGATATTTTTTTTTTCCATTGAGTTTTGTGTTTAAGAGGTAAAATGAGTTAAAATGTAAAATGAGTAGACGTCCAAACAAACCACACTTAGTCCACCCTTCGCCTCCAACCCATCTTTCCCCGTTTCTGATTTCTCTGATCTTCCTCGCCACTGGCGCCACCCCCTTCACTGATTTCTCCCGATTTTCCTTTGGCCGGCGCCACCTCCTTTCCGTCTATTATCATGTTTCAACATGGGTTTCAACACTCTATCTCATAAAATTTTGTCCAATCTCCGCTAATATGCCTTTTTTTTTCCCCAAACCAAACAACTCTGATTCATACGATGCGAACCAGATCTAAGGTCGTCCATCTCCGATTCACGATTTTGTGGACTTCCTTAAAGCTTCTGCGTCAACTTTCACCGACTCCCACTTTGAAGACTGAGGAATAGGGTTATCAAGAAAATCAGAGCATAGTTGAGGAAGAAATAGCAGAGGTTTTTGTTGACGCGATTAGTGGTGTCGGAGAGTGATGTGGGGATGCTAATGTCGGATAAGTCGAAGAACTGGGGACGGAGGCGTTGACGGAGCTGGGTGGCGGGGGAAGGCGGTGCCAGTGACGATATCAGTGATCGGAATCTGGCACACTAGAAGAATATAGTCCGAGTGTGTGTTTCTGCGTGTGGGATTGAAAGAAAGAAACTTTTTTGAGAAATGCAAAAAGAAAAACTGAGAAATAAACGGGTAATAATAATCGAGGGGTTGAAAGTTCTTGAAATAATTATGAGTTGTACCTTTGAGAGTTGACCAAATTAAAAATATTGTACATTTTAAAACTGTATAATTTTTGTTGGAGGGAAGAAGTATTAAATTAGCAACCCTCTACAAATTTTGGAAAGGGAACGGAGGGCTACCTCACTCTTGCTGTTACAAGTACTATTAACATTCAAGTAGTTATGTTGTTTAACAATATTACGCTAACATATTCGACTTCTAACTTTTAAGTAATCTCTTCAAATCAAAAAAATTATTCAAAGCATATTGTAGTGTTTTTTTTTTTGAAAAATAAAGATAAATTCATTAATTTGTTAGAAATCGTCTAGCAGCGATTGATAAAAATAAGATACAGTCATAACAACACAACTTACAAACAGTCACAATGTCATTGTTATGTTTCGCTACATGGATAAACCTATACTGATCTACCCCATAAAAAATTGTGGTACCACGTGCAAGATTTTTAATCCGATCAATGATACAATACTAACTTTCGGTTGAAACCCCCAAATCGTAAACCTAATAATAATTAGTTTCACTGTAACTAAATCTTCTTGGACCACGCCTGCCAAACCGACGAATACCTTCAATGACACCGTCGCCACCGTATCTGTATACATCACTGACGAATCCGCCGTCATACTAGCAAACATCAACAAGGATGCTGCCGCCATACCTGTAAACATCGATAAAAATGTTACCGCCATACTGTAGATAATAATCTACAAGCCGTTTTATTGAAACTAAATTAAAATACAATAAAAATACTAAAGAATATGAGTAGAATTATTTCTCTCATTCTTTCCTGGCGGAAAGATGAGGGAAGATTAATTTTTTTTTTTAGGGATGGAGAGAGAGAGGGAGAGGGAGAGGGAGGCGGCCAACTTAATTATAACTTCTCTCTTTAACATTCAGATTGCAGGATTCATGTTTGTAGTATTCGACTTCTCTCTTTAACTTCAGATTATAGTATCCGACTTCTAACAATATTATGCAATCATGCAGATTGTACATTCACACATTCAAAATTATTCAACATCTTCTTTAAATCATTTGTTATCCGTCTAATTAGCACGATCCTCATTTTCCCTCTAATTCTTTTACTCCTTTAATCTCGAAAACTTATATCTATGCAAAATTAATGTGTGAACATACAATTCACATAAGAGCAAGTCTAACGGTAGTAAGTGGCCTAAAACCTTGTGCCACTTACTCCTACAGTCAACCCTCTCCCCTCGGAGAGAGTTGAATCTTTGCTCTCCATGATATTTCCTTTTACTTGAACAGCTCCTGCAAAGTGGTGTGGTTGTGAGGCAGTCATGTTTCCACTTTTTAGCCACCTTTTATTTATTTAAGAAAAAATACAAAAAAAATTGGACGCAAATGAGAAATGTTGCTTGATGGAGGCCTTTTTTTTTTTTTTCTTGCTCATTATCTCTACATAAAATTTGTGTCAATTTTTTTTCCAGATTATCATTTGAATTAAATATTTTGTTTCTCAAGAAAAATTTGCAGATCATCTTCTGCACTTTTCTTTTTTGCAGGTTATCTTCTAACCTTTTTTTTTCATGTTATCTTCTTCAACTTTTTTTTTTTCAAGTTATCAATTTTAGCTTTTCAAAAAAAAATTTACAGGTTGTTTTCAATGCTACGTTTTCTTCTTCACATCATCATTCATCTATAAATAGCTATCAATTTCTTGCAAATCTTTTGTACCATATCCTACTCCTCATTTGCTCTTACTTATTTTTTTTATTTACCAATATTATTTTTAACCATATGGAAGAAAATAATAACTCTAGAAATTTTTTAACTCCCTCAAACTAACAAAATCCACAATTAAATTTTTAATCTCCACAAAATTTTCAAAGTTCACCTAACTTTCAATTTCCATAAAATTTTCAAAATCCGTTAATGTTCCTAAACCATACATCAAATATTCCCAATTCGTTTAATGTCCAAACTCGTCCAAATTTCCAAAATGTGCCACCAAATTTCTCAACTTCGCCTAGCATTCAAATGCTACTTAATTTTCAAAATACACCAATCTATCAGAATCCCCACCAAAACTTTTAAAATACCAAACAATTTCAAAATCAACCAAATTTTTCATACCAATATCTCACGAATCCAACCTCCAATTATTTCAAACCAATTACCATAAGTGAACAAATATTAGGATATAATAACTTTGGTACAATGAAGAATTTACGACTCCAGGAAGCTCGTATTCAGTACTCAAATGCCGCAATATTCAACACAACCTGAGGGGGAAATTCAGATATTGTCGGTGAAACAGTAGAAGAATTGGCTGGCAAACGAGAGAAATGGAGTATAGAGGATTAAGAGACACTTACATGAGGTTGTCTAACTGTATCTACAGATAGTGAAGTTGGTACCAACCAAAAAGAGAAACAATTTTGGAAATGTATTACTGATTATTACAATAAGTATAAAAATGGTAGACCTGAAAGAAAAAAGGAAAGAATTAAAGTGCAATAGCATTGGACGAGCAAACGGGTTAATATATTTAACCAGCTCTACAACAAAATTGTTGGAGAGCATCTTAGCGGGTATAATGAGGAGTTGTACAGACAGCGCGCCCGTGCACTTTATCATCAGACTAAAAATACGCATTTTACACTCGAACATATACGGGTATTGTTAAAAGATGATCCAATGTGGAAAACAGTCAATCTAATAGAATGACCTTCCAAGAAGAAGAGGACTAATGAAAGTGGTGAACATGTTACTTCGTCTAGCCACGATTCAGGATTCGACCTCAACGAAAGTATACTTGAAATTCGTCCAATTATTCAGAAGGCAGCCAAGTGAAAAAGAAAACAAAGGGTGGGTGAAACTCGTTCGTCGTCAATGTTTGAAAAAGTTATATCTACATTGCAAAAAAAGAAGAAGAGATGATTACTAATCAAGAATATGACATTCTGACGAAGGATACTACAGGGATTAATGAACAACAACTTCAAGCTCGCAACAAATGGTATGCTGCTATATGGAGAAAGCATAATCTTGATTAGTGTGGTTATTTATTTACACGTTGTTGTTGTTTTGTTTTTTTTTTTGAAAGAATTGTGTGTTTTTCTTATTTTAAGGTTAGTATCTTTAGATTTGGTTTTGATTTTCAAGCTATTATTAATATATTTTTGTATTATGTGTTAATTTAATACGTTTAAGTAATATATCTTTTAATGTTACTTTAACTAAAAATAAATTAAAAAAAACAAATTGATTAACGTAAATCTTTTTTAAAAACTACTTAATAAAAGGGCTGGATGTTGGTTTTAGAAAGGGAAAAGTGGAAAAGTTAGCACAAACAGTGATGCATAAAGGCTTCCAAAAATGATATGGCCCACTATTTATTAAATTAAAATTAAAAAATATTATTCATTGGAAAAATAAACAAAAGATAAGTTTTTCTTTTTTTTTTTAAAAAAAAAGGTTCAACTTGTTTGCAGGCTCTTGTCATATACTCTACACTTTTGTTTCATCTATAAATACATCTTTATATTGAACCTTTTATTCACCATCCATTGTTGCTTTAACAATTTTGCTCAGTGTCTTATGTTACCTTTGTTTATCATTTTTTTCTAAATACATTACAAAACACTTCCATAATTTTGCCTCTTTTTGTTTTTTGAGATTGTCATCCACAATTCAACCATATATACATCTCAATCCAAAATGTCTCAAATTCCCGATGATACTTCCATTGTAGCTAAAATGGTGCAATTTATTGAAGATGAAATGAATGACGACACTGATGAGCAAATTATCACAATGTTGGGTCAATTAGTAGAAAATGAAGTTGAAAGTTCTTAAGTGCGTATTGAAGAAATATTAAAAGAGATCGAGAAGAAGGTCATATTCAACTGTTCAATGATTATTTTTTAGAAAATCCAATCTTCTCGTTGGATTATTTTCGACCAATGAGAAGAAATCTATTCATGCAAATTGTTGAAGCACTTGAAACTCATTCAGAATATTTTTAATAGCAATATGATGCCGCCGGTGTAAAAGGGCTCTCTCCGTTTAAAAAAAAAAATAACAGTTACTATTCGGCAGTTAGCATACGGAGCGACAGGTGACCAAATTGACGAGTACATAAAGATTGGTAAATCCACTGCAGTAGAGTATTTAATGAAATTATGTCAATATATAATCGAGATATACGACGAATGGTATCTTAGAAATCCCAACACCGATGACATAGAGCGCTTACTTCATATGCATTCGAAGCGCCACGAGTTTCCAGGCATGCTTGGGAGTATCGATTGCATGCATTGGTAGTGGAAGATGTGGCCAGTTGGTTGGAAAGGTCAATTTACTCGAGGTGACATAGATAAACTTACAATAATTCTTAACAGTTGCATCAGCCGACTTATGGATATGGCATGCATTTTTTGCACTTGCAGGGCCTAATAATGACATCAATGTTCTAAATCAATCTCCAATTTTTAATGATGTATTGCACGGATATGCTCCTAATGTTCAATTCACAGTTAATCACACACAATACAATAATGGGTATTATTTAGCTGATAGTATATATATTAAATGGGCAACATTTGTAAAGATTTTTTCATCTCCACTAGATCCAAAAAGGCGTTTATTTAAGGAAATGCAAGAAGCTGCAAGAAAGAATGTGGAGCGGACATTCGGGGTATTGCAAGCTCGTTGGGGTATTATATGTGGTCCAGCTCGCTATTGGAGTAGGCCTAAATTGACAAATATAATGTATGCATGTATCATATTGCATAATATGATTGTTGAAGATGTAGGCGTTGAAACACCAAATCGGAGTGCAGGAGATGATTATGGATGTCCTTCAATTAATTAGAATTGAGGTACTAATCGAATTTTTCAACGCTATCTTGAAGCGAATTCGGAACTTTGGGATCATCAAGTTCATTATCAACTCCAAGCAGATTTGGTTAAACATACTTGGGCACGATTTGGACACAACAATAATAAAAATTAAAGAAATTTATCTTTTAATTTGTTTTTGATTTGTATTTTTATTTTGTACCTTTTATTGTGTCATTTTGTACTTTTAAATTTTCTTTTGTTTTAAATTATGACGCGTGTACTTTAAATTAAATTGATTTTAATTAAGGATTAAATATTTTATTTGATCTATAAATTTATTATTATTTTTTCTTTTACGAATAGTAGGAAAAAAAATAAAATGTGGCAGGAAGTCAAATGTAGTTCGAAAATAAAATGATGTACCAAAATGTTGTGATAAAACTGATGAAGTGTGGTCAAATAGATTTTTTTTTTTTTTTTTTTTTTGTTTCGCGCATTGCAATCGCGAGAATATGGCTTTCTTCTATAAAACAGGAGTCGAAGTCCTGGACTCTTGCTTAAAGCTGAAAAAAAATGTCTAAAAAAGGGGGACAAAGTTCTGAAAGATTGGCCCACATTTTTTATTATTTTTAGGTAAATTTCATCGGAGGTGATGCAGAGTAAATAGACTTGGGCTAACTTATTCTGAGTTGGAGTTCCAAGCCCCACAATTTATCCTGACCCGTTAAACTAGCTCTAATGCATCCAGCCGCTTACTCTAAAGAATAGTATCATTAATCCCAATGCCTAATCCGCTAGTGTATCAGATAAAAACAAGAACAAAAAGGGAGGGGTCTTGTTGGGGGAGGATGACCCACGGGCCACATTTAACTAGTTTTAGTAGGCTTCCATAGGAAGTCCAATTTTGGAATCCATTCATGCATGATTGCGACTTCCCATGTCCAATTGATTTGGTTTCACATTTTTGGGTCAGGATTTGGATTCATTAGGAAGTCCAATTTTGGAAACCAGATCAAACCACTATTCGTCCTTGTCACCACGGATGATGGTAAAAAATTTGTTGCAAAATTTTATACTTTTCAACCTGATAGATTTTAGTATGAATCTACTGCGTAACTTGAGATCCCCCTTGATATAACATGCCTCATTGCCTCCCAAATGTTTGGGCCATTGACCCCAAAACAAGATTGACCCATCTTCGAGTTTACTTTGTGAAATAGAATTACAATTTTCAATGTAGACACTAACTAAAAAGATCATTAACAGTTCTAACAAACTATTTTTTGTAATAATCACCATTCATTATTTTAAAGCCCTAATGATTAGAAAGAGTGTAGACTCCAACCGTGGCCTCATGTATACTGCTTGAACTTTGCATGTGAATTCATGTTTCCCAACTGGAGAATTGCGAGCAAAATCATTGATCTAAGTTGTACTTCACATAATCTCTAACACTCACACAAACTTAACTCCAGTGCTAGAATATCAAAAAAGAAACAAAATCATATGGATGTATATAATTATTGAACAATAAAAGGTTACTGCGTGCCTCTTATTGTAAAACAATACTAACACATGATGTAATAATATTGCATATTATGAAAATATTATCGGAAGACAATTCTCTGTTGACGGAAAAGAGTAAACACGGCAAACATCATTATGTGACTACTTCATAAGTACCTTGTAGCTCACGGTATAGTGGTTTACTAACTAGATCAAGGAATTTAATTAGTTTGACAATCTGATAAACACTGCTTACATGTACACTATATTGATGGTTCAGATTCAACTTAATTGACTTTGAATGAAGACAATAAATGACGAGTATTCAAACTTCAACGGATGATTAAGAAATTTTTTTGTGATTAGTCTTTACGTCCACCAATTTTTAAAGCTCGAAAGCGCTAATCATGATCAAGAAGACCATAATTTTCTTTTTCAAATCTCATCATAAACAAAGGCAGATTAGACTTGATGAAACTTGAAAGTGAAACTTTTCGTTTCCCGAAGTTTGAATTATGAAACCGCCTTTAATTTCAATTCAACCAAAAAGAAATATCAATCTTCTCTCACCGTCCTTTTCTTTCCACCCTTTTGGTAATTTAGTATTACTTTCAAATTTTTTTTATCTGTCGCTTTAGAGTTTGCACAAGTATTAAGAAAGTAATGTTAATTTTAAATAGAATACTTTTCTTGCACCTAATTAAAAGTATTGAAAATATACAAAAATTTGAAATAGAAGTAAAAGAATAGGTGATTGCTATTAATATATGTTATTAAAAATAAAGAGAGATAAGGGTGAAATTGAAAAAAAATTGTACCCAATGCTACATTAGGAATAAAGTGCGACAGATAAGGGTAAAAATTGAAAAAAAATTGTACCCAATACTACATTAGGAATAAAGTGCGAACAGATAAAAGAAAATTGGGTTCACCCAAAAGCGAAACATAAAAAAAATTGAGATAGTAAGTCAAAATAGTGGCATGATATCAGAAGATTAGGTGGTTAGCATAATCTCGTGGTTGTTCTTTCCTACCTACTCAGAAATTTCACATAATTTTCTTAATATTTTCTTAATCACATGATACAACCAGCACATCCAACATCATCATAGTTGCCCCCGAATTAACAATACTCTATACATCAACTACGAGTTAATTGTAAGGCTCTGTTTGATAATCACTTAATAGTGATTTAATTTATTTAAGTACTTAATAAAATTAAGTGTGTTTGATAATCACTATTAAAAAGTTTTAATGAATTAAGTTCTGAACTAATTAAGTATTTATAAATTAAGTGCATTTGATAATTAAAATTTCACTATCTGAATTAATTAAGTGCATCTGAATGTCCAGTTCAATTGTGAGCCAGAAAATAAGTGATAGGCCTACCACTTATCACTTGTCACTTAATTTCTGTAATGACTCTTTTTTTTTCTTTTTTCTTTTTTTCTTTTTTTCCTTCGTCTTTATTTCGACGCTTATTTTTACATTGTTTTAAAATTTTTATTTTTTTAAGATGAATTAATTAAGAGTACTTAAAGTTGAATTTATATTATGAGTATAAAAGATCTCAAACTTTTAAACTCAAATTAAACTAATTTTAATACATGAAATTTGCTAAATAACAAGGTATACATATATATATGTAATAATCTAAATTTAATTATATATTGATTATTTACCAAGTGTAATATCTACTTTCATTATATATATCAAAAACTTATTTTAAAATTATGATTATATTATTTTAAAATTTTGTTTATAATTCAATTTTAATGATATTAAAATTTTAAATAACTGTCAAACCTGAGTATTCAGATTCAGCCTTTAGACTTCAGACTTCAGTCTTCAGAAATCAAATTCAGACGTTTATATTAAACAATGTGAATTCAGTCTTTAGACTTCAAACTTCAGTGTTAAGTGTTAAGTGTTCAAATTCAGACTTCAGTGATTATCAAACAGAGCCTAAGTGGATGCATATATACTGCAAGCAAATTAATTTCTAAATATAAATTGAACAGATATTGTAGTGAAACAAACAAAATTTATGATGCAATTAATTTTGTCTCATTAGGTTAATCACACACCTGCTACACTAAATATATTAATCAGTTAATTCTGTAAATACCAGCATCCAAGATAAGTGTTTCCAGAGCTGCAAAAAAAAAAGACAATTAAGCAGATTATCATCAAATTTATCACCATACTAAGAAGAAGCCAAAGAAATGGGAAAAAAAAATAGTAGTAAATTAAGTCTTTACTACTGTACTTAATATATTCAAGAAATCAACACTTCCTGCAGGCACAAACTTCTCTTTCTCTTTTTTTCCCCAAATTTGGCCAAAGTCTACGTATGCTCTAACATAATAAACTCTTTACAATTCTGAATGAAAAAAATTAAAATATCCAAAATTCAAAACCGGCCAAAGACTATTTGAAAAATTCAAACCAACCCCAAAAAAGGAAAAATAAAAAAAATACTAAAAATTATCTCTGCACCTTCAAAGTCTTCTTCAAACCTTGGATTCCTTTTCTTCTATCTATCTTTCATGAAGAACGGGATTTTCATCCAGAGAAAGAGAATTTCTCTTGATGAAATCCAAGCAATCAGCAATGGCTTCCGTGTAGAATGAATTGGTACGGGCAAAAGATTTCATCCTTCTGCAATCACGATCCGTACTGTTCCGATGATCATCGACATCATTCTTTAAGAAAACCAAATTCCTCCTGCTGCTTGTATTCAAGCCGCTTTGATCTTTCCTGAAGCTTTTGCTCCCTCTTGATGATGAAATATTCTTTCTGAGTGACCGAAGCGCATTCCCATATGAATTCCTCCATTTACTGAACAGCTTCATTAAGAACAAAAACTTTGTCCTTAATCTCTGAACTGAAAATCTCTTGGGATTTAACCTAAACCCTCTGAAACCATGGCATGATGTTGATGTAGAAGAAGAAGATGATGATGATGAAGATGATGAAGTTGAGCTGTAAGAATATCTCTTGCTGCTTCCAACTCTGTTATACCTCATATGACTCATGTTTTTTTTTTTTTGATCAATCTGAACAAAACCCTTGATTTGTTTCAACTGATAAACACAGGAATTGATCAGTTTATATATGAAATTTGTTTGGGTTGTGGTGGAAGAAGGAAATATCAGGGAAAATGATGAAGCTTTAAAATGTTATAACGCGGAAGGACAGATTTGCAATGTGGAAATGATGACTTGATTAAGGAGTATTATATATATAGAGTTTATATTCTATGCTAGCTAGCTTTGATTAGCTACAGAATGATTTTATAATAAGATCGAAATAAAATATAGTGTAAAGTAATAAAATAATAGGAAAGGGGAATAATCAGGCGAGGGTTAAGGGGACAAGGAAAAGAAAACTTTGCGGAAAAAACGTGTCCCTTTGTACACAACAAAGTCAGTAGGAGTTGTTGTGAGTGATTATTTATAAGATTGCATAAATTTTTTTAGGTAATCTCACATAATGACATTGTAAGTCAGAAATTGTGTTTGTTAATTTGTAGCCATTTTTTTTTCCCCCAAACGATATGACGACTCTGATTATGGAGAAAATCGATGTGTTTTTTGGCACTACGGAATGCTTTGCTTACCAAATTTTGACTTTGGCGTTATAGGACGATTCTTTAAATATTGATGCTGTCTTGGAAGGTAGTATCAAATCAGGCGAATTTTATGTGTATATGGTTTTTTTTTTTTTTTTGAAAAACATGTATATGTAGTTTATGTGCAGTGTAAACATCCAAAATATGTTGTAAATCTCGATATATTCTTTGGTTCGAAGTATTGAGTGATACATTTGAAATTTCAGCCTTTTTTTTGTTTTTTATCTGGGTGGAATGAATTTTATAAAAAAATCATAAAAAATTTGTGATTGTTATGAATATTTGATTTGATTTGATTGAATGTTTACAATAAAGATGTATTATTCTATTCACAATCAAGGAGATATGATTCTTTAATATTTACCATTAATGATATGTGATTCATTTTCCATAATGTGATCCCCTACTTCTTGTATAATTATGGAGTTCATTCATGCTTCAAAATACATCTGAATACAAGTCTCTTACCTCTCTCTACTCTCTTGTCTCTCCTCTTTGTTCTTATACTTAGTTTTATATTAGTAATCTATAATTAATTTTATAACACGCTATCAGCACGAGACTCTAGCCAAAGAGCTTATACCACCGCCTGAAGTTGGTGTATATTGATTCTGAATGTCTGAAGCCTTAATGAATATTTTAATCCTACTACCGCCTGAAGTTGGTGTGTATTGATTCTAAAGACATAAAGCCTCAGTGAATATTTTAAAAGATTTTTGTGACCTAAAGCGCCTGAAGCGCCGTGACCTCAAGTCACTTCAAGATCTCAGTTTAGGATAGTCAATTTAAAATTGAGAAAGAAAATTCGGCACGTTGAAATCATACTATTTGATTTTGTATTGAGATATTTGAGTGATATGTGATTTTATTAGTCAACGAGTTCTTGAACAAAAACCCATTCACGGTTTTTCATTAGTTTACTTTTGTTTTGATTTCTAATTTCATAAACTAAATTACTTATTTTGTTATGATCTAATCTCGTTAATATCAATGCCTTATTCGATAATTATGTTATGATGCATATTATTTATATTATCCTCTAGGAAGAGTAAAAGGAAAATATGGAAGATAAATAATGGAGTTTTTGTTTCCTTGTTTTGTTTCAATCTAAATCTTTTAAAGTAATTATAACTTATTGGTTCAATACATGTTTGCGTATTGTTGGTGTTATTAAGGTTTTGTAGCATAATTATATTTGTAAGTTTTCTTTTTTCTGTAGAAGAAAATTATTTGAAAAGCAAATTGTCGCTATATTGTAGTGATTTGCTATGTACGTTGACAAGAATAAAAATATTTTAGTTTATTTTGTTGTATATACTATTATTGTTTCGTGAAAAGATGTCACCCTTACTTTGAGATTTTTTACTTCCTAAAGCAAGTGAACTATTACTATATAAATATATTTTTCACCCGAAGTGAAAGATTAGTGATAACAAAAACAAAGTTGTTCATGAAGTAGCAATGTTACGATAATATATTTACCATATTAAATTGCTCCAGTAGTAGCATTATAGTGCAATATTTGGTGAAATCTTATGAATCGATTTCTTTCCGTTCTCTGAACTGAGTGGGCAGTAAATTATTTTACGGTAAATTATAGACATTAAATATACAATAATAATACGGAAATTATATATCAAATGCAACTCTTCACCTGAAGTAAGAGATTGAATGATGATCATTTCGAGGTCGTATACCAACCAAAAGTTGGGAGTAATGATGAAAAGAAAAGAAAGGCGTTGAAAAAAAAAAGACTTCGATATGGTATAACGAACAATTAGTTGCGTATATGTCATACGCAAAACATCTTACAGATCTTTTTTAGTAATTGATGAAGAAAGAAGAAACGAAAATAGAGACAAATTTAATTTATAACAATGTTGATGATATTAACCATGGTCTCGTTAACAACGGCTTTATTATTTTAGATATTGCCGATTTCTTTGTCAAACATCCTGACGATGATGTGAAAATTAATTTAGAGATGGAAATGTCTGATATGTCAAACACCAAGAAGGTGTTGTGATCTTTTGGCCACTATAGTAATGATACTATTTAATTGACATTTTCTATCTACATGTTTCAAAGAAAATACGATCTAAATTTGTTAATGGCAAAAGTATGTCTGCACATAGTGCAATTCATATTACCTCTCTGGATATTGTAGATTTTGTTAATTGTCCTGATGGTGATGCTAGTCAATGATAAACACGAAATAAATTAAATGCTCCAGTAAAGCATATGCCATTGAATTATTTTGTAAAGATAGATGAAAACTTCCATAGAGTATAATTACTCCGGAGGGTGAAAACAAATAAATGCTTTGAAGAGCAAACATAATGCATTCGTCATTGCTTTTGGAAAAGTAATAGTAAACAAACTTTGCTCCTAAAAGAGCAAGAGAATGTTAGAAGAAGAAAGTGCATTGAAATAGATTATATTCTTCAAGGTATCAAAGAAGAATATAAATTGCTCTACCAACACAATTATTTTGAATTTGAAAATTCATTGTTGTCTCCAGTAGAGCAACGATACACTTTACTTTTAAAACAGCAAGAACACTATGATAGAATGAAAATAACTAAATAAGAAATACTGTCAGAGTAGTGGAGCGAAATTGTTATGGTATAACTGAATAATTAATTCACTGCTTTCTCCAAGAGAGAGATTGTAAAATTTGGCATAACTACCTAAGTCATTCTGGTTTCAAGACGAAACAAGAAAGTTTATATACTTTAAATTTGGAGAACCAAGAGTTTCTTCTAACAAATTAGAATATCAATCGATGTGTCGATGAGATAGTCACATGTATGATTTTCGTTAACTTGCAACCTGAAGTTTGCATAAACTTAATTATGGAGTTAATTCGGTAACTTGTCGATTTTCATGTTATGCTCTTACGAAAATTTTGATTTGACAGTTGTGGTGAGTATATGACTCAATACCAGAATGATAGAAGTTGAACATCAGGGGGAGAAGTTAAAACAACATTTTCAAAAGGGAGATTATTAACTGCTCGGTTAGTTAATTTGTCGTTTTAGCGAGTTAGTTATCCCAACATCAGGGGGAGAAGTTAAAACAATATTTTCATAAATCAGATGAATAATATAATAATCTCATGATGATCCATGATAACATGAACCTGAAGTTCAAAAGATAATTTTTAGAACTAGATGTTTAACTGACCAAAACATGTGACTAAGTTACATGCGAAAGGCTGTCAAGTTCCAACTCTTGAATTATGTTCTTGTTGGACCATCTACCACAATTATTGAATGTCCATTTGATGAGTGGTAGAACCATTGATTCCAATGATAAAAATCCTCGTAAATGATAAGGTTTAAATTTATAGAGATGGCAAATAATAGTGATTATAATTCATAAGAATTTTGAACTGGATAGTTTCTAACTATGGTGAATTAACTTCCAGAAGAATTATATGAATACTTTGGAAAGTTAATGATTGGCTCATTACCAAAGAACATGGAATCGATCAGCAATAAAATGTCGACATGAAAATTGTTTATGCTACAGCAGTAAAATAAATGAAAATGAGGATCATGAAATGAAAGCATGTTGTAGATGCAGAAATTAAACTTATTGGCTATAACAAATGAAAAAACGCAATACACAATTGAAGATGTATACTTAGAATTAAAATTGCTTGCGAACTAGAAGTTTGACAAGTGATATACCGGCTAGATTTTGGCGGGTGATTGTGCAAAGAATTATCGAGCAACCTTTTTGTTGCACAGATTTTTCTCAAAGTCCGGTTTATCTTGTGGTGGATGAAAAGGAAAATCTTCCGTTATTTACTAATTTGGTAGCAAATGAAGATAAACAATGCGTCTCTTGAAAATAGTGATCACTTAATATAATATTTGATATTTAATAATAAGGTCTATATGAAATCCTCGAAAGATTAAAAAAAAGGACATGATTCTCAATTCTCGAGAAATTAGTTCAAAAGACTTGCGTAATTTATAGTGTCTTCATGTGTAAAGATATTTAGGTTCATATTTTAAAATATAATAGATATGCTATGTTTGTTTTTATCTGGATATATTATGTTTGTTTGTAACATGATTTTCTATGTGTTTTTAGGATCAAATTTGAATGATAGGATGATAAATAATACTAGAGTGAGTATTCATAATCCATATGTGCATTTACAATTTTGTTAGCACCGAACTCTTGTAGAGTTTCAAAAGGCTGAATATTATCGAAATTATCACGAAATTTGAATAGCATGAATATAAATAAAACTCTTGAAATATCATAGTTATGAACACTTCTAAGGAAGTTCAAAAGGTAGCAAGGATAATGAAAGATCTTGAGTAGAATTTCGGTCTAAATAGTTTGACCTTTGTATATTCAACACCCATTGAGCGCACTTGATTAAAATCTTGATGTGCATGTAGATCTTTCTTCTTGACTTTCTATTAATGATGTAGACCGATTTGGTCCTGAAGTACCATATAATGCTTCGATTTATCTAATCAATTAGTCAAGACTTGGATGTTATGTATTGATACCTTCAAGGTATGATGGTCATGCATCTCCATTATTATAAAACACTCAAAATTATACAGGTATATGAAGACAACCGTCTACATGAGAAGTCGAAGTAATCTGCCTATTATTGACTTAAACAATCATGAATTTGGTCAATAGGTTGGAATGCAACGAGAACATTACTAGTGGCGTACTTAATAGGGGGAGTAAACTATGTTGTACTCTTTTTCCCATGATCGAGGTTTAACAAGGCAACGTTACATTCGGAAATGTACTCTTTTTCCTTCACTAGGGTTTTATCCCAAAGGGTTTTCCCTAGTAAGGTTTGAACAAGGCATTATTCCACAAAGATGGGAATTCAAATGAGGGAGTGTTATGAAATATTTGATTTGATTTGATTGAATGTCCACAATGAAGATGTATTATTCTATTCACAATCAAGGAGATATGATTCTGTAATATTTAGCATTAATAATAAGTGATTCATTTCTCATAATTTGATCCCCCTACTTTTTGTATAAATAGGAAGCTCATTCATGTTTCAAAATACATCTGAATACAAGTCTTTTATCTCTCTTTACTCTCTTGTGTCTCCTCTTTGTTCTTATACTTAGTTTCATATTAGTAGTCTAGCATTAATTTTATAACAGTGATACAATAGTTCAGTTAATGATCTTAATTATTCACTGAAACACAATATTTATCAGCTTCTAACTCGCATATCATGACACTAAGGAAACATTCAGTCAACTACACACAAACTTTATGCATAAAAATGCACATTATGGGTTTACCGCCACCTACTTTTAATTTCATATGGGCATGTTTGGTATCTATGGTTATTGTCTTCCCTCTAATTAACTAGTGGAGGTACTAATCGTACGTACTTGATCCAATTAATTAAGTACATCGTAGTTTATAATGATCGCACTAGCTACATAGTTAGCGCTGCTATATATTTTGTCAAAACATATTATAAAAACTATAGAATATTGGACTTGGTCAGAGCTAGCTAGCTAAAAAACCGGCTAGTACTGAAATAAACGGAAGATTAAAAATATACAAAATTATAAAGTAAAAGCAATGTACATTCATGATTCATCCTAACGTCGTCGAAGATTAGTGCTAGTGCTAATTCGTTGAAATTATAAAGAAGTGAAGATATTGCCATATGGGTAGCTGGGGAACTTGTCGACAGTTCAAAAATCATATTGTATCCCTCAATTCCAAGCAAAGAAATGGATTAATTATTAATCAATAAAAAAAAAATGAATCCATTGTCGATAAATTGGTATTGTACCTAACTTGGCCGAAATCCTGTGTGTTTTTTGTTCATAATGCAAAAAAGGGGGGGTGCAATTCCCCGTAGTTAGGCCATCTTTTTCAAATAGTCAAAGCAGTGTAAAATGAAAGTCTTCGTTGCTTTACATTTTTCTTTTTCTTTATTTTTTTTGGTTTGTTTATTCATAGTGCTCATGATTAATTAAGTCAGAAAGTCAAAAGTTTGATAAAAAGTGGTTTTGCTTAGGAGAACCCCATTGTCTATACCGCACCAATTTCGGCCATGTACAACCAATTCTCTGATGTGTTGTGTTCGACTCACCAAAAGGGGAAAAAAGAGAACAAATCAGCCAGCCATTTCCTCAACCAAAAAAAAAAAAAAAGAAAGAATAACCCGCCACGTGACAAGTAATTCGTGCAGGTTATATTCTCTCTGATCTTACTATATCACTAAAAAATCCAGTCTTTTTCTTAAGATAAGATGACTAGTAAATTTTATTTATTTAATCTTTTTTTGAAAAATGACGCTGTTGATTACTTCCAATTGTTGCATCAATTTGGACTTTTCATACTGAAAAAAGAAGGGGTGAAGAAGGCAGAATTGCTGATGAGGTTCGGTGAATTTAAGGATTCGTAGAATCAAAGATATACTTCTTATTTTTTTTTTTTATATATTTATTTATTTGTAGACTTGTAGTAGTAGTAGTATCTTCAAAGTTCAAACCCATGTAACCTGTTTTTCTAGTGTGATTAATTTGCTGTGTTGCCAAGTGTTTGCCATGCAGAAATGGAGTGACGTGGAAGAGAAACAGACCACCTATGTACCAATCGAACAAGTGTGAAGTATTCAAAAGTGTATATGTGTATTAATTAAACTTCTCCATCACTCAAAGTATGGTGTCTTGCCCCGTTTGTTACTCCGCATTAAAAACAGTCGAGACTCGAGAGGCAACGATTAATTAGAAGCTTTGACGGAGTCTAGGAATTAGACGAGATGACATAAGTCTATGGAATTTACAAAGACACAGCTAATCATACAAATATACTCCTTCCATTCCAAAATAAATGTCATAATAAAATTATTTGAATATCCTCAACCAATCCAATTATCTTTTGAGAGTAATTTTGAAAACTTAGAACAAAAAGTACATTGAAATGTGAGAACGACACTTATTTTAAAATTTTTTTTTTACTAAAACGATACTTATTTCGAAACGGAGGAAGTACATAAGGATGTAATAACATAAATTTCAAAGTAGATGTGAAAACTAATAACTGTATAATTTTTTATCAAGATTTTAAAGTCGGAAAATACGGGAAGGGATCACTTCCTCATTAATTTGATCGCTTACTTCATTTCAAAATAAGAATGTCGTTACACGGTTTTTTTTTTTTCCCGGATTGGGGAAGATTAGAGAGACCTGTAAAATTATGTGTTGTTGTGATATGGTCGATCATATTTAGTTGGTAAGAAAAATGAAACCAACAGTAAATTTATGTTTTAAACTTTTAAGTATGAAGATCCCAAGGCATGTGGTTGTTTTTCCGGGTGACACAACTGACAGTCAAAAAAGTATCTACGTACGTAGTACTTGCTTGCAGCTAAGTGCTAAACTTAATCTTTGTGTGTAGACGACACTAATTGCGGGCGGTCATTGAGACTAATCATGTTGTAGTTTATCAGTGTCCAGTGTCCCCAACGTTTTATTTATTTATTTATAAAACCATTCCAAGAAAATGAAAGTAAATACAGAATGTAGCTCCTCTAACTACAATATATTTATTTGTAACATAGAGATACCACGCATTATAAATCATACTTGTTCAAAAGAAGCAATTTCATTTTTATACTCTCTTCGTCCAAAAGTAGTCGATACTGTGAAAATAGTAGGATTTACAATTTACGATATAGTTTTTTTTTTTTTTTTTTTTAACGGAAGAGGAAGAGGGGTGTGCAGATCGTAGTGTTATAATTAATTGCATGTATTACAATATCCGTATATGTAAGCGTCTCCTTGTTAACAATATTTATTTTGTTTTTCTTTTTAACATGTGTATGGGATGAATTATAACGCATTTTGTGATATGCGGCCAAAAACAAGAATTAATAATGCATCCATTCTACTAGTTAAGTTTTATTAATTTATTCTAGTAGTTCAATAATTTGGACCGATTTAAAATAAAAATGACTATTATAAGACTAAAACTACTGGCTTCAATCCTGTTTAACAACCATCCTGTAACTCAATTTGATTACCGTGGGCATGGATCGACCTCTTGGAATAATAACGCAAAAAACGTGAGTACGTAACAATTGTCATCATCAAAACATAACCGTAACAATTGTCATCATCGAACCTTAAAAATAAACAATTGTCATCATCTTGAATTGGAGCAATTGGATATGTCACACGTTGAGTTCGCAGTGGGGGGAAACTGAAAAGTGTAAGAAAAACGACAATGGACGTGGAGTACATCGCTGTTGTTTGTAACGCCTTCCGGATTTTCGAAATCTACATTATTCCGCTTATAAATAAAACCCCCCTTTCATCGTCAAACTCAATGTAACCGGTTGGTGTAAATTCATCATAAAACAAGTATGGCTTCTTCAATTTTGGTTTCAGCTTCTTCAGCTACCTTCATCCGAAATGCTCCTCCCCGAGCTCAATTCCCTCTTGCTGGGAGAGCTACTTTCTCTAACATTGTAATAAACATTAATATGTCACACTCTAATTTATATTTTATTAATCAATTCACCTTATTGTACTTCTACTACTACTACTTCTGAGATGATTGATCCATCTACCACATTTGGCAATCAACCTCACTTAATCTTCTGTTTTGTGATTTTTTTTTCCCCTTGGTTTTGGTTATTTTTGGTTAGGTTGGTTCGTCAGTTGGTGTTGGTGGGCTGAAGAGTGAGCCAGGAATCCAAATCTTGAAGAAGGCGGCAGCAGGGACAAGCAAGGCATCATCTCCAAATCGTCGTGGCTTCAAGTCTAGAATTTCATGTATCACTGTAAGACAAATTTTTTAAATTTATTTATTTGTTGTTTGGTGTCATTTTCATCTAATAGTAATCATTAATTTTTATTCTAACAATTTTTTTTTTTTAATTTGTTGTTTTGTTTATTTGGATGTTGTGGGGGCCTGCAGGCTGAGCCTGAAACCCTCAAAATTGTGCAGGAAACAATTGCGTATCAGTTGTCGGTTGATGTAAGCAAAGTGACTCCTGAAACCACATTTGCTGAATTGGGTGTCGACTCACTCCACACTGTAAGTTTTACTTACTCACTTAATTTAATAATAATGTAGTGTCAATTTCTAATTACCTACTTTTATTTTGGGACGGAGAAATTAAATTTGTATATGCATGCATGTATGTGTTGCATTGCAGGTGGCTATATTGCTAGCGGTGGAGGAGAAATTTAGAGTGCAAATCGGGGGAAGCAATATTGAGAACGTGAAGACAATCCAGGATGCCGCGGATCTGATTGAACAAGCCAAGATCAAGACCGCCAGGCTGATAGCTTTTAACAAAGCAAAAGCAAAGGCGGCGGCGGCAGCAGCAGCAGCAGAGAAGCAGAAGGAGATTGAAATGGATGATGATGCTAAGGAAAATGATTAGTAGGGTTATGGTAAATGGGCCTGGATTAATTAATTATCCTGTTTTAATTAGTGTTTATGATTTCAGAAAAAAAAAAAAAACAAACCAAACAGTTGTGTGTTTGGGCAGTGTTTTTGTTGGGGGGGTTTTGGAATATTGGTCTCAATCCGTTGATGATGTAGTGGTGGTTCTCCGGCGGTGTTTTGTACTTTTTTATTTCGTCTTTTGTCGAAATTAAGGTCCTTTCATGACGTTGATTCGTTTTTGTTACTTTTTATCTTATTCCATCAGCTTAAGATGTAAGGCAAAAATGGACACACATAATGAAACATCATCATTTTAGATCATAAATAAATGATGACTAATATTAGGTTCAAACAAATAATAAAAAGAAAAAACAGAAAAAAATTACTACTTGATTATCAAATAATAAGTTCAATTTAACTACAACAGATTCTATAATTTTTTCCTTAATTATTGGTGGTAACAAGAGAGACCAAAAGATTAAAAATGAGTCCTAGTTGGCCCTGACGCTGCGCCAGTGGGTCCAAAATCGATATTTCTGTTGAATCCGCGAAGACAATACTATCAGTACGGCGGCCGGTGTTCAGGTCAAGAATAGATTTGTTTTTTCCCCCCCCTCCTCCATCATTCTTCAATCTCGCTTCCCCAGAACCTCTCTTTCATCGGATGCCTACCATGTTCGAATCTGGCTCCAGTTTTTCCACTGGGAATTTGCTCGGTCAATAATAATTATCATTAATTTAATTAAAAACCCCAAAAAAATTAATCTTGAATTGAATCGTTCTTCGAAATTATGCTGTCAGATTCAGACCCCACTTCAGTCAGCTTGAATTCATCACCGCTTGATTGCCCGCTACCACCACCTCCGGTGGAAGTGGAACCACCTGAAACCCAGAAGCCGGCCCTGCCGCTAAGGCCGCCTTCATCGTCCGATGAAGATTTCTTCTCCTCAGCTTCCATTGCCTCTTCTTCATCATCGGAAGACACACATCAGAACACACCGGCCCCGGCCCAACTACCACCTCAGATCCCTCTTTCTTGGCCCGAAGGTGGGGCCCTTTCCCGGGAATGGGTCAACGGGCTAATGCATTGCTTCGAGTGGGCCTCCAGGGCGGTGCCGCCTCAGGAATTTCCCTCCGTGCTCCCGGTTGATGTATTTGATCGTCTCATCTTATCGGGCCACAAGATTTTGCACAAAGAGAGGAACTGTGTGACCATTTCAAAAGATGAATTGAATTCCGATTCCCGGGTTGTAGTTGTCGGAGACTTGCATGGGCAGCTTCACGATGTTCTGTTCCTGCTAAAGGATGCTGGATATCCAGGAGATGATAGATTCTTTGTGTTCAATGGCGACTATGTTGATAGAGGAGCATGGGGGCTTGAAACGTTTCTATTGTTGCTAGCTTGGAAGGTACTTCAGCTCAGCTTTCTTTCTAGGCCTTTTGATTTTCTGTAAATTTAGCTTGATAATCCGATCCATTAGTGGAAAAAATGTGATCTGGTTAATGCTGGTCAATTTCTCTCTTTTGCTTGTGAGGTACTAGTATTAGTTTTGGATACTTTTAAGCCAAGAAATTTGGCTTCTTTTTGGAAATTGGAGGTATAAAAGGTGCCATTACTGAATAGCTTTCGTTTATTGAATGTGGTCATGAATGCACCAGAACAGAATAAGGAAATGAATGTTTTTAGTTTGAAGAGCTGATTCCATGGATCCCATATGGTGCTTTTTTGACATGGTGATCTTTGTCTATTGAATAGTTTGGAAGTACCAGCTTATTGATTGCCGTATTCACTGAAGAGTTTGGACGTTTTGGAGTTTCCTGTGATCAAATGCTTTAGTCCACTGTGATGTCTGCTAAGTTTGAAGATCAGTTTCTGTAGCTATGTGGTCTAGAAATAGGGCTCTCTGAGTTAGGATTTTATTCACACAGCTACTCTTCAATCTAGACAAATTGGAACTTGTTCGCGCTTCATGAAATTTGTGGCTTTCGTGATGAGTGGGGTATTTTAATCTTTTGTTTTAATCATTAATGTTTTGTTACTTTTGTTTGTTCGGTGTTATCAGTTCAGTGTATTGTAGCATTTAAGAGTGGGCATAAAGTTGTGGCCTTGACTTTAATAAATGATGTGTGCTTTCGGCAGGTTCTTTTGCCAGATAGGATCTTTCTTCTCCGAGGAAACCATGAATCTAAGTATTGCACATCTGTCTATGGTTTCGAGAAGGAAGTACTCGTCAAGTATGGAGATAAGGGAAAGCATGTGTACCGCAAATGTTTAGGATGTTTTGAGGGGCTTCCTCTTGCTTCAGTCATTGCCGGTTGTGTTTATACAGCACATGGAGGACTCTTTCGTAGCATTGTTACTACCCCAGTGAAAAGGTCTAAAGGAAAGAAGAACCGGAAAGTGACTCTCAACCCTGACCAAACTTGTTTAACTCTTGGTTCTTTTGAAGAGCTATCTAAAGCTAGGAGGACTGTGCTTGATCCTCCTTGGGAAGGTCAGAACTTGATTCCTGGTGATGTTCTTTGGTCGGATCCATCCATGAGCCCGGGTCTTTCCCCTAACAAAGAAAGGGGCATTGGTCTTCTATGGGGTCCTGACTGCACTGAAGAATTCATGAAGAAGTTTGGTCTAAAGGTGAATTTATGATTCCTGTATGTTTTATTTTCCAAAAGGAATTTGCTTCCGTTGTTTATGGCATTTCACTTTTTCTTTCTATGTGACTGAGATACAGTGCATGTTTCTCATCATTGTCATCTCTTTTGTGAAATTAAGGAAGGAATATGAATCCTTACTGTGTTTATTTGATAATGGCATGTACTCATTACCTTTTAATTTTGACTACAGTCACGGACTCCTAGTTCCCTTCATTGAATTTTCTGAGGTTTTGATATGTGGATAACTGTAAAGGACAATGCTGTCCTCCTTCACTTTCCATGATCTGTATAAATGAGCCAAAATATAGTGAACATGAATTGGGCCCTTACGACTGGGTTTTTTTGCAAACTCTTAAATGGTTGGTGTTGCCTCTTCGAGCAAAAAGAATTTGTGTTAGAATTACCTGAGACCTGCTAATTGTGTGTATTTTACTTCTCAGAGTCTTTCATATCCTTATAATATTCTTATGGTGTGGCTTGAACATTGCATGACAACACCAGGAGTGAAACAAAGCCTTTTAATTTTGGTTTAAGGAGTTTAGACTCTTGTTTCTTCTACATTTTCCTGTCCTGTTCTGCAAAAGTGCTATGACAAATCTTGATGACGGATTTTTAACCCCTCTCTTTTCTGTTTTTTTAGTTGATTATCAGGTCACATGAAGGTCCTGATGCTCGGGAAAAGAGAGCTGGAATGGGAGGAATGGATGAAGGGTATACTATTGATCATGTTGTAAACTCTGGGCGATTGATTACCATCTTTAGTGCTCCAGACTATCCACAGTTCCAGGTAGTCTTGATGGGCTTTTTCTACTTACACGTCTGCATGTGCCCTATGTAGTTGTTCCAAAATTTTTAAGACTTTTCAAATCTTTATGTTTCTATCTGTGTGCTATCTATTGGTATTGAATGTGGATTGTAACCTTTGTGCTCCAAAGATTGGAATTTTATAAAAAGAGGAGGGGGTGTTAAATCTTCATTGTTCACATGCTTGAAACTTCATCAATGAAGAGGTAGTTGAACCACTATTAATTGCACTTACCATTTAGATGAAGAAAACTGTTTTCAGCTGCAGTGAGGAAATGCCCAAAACCATTATGAGAAGTTGCAAATGGAACTGGGAGTTCAATCTATGTGCATCTTGCCTGAGGGTACTTGTTGTGGCCTTGTGGGGTAGGGTTTTGCAGGCTCCTAGGACTGACCTGTTCAAGATTATAACAACAGCACATTCACAAATTAGAACTTCTTTTCATGTTTCCTATGTTGCTAAAGAACAAAAATGTATATGAATCACTAAGCTAATTTTGAATTTCCTTGCAGCCAACTGATGATAGGTACCGGAATAAAGGAGCATACATTGTTCTGGAGCCCCCGGAGTTTGATACCCCAGTTTTTCATAGTTTTGATGCAGTTACTCCTAGACCGGCGGTGAGTTTCCTAAATGATCATTTATGCTCAAGAAAGTTCATTTGAAAGTTTTCTCTTTATTCTTGGAAATCTGCCTTTTATGGAATCAAGAAGTGGAATAAGCTTTAGACAGGAAATTTAAATTGGAAGAGTAACTATTTGGGTTCACTGCTCGTTTAGCCTGGAAACAGACCAAAATTTCCTTGTTTGCATGGATTCCACTCATACTCAGATCAGCAGTTGATGACTTTGGAGTAACGTAAGAGTGAAATTTTTTGTGGCAGGTAAATCCCTATTATGACTATGTAGATGTGATTGATTCCGACGAAGAACTGGATTTGGCATCAATGCAGCCTGCTACATGAAGTGTTTTTGTTTGCCTGCACTTCTTGTACACGTAACCGATTTGTTGTACATGTGTTTGTATCCTTTATACAGTAACCATTATATCTGTTGGGGTGTTTCTTTTGTATTCTATTCAGGGCCCCTTGAAACGATTCCAATGTACAACCATTTCTGGAGGTCGATATATATAGATAGGTAGGTTCAGACACCAGCAGGGTAAATTTTTGAGACCTACTCGGTCATAATATCTCTCATTCTCCTACGTTTTTCATTTGTAACATTTTTTTTTTTTCTGTTTTAGACATAGGATTATATGCAGATATCATAAGCCGAGTCACATTATTTATTAACTTTCCATTACGAGAAAATGAAGGAAAGGTTGGTTGATGTCATGTGGTGGTTGCCTGCTGCTATACAAATCCAAATGATTTATCCCCTTTGCCCTGCCCCGACTTCTTTTGGGACGGAGGGAGTATTATTTTTCACTCTACTGTTTATAATAACATTGATTAGGACAAATTTTCGTCATTGAATCGATCAACGTTGATTTCCTTTTCCCCTTGAATTCAGGAAAGCAAAACTACAGAAACAAACATCGGGTACAATGATAACATACAAACTTCAATGGCCTGGCCTCCATGTCTCTCCATTATTTCTCCTTTAATTATATCTTGTTCAGTGAACCTCGTACCTTTATTTAGTTTATAATTTCTGTCGGTGTTCCATAGGTATTCGACGGGCCACAATGTGAGAAGTTGCAACTTTTAAAATAATTATCAAACTTATGAGATTACTGTTTTTCTACAAGAATTTTTTGAAAAATATGAGAATTTTCCAAAAACATATCTTGATGTTTGATATATGATGAAATGAACATCTCTCATGTAGTTTTTTTTTTTTTTTTTTTTTTGGGATCCAACGAAATTTTAGAAATGGTTGTGTGAAGAACAATATTTCCTTCTCGGTTTCACGTGTCTAATTGTATTTGATAAATGTAATTAGTCCAACACTGGACTGGATACAAACGTCAATCATTGTGATACATTTTTATTGACCCGATGGTCCTATAATATTCGTGAGAAATCACATGTTTGAAAATACATGTGGCCCTAAAACCACTGTTAAACTGCCTCATATATGTGAGCCATTATAAAAGTGATACCAATGTATTGTTCCAATTTTGTTGGAAGTTTCAGAATTGACAGCGAAAAAGTCTCTTATAAGAATCATATCTTCCTTACTGTTTTTTTGCACATGTTTGTCTTTCCATTAGTTTTGTATTGAAAATTTTAGAATTTCAGTTCTTGTCTTCATAACTTCATTGTTCACCAAAGGGAAACCGCTTACCATTCCACAACCATATTTATAGTTTCATTTGAGTTGAATGGCGATTAGTTCAGTTACGTTCATCTGTGTGTGTGTGTGTGTGTTTTTTTTTTTTTTTAATAATAAAATACAAATTACAAGGTTCCTCAGTATTTACTTTCCAAAATCAACAACTACAATTAAAGAGAGAGAACGAAAAGCAGCTTTTGTTGGTGCTTGAACGTCCCAGAGAACATGAGGACGGTGGAACCACAAAATTGATTGCTCCATTGTCAATTTGTTATCAAGCTTTCGCCTTAATAATGGACAATTGGACATGTTTAACGTGTAGTACTTGAGTGTCAATTGTGACTGATAACCTAATCTCCAACTAGTCAATTAGTTCTGGTTTTATAACACGTTATCTTTTAATTTTAATTATTTTTTCTAAGTGTGTTTGATAACAGAAGAAAATGAACTTTTTCATGTCTTAATAAATAGGGTTTAAATTGCTGTAAAAAATAAAGGTACAAAATTTCATACGAGTCACAAAATATGTTACATTGTTACTACACATTCAATCCTTTTTAGTAACGTTTTTCCATCCTCCAACGCTAAAATATTCCCAAAAGATACCACGCCGATCACTAAACCAATTAAGTAACCGGCCGCAAAAAAACAAAAAAAAAAAAAAGAACCTCAGGGCCTTACATTCTCATCTCTCCTCAGCAAATCATAGATACTAGATAGAGCAAAACACCTTTTATTGTATAGTTTGTTAACCTACGAACAGGTATATATTAAAAAAAGAAATGAAGAAAACCTCTAAAATTGTACCCTAAAATGTTAATATTGCAGTCATCCATCAAATGGTACAATTAGCCCTTTGCTTCAGGCTCCAGTGTCTGAAACCGACTAGACTAGCTACCTCAAATTGATCGTCGAAGTTTCTCGCATCACTAAATTTTGATCCATTTTCTTCGTCCTATTAACAATTGTGTATACATAATTTAATTTATATCTCTGTCAAGAAAAACGAAAATAAGCGCTTTAAGTTTTAACACGTTGTGATATAAGTCATAGACATCTGAGAATGCGAAAGCTAGATATGTCCTTTTTTTTTTTATCTCTTAATTATTTCATTTAATTTCTTTGCCATTTGTTTGGAATCAAATTAAGCGCAGAGCTGAGCTGGTTAAAATGGAAGCCACACAAAAGAACCACTCCCTCAATTTGTGGTAGGTTTGTAGTCGTGGTTTGGAATACGATTGAGGGTTAAGACTAGTAGATGGAGACTTTTATTTTTCTGGTGTTCGAAATCATTGACTAATTCATATTTGAACTGCATCTTGCAAGTGTATATATGTCTCTTTCAAGTGGCAAATCGTACATAAATACTGCTACAGTAATGAAGTTCACCTCCTTAATCCCCACTTCCACCGATTTCCAATTCTTGATAACTTGTACTTTTAACCATGCATCATGCATGGTTACTAAAGCCATAATGATAATTTTTTTTTTTTTTTAACCCCAACTAATTAAGAAGACCTTCAGATTGGTAGCTAGGTATCTTGTAGACATGTTTATGAAGAGGTTAAGTTCGACCCTGATTATATAGAGTTGTAGGTTTCGTCACGTTCAAGGGGAATCCAGTGTTTAATTAGTTTCTTCACCTCAAAGTTCTTACTTTGGATTCCTTGAATGAATGTAATTAATCAAATCATTGCACATTATTAAATGTTGAGTTGCTAGATGATCAAGTAGTTCAGTTTCCAAAAAATTAATTTTAAGAAGTAGAGTATTAAAATGAGATAAAAAAAAAAAAAACGATTCGCTAGCTTCGAATGATTTCTCATCTTCATTTTTAAAGAATGTCGAATTGAGACAATGTGATTATCAGAAAAAATAGTATAGCTGAAGCCTTAATTTTGATCATGGATTGGATCTTTGAATCCAGCAGCGTTTTCTCTTCCAATTTTCCTGCCTTTTAACTATAGATTCAAACGCTACAAAAAAAAATTACATTTACTTGAAAGAAATGAGAATTAAGATTTATGATTTTAAAAAATATTAATTTCCAAGGAGAAATATTGATTATGGTTTTTAATTACTTGTCTTATTTACTTATTACCAATGAATTATCTTTAGTTACCCAATTAAAAATTTGTCATAATTGAAGAAGAGGAGACAATCTTTCCATATAACAATATTAATGTCACCCTCTCTGGACATCAAATGCTTGCCTTTTTAAGTGATTCCAATCTCTAGAAATGCTAATTAACTGCCTTTATTATTAAGCACTATAATTCACCCCAATCTCTTAGCAGATTAAACGCATATATAGGCCGAGATTCTGTCATTCTGAGAAGAAGGTATAGAGCAGTATGCTGATTTCTTCAGGTTGTCGAAGCTTGGATCTATAGCTCTAGTGCTCTAATCTTGTAATAGACTCTTGCTTTTTTACAGGAGGAAAGGTAAAAGCATTTCTGTCACCAAACAACCCTTCAATTTCTTTTTTTTTTTTTTTTGTCCGATTCTTCATTCGGTAAAGTGTTTAGACAATTGATTTCTGAGAAGGATAGGTTCGTTTGAGAGGTAAAATTCTTCCGACCGATATTACTTGTGTTATTACAAGTACATATCTGGTTTGAATTGTGTTGTCATAGTTAAACTGATCCAATATCTCTTATCACCTAAATTCAAGTGCTTGTTGATTCAACTTTGATTTTCGAGATATATTTTTAAGTAGTGTTTTTCTTTTGGAGTCATATTTATGAGGCAAACACCAAAATCAAACTTGGAAGTTGGTGGTTCATAGTGCAATGCTGTTACTTTTGCCTATAATTTGAGGACACTTATGCGTGCATGGATTTCAATAATTCAATTTCTGATTGATGATTTTTCCAGTGGCTACCAGTGGTACATATATATATATATTTATTTATTTATGATCAGTTCACACACGCGCTGTCTTTTTGGCCCACCGATTTTACACGATTGTTCATGTAGTACTACTTACACACATATTAATTCATCTTTCATTCTCACCTGAATGTCCATATATCATCATAAGAAGTTTTGTTATCCGTTCTGTATACCAGTTCCACAGCTACATACACCCTTCTTGACAGAATTCTAAGGTTTAGTCTTTATCATCTCATTTCTGAAACAACATATAAGGTTTTGCATTGAACTTTTTTTTTTCACAGGAGGGACAACTGAAAAGAAGAATATTCAGGAGAATTATAAGAGGATATGGGATTCTTGGACTTGTTCATAGTGGCCTTGATTCCTATCCTGAAAACGTTGATCATTACCGCAGTTGGTTTATTTCTGGCGGTTGAGAAAGTCAATATCTTGAATGACACTGCCAGGCACCACTTCAATAATGTAAGTCTTACATGATCCAATTTCTCATCACGCATCCTCTTTCATTTCTTTTTTGCCGTTGTGAGATCATGTAATTCAGCTTCAGATAAACCCTGGATTCATTAATTCTACTTTCAACCCATTTGTTCTAAGTACTGCATCTTTGTAATGATCACGAAAACATTCATTTTACACCATGCGATCATCAAGAACTATTTCTACCAGTCATCATTCAAGAGCTCATTCAAGAACTACTAATTAATCTTTCAATGGTAGTAACATTGGAGCCTTTTTTTGCAGTTGGTGTTTTTTGTCTTTACTCCAGCACTGGTTGCCAGCAGCTTGGCAAATACCATTACTATGACCAGCCTCATTCAACTGTACGCACGTTTTAATTGATAGATTTCTGCAGTACTATTATTTACTAATTATTGTACTTTTTTCCTTTGCTCTCTAAACATGGAGAACTTAATGCTAATTGACTAGAGTTTGTTATCTTTTTTGGCTTGGTTTTAGATGGTTCATGCCGGTGAATATACTTCTCACCTTTATGATTGGCTCAGCACTTGGTTGGATACTTGTCAAAATCACCAAAACTCCTCAGCATTTGCATGGCCTTGTTATTGGCTCCTGTGCAGCAGGTCCCCCATACACACACACACACACACACACACACACACACACACATATATATACCCTTAAATTTCAATGAAATTTTGTTACTTATTTTGTATTTACAGCTTGCAGGTTAGTTCTGTGCTAGTTTAAGCATCAGTGTTCAATACAACATGTTAGGTCCAGAAAAGGAAAAAGCAAACAAAAATGAAATTAATTTGCAGAACAGCGACAATATATGCGCTTTTTGAGTTTTTTGATGGTAACATGTTTGGACTCATATGGTGCAGGTAATTTGGGGAACTTGCTTCTTATAATCATCCCCGCTGTTTGTGATGAAGCCAACAGTCCATTTGGAGACTCATCCAATTGCTCTACCAATGGACAGGCTTATGCATCTTTGTCCATGGCCGTAATATTTTCTTTTTCATCATCCTTTTTTTTCCCATCCGAAAACTAATTACTCCAATATTCATCCCATTTTAACAGTTCAATTTGTTGAACTAAAACAGTATAACAAAGTGGTCTATTAAAATGAGACGGACGAAGGCTATTGTTAAATTTTCAGGACTGAATGAGTGAATGAAAAATTTTCAGATAGGGGCAGTCTTCATATGGACTTATGTTTATAACATAATACGGCGCTGCGCCATGAGAAGTACAGATTCCACACTAAGCATACGCTGCTTTAGCGAAAACTCAACAATGATGTTCCAAAATGGCTTGTCAGAAGCATTGCTTTCTTTTAAGGATGAAGAGATTCATCAGGTTGAAGATCAGCCAGTGCATCTTGGTAAGGATACTAGTGTATATGATGGCGGCCATGAAGACGACGTCGATGACAAGGTTAAATTTCTCTCCTTTTAACTCATCAAATTAACACGGGATATTTTTAAAAACCAATTAAATGCGTCCAAAAATTTTTAAGATCTTCTGTAAAATATATTTTTGTGATGCAGGTGGCATTTGTAGTGAAAGTTAAGCAGCAGTTCAAAGTTTTGTTAGCGAGCTTGAACCTGAAAATTTTGTTTGCCCCATCCACCATTGCCACGGTAAAATTTTGTTTCTCTGGAATATACATTTTATTAAACGTGTGTTGGAAATTAACTGACCTTAATCAACAAAATAAGTACGAGATTATTACATCTACAACTACAACCTCTGGGAAAGAGACACTCAATGACACTATTTATGTACTAGTATTATCTAAGCTGAGTTATCCAAATAAAATTATTAGCGGATAGCTAAGATAATAGACGTGTAACATCATTCAATTTTACTAATTATTCTTTTTCCTAGCTCGTTTCCTGCACACACACAATCGGGTGTTCCCCTGGACTTTTCAAACTCTGGTCAACATCAAATGAGGTCCCTATTTTCATTTCAGATATTTAAAAAAATAAAATAAAATTCCAGTTTAAAGTTGGGGTGTTAATTAGAAAGGTAGCAATGTTCGACTATACCAAACATATTGCCTAACTAGATGGGCTTAAATGACTACACAAAAATTTCTGTTTGGGCCTGTTTAGAAATGAACGGAGAATGCCTTTTTGTATTGGGTTGGTTTCTGTTGCAGATTGTTGGGCTTCTCATCGGAGTAGCCTCTCCTTTACGGAAGGTATTGGTAGGCCAGAGTGCTCCTCTTCACGTTATATATACCTCGGCCGCTATGCTTGGGTAATGATCTCTCTACTTTAATGTATTTAATCAAAGAATTAACAATTAATCCTCCTGCATAATTTTTGGGTGCTTAGTTCATTGCTTCCTTTTTTTGTTGGGTAACAAAAAGAGCCCGGCTACATTAAAGTAACAAAGATCGCATTTGAACAACATCAACAATACTGTGTTTCAATCACGATTTAATTCATCCTGTGAGTTTAGTGTTTTAATACTTCTGAGTTACTTTGCCACAGAGATGCAACAATACCATCCATGACACTGATAGTAGGTGCAAATCTCCTCAAGGGTAATTTTAAAAGATCCTTTCTAAAACAACTCTTCAAAGTAATCTATTTATACTCCCTCTGTCCCATATCCAGTTTGAAATTTAATTTTTAATACAATTTGAACTAGAAATGAAAACACAAACTGGACAATAATTATGGGATGGAAGGAGTATTTATTTATTTTAATAGGATAATCAAAGTAGTTCATCCATCTTGGGCAATGCAGGGCTCAAAAAATCAGGACTAGGAGTATGGATAATCGTAGGAGTTCAAGTAGTTCGTTTTATAGCAATGCCTCTGTTGGGAATTCTGGTGGTTAAATTCGCCAAGAACTTTGGATTGGTGGGATCAGATTCGTTGTATCAATTTGTTTTGCTGCTCCAATATGCACTTCCGTCCGCAATGGCTATCGGTACTGCCTTGTACATAGCTTTATTTTGCTCGTAATCTAATTATTCTTTCGTTTCGTCCTTTAAAAATAGAATATTTTGTTTGTTATATAATTTTAATTCAAAGAAGATAATTTTTTTTTTAATTAGACAGAGAATAAGTAATATTGAAAAATGCTTTATATGGTTTAGTTACGTGCATGCCTAACTTTTTGGCTTCGCTTTGTGGGCAGGTACCATAACGCAATTGTTTGAAGCCGGAGAAAGTGAATGTTCTGTGATTATGTTATGGAATTATGCAATTGCGTCGTTGGCTCTTACTCTTTGGTCAACTTATTATATGTGGCTCGTCTCTTGAACTTTATGATAATAGTAATACTTTAATTTTAAATATATATATATATATATAGAATATTTTTATGCATTTATTAGCAGAAGAGAAAAAAAGGAAAAATATATATGATGCACAAAAATTTCGGATATCAGATAATTCGATTTTGTGAATATTTTTTAATTTTAATTAAAATGGTGACAAACACATCATTCTGGGCAAGAATTGTCGTATGAGACTTGGGAATCCTATCAAAAATGTATAATGCATTATATTACGTGATTTATTGTGACGCATAAAAAAAAAAAAAAAGGTTTCAAAACGTATGTAGAACTTTCTAGTTAGCGTCTCCAAAATTAAATATAGACTACCCAGATTGGATCAGGGAAATTGGATGTGGATGGGAATAGCTGGGGAGGTGGATAACTCTCCTCATCAGTCATGACACGGAAATACAATATATACATTCTTTTTTGTGTATCTATATTATATTCAGTAATTTTTCATTTTTAATTAAAATGGTGGTTGAGAGCTGTTCTTGCACACGATCGATTAACAAATAAATATTTACCCCGAAATTCAAATTGAAAAAAAAGTATGAATTATTTGACCATTGCATCACCACGTTACATGCAATGCATGATCACTTTTTTTTTGTGTTTCCTACTAGTCATTATTCGAAGTTATAGAAATAGAAATAATTACCGAGTCATCACTCATCACTATTACTGTTTTCCTAATTGTACAGAGAGTGCTACTTGCAATATTTTTTATTTTGAGAAGGGGTTTTTTTTTTTCCTCCTAGTCATTTTCGACAGGCAAAAAGTTTTAGAAAAAGAAATGATTACTGAGCCACCAATCATCCCTATTATTATTTTCCTATTGTACACCGAATGCTGCTTGTAACACTTCCTTAAAGAGTTTTTCCCCCTCCTAGTCATTATTGACAGGTAAGAAGCTATCGAAAAATAAATGATTACTGGGTCATCACTCATCACTCTTATTGATTTCCTAATTGTACATAGCCTGCTACTTGTAACACTTTTTTTTTTTAAAAAAAAAATATTCATTCTGTCCTGAAGTGATTGTTTAGTTTAGTATTTTTACTCCTAGTCAATTTAAACTTAAACTTAAAATTCAAACTGGACAATAATTTATAAAAAGGAGTATAGCGTTTCGTTCAATATTGTTGTGTAATCCATCATGGTAAGTTACTACTAATTCCTTATACTACGCAATCTATTGTGATTATGTATTCATAATTGTGTATATTTGGAATTTAATTAGTGTACTAATCTATTTGCTAACAGAATTGAAGAAGTGGAGAAAAGAAACCGTGCTGATGGATATTCCTAGTCAAAGACATCAGGGCAGCTTGCATTGATTTAGATCAGATCGAACTGTGCTACGCGCGCCATAATAGAATATGTTCAATTTTCACCCAAGAATGACACCAAGACGTGTTAAGATATGTATAAAATCATAATTTAGGATATAATATAATCATAATCAAGTTGGGACAACATATGGTTTTGCACTACGCATTGTCTGCTTGTAAAGTTCACATCTTTCGCTATCTTAATTTTGCTGCTGCACAATGCATGGCTCAATTTTCTTTTTTAAGCATTCTGTTTTAGCAGGAGATATCAAATTGCATGAATGAACAACCTTGATGTAGAAATCCAAAGGCCGATTTTTGGAGTTTGGGACTGAGGTCTGAAATTTCTCTGTTGCTTCTCCGCGTCTCACAAATCTCTGGCGCGGAAAGAAGCGCGCAAAGGAACTTGTTTCGGCTTTAGAAGAAGGAATTAATAAGGCCCGATATGGCGTACCTCGACTTTTTCATAGTATCATTGATTCCGGTCCTGAAAACATTACTGATCACTGCTGTTGGTTTGTTTCTTGCATTGGACAGAGTGAATATCTTGGATCTCTCTGCAAGGCGAAACTTGAATAATGTAAGTCGAATTTCGTGTTTTTTTTTTTTTTTTTTGCCTTAAACCCTCCTTAATAATCATGGCATTGATGTTAAATAATTCACTTTGCTGTAAATGCAGCTTGTGTTTTATGTCTTTAGTCCTGCATATGTTGGTAGTAGCTTGGCAGATACGATTACCATGAGCAGCCTAATTGAATTGTGAGTTTCATCTTCTTGTTTCTTTCTCCTACAATCCTCTTCATCTGATGAAACAATGACTAAATATACTCTCTTTTCACGACTTTTATAGATGGTTCATCCCTGTGAATGTTGTTCTCACCTTTGTTATTGGTTCCATACTTGGTTGGATGCTTTATAAAATCACCAGAGCTCCTCGACATCTACGCGGCCTACTTATCTGTTGTTGCGCAACAGGTATATATATAACCATTGTGGCTTGTTGGTTAAGAAAAATGCTTTTTTTTTTTTTTTCTAAAATGATTCTCATAACATCGTGTATGCGGATTTTTCTTTCTTGTTCCCTTTTTCTTTTGCAGGGAATATAGGAAGTTTACCTATGATCATCCTCCCAGCGATCTGTAACGAAACAAACAGTCCATTTGGAGACTCATCAACCTGTTCTACCAATGGACAGGCTTATGCATCACTCAGCACCGCGGTAAATTCTTCATTATCCTTTTCTCTGCATTAGTCCGATTGGAGAGTATAATGTCAATCAATGGAACTAAAATGTAGATAAGGTTTGTCCATAAAGTCTTAACTAAAAGGCACTTACTGATTACAACAGCTAGGGGCTTTCTTTATCTGGAGTTATTCGTATAACATAATCAGGGTAGATGCAATGAAATACGGCGAAAATTCGTCAGAACAAGGTTCTGATGTGTTGCCAAAAAGTAACTTACATGAAGCATTACTTACGAAGGATAATGCTGAAACTCAAGATTTGCTGCTTCTTACCAACAGCATGGAAGATGATAGCAAGGTAATACTCCTGTTTTTTCTTTAAGACTGATACGTCTTCGTTGTAATTTCTGCACTAAAGCCATCCTCATTTCCTTCCATCATCTGTTTAACAGACACCATTCCTAAAGAAACTACAGAAGCAGCTTGAAATTTGGGAATCAAAGTTGAACCTAAAAAAGATATTTTCTCCTTCAACTATCGCGACGGTAAACAACAATTAATGATTTTGTTTTTCCCCTTTCTTCTTCTTTTTAATGAGAATGGGTGCTTTGGTAAGTAGGTCATGTTGGAGTCTTTAACGAGTAGCTTTTTGTTTACAGATAGTTGCCCTAATCATCGGAACGGTTACTCCCTTGAGACACCTAATAGTGGGGGAAAATGCTCCTCTGCGTGTTATAGATAGCTCGGTATCTCTACTGGGGTAATGTACTGAATTATCATATTATAGACTAATATTTTTGTTTATGGATATCTTTTCAATTTTATCTGCATTACTGCAACAGAGATGCAGCAGTACCAGCCATGACGATGATTTTAGGAGCAAATCTCCGCGAGGGTAATGTTCATAGTCTTCAACCTTTAGTCCTTCCATGATTGCATTATGAAAATGGATGTATCAAGTAGTCCATTCCCTTAAAATGGTTTCTGGCTGAAGGTTTTCAAAAATCAGAAGTTGGACCATGGATCATAGCCGGCGTCCAGGCTGTTCGATTTATTGCAATGCCTCTTCTGGGTACAATTATTGTTAGAGGTGCACATTACATTGGATTGGTGGGATCCGATTCATTGTATCAATTTCTGCTACTGCTGCAACATTCAGTACCATGTGCGATGGCTTTAGGTAATGGTATTTTTCCGCAATCTTACTAAATCTATAGAGTGATCCAAAAGACTGTGAATTCAGCTTAAATGTACAGCAATAAACCAATCCGAAAGAGTGAGAATTAAAGAACAACATTAGTTGAGATATATTATTGGACACACAAATTGTAGGTAAACCATGATGAGGACATTTTGAAATCACTCATTCAAAACCATGCAAATTAAGACGACACATCAAAACCTGACTACTGAATCAGATTTTCCCATTGTCTATTATGCAGGCACTATGACGCAGCTGTTTGGAATGGGGGAAAGTGATTGCGCAGTGATTTTGTTGTGGAATTATGGAGTTGCTTCACTGGCTGTTACTCTTTGGTCTACTTACTACATGTCCATTGTAATTCCATAGATTCTCATTGCTACCTAATTAGAAAAAGTTCCAAAATTGAGAGAGGTAAAAAGAACACAATATCATCTTTTTTGCTTGGATATTGATCTCAATTTTAATGAAGTAGTATCTCAAAATATCAGAAGCAATATGATCCCAAAAACGTAATCCCAAATTATCAAAATATAACATTGTCAAATAATGCAGCAACGTCTAAGCTAAGATTTAAGATATAAGAACTCAAAAAATCTTTCTACTTGAGGTCTGGCAATGGGGAATTCTCTGGTTCCTCCTCCTCATCATCTTCTTTCTCTAGCTTTTCTTCCACCTTTGCTTCTTCAGTATGCTTAACGTCTCCCATCCATTCGTTGAAGAGTTTATCGTAGACTGGCATGTATGCATGAAAATTGCGCGTGGCTTGGCAAGCTGAATTTAGGAAGGATCTGGAATAAATCCCAAACTCCACATCCTCTGAACCTTCGGCAGAGAAGAGTTCCCTATAAACTGGCATATATTTCTGATATTCTTTCCACCTTTGGTAAGCGGGTTTCAGGGTTTCCGAATTCTCAAGATCTGCCTCCTTAAGGTTGCTGAAGAGGAGGTTGTAAATCGGCGTGAATTTCTCAAAAGCGAAATAGGCTCTGGAAGCAGCTTTTTGGTTTTCAGTAAATTCAGAGCCCGAACAGAAATCCTCTTCTTCAGTTTTATGGAATTCCTTCTCATCAGTAGAAACAGGGGAATCTTCGTCCTCTGCTTCTGGTTTCCCCTGAGTAGGAGAAGAGACAGGGGAATAATCTTCACCCCCTCCTTCTTCTTCTGATTTCTTTGATTTCTTCCCTTTAGTAGGATCAACAGGAAGGATCGTTTTTTTTCGAAACCCAATTTCTATCAACCTCATATGAAAAACCATCCTCCTTCTTAAACACAGAGGGATCCCCGTAGATATTTACCTTTCGGTCATCTTCATGTGTGAAAGCCATATGGATCTTTAACTTCTTCCCCTGATTCGGCTGCCGTTTCGACTACGGACCCTGCGCGTTTTAACACCCTTATATCAGGATTGGAGCTGCCGGATTTTGTTGGTGCGTTGTATGAATCATCGGAGTAGGGTTCTTCGTTCGCCATATATGGGGTAAAGGTAGAAAAAAAGGTTAGTGCGATAAATTTTATTTTTGTTAGGGTTTTGGGGATAAGCTGAGGTTTTTGCGATATTTATACGTCATCATGAAAACCACACCACGAGGGAGAGTTACTACTTAGGACTCCAATACACGAGGTAAAACAGTCAATATGGTGTACCGTGATAAGTCCATAATTAGAATGATTTTAATAGTTGTTTATGTTCAATTTTGAAAGTATTTTATGCTAATTATGGTGTCTTATATGTAGTTTGATCATTTGAAGACTTTGGATAGAAAATGAAAAAAATGATTGATTTTTTCCAAGATTTTGTCACAACAAACCATGGATGGTGAGCCGTGCACATTTAATAGCACGTGGTCGTGTGATAAAATAGAAGAGGATGACGATCGTAGACATCAAAGGAAGCAAATTAGCACGTGATTATGTGATTCTATTCAAGAGATTTTGTGTTTTTTATGACTCACGTGAAATACCGCATGGTCACGCCAGTTGAGAATAAAAGAAATCAGTTTTTGGCGAGAGAGATAGATGCACAACGAGTTTTTGACCGAGCCTGTCTTCAATTTTTATTCCAAGATTTTAGAAAAAAATAACATCTGATATTTTATTTGGTTGTTGAGGAGTTTAAATATTATTCTGATTTTTTTTTTTACCAAAATAAAAGAATACTTTTTACTAGGAAAAAATTTCTATAAATACCTCTGCAGAAGGTACGTAGTGAGACATCCACTTTTTAGTTTTAGATTTCCTTTTTCTTCTCTCCTTTGTTCTCCATTTCTTTACTCGAATTTATAAAATTTTTTGATTTGTTCTTCAAAATGTTTAGTGGCTAAATTTTCTTTTTCTAGTCAAGGAAATCATTGAAGTCTTGTATTCTTGCATATGTGAGATATTTTGCACTTTACTTTTATAGTTCAAGAAAAATATTTATTTTCTACCATTCATTTTGTGTTATAATTGTTAATCGTTGCATTAAAGAGCTGGTTAGCCTTTGATCTTTACAATATAATTAACATTTAATATAATTGTTAGCATCTGAATTGAAGTGCTGGTTAGCCTTCAATCTCTGCCAAACAATTTACAGCTAATCAAGTTAGACAAGGTTTTGTTAAGTTTGAGAGGACATTCAATATAATTTATTTACTTGGTTAAATACTTAAACTGTGGTTTGAAAATAAATAAACTACATGTATAAAACCCGGTTGGTGTTTAATGTTTTGTGTTAAATATTTCTTTTTCGGCAACCATTAGAATTGTTAGTCCTGCGAGATTTCGGAGATTTTTCTATTGGTTAAAAGTAATTTTTGAGGTTTCGATTATTGCCTCGACAAAGAAAGATTGGTGATATACAGGTTTGTATATTGCCATCTTCCGTTTATTTTTGAATGCTTATTTTTGTATCGATGATCATTGCAGGAAACAAGATGGATTAGATTTCTTTGACTAGAGCTTTCCTTAAACATTTCATTTATTTCAATCTATTTTTCTTATTTTATAAGTTAGAATCAAATCCAAAATCCCTCATTTTGTTACTTGTTTAAAAGAAACGAATCTGCCATTTCTTGTGGAGACGACCTTGCTTTCCTATACTATGTTTGTTTGGAAATAGATTAATATTGTTTGTTGATCTGACACCCTATCATACCGTCCCGAAATTATTGTCCAGTTTGAATTTTCATTTTTAGTTCAAATTGTACTAAAAGTAGAAATTCAAATTGGACTATAATTTTGAGACAGTATTACCAAATAAATAAATAAATCAATAAATAAATAATTGGTTTAGGATGGATGCGCAAAAGCGGTGGATCCAACCCTCTAATTACTCCCTCTCCCTGGTTAAGATCCATCTACTAATCAAATCACTTGTTAACTACAGTTTCTGACACAAACATCCAATCAAAATTTGATTCGTTTTTGGCGTATGAAATCACGTTACAACTTAAAAGGTCCGATATAAATTTGATTGAAGTCATTATTGGCAGGCAGGCAGTAAATCGAACCAAAAAAAAAAAAAGATTGTTTTTGGTACTCTCTCTCTCTCTGCTGTATTGTTTTATTCTAACAAAATAGACTATTAAAAGAGGTCTGAAGTAGTCTGATTAATGATTATACAGTCAAGAAGAACCATGGTGTCGGATCTTCTAGTCAATGACATCAGTCTAAAGCACATCAATCAAATTACACTACGTACATTGCGAATTTGGGATCGAATATGGTCATGTTCCTGATCTGTCCCAATAATTAAGTCAGGACAACACATACTGTAGTAGTTCAATATGAGTAGCCTACTTCTACTTGTAGAGTTAGCATTTTTAACGAGAAGGAAGCAATCTTGGCTTCTGCATCAAAAGCGATTTTGGTCCACTTAAGAAAATTTCTGGACTAGTGTAGTTATAGAGATCTGGAAATGCCAAATTTTGGATTTGGTACAGAAATCTTCTTCTTCTGATTACACTGGTTCCCTGCATTACTCATATCTTAATTTTGCGCAGAAAGCGCGAAGAAGGAAATTCTTTCGGCTTTGAAGAAGGAATAGCCAATATGGGATACCTTGAATTCTTCGTAGTGGCATTGATTCCTGTCCTGAAAACATTACTAATCACAGCTGTTGGGTTGTTTCTCGCATTGGAGAGGGTGAATCTCTTGGATCGTGCTGCAAGGCGCAACTTGAATAATGTAAGTCAAACTTTATGCATTTCACCCTGAGCCCTTGATTAAGGAAATAATTTCTGCTAGGAATTGTAATGCACTGATGATTACATTTTCTTATTCATTTTTTTATTATTATTATTTTTTTGGTTACAAACTGATGATTACATTTTGACTTGATGGATGTGCAGCTTGTGTTTTACGTATTCAGCCCTGCATTTGTTGGTAGTAGCTTGGCAGAGACGATTACTATGAGCAGCCTAATTGATTTGTAAGTTTTATCTTTCTTGTTTCTTTCTCTTAGATCTTCTTCATTTGTTACATGGCTACTTATTTCTTCTTTTCTTTTAATTTATATGTGCAGATGGTTCATGCCGGTGAATATTCTTCTTAACATGATGATTGGCTCAACACTTGGTTGGATACTTTACAAAATCACCAGAGCACCTCGTCACTTACGCGGCCTACTTATTTGTTGCTGCGCAACAGGTTGTTCTATGACAACACCACTTGCAGAGATTCATGGAATGTCTACTTTCTTTTGCTTCGAAGATTTAATAAAATTGGAGATCTCTTTTTGCAGGGAATTTAGGGGCATTACCTATGATCATCCTCCCTGCTGTCTGTAAGGAAGAAAATAGTCCTTTTGGAGACTCATCAACCTGTTCTACAAAAGCACAGGCTTATGCATCACTCAGTATTGCGGTAGATTCATCATTATCCTTTTCGCTGTATTAGTCCAATATCTACATATCATTGCCTATATATATTAGTCACATTGAGTTCTTGATCATCATAATGCTCTTTGTTTGTTTGCAATGTGTTAGTTCAAGCCATTGAACTAATGTAGATTTGGGTTGTCTTAGCTAAAAGTAGTTTACATGTTCTTAACTCTTAGTCTAACTGCAACAGATAGGAGCTTTCTTTATCTGGAGTTATTCGTATAACATAATACGGGTAGATACAATGCAATGTAGCACCACTTTCTCGGACCATGATTCTGATATGTTGACGAAAAGCAGCTTGCATGAAGCATTGCTAACTAAAGATGGCGTAGTGGCCTCTGATGACCAGGCTCATGAAGCTCAGGATTTGTTGCTTCTTACCAACTACATTGAAGGTAACAAGAAGGTATGGGTTTTTTCATCCTGATTGAGGATTCTCCATCGCAGTTTTACACTTACCGTATTTTGTCACAGGGCATTAACTAACATTAGGCCACCCTCATTTCCTCACATCTGTCCAGCAGGTACAAATTTTAAAGAAAATCAAGAAGCAGGTTGCCATTTTGGGCTCAACGTTGAACCTAAAAAAGATATTTGCGCCTTCAACTATTGCGACGGTAAATAACAATCATCTTTTTAAAATAGGAATTGAGTATTCTGATAGCATGTCATGTTTGAGTTCTCTAACTAACTACTTATGGATACAGTTAGTTGCGCTTGTGATTGGAGCAGTTACTCCCTTGCGACACCTAATAGTGGGGGAAAAGGCTCCTCTTCGTGTGATAGATAGCTCTGTATCTCTTCTAGGGTAACTTACATGAACAAAAGTAGTTAAGCTTCTCAATCATCACTAATGATCGATCTGGACTTTACAAATAATATTTTCAAATTTTGTTTATATTTCTGACCACAGATGTCTTTATATTGATATCTGTTTTACTGCAACAGAGATGCAGCAGTACCAGCCACAACTCTCATATTGGGTGCAAATCTCCGCGAAGGTAATTTCATAACTATTTGATCCTTACATTGAAGTTTGAAATGGATATTGAATATATACATTTCCCTTAATGTTAAAAGTTCCTAACTCTGGCTTTCGCTGTTAGGTCTTAAGGAATCAGGAGTCGGACTATGGATCATAGTAGGAATCCAGGTTGTTCGATTTATTGCAATGCCTCTCCTGGGTACAGTTATTGTTAGAGGTGCACAACATGTTGGATTGGTGGGATCGGATCCATTGTACCAATTTCTTCTGCTGCTGCAACATTCAGTACCATGTGCAATGGCTATAGGTACTAGTTTTTTTGTTTTCAGTACTTTTTACTAGGCAAAAGTGATCCCAAAGTATTGTGTGTGCGCGCGGGGAACTCATCATCCTTAAGCCTAGAATGTTAACTAGATTCACTAATTCATGAGGGTGAGGATTGAGCTCGAAAATTAAGTTGAGACACGTCATCAAACACGCAGGTTGGAGATCAAGCTATGCAATAAGAAGTTGAAAATTGGGTGTGGAATGAATTGGATGATGATTTGTGTTGAACTGCTAATGAAAAAAATCAGTCAACAGTCAGCATGCATGGATGCTTACTTGTCGACTTTACTCGTCGGGTATAACTATCGAGACGAATAAGTCGACGAACCATCATTTCTGATTTTGTTGACATATTGAGCAAGTCAGAGCTCAGAACCAACATCAAGATCTTGTCGCCTCTAAACGATAATGATTTAGAATGGAAGAGGTCGCCAACCAGATCAGTCGGGGGTTGCCTTTTCGTCAGCTATTCTGCTCTAAGTGGAGCTGGTCTGGTCATTTGTCGACTTTATGAGGTCGACGAACAGGTCGACGGATTTTAGAAAACAAGAAGCCTAATTGAATTTATTATTATTATTTTTTTTTTTTGTGGCTTCAACAAAAAATATTAAAACTCGCATCAGGATTCGGATTGATGTATCTTCAAAAACCACATCAACACTCAAACGTATGAAAAGAACTTGTGGTAGAATAGTGGTGTTCCAAGTTGAAATATGTTGCTAAGATAGTTAATCTCAATTTCCTAGGATAACCACTTCTAATGCACATTTTGCCTTGTTCGCAGGTACAATGACACAATTATTTGGGATAGGCGAAAGTGATTGCGCTGTAATTTTATTGTGGAACTATGGAGTTGCTTCACTGGCTGTAACCCTTTGGTCTACTTACTACATGTGGCTGGTTTCCTAGCTAGCCTCTCTTTTCTTTGTCAACTGCTCCGTATTTTTCCGTTTCACAAGCCACAAATTTAAGCTGAATTCAGTTTGAACGTATATATGCACCGAGGGATATTAGGTAAATATTCAGATTTTTTTAAAATTTTTTTTTGGGATGAAATTTCCATCATGAAGCTTCATTGAAGCAAGGAAACCAGGGGAAATTGGATGCGGCGGGTAGCAATAACTGGGGAGGTTACAACTGATAACTTGTCCGCCTCGCCTCACATACCAATGGAATTATAAACACTTTTGAATACTACTACTACTAATACTATCTTTTAATAATAATAATAATGATGATGATTAATGCCATTGTGGCATTGTTTATTTATTTCTCTTGTTTCGCTGGTTCGGAGCTGTCCACATATCAAGTAACACGAAGAACTTCCCATCTAGAAAGTTCAACCTAATTATTGAAGTATTTGCCAATCATATCTCGTTAAAAAGTTGGTAATTTGATCCAATCGAAGCCATAATTGAAGAAAATGATTTTGCAACTGGTCAAAGGATTAGAAGAAGAATCATCTTAGAAATGAGTGAACAAAAGAAATTGCCTTTTAAGAAGAAAAGATAAGAAGATGATCGAAGAGGCAAATATTCCAATTTTTAAAGACAGAAGCCATTTTTGTGCTTTAGTTAATGATGAAGAGAAAGCGGACAAAAGGCCAAGTTGCTAACACTTGCAATAATATTTTAGTATTTCGTACAGCAACGACATTAGGCCGCAGCCTGGTGTTGCAGATCAGATTAGATCAAACTAAGAACACATCACATCAAATAGAATATGCCCTTTGGTTCCCAAATGACATTGACAATTTAACTATTGTTGATCAGTTGTTTAAGAAACATAATCTTAAGTTGCGGAGTCGAGATAAAACATAACCTCTCCGTCCCAAAAGTATAATAAACAAAGCAGTCCTTTTTGGGACGCAAGAAAGGACACTTTTTTCCCACTTGCTAAAAAGACCCAATCTTTGCTGCTGCTGCTGCATAAGGCTTTGATTTAGTTGCACAGTTTAAGAATTTTAAATTTTGTAGCATGAACTGCATTTGTAGAGGCCTTTTTTGAAGGGAAATGATTGGACTTGGTCCTGATTAAATAAAAGGGGTTGTGTCTGCCAAGCAAATATCTCCTTAGATATTTTCAGTTTGTTTTGTTTGCTCTGACTCGGACAGAACAAACAAAAAGGAAGTTTTTTTTTTGCTTTCGGCTTTGGAAGGAACACAGAATAGCCAACATGGATTTCCTAGACTTTTTCATCGTTGCTTCGATTCCAATAGTGAAAACATTGCTGATTGCTGCTACTGGTTTGTTTCTTGCGTTGAGGAGAATCAACATCTTGGATCGAATTGCGAGGCACAACTTGAATAATGTAAGTCAATACCTTTTTTTTTTTTTTTTTTTTTTTTCTTCTTTTTTGAACCTTTGCTTATCATTCTAAAATTCATTCCTCATAGTTGGGAAAATGATGTTATTGATTTTGTTCAATTGGTGGACCTGCAGCTCGTGTTTTATGTCTTCCTTCCTGCATATGTTGGTAGCAGCTTGGCAGACTCGATTACTCTGCGCACCTTGGTCGAATTGTATGTTCATCTTCATTTTTTCCGCGCGAAAATCTTCTTCATTTTCCCAATATTGGTGCATTGGAACAATGGCTGATTTCTTATCTCTCTTTTTGATGTGAGTAGATGGTTCATGCCAGTGAACATTATTCTCACGTTCATTATTGGTACGACTCTTGGTTGGATACTAACTAAAGTCACCGGAACCCCTCCACATTTACGCGGTCTAGTCATTTGTTGCTGTTCCACAGGTTATGATCACACAAAGTATTCTTAAGATTAGGCGCTCTTATGTTAGAATCAGAGAAACTTTGAGCAATGCTAATACTTTTTTTTTTCCAACTTTATCTGTGCAGCAAATTTGGGGACTTTGCCTATGATCATCATCCCAGCTGTCTGTAAGGAAACAAATAGTCCGTTTGGAGACCCTGAAACCTGTTCTACTAAAGGACAGGCTTATGCATCTCTAACCACTGCAGTAAGTTTTAAGTTTGACATTGATCATTTTCGCCGTTGAACTGTTTTACTGAGGGGCTATCTGAACTATAGACATTCAAGATGTTCTTAGCTTTTTGTCACTGAATTCAACAGATAGGAGCTTTCTTTATCTGGACTTATTCCTATAACATCATGCGGACAGAAGCAATGCGATTTCCGGGTCAAAATTCACTGACATTGCCGGAAAGCAGCTTGCAAGAAGGATTGCTTTCCAAGGATAGTGTGGTGCCCAATAACAAGATTCAAGAACCGCAAGATGGACCTCTTCTTCCCTATAGCACTGAGGATAAGAACAAGGTATACCCTTCATCGCGCTTTTTACAACATATCGCTGCTAATTTTGTTCCTGCTCTGACTGGCAAATCAACAAACATGGTGCTGGAACAATAAGTTGGTGATTATTTTCCTACAGGTTCCATTTCTAAAGAAAATCAAGCAGCAAATGAAATCTTGGGCGGTTAAGTACAACCTCAAAAAACTCTTTGCACCTACAACCATTGCCACGGTAAACAATAATGACCATTTATGAATGCAGAATGTGTATAATATGTCATGTTTGAACTCTTATTAAACTAGTTATTTCTATAACTACAGGTAGTCGGGCTCACCATCGGAGCAATATCGCCTTTGCGAAAGCTAATAGTTGGTGACAGCGCTCCTCTTCGAGTGATAGATAGCACTGTTGACCTGCTGGGGTAATGCACTAAATATCTAAACTCCTTTCTTATTTAAAGGGGCCTGATTACTTGAAATTTACTTGAATTCCTTAACTTGTTCAAACATTTTGAGGATTTATGCTTATTTCCATTTGTATCACTGATACAGACAGGCGACTGTACCAGCAATGACTCTGGTTTTAGGAGCAAACCTGATTGAGGGTAAGAAATCTCAAACAAAATTCAATCAATTTTATTGCATTGTGAAATGGAACTGAAGTGTTCAACTCTTACTTTGGCTGTAGGTCTTAAGAAATCGGGAGTTGGACTACGGATCATCACCGGCGTCCAAGTTGTTCGATTTGTTGCAATGCCTCTGCTGGGAATTGCTGTTGTTAAAGGTTCACATTATATTGGAATTGTGGGATCAGACCCATTGTATCAATTTCTTCTGCTGCTGCATCATTCACTACCATCCGCAATTGCCATAGGTACTATTTACCCTGAAAAGTTACACTCTTTAGCTTGTCAGTCACTTCCAGTTCTGTAGAATCATTATGAAGACCCTTGTCAATTTTTGCAGGTACAATGACTCAGTTGTTTGGAATGGGAGAAAGTGATTGCTCTGTAATTTTGTTGTGGAATTATGGAGTTGCTTTACTGGCTGTTACTCTTTGGTGTACTTACTACATGTGGCTAGTGTCCTAGCACTACCTTCAAAACCCCCCCCCCCTCATATATGATTCAATTATTTGTACTACTATTTTTCTGTGTAATATTGAAAGTTCATAAATTTTGTAAACCTGTTATAGGATTCATGATAAGAAGCATCCAGTCATTGCTCATTAAATTAAGATACTTTTCCTTATCATATCAACTCATCAGGGCACAGGTCAACTAAATTTCTGCTGATGATTGGATACTTGGTTGCTTTCAATCAGCTACTGTTATGATAAGAGAGGAAAATCTCTTAATTATTATTGGTCCTGTGAGATCTTTTCAAAAAAGAGCTCCTTTTTTCTATTTAGGAATAAGGACCACAACAAGAAGAAGACAAACTCGCTTTGTCAAGTTTTTCAAGATTGTTCTTTTATGTTTGTTTTGGGGTCTGTGATAAGTAACCTTATTACATCCTGAAGTAACCATGATCTGAGTCCTTCGGGTAATCAAAAAGACGTTGATACACTTGGACCTTGGCCACTAATGTATTTAGCCTCTTTTAGCAAAACTTTCCTAATGTAATATTTACAAACTACGGGTAATTCGGTGTTATGCTAACAAAATATGCTAATAATCTAGAATTTACTGTGGGGATAAAGTTAAATTGGTCCAAGTTATCAAGGATATTACAGGTTAAATGAAGGCCAATAGCTCTGCTAGTGATGATTTTTCCAGAATAAAGAAAGCAGCAGGTATTATCATATTGAAAAAGCATGAATAGGACAATAAGAGTTTCAACGGGACCAAGTTGTGGAGAATGGAATCACTGGAAATGATGCCAACCATTCATTAATCTTTAAACCACTTTAGGCCTTTTTTTGGTTTCTCCAGGGATTCGAAATTCTTCAACAAATTTCTTTCAATGGAGCTCCTGGATTTGTTCATGGTTGCTTCTATTCCGGTGTTGAAGATTCTAATAATATGTGGAGTTGGTTCACTTCTTGCCTCAGATCGTATCGGCATTTTGGGGGATAGTACAAGAAAGCAGCTAAACACTGTAAGCAAACAATTACTGATAAGTTGTTTTTTTTGGGTAGATTTTGAAATTCTTAGGTTGAAGAGTTGAGAGCAAAAATGATTCAAAGCTGATGGCAGTGGATAAACTTTGTGAAAACCAGGTTGTGTTTTTTGTGTTTACTCCCTCACTTCTTGCGAGCAGCCTGGCTGAAACAGTCACCTGGGAGAAATTCATGTTGTTGTGAGTACAATATTTCAGCAATTGTAATCTGTTTCTGATCATAGGGGGAAAATCTTATTCTTCAATTTAGGTCTTTCTTCCTGTTTCCTTTGAACTTGATTTTGATTTAATTAAGATGGAATTTGGTTAGGTGGTTTATGCCTGTCAACATCCTTTTGACATTCATTCTTGGCTCAATAATGGGATGGATACTTGTAAAAATCACCAAAGCTGCTCAACATCTTAAAGGGCTTGTAATCACTTCTTGTGCAGCTGGTAAGCCTCAATAGTTTTGATAATGCAAGAAAACAAGTTTTAATGTCTTATTTTGATACATCACACTAGCCTCTCTTAGTTCTGTAAAGTCCATTTTCTTAATAAGTTAGGGAACCAGGGGAATTTGCCAATGATTCTTATCCCAGCAATATGTCATGAAAAGGGAAGTCCATTTGGAGCAGCAAATAGTTGCAACAAGTATGGGATTGCTTATGCATCGCTGTCTATGGCAGTAAGTATGCGCAGCCCGGATTTATTGTGACTATTTTCTTTGAACAGCATCATCATGTGATATATCGATATGTCGTCTCAGATTGGAGCCATTTACCTGTGGACTTATGGGTACAACATTGTTAGGGTATTGTCAACGAAGAGCAAAAATGGAAATCTTGATTCAGAAACCACATCTGTTACCGACAATTCAGATGAAAGCTCGTTGCCGTTTCTAAAAACTAACAATATAGGGGAGGTCAGTCACTCATTATAGACTAAGGCGAATTTCTTCTCCTGAAATAGTCCCAATAGATTCTGTGTTATATGCATTGTATAAGCTTATGATAATATTGAGGAGGAGGATCTTCTAAATTTATGCATTAGGGTAACTCCTTTGCTTTCAAGTTGCTGATCTTCTATATTTCATTCCAGGGATCAATGTGGAACAGAATAAAGAACCATTTGGCAGCAATTTCCAGAAATGTTAATCTCAAGAACATATTAGCACCTCCAACTACTGGCGCGGCAAGTGTTTGATTTTTCTTGGTGTAGTACAGGAATACATTGCAAGATTGCATAGTGTATACATTAATTAGCAGCAATCAAAGTCTGAATTGGCCATCATGTATTCAGCGTTTGCTACATTGGTGTGACAGATCATTGGGTTCATCATTGGATCCGTCGTCCCATTGCGAAAGTTACTTGTTGGTGTCAATGCACCACTTCATGTAATCCAGGATTCGGCTTCACAGTTGGGGTAAATTCCAATTTCCATTGCTGCATTTCTATAGAGTTTCATTTGTTTACCTCATCTACATTGTTATAGATCTCTCGAAATACTTATGTCCGATTACTAAATCATTTTTACAACCTCATTGCAGGGATGCAGCAATTCCCATAGTCACATTGTTAGTTGGTGGAAACATAATCAACGGTAGGAAATAAAAGAGGATAATTTCATCCTTATTCTGTACTAATGCAGGGCACCGACTAAAGAATGGCATTCAATTAGCTTACAGGTTTGAGAGGATCAGGAGTCAAGATTTCTATCATTTCGGGGATCATCGTCATTCGATTCATTTTGCTGCCATTGATGGGAATTTTTGTTATTAAACTAGCATCACATCTGGGCTTTGTCCATGAAGATCCATTGTATCAGTTTGTCCTTCTGCTACATTATTCAACTCCCCCTGCCATGAACATTGGTAAGACATACGATCATTTATCTTATACCACAACAAAAGTTTGGTAATTTGATCAAGTTTCAAGCACACACTAAGCACATTATTAAAGTACTTTAACAGCTGATTCGACAAACCGAATTATATTTGTGTTTAATCATTTGGCAGGTACGGTGATCCAAGTTTTCGGAGCAGGGCAATCTGAATGTTCTGTGATTTTACTATGGACATATTGCGTAGCTTCTGTTTCAACAACTTTTTGGTCAACTTATTTCATGTGGTTGATATCTTGATTTTGGTGGTAGGAAGCAATATACTGTATGGTTGCATAGTAAAATTTCATAAATAAAATTTAAAGTTTATCACTGATTAAGTGTTCAAATTTTTTATGGATATGCTAAACACGAATTTGATATGATTTAGAGCGAGAAAGAGGTTTAAATCATGACAAGGTAAAAGAACACCCCTTCTGACTTCTGTATATATACAATATTAACCTGAAGTTCTTTATCCAGTAGATTGAATTTTTGACGGTCATTAGTGTTTCAAACTAGAGTGTCAATATATGAGTAAATTACTATTATGTGATCGAAATGATGATTTTACAGTCATTGGTGTTTCAAACTAGAGTGCGAGTGTCAATATATGAGTAAATTACTATTATGCGATCGAAATAATGATATTCATATAAGATTTAGGTACGATAAAATTAAATATTAGGTAAAATCCACGAACAAGTCTACGTACATATCATCTATTAACATGTAATTTTGTTCTACCTTTAACTAAATTTCATTAATAAAGTTAAAATTTTTCACTGATTAAGTATTCAATTTTGTATTGGACATGCTAATTATGAATTTGATATAATTTAGAGCAAAAGAAATGTTTAAATTATGACCTGGTGCATGGACACCCCTTCACAGGCTATATGAACATGATGTTCTTCAACCAGTAGATTGATAAAATTCATATTTCGAAGTGACTAAAATTTGATTAAAAAAAAAATTAATTCCGAAAGTACCTCTAAAAGAAACTAATTAGTGTCCGTTTGGTAATTGATGGGTTTTACTATGGCTTGGGTATGATAACAGGAAGGGTTACTATGGATATACCCATTCCAAAATAGTTGTTTTGTTTGGTTTATAAAGGTTTAGGTATAATTTTATTTTTTTATATTTATTTTATTAATAATACACCAATTTAATAAAAAAAAATTAAAAATTAATTATTAATTATATTAATTAATTATTTTGAATAATCTCATTCATAATATTAAAAAAATAATTAGTTTGATTGAGTCCGAATAGCTATTATTTTAATATAAAATCTAATACAATAAAAGAATTCTGTGATTCAATCTCAATTGAATCATAAAATTAATAAATTAACGTCATTCAATGATTGTAATAATTTAAATACGACTAGAAAAATAAAACTTGAATTATTTTTTTTTTAAAATAATATAAGATGCCCAGATTCAGACTCAAAAACCATAAATAGAGAATATATATAATATCACTGTGCTACTTTCTTCTTCCATAAAACTAGAATTTTATAATGAAGAATTTTTTTTTTATAAAAAAACTTGAATTATATAATGAATAAAGAATGTTTTAAAAAATACTTGACTTTTATAAATTAAGAAAAATTATTTTTATAATATAATGTAATAAAAGATTTTTATACAACATAAAATTGTCATGAAAAAAATAATGAGTTGAAGAGAAAAAAAATTACATAATCGGGAATCAGATAGAGGATTCCTAATAAATAATAAGGAATCATTCCGTTCCCGCCAATTTGAAACCCGTCAACCAAACACTAATAAAAGTCATTCCGTTCCTCCATTCCAATACCCATCAACCAAACACCCCCTAAATAAAAAGTAGCTCAATAAATACTCTGCGTTGGAATTAGGTCAATTCTAACTGCGCCTCCAGGCGAAGGATTCCTTAATCCAAAAAGATCACCATTCATCACCGTGTCAGAATGGCGAGGAAAAAGCCACAAAAGTGTTGCAATGACGATATCAATACTCCCGTTGATCGAATAAGCTATTTTGCCCGATTCGATTCTGGGCTACATCCTGTGCTTTCTCCCAACCAAATTGGTTGCGACAACAAGCATTCTATCTCAGAGGTGGAAGTTCCTATGGACTAAAGTAACCGCCCTTGATTTTGAGTATTCAAATGGCAATGAGACAAAGGAGAAGACTAAGTTTGTGCATTTCATCAACCATGTTTTACTTCACCTGGATACTGGACACCTGGAGAAGTTTCGCCTGCAATGGTCAGATCTAGAGATGGAACAATGCCACGCAGCTTATGTTCACACTTGGGTAAGCCATGCGATTGCCATAACTGTTCGATTTCTTGATATCGATGTTTATATCGAAAATAGTAGTCCGGGTCAAGTTCCTGCTTCTCTTTTCACTTGTAGGACACTAGAATCTCTCAAACTAGAGGGCTGTATTTTGCTCAGGGTACCTCCCATTGTTTGTCTCCCAAAACTAGAAAAATTGTGTTTGTATGAGGTAATTTATGAATCAGACCTGTCTATCCGTAATCTTATATCTGGTTGTCCAGTTCTTCACTCTCTCAAAATAGTGAGGCTGTCCCCGTATTATAAGATGCTCGTTTGTAAGATTTCTTCACCTTCACTGAGGTCTCTTACAATACATGATTGTGATGGACCGGGTGGGATCGTTGAGGGACGAATGCTGGAATTAAATACCCACGCCCTCGAATTCCTCGACATCTGGGATAACTGATGGAAGGAATTTTCTGTGGAGGGCCTAACTTCTTCGGTGAAGGAAGCGAAACTATATCTGGATTTGATGCTGGTGGATTGTCTACTGGACGATGCGATTCGATTGTGAAGGTCATTCGAGCTTTGGAAAATGTTAGATTCTTGAGATTAGATGGCATTTCGATGCAGGCTCTCTATGGTGGCACCAGCCCTTTGTTTGTCAAGTTCTCCAAATTAACCAAGTTGGATATTGAATGCCATTGTTGCCAATGGCGATCTCTGCCTGTGATGCTCGGGTGCTCGGCCGTGTTGGAAGTCCTTAAGATTAGAAAGGTGAAATGCGTCAGTGACGGATCAATTCAATGTGATTGTTGGGATGAACCCAAGGAAGTTCCCGAATGCTTGTCAAACAGTCTCGCTACAATGTCATTTACTGGGTTTGAAGGCATCGATTCTGAGATGAAAATGGTAAAGTATATCTCAAAACACGGCGCAGTGATGAGAACAATCGAACTAGAGTCGGCTCCTGATCGTGTGGCCTCGAATACTAAGTTTCAAACTCTTTGGAGGATATCCATGTTCCCCAGATTTTCTCCAACCTGCAAAATCCAATTTGATGGAGTAGACGTCTCTAAGGCCTTGTGAAATGTTTCACAAGAAGCTGCTAGTAATCAAATTTGATGGAGTAGATGTCTCTAAGGCCTTATGAAATGTTTCACAAGAAGCTGCTAGTAATCCATTTGATGGAGTAGACGTCTCTTAAGGAATTATGAAATGTTTCACAAGATTCTGCTGGTAATTTTCTGGTTTAAAGCTTTACAAATTTGCTTGTAGACCCTTTCATGTCCGCAGTTCTTATTATCTTAAAGCATGCATCTTTTGTTGCAAAATATACATTTGAAGTGTCTAATGGATTCGTAAACGTGATCTAAACATCAGTGCGATGTAGTTATTATATTAGCAAACCTCATAGCTTTGACAGGTTTCAAGCACACAGACAATACGTTTAAAGTGTGATTTTTGACAAACTGAACATATATGGTCTGAATCATTTGGGGGTACAGTTCTCCAAGCAGAGCAGTCTGAAAATTTTATAATCTTTGTAGAATGGAAATATTATAGAAACCAGTTTATTTAACTTTGTTATCGACCTATTTTAGGCTGTGGATACCTTAATTTCTGTGGTGGAAGCAATATTAATGTAAATTACAATTACACAAGTTAGTAGCAATAATATGAAGTATGGACTGTACAAATTACGTGTTCTAAAGAAGTCTCAAGTGCGAAAATCGATCCTATTAAATCGCTTGAAAATTGTTTGCTGTAATGTAACAAAATCGCTACTGGTCACACTGTGGGTCATGGGTAGAAAGATTTGAAATGTTCACATTGGTGTTCCAGTATGTATACATATTTGACTTTGTATAGATCAATTGTTATAGATAGTTTGTCCTTAAATGAGGTTATCAGAATCTGATTAATCATAATCCTATCTTCTTATTCTTCTCTCTCTTTTCGGAATCCAAAAACAGAAGTAATTGAGATAACATTGACTCCTAAGCTGCGACTAATTCTGTTACTCTACTACCAATATATATATATATATATATATACTCTGTCAGAAGGGCCAAAAAAAAAGGAAGACTTTCGAAGCCAATAAGGAAAAGGTGAAACCTAATACCCAAAGAGTCGCCCTCGGATCGTGCTCATACAGGGAAACATCCAAGGATGTGAATATGGCCGTTGATAGGATCAGCGATTAACCCGATCCATTGATTTGCTATATTCTTTCCTTCCTCCCAACAAACTTTGTTGTGGGAACTAGCGTTTTAGCGAGGAGGTGGAAGTTCGTTTGGACTAAAGTAAACGCCCTTGATTTTCATCATCCAAGCAAAGATTTTGATAATCCATGCTGCGACAGAGAAAAGGAGGACAAGAAATTTGTGAAATTCGTGAATTTCGTCAATCATGTTCTGCTTCGCCTTGACGGCGGAGGACTGAAATGGCTGGAAGGATGCCAATCAGTTATGTCCATTCATGGGTAAGCTATGCAATTGTTGGGAATGTACGTTTTCTTTATCTTCATGTTGATGATGATATTAGTGATAAGAAAGCTGATGATTCGGTTCGTGTTTCGTGATGCCGTTTTCACCTGTGGGACACTAGAATCTCTCACATTAGATGGACATAATATTTTGGTGAAGTCCCTTCACTGGTTTGTCTTCCAATATTGGAAACTTGATTTTATATTCAGTGAAATATGAATAAGATGAGTCTGTTCATAAACTTATATCTGGTTGTCCTGTTCTCCATTCTCTCGTGGTGGAAAGACATCTCAGCGATAAGGTGATAGTTTCTAGAATTTCTTCCCCTTCGCTGAAACGTCTTGTTATGATGCGAGAAGGGATAGACATGGAAAATGGGAGATAGATACCCCTGCCCTTGAATTCTTTGACAAATGGGATGGATTTTGGGTGAAGAGCCTAACTTCACTGAATGAAGTGAAACTTTATTGATCCTGATATAAATAGATCTACTCAATCATTCAATTCGACTGTGAAGCTGGTTCAAGCTCTGGACCATGCCAACTTTTTGAAGTTACAAGGAATGATGATGCAAGTTCTCTGCCATATTTCCTCCGCCCTGTTGTTGTCATTGAGCTTTTCCGAAATCACCAAATTGGATATCGAATGTCCTGGTTGTCAATGGAGATCTCTTTTTGGGATGCTTGAGAGCTCAAACAAATTGGAAGACCTAAAAATCAGAAAGGTTGATTGTATCACTTGCAGAGTTCACGATGATGGACGATGGAGGAGAACGAGTTCCAAGTGCTTGTCATCCAGTCTGGCAAGAATTTCCGTCACGGGGTTGAAAGGCCTCAAAGATGAGATGTCAATGATGAAGTATATTCTAAAGCACCAGTGCAATGATGAGAACAATTAAACTACATTCGGCTCCTGATTTTGGCTTGAAAATAAGTTTCAAATGCTTCGGAAGATATCCAGGTTCCCCATATGTTCTCGTACCTGTCAAATCCAGTTTGATGGAGCCGATGTCTGAAAGATGTTACAAATGCTGCATCTTATTATTCTCGGGGTGTAAATCTTTAGATATTTGCTTTTGCAGACGTTTTCATGAGAGCAGCCGGTTTATTTTAAGCGTGCTTGGGGTACGCAAAGTTGAAATGTGCCTAGCGGAGTCACAAAATATGGGTCGTGTAGTTTTACTTTAGTTTACATTTTGCCTCCTCGCTCGTAGGGTACTTAGATTTTATATTTTACAGACCTTGTAAGTTGCGACTGTTGGGGATTTTGATCCCTTCTAGACATAAATTGCTGAAAGTTTACTTACACAACAACACACGTAGTGGAATTAAAATAAACAATCAAGCAAACACAACAAGAAGCACAACACAAAATTACATGATTCGATCTCTCATAGATCTACGTCCACGGGAATGGGAACACTTTTACTAGTATAAGAATAGAAGAGTTTACAAAGATGAAGTCTCTCTTAACACTATATTTCTCTCCTTTAATTCTACCCTTATACTCTCACAAAATATTTCCCATTACTCACTATATGTGCTCTGGAGAAAAATATGCACATCACTACAAAGAAGTAGAAACTAGGAGAGGATCTCCAATCACTCAATCCTAACTCTACTCCTCTCACTCAAGAGTTCTTTCTCAATTAAGTGACTACATCTTGCCTCTCTTCTCCCCAAATTATTTTAGTACAAACATTTCCTATTTATACTAAAACTAACACAAAACCCTACTAACTTATTGGACTCAAATAGACCCAATACGCACCATGGGCTTGGGAATTTGAGGAGAAACCCAACAAATCCTCCCTCGACTCAAAATCCCAAGTACAACAACAACATCTTCAAGACCAAGGCTTGCATCTCTATCTTCAACTTGAACTCTTCCACTGAATGTCAAGGAAATCGCAAACCTGCATCTCGAAAAATAGGACAACCTCTCCATGTGTGGGAATGTCAACAAAACACACAACCTATTTTTCACTTCCATCAACAACACCACAACACGCACCCACTAGCATTGAGTCATTCTCTACTTGGACATTCCACCTCCTATCATCTCTTCCAAACTCGTCAAGTCTTCATCATGATAGAGAACCACACTGGATGTGACCTCTTCAAACAATATTCTTCACATAATATTGCACCCACTCGGCCGAGCTTCTCACAAGTCACAATCCTTGCAAATGACTCACCACACACAACTAGTACGTCACCCTCCAAGATCATCTCAAAGTTAAACCAAAGGACTCAATCATCTTGTACCGCTGCTCTTGACTAGTAGGACACGTTGCCTGACCACACACAACTAGTTTTGCGTTTTCGCGCATTAATTTTTTCCAGCCAGAATTTAAATTGGAGAGTTGTGCTCATTCATTTCAGTCAAAACAAAACTGAAACGGTGCATTTGAATTATAGTCTTGAATGAGCAAAATGAATAGGCAGATTTAATTCTATTAAAAGGTGTAAATGAATTCATTTGACTGTTGAGATGGTCAAAAACGTTTTGGAGGTTTATGTGCCTTGAATTCTTTGCATTTAACATAATTAAAATGATAAAATCGTTGCAAGGTTTGCTGCCATTTGAAAGGTCTCCCCAGCCTATAAATAGACACTTATTTTTCAAAATTTAACATACCAATCCTTCCTCCTCTTTCAGTATTCTTTCGAGCCTTTCTTTCTTCCTCTTTTTCCGGTGTTCATTATTGTGTACTAAGTTTCGTTTGCTGGTAGAGTTTCTTTGTGCTAAGTAGTCTCTACGTTTCCGGTGTATCTTGGGAAACAGTTGATCGAGATCCTCGAGCACTATAGGAGGGGACAAATATGTTTTAACGACATTGTGTTTTTACGAGGCTCGGATTTGTTCTTATTCCATTTTTCCTTAGCTTTTGCGAATTCTACCCATATTTCGACCAATACGAAATCCCTACTTTCAAATTAAGGTGAGTTCATCGTTCTCATGCTCGCCACTGTAAAGATCAAGGGTTTTTACTCTGGCCCAAACAAATTTCCGCTTCCGGGATAAAACGCTTGTCCTAACAACATTCTTCATTGAGAGAAACGAAAGGATACGGAAAAGGATGGAATCTAGCAAATTGCTGATTCTGTCACGGATATCATATCTTTCGAGCATTTCCGAACCTTCGCCATTGAAGAATCCTACTCTGATCCTGCATTCCTAACGTGATTAATTTGCATTAGGGTTGGAGCCCCCGAAACTTCTCAAGATGGTGAATGCAGTTTACTGATGAAAAATATTCGCTGTCTTACTTTAATAGTGATATGAAACTTTATCCTGATAAAACTACATGCAATCTAGCACCTTTAGGAATGTCTCCAAGGCACAGAAGATAACTTTTAGCGATTTGGCTCCATGGCTCGAAATTGCTTGACAGTCAAATTCCTGTGTCAGAGATCACACCATGTTCTCCAAGGAGCCACACGATCATATTTACAGATATCACTGAAAGAATCGTTATCGCGCAATAGATAAACCAATGATAAATAAATCAAGATGTACATATTAAGATCCTAAGTTTTCGAAAGCAGATTTTAACAGAAGAGTTAAGTTCACGACCAACGTTGGAGTTCACATCATATCCGAGAACCTATAAAGCCACTAGCTAAATACAACTACAATCAAAGAACTGAAATCGGGAGTTTGAAATGCTACTTGGAAGCTAGTTATATCCTTTTATTTAGCATCTTTCAGATAACAACTAGCGAAAAAACAAACTTACATAACTCTTAATCAAACTGGATCGCACGGGGACTTGAAGCTATATGCATTTATTATTATTCGGAAGATCACATGCAGCATCTCCAGCATCTTTCAAAAGTGCATTGAGGAACAGCCAAGCTCATATGAATCAAAACGGATTTGACAAACTCTGGGGAACATGGAGATTGCATCAAGTAATTGAAACCTATTCTTCATGCCACAACAATAAGGATTGGAATGTAAGTTAACTGTTTTCATCACCACGCCTTGCTTTACCATGTACTTCAACATTTTCATCTCATCTTTGAGGCCTTTGAATCCGAAAAATGAAATCCTTGCAAGACTTTTTGACAAGCATTCAGGAATGCGCTGTGGGTCCTTCGAACATTTCTTGTGAGTGTTGTTAACACAATTAACCTTTCTAATTTTAAGGGCCACTAACGTGTTCAAGTAATGAAGCATATTACTCAAAGAGCTCCAGTCACAACAATGACATTCGAGATCCAATTTCGTCAATCTTGCAAACCGAGCAACAAGGGGGTAGTGGCCTTGCTGAGAGCTTTCATGATTGTTCCCTCTAATTTCAGATATTTCACATGGTGCAGAGCCTCAATTACCTTTACAATCGAGTTGCATCTTTCACTAACCACTTCGCCAAGCAAGTCACCAAAGGAAAGATCCAGGTTCAGTTTCACATCATTGACATGCATTAGGCCGTTCACAGAGAATTCTTTCCATTCACAATCCCACAATTGGAGCACTTGAAGAGTTGGGGTGTCAATTTCCAACTTTTTCCCATCCATCTCAATGGAGTCCTTTCCATTATAATTATGAAATCTAAGCTGTCTGAGTGAAGGGGAACTAATTTTATAAACCAGAACATTATCATTGACGTCCCTTTCGACTTTGAGACTCTCAAGCACAGGACAACTAGATATAAGCCTATGAACCGAATCATCAGATTCATATTTCACCAAACACAAATACAACTTGTTTAGATTGGGAAGACAAACTGTTGAAGGGACACCATAATAGGCCCTCTCAATGTGAGGTTTTCCAATGTCACACAAGTGAAAAGGGCAGCAGGAACATGAGCCACACTGTAATCGTTTCCATCAGCACCAATAATTCGTAAATTCAGTTTCAGAACTCGAACATTTCTAGCAATGGCATAGCTTACCCACATATTAACATAAACAGCTTCGCATCCTTCCAACCATTTGAGCCGAAACTTGTCCAAGCTGCCAGCATCAACGTGAAGCAGAACCCGATTGACGAACTGGGCAAAATTCATCTTGACCGTTTCTGGTTTGGGTTTGCAACAAACAAAATCAAGGGTCGTTACCTTACTCCATAGAATCTTCCATCTTTGGGAGAAAATGCTAGTTGCCACCACAGTTTTTGTTTCCAGAAAGGAAAATATATGGCAAAGTATTGAATCCGGTAAATTGCTGATCCTATCCACCGGAATCACATCTTCAGAGGGCGTTTCCAGCTTTTCGATTGGGGTCTCCATAGCTTGTGAATCGTTGCCGGAATTCTTCTCGATTTGAGAGTGTTCTAAATTTCGCCGCTGGCAGCCCCGGGTGGTGTTTGATGTTTTGCAGCAATTAACGTTAGCGTAGCACAGTCGCAAATGACCTAATTCCAAGTGAAACTCAATTTAAGCCCAGTCCGCCTTTTATTTTATTTCCGTTACATTGTTTTTGTGGCCATGTATAGATATATATTACTTTCTCCTTCCCCATAACAAATATAGTACAATTTCACTAAAAAATGTTTGATAAAAATGAGTTATTATACTATGCACATTAAGTGTATCTAGCTAGGTGCACTTAGATTTTTTTATTATTATTCAATAATGGAGGTACTTCATGTACAATTATTTGAGTCTCTATCCCGTATACGGGGGCACCATATTCCCCCTCTTATTTTTTACATTACTAGTCCTTATTACACTTTTTTTTACTTTTCTAAATAACATTCTATAATTTACAGGTTTAGTCCCTTTGATTTTTTTTCTTTCTTTTAAAAACCATCTCTAATCTTTAAACGACCATATCTCTCACTCCGTGAAGAATTAGAAAACGTATTACACATGAATTTTATTGTATTCGTCGAGATCTATCCAACAAGATCCATGTCGAATATTTTTTTTTGAGTTTAAAAATGATTAAATTTCGATGGACAGAATAAGATGAATATCTAGTTTAGAAAGATGGATAACCCAATTCATTTTAAATTGGTTATCAATTGTGTTTATGCTGATTATCTAACCAGTTTGAACTGGTTATCCAACTTGTTTGTACTGGATATCCATCCATTTGGTTTGTATGCCTATCAAGCTTGTTTGTAATGGATATCTCACTTGTTTGTACTTGATATCCATTTCGTTTGTACTGGATATCCAACTCGCTTGTACTGAATATCCATCCATTTGGTTTATATGTTTATCCAACTTGTTTTGTGGTTGTAATCCAACAGGTTTGTATGCATATCCAACTTGTTTGTGCTGGATATCCAACTCGCTTGTACTGGATATCCATCCATTTGGTTTGTATGCCTATCTAACTTGTTTGTACTGGATATCCATCCATTTGGTTTATATGTCTATCTAACTTGTTTGTACGCACTGGATATTTATCTAACTTGTCTGTGGTGGATATCCATCCATTTGGTTTGTATGTCTATCCAATTTGTTTGTAATGGATATCCCACTTGTTTGTGCTGGATATCCATTTGGTTTGTACTGGATATCCAACTCGTTTGTACTGGATATCCATCCATTTGGTTTTTATTATTATTATTATTTTTTTTTTTAAAAAAAGAAATGGTTGTCCAACGCATTCGTACTGATTATCCAACTGTTCTGTATAGATTATCCGACCATTTTTTTCTCTACTCTTTGCGAAAATTCTTGTCCAGTTTTTTTGTACTGACTATTCAACCGTTTTGTATGCCTTATACAATCGTTTTTCACTGATTATCCATACATAATTTCTCTTCTTTTTTTTTTCTTCTTTTGAGAAAAAAATCTGTCCAATGTGTTCATACTGATTATCTATCCGACTTCTCGGTGATGGATGGTTATCCGACCTTTTTTTTCCTTGCTCTTTTAATTAAAATGATTGTACGATTTTTTTGTACTGGATATCCAACCAGCTTGTACTACTTATCTAATTATTTTCAATGATTATCCAAATTGTTTATAATACTTATCCAAATATTTTATTTTTTATTCTTTTCCTCTTTTTTTTTGAAGATGAGTGAATGTAACAAATATGACTAGATAATAAATACAAATAAAATGGATAATCAGTCTAAACCGGTTGGATAGATCTCATCGAACACTATAAAATTCATATATAATTCGTGTTTTAATTCTTTACGGATCAAGAAATATATGTAAAAGAAGAATATCAATCTAAACTAAGTTGGTTATCCATCTTTTTTCTTTTTTTGTTTTTTGAAAAGTGAATGTAAAAAATATGATTGGATAAAATAAAATAGGTAATTGGTCCAAACCGGTTGGATACTCAGTATGAACACAACGGATAATCATTTTTCAGTTTATTCATTTCTGCCCGTAAGATTTAAATGCATTTAAAGTTCAAAAGAAATATTCAACATTGATATTATCGGATAGATCTCGTCGAGCACTATAAATTTCATATATAATTCGTGTTGTAATTCTTTACGGATCAAAAGATATAAGGAACACAACAATATGAATGTAAAATAAGTTGGTTACCCATATTCTTAAACTGGATATCCAATGTGTTCATATTGTTTATCCAACTTCTTTGTGGTGGTTATCCAATATTTTTTTTTCTTGCTCTTTTATGAAAATGATTGTCAAACTTTTTTGTACTGATTATCCAACGTGTTCCACTGATTATTCAATTATTTTCTATTGATTATCCAAATTGTTTACAATGCTTATCCAATCATTTTTTCTTTCTTTTTTTTTTTTTTTGAAGAGTGAATGTCAAAAATATGATTGGATAACAAGTACAAACAGAATGGATAATCAGTTCAAACTGGTTGGATAATCAATAGGAACACAACGGATAACCATTTTTCAAAGAAAAACGAAAAACACATTTCTTCATTTCTGCCCGTAAAATTTAAATGCATTTAAAGTTCAAAAAAAATATTCTACATGGATCTTATCGGATAGATTTCGTCGAGCACTATAAATTTCATGTATAATTCGTATTCTAATTCTTTAAGGATCAAGAGATATATAAAATACAAGAATCTTAATCTAAACTAAACTGGTTATCCATCTTTCTAAACTAGATATCCATCTTATTCTGCCCATCGAAATTTAGTCATTTTTAAACTCGAAAAAAATATTCGACATAGATTTTGTTGGATAGATCTCGACGAGTACAATAAAATTTATGTGTAACACGTTTTCTAATTTTTCACGGATTGAGAGATATGATTGTTTGAATATTAGAGATATTTTTTTAGAAGAGAGAAAAAAGTGGCAGTGACTAAACTTGCAAATAATAGGAAGATTATTAGAAAAAGTAAAAGAATACAATAAGGACTAGTAGTGCAAAAAATAGGAGGGGGGTATGGTGCCCCCGGGTGCACCCAATAAATTACCAATTATTTAACATGCTTTCTTTTTCCTTTTCAATGCACGTGTCCTTCCCCTTAATTTTAGAAAAATGGGTTTTAAAAATTTCTTTTATCGTCACAAAATCTTGGAACTTGTCGAACAAAGTAAGTTGAAATTTAAAAAATGTCTCCATGAGGTTTTGATCAAACAAACCACCAGACAGCCTGTTGGAGGATGGTTTCGTTGGAGTTGCCTGCTTGTCTTTTTCAGCGGCAGTAGCAGTTATTTGCTGTTTTTCTTGTGCCATGACGCTGGTGATGTTACACAGCGTAAAGCACCAATAGATTTCAGCTTCGTTTCAAGAAATTTATTTGGTTGTAAGACCAAACAAATTGGTCACACTGGGCGTGCCACTTGACGAACTTTGGATTTGTACGGTGCTTAGGACGGGCGGCGATGATGACCTAGGCGACGGCTGACGGCCTAAAACTTGCAAGACAGAGCCTCGGGTGTCTCCCGAGGGTAGACTCTCCGATGCTTAAGTCAATAAAGGAATAGAGAGAATAGAGAGAGAGAGGCCGGAGAGACCTTTCAAATGGCAGCAAACCTTGTAACGGTTTCAACATTTTAATTCTGTTAAATGCAGAGAATTTATAGCACAAAACCTCCAAAACATTTTGACCAATCCAACAGTCAAATGAATTCATTCATTCATGACAGCAAAACAATTGCAACGTTTTATAATTCTCCACAAATTAATTCGAACCGGAGTAAAACGTGGGTTGATCAGGCCCGCAAGAGTTCGGTTCGGAATTCGTGTCCGCAGGTCGTGTGCACACATGAGTCAGGCTATTTTGGCCCCGAATCGGACCTCCATTTACACCCCCTGCGCAGGCGCACGCAAGCGGGAGAGATGTGGTATAGTATTGGCAAGTAAACTTGAAAGTTAATTTTAGGCTCTCACTTATAAAGTGAGCTCCAACTCTTCCCAACACCAATGTGAGACAAAGTTCCTTAGCCTTAACTCTATTTTTTCTAACTCTTGAGAAACTTAATTCTCATTCACTTACTACTCATTTCCAAGAGAGTTTTCGATCTTCTGATCTATACCATTCTGTGATTCATCTGCCTGGTAAGTGATAAATCTTTTAACTTTGTGGGAAACTTGAAGCTCTCAGATTATGTAGTTAATCTTCCCAATTTGGAATATTTAGAACTTCATACAGTTCAATTGGATTTCGATGATACATTTCGTAAGCTTGTTACATCAAGCTTTGTTGAGATTACTGGTATGAAGTATAAACTATGAGAATGATCTAGTTTTCAGGGTTTCTTCTCCTTCACTGAGAAGTCTCAAAATCAAATTCTTGAAGAAAAGCCCAGTTAGTCACTGAAACCGCTGGAATGATGGAAATAGATTCTCCCGCTCTTGAATTCCTCGATTTAGAGAATCGCCGATCTAAAGGGTATTCAATGGAAATGGCTTGATTTTGAATGGTGCAATTCACTGTGAAACAGGTTAGAAGCAGGGAACACTGGAAGGGATAATAATGGAAGCTCATAAACAAAGCTGAAAGCTCTCATTATTGTTGTTTGTACAAATGATATATTTGAGTTTGTACAAATGTCAAACTCTATATTCAATGCGATCGATGTTTTTGATACAAATGATATATTTGAGTTTAACATCACAAAGATATATAATTAAATGTAGTCTTGAACACACGTTCATCTTTAATTTCTTTGGCGAACGTAGTTATCTTAGTGTTGATGATAATGTCAATAACAATTATAATATTCTATTTGTCTCGAAATAATTATCAAGTATAAATTTTTATTTTTAATTCAGTTTATACTCAATGCCAATATTAAATTGGATAATCAGTTTTGAGAATAGAAGTAGCGGTTTTTTACCCACCCCCACCCCCACCCTTCAGCCTTCGTGATAATATCAGAAAGACAGAAACTTCATTGAAGATAAAAGATGAGATGTCTAAGCAAATATAACATGGATGAGATTATACATCACTGTAAAAGATGAGGTAGAAGCGGATGCAGATCTTGTTAAAAGATGAGATTAAGGCCATTAATTATGAAATTCTCTTCAACACTTCCAGCTCTATAAACTTATGCAACCAGGACCAACAATTACCACTTTTACGTGGAACTTGTTTTTCCACATTTAAGTGGAGCTAAAAAAACATACTTTTACTTGGAACTTGGATTTGGTCCTAGAACTTAGTACTACCCTCCTAGTAATGACCTAAAAAAACATTGTCTACTTTGAATATTGAACTTCGAAACATATTTTAAAATTTGATGTGATCGGTAAAATTTACAGTTCAATAAATAGATTATTATTCTCTCCGTCCCAAAATTATTGTCCAGTTTAAGATTTCACTTTTAGTACAATTTGAACTAAAAATGAGAACTCAAACTGGACATATAATTATAGGACGGAGGGAGTATTATTTTGAAAAGAAAGAATATGCCATTTATGTGTGTTTGTTGGAGATTGTAAAAAATGATCGGGGCTAGATTGACGGGTTGTAGAATTAATTAATTTGCAATAAACTAGGAGAAAATAAGGGTGGAAAATACTCTTAGGAATCCAGGAGAATACATAATTATCTTTAATTTCTCGTTTTATTTTAATTATTAAGTAATTTTGAACGGTGACGGATAGGTCAATCAAATGAGAAATTAGTAATTTTTACAACTTTTGGGTGATATAGGGATTCTCTTGTAAAATATGAAGGATCTTTGTGCAAATGAGTGAGTCCCTTGCCGCTTTGGTAAAATGCTCGCTTCTCTTATTTACGGGTTCATTTCCGGGTCATTCGAATCAGTCGAGTTCTTCAGTCTTCAGTGTAGCCCTTTCATGAAAAAAATTGGTACTTAAAAGGAAATTAGATACTAAATGATGCGAAATGCAAAATTCATTCATGGGTAGCAGCAACGAGGTGTAGATCGTGAGTAATTTTGAACTTAAAGGAGTATGGAGAATTCAATTAGGTCTAGTAGGGTTTGGTCACAGAAACTTGGAAAATGTTCCGACGGTGATGTTGTTGGCGCTGCGATTCCGGTGGGCAGACTAGGTAATCTTCCTGATTCCATCATTTTCTACATTCTCTCCTTTTTACCCACCAAATATGCTGTTGGCACTAGTGTTCTATCCAAAAGGTGAGAATCTCTGTGGACTGAAGTTAACTCCTTAGATTTTAATGATTATCTTCGGTTTGGAGGCGGGATGGGATACCAAGGCCGGGATTTTGTGGTGGAGTTCTTCAACAAGGTATTGATTCGCAACAAATGTGAAGCTGTGCAGAAGTTTAGTCTGTGCTGGCATCACGAGTACCAACCAGTTCAGGTTAAGAAATGGGCAAAGGAAGCAATATCTCGCAATATCAAGGTTCTTGATCTTTACCTTGAGTATGATGATGATATTGTTATACTCTCTCCGTCCCATAATTATAGTCCAGTTTGGGTTTTCATTTTTAGTTCAAATTGTACTGAAAGTGAAATCACAAACTGGACAATAATTTTTTGGGACAACGACTAGTTCATTTACCGCGTTCCCTTTTCTTCTCTAAGACATTAGAAATTATCAAGTTACATGGACCTTTCCTGTTTAAGGTCCCTAAGACGGGGTTTCTCTTCCCAAACTGCAAGTACTGGTACTGAAAGCCGTGCGATGTAGATCTGATCGATTCTTTTCATAACCTTACATGTGGTTGCCCGGTGCTCTATTCCCTCACAATCAACAGGGAGATGAATGATGATTTTAGGAGGTGTGACATATCTTCTCGTTCACTAAGACGCCTTTGTAATTTCTACTGATGGTAATGACCACCTCCTGCCGCAGATGAAAATTGATGCCCCTGCTATTGAATACCTCTTTCTGGAAGGTGAAGCATCGCAAAAATTGTCATTGGAAGGGCTAACCTCTTTGCGTGAAGCGGAGCTTAATCTTGTTCATGATTGGGGAGAAGAAGTCCGTAGCACAAATCTGATGGTCGAGCTAGTTGAATCTTTGCATTGTGCTGTGGAGTTTCTGACTTTAAGTTATTTAACATCTGCAGCTCTTAAGTGTGCAACCACTAGGTTGTCTGCAAGGTTCGAGAGGTTAACCAAATTGAGCATAGAACTTCCCTATAATGGGTGGAACTTCCTGAAAGATTTGCTAGGTTGCGCAATGGAATTGAAAGTCCTTGACTTGAGAAGCCTTTCAAGGTGCGAGGAAGAGCACATAACATGCTGGAAGGAACCTATGTGTGTACCCGAATGTCCGTTATACAGTTTGGTATGTGTTTCATTCAGGGAATTCGGAGGCCATAATGCTGAGTTCGAACTGATAAGTTATATTCTAAGGCTTGGTGTAGTGATGGAAAGGATGAATTTATCCTCTTAATTCTACTCGTGGAAATCTCGAGAAAAGGTATGTCATGCTTAAGAAGCTGTTGATGTTGCCAGGGCTTCTAGTTCCTGTCAAATTGAATTCTCTGATAATTAGTTCCGGCATGGGTTGATAATGATTGCCAGCCCTGTTGAGAGTCCCAGGAATGTTGGTGAAAATCTAATTTAAGGCACATTAGTCTTATTAGCAGTGCACAACTGCACTTTTTTTTTTTTGGGTGTGTTAGTGAAGTAATTTAAAGCTATCGGCCAACTTGAGACTTAGTTGCTTGCTTTACCTCCAGATCAACTAGTCTTGAGTTTATGGATTGATGGCTACTCCATGTTTAACAATGCTTAGTTACTTATTGCTCTACAACATTTGGCTTCATGTTAAATGGTTGCGTTTCAGTTCAAGTAGTTTGCTCTGTCGACCTCTTGTTTTCTTTTTAAAAAGAAAATCCGAGTCTTAGTGAAGATTTATTAATTCCGAGTGTGTTGTGAAGATTTAAAAAGAACTTGGATCTTGAGTTCTTGACTGTGTTACGTTGATTAGTTGCTTTCGCTTTGAGCACATCATGATTTGAAACTGTCGAAGATGATGAGATTAAGGCCGTTGATAAGGAAATTTTCTTAAATAGCAGAGAACATGATGACCATGCATCCTCCCAATTGATCTGTTGCACATTGCCATTGTGCATCTGCAGTTCTGCACCCCATCCCATCATCACTCTGAATTAAGAAAGAAAACAAAACAATTCAATTATATTGAGGAAGGAGCTGCTTTGTAAATCTTAATATAAGTGGAGAATTCTACATTGTGATTTTGTCAGATCGTCAGTGGCTGATGCTTTCATGATTTAGTTTTACCCTGAACGGCTGAACCTAGTTTCAGAGTATAAAAAATGTAAATTCACAGCAAATGGTCCAGAGGGTCCCTGATCTTGAAACTTAGGGTCTTGAAGGCTAGCCACAGCACTTCGTGGATGCTTTATACGCTTTTGCTTCAGGCATGGCAGGATTGAAACGCTGTCAAAGATAAGATTAACGCACTTAATTTTGAAAATATGCTAGTAATCGACGACAACATATTATGCAATTCACCCTCCCCATGTTACAGTTGCAAATTTCCATTGTGGAAGTCTGCACCAAATTAATCTCAAATATCACTCTGAACTGAGAAATAACGTAACCAGCTCAGTAACTCAACAAAAGAGCGCATGCTTTGTAAATTTTAGTGCAGAAAGAAAAGGATACACTCTGATTTACGTCGAGGGCAGATCTTTGTTTCCCCGGAGCCAACTAATTAGAGAAAAAAAAAACGTTCCATTTGTTTTCCTCAGCAACCAAATAAAAAGAATGTATACTATCTATGATTGTTGTATCGTTCCTTGAAATTCTGTTATTGGTTTTAGGCATTTTCTATATCTATTTTGACCTTTGGAATTTCCCATACTGTTATTGACTTATTTTCTCCTAGTCCTAGTAGTCTTGGGTTTTCAAGCGGTAATTAACTTATGGTAATTTATACTTAATTGGGGTTAATCCGCTAATACGTTCTTCTTTCGTATACGCAACAGGACAATTGAGTTCTTCAGTGCCAGTAAAAGTCGGAAGTAACTTCAGAAACAATATTATACTACAAAATTTCTTGGTAGCAACAACGAGGTTAATTCCTTTTTGTGTGTGTGTGTGTGTGAGAGAGAGATATATACTAAGTGATTAGTGTACGATATAGATAGCTCAGCCGAGTGTAGGGTCGCCCACGGAAGCTACAAAGGTGTTCCGATGGCGCAGCGAATCCAGTTGACGGGATCAGTGAACTTCCTGATTCAATTCTTTGCTACATTCTCTCCTTTATACCAACAAAATTTGTGGTTGGTACCAGCGTTCTCTCAAAAAGGTGGAAATCAATGTGGACAGGAGTTAACACGTTGGATTTTGACGATGATCTGTTGCATAATGGCTCCTGCTACAAAGAAGGCGAAGAAAGGCCGGCATTTGTGGAGTTTGTAAACAATGTTCTGATCCAACACAAATCCGAAACAGTGCAGACATTCCATCCGAGTTGGAAGAATCAGTGCAACCCTGTTCAGGTGGAAAGATGGATGAAGGACGCCATTGCTTGCAATGTGAAAATCCTTGATTTGCACGTTCAGGAACCCGAAGATTACGAAGATTATGATGGCAGGTTTGTGGTTCATTTACCAGCTACCCTTTTCTTTTGCAAGACATTAGAAGTTCTCACCTTACAAGGACCCTTCATATTTGATGTCCCTAAGATGGTTTCTCTCCCAAAACTGGCACTATTGGTTCTTAATTCGGTGCTATATAAAGAGGATGATTGTCAAAATAAGCTTACATGTGGTTGTCCGAGATTGTATTCGCTCTGGGTTGAAAGGGATATCTATGATTAATGATATGATTTGTGACATATCTTCAGCTTCACTTAGATTTCTTAGAATCACTAATTATTATTCTAGTGAAGAAATTCCTATCAAAATAGATGCCCCTGCTCTTAAACACCTCTTTCTCCAGGATCATGGGTCGCAAAAATTGTCATTACAAGGGCTATCCTCTTTGTCCGAGGCGGAGCTTGATCTTGGTGATAGGGAAAATTGTTGGGGATATGACACAGATTACACAAATGCGTTTGTTAATGTAGTTCAATCTGTGCATTGTACGGAGTTTCTGAAATTATCTCTTTCCACATCCGCTGCTCTTAACTTTTCCAGGACTAGATTTAAATCTGCAACATTTGATAGGTTGTCCAAGTTATACATAGATTGTTTATGCTGTGGGTGGAGATTTCTGAAAGATTTGCTTCATTGCGCGAAGAAATTACAAGTCCTTGAGATCACAAAGTGTTCAAGTCATGACAAAAAGCATAAACCTTGTTGGAGGAAGCCTAGGGAGATTCCCAAATGCTTGTTATACCGTCTGGATCATGTTTCATTGAGGGGATTCCAAAGCCTTAAAGATGAGGTAAAACTAATAAAGTATATTCTGAGGCACGGTTCAGTGATGAGAAAGATTAATGTATATTCCTCTGCTGCTGCTAATGATTTTAAGACAAGGTACCTCATACTTCAGGGGCTATTGATGTTCCAACTTCCAAGAGCTTCTAGTTCCTGTCGAATCAAACATTCTTGAGATGGTCAAATCAACTACTTCAGGAGTCAATGATATGTTTTGTTTCTGGAATCCAGATTTTCATTTAGTACCCAATTTAGGAGGTGCCTGGTTCATCAAACCAAGGGAATGAAAGGCAAGGCAATGAAATCCAACACAGGAGAATGAATCAAAGTGGGTTTGGATTGGTGTGCTTGGTTGATAAAATTTTCGATAAAGGGATTCAATCAAAATACCAAATTTGCCCCAACATTACAATGAACAAAACAACTTCAAACGAATTTTGATTATCCCATCCTCCAAAAAAAAAACTCCAATCCAAAATTAAGCTTTTAATCACTAACTAATAACACAAATATGCACGACCTGATTATAAACAAACAATGGTGAGCAAAATCTAACCAATTAACAATTGTTCCGGTTAAAAAAGGGAGAATTGAAAACGGCAAGTAAAAAAATTCATCTCTAATGAATTGAGTAGGGTTTTTGAAGTTGTTCTGTATTTTTGTTGGCCATCGAAATAGGTTGAGGGAGAAAAGTATTGATGGAGGAGGCAGAGTTGGCTCAATGAATGTTGAGGCCTCAAGCGAAAATGTTGAGACCTCAAGTGAATTTTAATTCGGAACTCTCTAATAGTCAAATTTAGATAAATAAATTTTTTTATTAAAATACTTTAATAATTTCAATACACATAATTTTATGAGATAATTGAAACATTACATACTTATTATCATGTCAAAATGTTTATGGTAGAATAAATTTTTTATGATTTTTTTAATAGTTATTATAAAAAAATTTCAGAAATTAATTATAATAAATAAAATCTTAAAAATTGAGGCCCTAAATAATATGAGGCCTAAAGCTCTAACTTTAGTAGTCTCACCTAAAGCCGCCTCTGGGAGGAGGTGGCCCTGGAAATGGGTTCAAGGAGAGGAGTGTTGCTGGTGGTGGAGGTAGCCAATGGATGGGGGTTGGTGGTGGAGAAGGGGGTAGTCAATGGATGATGGGAGAGCATGTGGGTGATTATTGTAAGAAACAAAGAATAAAAAATAATACTTTAAAGAGGGGTAAAATGTTGAAAAAACAAAGATTTTGCATCTTGGAATTCACACCCACCAAATCTGCAGGGTTTGAATATGTGAGAGTGAAAGTCATTTAATGAACCCTTGGTATATGATAGTAGTGATCAAGCATATAAAAAATTTATCACCGACTTTGTATGTAGATGAAATATTACTATGTGCAGCACTTCTGGTTTGATTCAGCATTTTATTTCTTGTCTTGTTAGGAGTTTTTTGTTCGTGATTTGGGTGCTTTGAGTTACTTTCTTGGTGTCGAGGTTCATCTCACTTCCCGGGGTTTGCTTCTTTCTCAACGCAAGTATGTTAATGATTTATTACGGCTAGCCAATATGCATACTTGCAAGCCTATTTCGACTCCTATACAGGCTGGTGCTGTGTTGTCCCGTTTGGATGGTACTTTGTTGTCTCCTGATGATGCGTCTATCTATCACCGACTTTGTGATAGTCTGCGATATACCACTCTCACCCGACCAGATATCTGTTTTACAGTTAATAAACTTTGTCAGTTCATGCATAAGCCCCGTACTTATCATTTTCAGGCTCTCAAAACAGATCCTTCGCTATCTTTGTGGCACCGTTGATTATTGTTTGGTATTGCATCCCACTGATTTGGCAACTCAGACTGCCTTTAGTGATGCTGATTGGGCTAGTTGTCCAGATGATCGTCGTTCTACCACTGGTTTTCTCTTTTATTTGAGACGTAATCTCATTGCTTGGGCATCTATAAAGCAGCCCACTGTGGCTCGCTCGTCTACTGAGGCTGAGTTTCGTGCGATTGCTAATGTCTGTGTTGAGTTGCATTGGGTGTATCATATGTTGTCAGAGTTAGGTGTCTCATTACGTTGTTCTCCTTCTATTTGGTGTGACAACAGTAGTGTAGTTTTTCTTGCTGCTAACCCGGTGTTTTATGCCTGTACCAGACACGTTGAGTGAATTTTCACTTTGTTCGAGATCATGTTCGGCGGAAATTTGTTTCGGTACACTCTGTGTCTGTTGCTAATCAGATTGCTGACATTCTGACCAAACCCTTATTCAAGGATTTATTCCTTTGTTTTAGGGACAAACTTCGGCTTCTCTCTTGTACGCCATCAGTTTGTGAGGCCGTATTGTAATATATGTATTTACTATAATAACCTTGTATATAGGATTTTATTATTGTATATATATATAGCATGTATATTGTATATCATAATACAATGAATATACAGTCTTATTATTCTAAGTGTGAAGAACTTTTTTCCCGTGAATTTAGATATGATCCCTGGGAAAAAATTGATCTTGACTGGGCAAAATCACCGGTGTATGATATTTATCCAGATGAGTTTGTGAAAAATTCAATTGGTATTATTGAATTTTGTCTACCTGACAATGTACTATAAATTTCAAGTCACAATCTGAGATGACTTGTAGGCAAAACATGGAGGTCCACTGCCACTTTGGTTTGGTCTTGCTTGGGGTTCATCATGTGCATGGTTCCCTCAAAATGTTGGCAAATTTCATGAGTAGGGAATTACTTTTTGGTTGCAGCGTGCATCAATGATATTTGTTAAAGTATTCAAAAATGGTGAATTTTTCCATTAGACTTGCGTAGCTTTGTTGAGTTTCCCAATTGTCCGAGAGCTTCAGATTTGGACTTCGTTCGGGGACCATATCGAATCCATCCTTCGACATATTTATGGCCTTTCCTCTTTGATCGCGGCAAACTAAACTCGAGGATGAGTTTTTCTCAGCCAAATGATGAAGATGGAGAAATAAAAACATTAGGTTTTTTTATTATTATTTCATAGGATTATTTTAGCAATTTTGTTGTTAATGATTAGGGTTTATTTTTGGTAGTGTTTTCTCTCATTGTAACTCAGTTATTGATTGATTTTATAAAAATATTGAGAGTTCTCTCAAGCCGAGTTTTCGATGCTCTATTTGTTGGATCAAAGGCTGTAAATTAGTAGTAGTTTTATTTTGTTCATTATATTAGTGATTTAAAACTAGCGATGTTTAGGTTTCTGGTCTTTCGACGGACTGAAAGATCGTTAATCGAAAGCATCACCTGTTTCGATTTGTGTTTAGAGTTAACATATAATCGTTAATCGGAGAAATCGCTAGTCGCTGGACCATTTGTTGGAGGTGATTAGTGATTTGGTTACTTGTTCATATTCTTCAGTCAATTAATAGGGCTCCTGCTACGTGAGATTAAGACCAACAATTGAAAGTATAATCAAGACATTGATTAGAGAAGAAGGTATTACACTCACAAATATTTTAAATATGGTTGCATAGTATAATACTTCTTCCGTCCTACAAAAATAGTCTAATTTCAAAATGTACAACTTTTTTATTTTGGTCAACCCCGGCAATGTACAACTCATTTTAGTCTCAAAATTTCCATTTCTGCCCCTATCATATCTAAAAGCTTGCCCAAATCTGAAACCCAAAAATACTCTCTTTTTTCTCACCGGAAACAACTCACAGCGAGATCAGTTCGAGCATGGATGCTGCCGGGACCACAAACGGCGGAGGGAGTTGGAGAGACGCAAGAAGAACGCGCCCGCATTGATGACTGAATTTGAGGGGAGGAGAGGAGAGGAGAAAGATTTTTGTTCTGATTTTTTGATTGATCGGAGAGTAGAAAGCGATATAAAGCGGAGAGGAGAGGAGAAAGCGACAGAAAGATTTTTGTTCAGATTTTTTGGGAGAAGGTGGTCGGAGATGGTGGTGGTTTCTTTCACCAGAGAGAATGGGAGGTGGCGGCGGGGAAAATGGGGGAGAAATGGGGAGAGAGACCCGATTTGTGTTGGGGTGACTCAAAGTAATAATCCTTTAGTTTTAGGGATATTGTGGTCATTTGGATTATTTTTTATTTTGACTTTTTAAAACTGGACTTTTTTTTTGGGATAAGATTATTTATCAAACTGGACTATTTTTGTGGGACGGAGAGAGTAATATGATAAGCATGGAAAACCGAAAAAACTTGAGATATGAAAAAACAGTTCGATGATCAAAGGTGAAACAATACTTCTCCGGCCTCTTCAGAGCTGTTATTGATATCACAAAACGGCATGGCCGCCAAGTATTGTCTTATTTTTTGGGGTTTGAAGTTCTAGATATTTGAAACGGATGCAAGATTGTAGAAAATTCGCTGAAAAGTGAGAATATCGGATTGTTTCAAGCTCACCCAAAGTTCCATCTTATCATCATTGCGAGAATCCATCAAGCAAACGCCAGGCCCAGGCTGAGTAGAAATGCTTGCCCAGATCGGCTTTCCCCACCCGAAATCAGTCTCGTACACCGCTAACGCTCCATACCAACTCGAACAAAAATAAACATCCGCCCGAACGCTGTTCTTCCACGCTTCACTCACTTCCTTTCTCGATTTCATAAACTCTTTCACCACATCATCCCTACTTCTCTCAGCAGCATTCACAATCTTCTTCGTCATATCGGAAATCGCATTCTTAATCAGAACCATCAGATCACACAAATCCAAATCATCATCATCGGTTGCAGCTGAAAATGGAACAACCACCGAAATGAAAAAGTTCCCGAAAGGGTTTTTGTTTCCGACAGGTACGAGTCGGCGCAAGTTCATCGGGATTGATAACACGGAATCCCTGAGATGCCCGTGATTTGCAACTGATGTGATCATGAGTGCCTTCCATACTAGAGCCAACGTCACGACGACTCTAGAATACAACTTGATTTCTCCGTGTTTGATACATTTCGGTAAACCAAGATGGAGTTTCGATGAAATCAGGAATCTTCTGGTGACAATTTTAGCTTCATTATCGAAGCCTGGTAAGACAGTGGAGATAAGTGGATGGTTCTGTTGGCTGAATGGTTCTGTCAATTTTGATGGCGGGATGGCCGGAAAAGCGTCGGCCACATCGTGTGTGATAATTTTGTTCAAAAATGGAGGAACTTCGCCGCCATAACGACAAACAGAAGCCCATGTATTCATGAACAAGAAGGTTGTGGCTGCATCGAAAATAATGTGGGAAATCCTTATGCCGACGATGATTCCGCCGTCTTCGAAACTGGTCACCTGGATAGCTACCAAAGGGCTTGTCTCGGACTCTACTGAAGGTGGATTATTATTCCCCCATGGCAGAAGCTTGTCCAGGAGTTCAACCTGATCAGGTGCTCGCCGGAGCAATTCTGGGAGCTTCCAGTTCGTGACTCGGGCTTGCCAGAATTCAACTCCTGTATCACTGCATTCAATGGAGAGTTGGTCTTTTACGAATCGGCCGGCAAATGGGTAGAGCAAATCCAATGCCTTGGGCAATGAATTCTCCAACTCGGCGCATTTCTTCTTCTGGGTGCTTTTTTGGTCGTCGCCGTCGCCTGAATTGTAGTAGTAAAGAATACCGGGATATACTCTTGCAGCAAATTGATCAAACAAAGAGATTTTGAGTTTTCGCTGATGATCTGGAGTTGGATTTAATGGCTTCATCATCTTCCTCGATACAACTTCAACATGTAACTCCTCCATTTAGTTTATTTTATTTTTAGAAAATACACTCGGGTTTGTTGTAAATCTACTGGTTTCATGCATAGAGGTCCTCTATATGCCTTTTATGTTAGAGTATCAGGCTTGTCGGTAGCTTTTTTTTTTTTTCCTGATTTGTAAGGTCTTGTTTCATGATATCTTTCCCACCGTTAATATTTGACCAAACCTCAGACGCTGGCAGATTCGTGCGTGGACAAAAACTAAGCACTACTAGTAATTAATTTCATGAACGGCCCATCATTAAATATCACCGAATAAAAATAGTTGAACATATCGATCCCGGGAGAAAAAAAAAAAAAAAAGTGGTCGGGAAAAATGGTTGTTCTTGTCGTTGAAGTAGCTAGCTTTCAATCGCAATAAATGTGAAGTGCCAGCCTCGAGGTGGGCATGCTTTTTTGCTAGGGACAATTCACCGACCTCGTGCTTATAAAACCTGTGACATGGTACTACAATTTATCCGGCCGACTAGTTGTACTGTGTACGTGAATTCAATATTTCTGTGCAAGAAAAAAAAAACCCCCATAATCGACAGTGTTGTATGCTTTAAAAAAGAAGAATAAAATAAGATGACGAAAACCTACCATCAAGGCATCAACCTTGCGAATTAATGGACACGTCAGCTCGAATAAAAAAATCTCCATAAATCATTCGGTCGGTTCTTTCATCAAAAGTTCTCGATAAAGATTAGTAAATCGTTTGAATAAATGTTTTGAGAATTCAATACCAAATAAATTATATATATATATATATAAGTTTTTTTAAAAATGCTAACTACCTAGTATCAATCATGCAAATAGCTAGGGTTATCGTTCCAATTCAGAGTAACGTCATTTTATTTAGGCTAAAGAAAATTTATAGTCCAAAAAATGATGACAAATGAAAACACAAAATTAGTAAACTCCACTCTTAGTATCTAGCACCAAATAATAATGAGTTGGTTGTAATTTTACATATACATGCTACATAAGCCATTATCTTTTTTCATTATATACAAAGTGGAATTTTACATATTCTATAGCCCTATTCTCAAGATACATATAAACTGGAAATTTTCCTTTCCTTTTATTTATATGGTAAACTTTATAGCCCTATTCTCAAGATACATATAAACTGGAAATTTTCCTTTCCTTTTATTTATATGGTAAACTTTGGATTTATTTTTTCCCCTCTTTGCACATACAATATCGAAAACAAATGATCTGAACATAGCTTGTGGTATTCAAGAGAAAATGGTTTTCTTCTTTAGAGACGAGATGCCAAAAAATGCTGTTGCGGTTCATTACTGTCCGATCCACCACCACGAATGATATCATCAACTTTACGATTCGAATTGTGCAGCAGGCTAGATGATATATCATCCTTCTCCGTCCCCATCAAAAACGTTTTAGCCAAAGCTCTAAGTTGGAACTTCTGAATCTTCCCAGTAGAAGTCTTGGGCAATTTATCCATGAATTTTACCTTCTTCGGAACCATAAAAGCCGGTAAATTTTTCCTACAATGAGCTATGATATCTGCCTCGCTGACGTTGCCGACGACGTCATCGTTGTTATTCTTCATCAGCATGACAAATGCACAAGGACTTTCTCCCCACTTCGGGTGTGGCATGGCCACCACCGACGCCTCGGCCACGAAAGGGTGTCTGTAAATCACGCTCTCGACTTCCACGCTACTAATATTCTCTCCACCCGAAATGATAACGTCTTTAGACCGATCCTTGATTTCCAGGTACCCGTCAGGGTGAATCACCCCGACGTCGCCTGTCACGAACCATCCATTGCGAAATGCTTTTTCGGTCGCTTTTTCGTCTTTCAAGTAACCTTTCATGATGCTACTCCCGCGCAACAGAATTTCCCCCATTGTTTTCCCGTCTCGCGGCACGCTTTCCATACTCTCCAAGTCACTAACGGCATCAGCATCAGCAATGGCCAATACATTGACTCCTTGTCTGGCCTTGAGGCTGGCCCGATCGTCAGCCGGGAGTTTGTTCCATCGGGCCTGCCACTCACAAACCAGGGCGGCCCCGGTGGCTTCTGTCGAGCCGTATGCATGAGCCACCCGGAATCCAAGTGCTTCAACTTTCTCCAGGAGGGTGGACGGAGGCGGGGCTCCGCCTGTGAGAATTCGGATCGGGTTGGTTATATTCCGGCGCTCGTGCGGTTTGGCCTCCAGAAGAATGTTGAATATCACCGGAGCGCCGGACATGTGGGTCACGTCGTGTTTCTCGATGGCGTCGTACATTTCTCGTGCCGTTGTGTTTCGTATGCACACGTTGGTGCCTCCTCGGGCTGCAATTCCCCACGTGAAAGTCCAGCCGTTGCAATGAAACATGGGGAGCGACCACAAATAAACCGGTTCAGTTCCCATTTCCCAACCCAAAATCAGGCTCAGGGTGCTCAGGTACGCTCCTCGGTGGCTATAAACCACGCCTTTCGGGGCGGAGGTTGTGCCTGATGTGTAATTCAAGGCGATTGGATCCCATTCATCAGCGATTTCTTCTGGGACGTATCCTGGATTTCCTCGGCGAACTAATTCTTCGTACTCAAGCTCCCCGATTTGGACGCCGGTCGGGGATCCGAGGTTATCGATGACGATCACAATGGGCTTGTTATTACTGAATTCTGTGGCAACAAGTCGGAGGGCATCACTAGCTAATGGCACGTACTGAAAGTCAACGAAGAAGATTTTGGCTTCGGAGTGGTTGAGAATGGTGGCAATGGTCTTGGCATCAAGTCTGGTGTTGATTGTGTTTAGGACACCTCCGGCCATTGGCACCGCGAAATGCATTTCGTATGTTGCCGGAATATTTGGTGCCAACACGGAAACCTGTACAAATTAATAAGTCGTCAATAACAAATGGATTAATGATCAAAGAACGCTTATCTTTAATCCATCTTTCATTAATTAAATAGACAACATGTACATATGCAATTAAGTACGCAAATGGAGGAGAAAAATAAAAGAATAGAAAAAGAAAGCGCTTACGACGTTGTTTTTGACAAGGTTCAAAGACTTTAAGGAGGAAGCGAGGCGGCGGCAGCGTTCGTAGGTTTCTTGCCAAGTGAAACGGACTTGTCCATAAATGATGGAGGTTCGGGTGGCGTACGCCGAGGAGGCTCTCTTGAGGAAATTCACCGGAGTAAGGGGCGCGTAATTGGATTGGCATTTTGGCAAGTTATCCATTTTTTGGATTTGGTTTTTGCAAAGAAAATCTTTTTTTTTTTTTTTATGAAATGAAACAAGAACTCCAAGAAATATATGGATATTTAAGCTGTATCAACAAATTAAGTAGGAAGAGTAAGTAGACTGTCTGTTTTCTTGAGCCTAGGAGTATTTATTGTGGAAGAAAAAAAATCCTTATGAATTTCATTGAATCATTGTTTTACGAGCTAACTCATCGATCTAGTATGTTAAAGGAAAAAAAAAACTTTAATCTTCGAAAAGTGAAATCTCATTAAACAACATGATTGAACAATTTTCCGTGTCTATTAAAACAAATACGGTTTTTTCTTTTCTTTTCTTTTTATTTTTTTTTATTTTTTATTGGGTGCAAGTCTAGTTTGCAAATTGAGCTTGCAAATGCAAATGTGAATCAACTAACTACTCCCTCTAGTCCTTATTATAAAATATTTTATTTTTCTTAAATTTAATCTAGTATGTTATTTTAATTATAAATAAAACCTTAATGTATTTATATATTTATTGAGTTTTCCTAATTATTACAAAATATTTTTAAGATATTATTTTCAATTGTAAGAAAATATGCCTTATACTAAGGTCTAGAGGGAGTATATCGTATCCTCATATTCCCCACACCCCCACACACACACATAAATATATACATATATACATATATATTTAAAAACAATTACTCCTTCTGTCAAAAAGATAATCTACATTACAAATTATAATTATATTAAAAATAGTATAATTTAATTTACGATGCGGACTATTTTTGTGGAACAGAAAGAGAGTAATGTTTTTTTTTTTAAAATCTGAATTAAAATTAATTTTCACGGTTAAAGCCTTAAAGGTTGCTAATTATGCTTCTTCAGTCTTTTGTTTATCACTCTGCCTGAGTATTAAGTTTCTGTCTTTTTAGTGTGTTCAATCATTCAAAAGGGTCACTCCAATTTACACACATGAACACATTCTCAAAAGAATTCGACTTTCTACATAAATGCCACCGGAAAGTTAGGTCTATCGTATTTAGAGAGAAAGTGATTTTGCCACCCGACTTGACAAGTTCTTCAACAATTACATCTTAGAATATTGCCCATTCAAAACCCCACCACTCCTCCTGGTCCTGGACAATTTCCAGACCATCAGCTGCAGTGGTTCAGTGCCATATGTAACTTGATCCGCAATAAATACCATCTATAGCAATATAATTTTGCATTCACTGACGATTATTTTTAACAAAATTTTAACTACCTATCTTTTTCCGTTGGAAAAGAAAATATTTATTAGACTGTCAAACGACTCCCCTTGAGGATATGATCAGGAGTAAGAAAAACTATGGAACATGGAGAGATTGGAATTTTCTTGCATTCTCATACTGAGATGTCGGTCATCATTAACTGGTCGTGACCATAGTATGTAGTTTCCCGCAGAATAAGTAGAACCTTCCGCCAGATTCAATACATACTTTTCTAGTATTATACATATGCAATATTGTGATAAATAAATAGGATTATTTGCTAATTACCAGCCTAGAGGTTCGAAAAAATAAATGAATAATAAATAAATAAACTAGACCTTCCATGCAAATAGTCCATTTTATTAAGTTAAAATAATTAAGGATGAATTACATTTTATCCCCGAGTTTTAGATGTTTCTACTTAATACTATATGCCCCCGCCCCCATCCCCTTCTGTGATACTGCGTATACCATATGCAACCGAGTTATTAAATACTATCTATGTAAAAAAAAAATGCATATTAATTTTTGCAATTTGTACTAAAAACAATACAAATTTTAATTAAAGCACAAACCAGACATATTATCTTGTGTCGTCATATGTATATAATTCGTATGCATCGTACTTAAAATAATTGCAGACACAATATGCTAAAGGTACAGTACTTCTAGTTCTAGAGATTTCAATTGTAAGTATTTGGAGTTTTGGGGCGTGGGATGACAATGATAAGGTGTATGATCTAAATCATGGTATTGTGATGAGAAAAATCGATAGGCTGGTGCGCCAGACAAGTCTGAAGTTCTCCAGAATAGAGGTGTACACCATCAAGCTGAGTTGTTTAGACGAATTAAACTCGATCTAAGTTCATTACAAAGCGTTATGTAATTTCTTGTTATATGTTTGGAATTAATGGTATTTGTAACGACCCAACTCACCTACCTACTACTATACGTCAAGCTTAGCTACAAGTTGAGCCGTCCGCCGGGCTCTCACCCAAGGCGCGTTACTTTCATTTACTTTTGAGTATAAATTCTAAATCAGCTTAACAAAATTTTATTGAATAGCATCAGTATGCTTATTCCAAGCATAAATTTAACATTCTCACTATAACTTACGTAATGTTTTAATCTATCAACGACATCATCTCCTGCACATGATATTTTTGGTAGAACATTTCCTTGAACTCATCTGCATATCCATTCTAATCCTGAGAGTGGAATAAGGGAGTAAAATATAAAGGGGGTGAGCGCCGAGCTCAGTGAGGTTCTCACTATACTACTACGATAATTTTAATAAAACTATTTTGATAAAACAACATTTGAAAGAAGAAAACCATTCCACATATATACAATCAACAATCAACTATTTCATATTAAGCAATTAACAATGGAGTGGATACAGGGAAACCTTAACAAGGGCCGTCAAAGAGCCTACGTGGCGTATAGACGGACTTCAAGCCAGATCTCAACAATAGGATAGCGTCCATCCAGACAACAAGATAACGATTCAATAACAATTCATCTCCAACACCTTGTGGCCACCATTGGATACTCATGAGTTTCACGTCCATCCGGACAACACGATAAGCCTAGGTAAGCTAACCCGGCGACCAAGCCCGATGCCGGCCCGCAAGGCTTCGCCTAACAAAGGCAGGGTCCAGGCTCCAAGTGAACAAAGTCCACCGAAGCAACAATCACACATTATTTCACAACATTCAATCAATCACAATAATAGTTATCCTGGAGTGATAAAGTACACCACCAGAAACAACACATTCAACGATCATACTCAATCAAGTACGTTCAATCACATAACGATATCATTTTGTCTCAGATACGATAACACTCAGAATCCACATAGAACACATACCCCAGGGCGATAAAGTACACCTCCGGGTCATTTAACGATATGCATTTGATATATCAATAACATTTAAAAATGTGCTCAAGGGTGTAGTGACTTTCAAATATATATTCCCATACTCCCAGTTTTTAAAAGAGTGAGAATTACTCACCTGGTCAATATGCAAATGAACGTCCTCATATATCGGTTCTGCAGTTAACGTTTTAATAATATCAAAACAAGAGTTTTTCATGATATAAAACTCTATTACTAAGCTTATTGTTAACATTGATTTTTGGAGAATGCACGGGCTTAGTTTTCTAGATGGTTTAATTAAACCTTGTCAGGTTTAGTATCAGGCAAACTTATCTATTATCTGGATTTACGTAGCACGTATCCATAATTATTTAATTTACACAAAACAAATGCGTTTATAATTAAAACTCATTTGGCAGATTCAGTTACGAAAACCTTTAAACATTGCTAATGTGTTATTAACTAGTTAGTCAGTAACGGACGCAATACATGACTTATTAAATTAAGAAGATTTATTTGATTGAAGACTGGCATCAATCTGGATGTATATTTATGCATGACTAGTCAAAGGGACGTTAAACATTTCCCAAATCTAAGAAGCCGGCTTAGTCAGCTACCAATTCAAAAGGGTAATTCCTTTGCATTCAAAAGACTAGAAGACTATAAATTATTAGTTTGTTTACAAAAATCACTTGCGTGTAACTAGCCCCAATCATCCTTTAGTTTGCAAGGATCTATATGATACTACGGCATAAGTGATCTCCGGGGTTATAACTTAGTCTAAACGGTAACTAAAACTGAAAACCCTAAAGCTTTCCTCTTCCGAGGTTAAAACGAGAATCACAAGCAACATATAATTCCTACACCATGTTGTTATGTAACCAGCTTCACCTACTTGATGCTTTATGATCTTAAACTTTTTGCACCCTGCTAAATCACAGAATACTATGCCAATCCGATTAAGCCCGTGAAGTACAAACAAAAAGGCAGGTTAACAAATTCATTTATTTAAAGCAAAATAATACAAACTATTCCCAGGACTCACATGTTTCTGGTTCCTTTCTTTAATCAACTTTGATCTATTTGAATCCCTTTAGCTTAAAAAAAACAAGTGTCATAAAATAATCTTACCGCTACTCCGATCGGAAGGTCGATTTGTGTTAATCCCCTACAGCTGCTTGTCCGAATTATTAACGTTCGCTCTCCTTGTTGCATCCAAACCCTTCAACACTAAAACCTATAGTTTGCTTTCCTCCATCCTCAGTTCCATTTAATCAATTCGACGAAGAGCAGCAACTTGATTTTGTTTTGTCTTTTATTTATTTTTAGCTCTTAGTTTCGGTGATGAGGAAGAGCTAAACATGATGTGAGAGCATTTTTGCCCGACAGAGAAGGAAAGGAGGAAATGAGTCTACGTTTTCTACTTATATTATATATTTATTTACTACTGCTAACATTGCTTGATTTTTTTAAGCTTTTATGTGTTGAGGCGGTGGGAGCCTTGACCACGTGAAGCTTTTTGTTTTAACCTTTGATTAGTAGAATATTTTTCTATAAGCGGTGCTTTGTTTCCAAGCAAAAACTTCTGCTTTGTTCCTACGCTTTGGGGCACGGTTAAACTGTGGGAAACCACCGAACTATTATTTTTAGAATGGTACACAAAATGACTAAGTGATTTGTTGGTGAGCTAGCTAGTAACTTGTTAACGGAGTAGGGGTAAATGGAATTTTAAATTAGCTTACAAGACTTTGTTCCAGATTTCTATAAAATAATAAGTTATGGCCTACGCACATGAGTTTTCTTTAGATACTAAATAAAATACTATAAGGGAAAATCTACTTAACTGAAAGATAAAGTTAACTAAATGAATGAGGTGGTGAAAGAAAGAATGAATATAAACTGGACTTTTAGTAATTTTCTTTTCCTTATTAGCTTAGATAGTAAGCTGACCCAAGTTCCAAGTAAGTCAGATAGGTTTGTCAAGGCACAAGTAAAATAATTGGAACGATATGATGCAGAGGGGAAGCATGAAGGTTGGGAATATAAGGTTTTGTTGTAGGCTTTCAACAATGGCTAGATATTAAGGGTGGAATTTGCTTAAGATAAAGCTACACCAAAATGAGGCTGCCCCATTCCCTTTTGTCAGTTCTACATTATTTTGATATAATAAACTACGTTTCCATTTTCTTTTGTTCATTACTATTGATTAATCTATTTATTTTAAAGCTACCTCAACTCCCACGTACTACTTGGAACAAAGTCTAGTGATTTTATAAGACAACTCCTAATTACTCTTTGTGCCTAATGTAAAGCTAGATACCTATCTCATGTTACCATTTAATATTTCAGATACGTACTTCTCATTTGTCCAATTTGGCCTAGCATAGCCATAACCATGAACACGTTTACCCCACATCCATTAGTACAAATTCATTTTCATTTATGTATTCTACTTCTTAAAAGACAAAGTTAATTTACTACCTTCTTCCTAATGTCCCCGGTATAAGATTTAAAAACTTGCTCCCAAGTTGTTTTCAGCCCATGTTTCTCAAAACCCTTAAGTTTAAGGTTTAATGTTTTGATAAGAAGGAAGCTAAGGTGGATAAATACTAAAGTGAAGAAAACATTTTGATAGAATGTCCTTTGTATATCTAGTACATTAGCTTGATTTTCAAGCTTTAGGAAAAAGAATAAAACGGTGAAGGTCGTGGCCAAGACTCCTTAAATTAATCTTCCCAAGCCAAGTTATATATATTTATATTACTTTTCATTTCAATGTATTTATTTGAATTACATTTAAACCCTTAATCTATTATTACTATTTTTTTATTTTTATTATTATATTTATTTTTTTATATTTATTTATTTATTTTCCTACCTCCAACATTTAGAATAACATAGTTTATGTCTAACACTTCTATTGCTTACAGTTATATCCAAACTATTTGGATGTCACATTGTTATCATTAAAACACGTCAAGATTCTTGGGTATTACAATATTAATGTAATAACAACTCCAAAACAAAGATAACAAATATATTTTTAACAGTGTGGCAAAAAAAAGAGAAATTTAATTCTCTTAGATCTGGAGATCTTTTCAAATGAAATTTCCTTACAATTGATGAATGAAGTGAACCGCCATAATTATGACGTAGGTTCAAACTGCACCATCAATTGAAATACTTGTAAGAAGATTTTTGTCTCTAAAAAATGAACTATCCAACTTAAATGGGATTAATTTGAATGTGATATAGGTTTGTACGAAAAATCTTTACCTGTTTAAAAAAGAGTGGAAGGTTTTTTGTCTTAATTTTGTCTTAATTTGGGTATTTGACTAAACTTTGAGGGGGTCTTGTGTCAAAGTATTTTACATTTGTATATAAGTTACATCTCTTTTTAACCCAAAAAAAAAAAAAGGAGAAAAAAAAACCCCATCGAGAACTACAGAGACCGACTCATATATATTAACCAAGGGCCCAGCTCTGGGCCTGTGGCTCCCTTCGTCCAAATGAATCCTGTTCATTAGGGTTACTAAGTCCACTAAGTGAGTGAAATAGAAAGAAACTGAGGGGAATTTCTCGATAGAATCAAGGATTCTTCCCATGGCGTGTTCAAGTGAAAAGATCCAGAAATCTCCTAGGGTTATAGCTCCAGCTGATAGGATCAGCACTCTACCCGAATCATTAATCTTCCATATCCTTGCCTTTCTCCCGACCAAAGATGCAGTTGCGACCAGTCTTTTATCCAGAAGCTGGAAATCTCTCTGGACCAAAGTGGCCACACTCAATTTCGCTCTGATAGAACCCGAAAAGCATGATCCAAGAAGAAGGCAGGCTTTTGTGCACTTTGTTGACAAAGTGTTACTTGGAAATGATGTTGAATGCTTGGACAAGTTTCGGCTCCAATGGATCACCACCCATAAATGCCAGCCGATTCACGTCAATTGGTGGTTAAGCCATGCAATAGCTCGGGATGTCCGGGTTCTTGATCTTCATGTTAATTCCGCGAAATATAATTCTCAGACCGAGCTATCCGGTAAGGTTTTCATTTGTGAATCTCTTGAATGTCTGAGATTAGAAGGACCCATCTTGGTTAAAGTCCCTGACGTGGTTTCTCTTCCCCTGCTGGAACAATTAGATCTTATTAATGTTAAATTTTGCTATGCACAGTGTTTTCCTAAGCTTATATCTAGTTGTCCTGTGCTTCATTCACTTAAATTTCAAGAATGTTGCCAACTTAGACAGCAAGCTCTTAGGGTTTCATCCCCTTCACTAAGGTTTCTTGAAATCCGTTTAAAGAGCCAAGTTCCTTTGGTGAAGAAGATGGAAATAGATGCACCTTCCCTTGAATCCCTCAAATATGAGGATCGTTTTGGCAAATTGTGTGTGATAGAAAGGCCAAATTTTGTGAATAGAGGGGAGCTTTCGATATCATCTTGTACTCATTCTGTCGAGCTATGTAATTCGATTGTGGAGATGATTCAAGCTTTGAATAATATAGTCTCTCTGAAACTCTATGGATCAATAGTCAAGGCCCTCAGCCTAGCCACTATCCCATTGTCAACGAGGTTCGAGAGGTTAACCGAATTGGATGTCCATCGCGAGTGTGGAGATTGGAGCTCCCTGAATGTTATGCTTGGGTGTTCACCAAATTTACGAGCACTTAAGATTACAAAGAGTAAATGTACCCAGTGCACTCATGGGGGATGTTGGAGTGATCCCAAGGAGGTTCCTATGTGCTTGTTTTACAGCCTCAAAGAAATCTCATTTTCAAACTTCCAAGGATTCAAACATGAGGTGGCAATGATAAGATATGTTTTCAAGCATGGTGTCGTGTTGAGAAGAATTCATCTGAGGACCGGAGCAGATGACCCCAAAGAAGAGTTACAAATCCTCAACAAGGTTACGGTACTTCCTAGACGATCTTTTGCTTGTGAAATCCATTTCAATTGAGATACCGTACAGTTGTTGTTCTTGATACTATTATCCTGTAAGATATCATCATTCTCGATTAATAGCTTTCCCCGGTAGCCCATAGTCCGTTGAACTTTTCATTTCATCACTTCAATTCAGTTGTGTTTTGGTAGAAATTTGATGTGTTTTGACTTGGTAGCAGTGATGATATGAACTCCAACATCTCATGTAGTATTACCTGTACAATGATTCCAGAACTTTGTTGATTAATGTTTTAGCCTTCTCATTGTATGCGTGCTCTATTCATAATTTTTAGACCTGTAAATTAATTTGGTGGCAGACAAGATCAGTAGGACTAATTAATATCGTCTCTTTTTTCAAATTATTATCAGTTTGGATTTTTATTTTAATTCAAATAAAAATAAAAATACAAACTGAATAATAATTTTGATAGGTTGACCAAGGTTGATTTGCGGAACACTTAAAATAGAAATGTGGCATGAGGTGCTTTTCCCTAGAACAAGTACTAATTATCATTGTGTATATGTAGCGAGTAACGACACCGCAGTAGTCTTTTGTGCTCTTATTCAACTGATGTCGTTACTCGTATGTCAACTGATTTAACTGATGTCGTTACCCGTGTGTTAACTGTCTTTTCCCTAGAACAAGATAATTATACACGTTGAATGAACATCAGTTAATCTACGATGTTTTCTTGTGCTTTATTATCTTGGAATTTCTTCCCTGTATTGTTCACCAGAACCGAGACTTTGTGGAGAACTGATTAGCTGATAGGAGCTCTCTATAATTATTAATTAATTAATGACTTTCACTCTTGACCCCAAATCAGTGTGAAAGACCTTGGATTTTATGTTATCAGAAAGAAATGGTTAAATCCAGCAGCTAGTGAACAAACTTTGATTTCTGCAAGGGTTTTTGCTAAACTTAGAGGGAGATAAATACTCTTTCCGGTCCTTATTATATGCCATTTTGATTTCTCTAAAGTTTCATTTATTGTATTTTTTCAATTGAAAATTTTATTTTCACTTTTGTGGTGCTCTCCCAATCATCATAAAGTATTATTAAGGCTTCATTTCTAATTGAAAAAAATTTAGAGAAATTAAAATGTCTTATTATACTAGGACCGTGCATTTTTATATGGTCCTGTTATCCATATCCGATCCCCGAACTTTGGTGCTGTTTAGCCTTCTCATAATATTTGTGTTCGATTTATCTTTCCATACCTTTAAATTTGGCTTGAGCACAGACCAGAATTCAATCCAGTTTTCCTTCTACTTAGAAATTGTTTTGTGGAGGTTAGACCAGGACTATATTGAATTCTAGAGATTACATTACAGCTTGGTGGTACAGGAAAAAAAAAGTGCCATGAGATGAGATTGTGGCTTCTTGGCTTCTTGCTAAATGTACATTAGCGCCATATGAAAACTTGTTGTTAGAGTAATAAAACCATCCCTTTAATTTGTTATTTTCTTAAACCTAATCGAAATGAGATTGTGGCATCGCTATAAGGGTCAAAAATGTCCCCTCTCATGTTTGAAAGTTTACCAATTAAGATCTTGAATCTTCACAATCAGATATAATGAAAAGAAAGTTTCACTTTACCGTCTTTTGTAAAGTTTGTGGAGTGCTGCGTATTTGTCACCTACATGCTAGATGTGATCCCAAATAAATGATAAATTTTGTTGAATTAAAATAGCAAAATGGAGTGGATTATTTTTTATGGACAAGGAAGTACACAATAGCAAAGCACCCTGAAGGACTCAAAAGTTAGATTCCTATTTATATCAGTCAATTTAAATCGTCCAACAACAATTGATAAAAGAATACAATTATTCAATTGATCAAAGAATACAATTATTAAAATTCTACAACTGAAAAGACAAAATAATTTCTCAATCAACCAGTCGTTGCTATTATAAGAAGATCTATTCTTCCGACTCCATTGTTGGACATATATACCGCGGAGTATCAAACTGGACTCGAATGTGTCTCTTATTTGATAAAAAAAAAAAAAAAAAAACCCCAATGTAGCATGTCTGATGAACGGATCCATCATGACTGAATATTCTTGATCGCAGTGATGATATGAACTCCAACGTATCATGTAGTATTATCTGTACAATGATTCCAGAACTTTGTTGATGAATGTTTTAGCTTTCTCGTTGTATGCGTACTCTATTCATAATTCTTTGACCTGTAAATTTGGTGGCAGACAAGATCAGAATCCATTGAATTTTTTCACTTGAGGTAGTGGCTTTGTGTAGGTTGGATAGCATAGGACTAAATATTATATGTGGTTCCGGAGATGGAGGTTGATTTGCAGAACAATTAACTAAAATAGAAATGTGGCATGAGATGCTTTTCCCTAGACCAAGTACTAGTTTTTTTGTGCTCTTATTTAGTCGAGAAAATCAACATACAATCCTAGCTTATCACTAACGTATGCTAACTGATGTCCATTCGACAGAGGACAATTATCTTGCAAAAAAGGTCAGAGTCTGGTGACTTGTTTGATGCAATGTGCAGTTTTTTCGAAACAGCTCAGGGCAAACTGAATTTCACTTAAATATGACATTCAACGCCAAGCATTAATCTTATAACTCTGATCAATTATCTTTCTGAAATGGAGGCAACGATAAAGTTATGCCCAAAAAAAAAGGGAAAAATGCACAAGAATTCTTTTTCGCAAATCTTGAATCATCTTAACAATCGGGATTATATTAATGGAGGCCCATTTCAACAACACCACAGACATCAAGAGAAAGTTTACTTCTGTGATCTATGTAAAAAAATTTGGCGGTACTTAATAATAATTGCCATGAGGTTAAATTAAAAAACACGATTTCGCTCCCGGACTAGAAAAGGAGTGGCCGATCCACTGATTCCACAATTGGATTTTAGGGTTTTAATTGGGAATCCTATTAGCTTTAGGTTAAACCACAAACTTCTATAAATAGGCTCCGCTACCATCTATTCCTTTTCTTCCTGTAATCCCCTCAATCTTTTTTTTTTTTTTTTCGAAATATCAGATGAAGTTCTAATTACAACCATTGCCACCATCAATTACTTACTTTTGAATGGGTTTAGATTTTAATTCAAAACCGACATGCCCTTATAAAATTGATCCAAAATCCAAAATACAAATTCACTAGAAACTCTAGCGGCGGGATTTAATTTCTCAATGGCAAGGGCTTCTGGTTCAGTGCGTAAGGCCATGAAGGGCTCAAGCGATGATGACAGGATTAGCAATTTGCCAGATTCCATGATTTTTCATATCCTTTCCTTTCTCCAAACAAAGGATGTGGTTGTCACAAGTGTTTTATCCAAGAGGTGGAAGTCTTTCTGGACTAAAGTGAACACCCTTGAATTTAAATCTCGTGATGAAGACAAGAAGGAGTCAAAAGGTAACAAAAGCATGACTTTTCCGCAGTTTGTTAACAATGTCTTATTTCGTAATGATGCTCAACACTTGGATAAGTTTCGGCTCAGATGGATCGACAGTGGATGCAATGCATGGTACGTTAACATGTGGGTCAATCAAGCAATCATTCGGAATGTCAGATATCTTTGTCTACGAGTTGATAATTCCGATATTCGCCTTCCTAGTAACCTTTTCACTAGCGGGACACTAGAAACTCTACTATCCCAAGGGCATTTTTTATTTAAAGTCCCTCAGGTGGTTTGTCTCCCCAAACTGAAGGTGCTGGGACTTAATGACGTTATATATGAATCTGCCGAGTCCTTCCAGACACTTATATCTAGTTGTCCTGTTCTCGAACATCTATTTATCCAATGTTCTGGCTTGCATGATAGCAAGATACTCTATAAAATTTCTTCTGCTTCACTGAGAACTCTTCATATGTGTTCCAAAAACTCGCCGGCATACCGTATCCAGGGCACTGGGAAGTTGGAAATAGATGCGCCTTTACTTGAATGGATGTATTTGGAGGATTACAATTGGAAGGAATTCTCGGTGACATGTCCGGCGTCTTTGACCAACGTGATACTTTCTTTCAATCTCTCTGGTTGCCCCTTCGATATCGGTCGATGCAATTTGATTACAAATCTGATTAAAACTCTGAACAATGTTAGGTCTCTGGAATTGAAAGGAACCATCATTAAGGCTCTTAGCTACACAGCTACCCCAATGTCAACAACGTTTGAGAGATTAACCAAATTAGATATCCATTGTGGTTGTGGAGAGTGGAGCTGTTTGAGTTCCGTGCTTCAATGCGTGAACGAATTACAAGTCCTTAAATTTACAAAGGCGCGTTGTGATCAATTATGCGCTCATGGGGAATGTTGGAGCGAACCCAAAGACATTCCTAAGTGCTTGTCCACCAGAAGTCTTGAAGAAATTTCATTCAGGGGATTCCAGGGCTTGAAGGATGAGATTGGAATGGTTAGTTATGTTCTCAAGCATGGTTTGGGGATGAGAAGAATTGATCTGAGCAGTGGAGTTTGTGAACCAAAAGAAGAGTTGCAAATCCTCAAGAAGGTTATGGCGATTCCCAGTTGTTCTCCTGCATCATGTGAAATCTATTTTAATAGAGATGCTTTACCGAGGTGCTGCTGCTGTCGTCCCCCGGCCTGAAAGATATCATTCCCTACAAAACAGCTTCCCCGGCATAGCCTGCGCGCTGCAGAACTATTACTCATTTTCTTTCATGTCATGGTTGTGTTTTTAGGTTTTCTGGTGCTTCATCTTGGAAGTTTTACATTGTAATTTAGCTTAGAGGAACTCACTTTACAATGATTCCATACTTACTCTTTCACACACTATTTTGGTGTTCTTCTAAGAAGTTTCAAGATTCTCAGCTGCAGATCAGTGTGAAAAACTTATTCAAGGAATTATGCAACTGAAGGAACTATGGTAGTAAGATGTAGCCATATCCCTTTGAAGATATGGATTTCCTCGATTTTTTAGTTTCATAATTTGACTGTTACAGGTTTGGTGTTTTTTTGTTTTTTTTTTTTCCAGATTTAGAATCCTACTTAGTGTTAGGAAATAAGGAATCCTATTACTATTAGCTTTAGGATAAACTGGAAGCCTTAATAAATATTGTATATAGGTTCTGCGGACTGTTTCATCTCCTCCATCAAAATATCCGCTTGAGTTCTGATTACAGAAAACAAATTATTACTTTTATTTTACAGTTGATTGAGGTTTTAATTCAAACTTGGGATGGTTGCGCTCAATTTTAAAAACCTTAGGATAAATCACTCAATTTTAAAATTTTGAGATAAATTGGCTAGTAAATGGTAAACGTTGGGATGTATCCGCCAATATTTCCTAATTTATAATTTTAGATAAACTCAAAAATAATTAATTTTTGAATAGTATATGTGTGTGTGTGTGTGTAAGCATAATCATTCTATTTTTCACTCAAAATAAAGAAATTTTTTTGGAAAGTTTCTTTAAGTTTTACGAAAAATTAAGATGAATCTGATTATAAAATAAATTAGATTCATTACAAATAAATTAAAGTTTTTAGTTTCTCCATTTATAAATATTGTTTTTGTTTCAATAAACTAAAAAAATTAAAAAAAATTTAAATAAACAGAAGCAAAAAATGCTAAATATAGGATCCAAATGATTTCACCTATTATACTATGTCACTTTTGTTAGTTTGCAGGTCATGAGATGGATCTGCTTAATTTTGATAACCTTGGGACGTAATTAACCAATTCTAAAACTTTGGGATGAATCGCTAGCAAGGTATAAACGTTGGGATGTATACACTAATATTCTCTTATAAACTATGTGTGATGCATAAATTATTTTGATTAATTAAGTAAGTTTTTTCGAGTTTTTTTTTTAATTTAGAAATTTTGTTTGTTTTTTAATGAACTAAAAAATGACAAAAAATTTTATAAAAAAATGAGAAAAAAAGAATAAATATTAAATCCAATAGATTTTTACATGTTATATCATGTCATTTTTTTTGTTTTACAGGTCATGGGATGGATATGTTCAATTTTGATAACCTTGGGACGTAATTGATCAATTTTAAAACGTTGGGATGTATCCACTCATTCACCCATTAATCAATTAATTAAAGAATAAATGCCCTAAAGAACTGGGACATGTTTTAGTGTATCAAGGAACTGCATTTTCTTCTAGTACTATTACGGTTGCCATTTTGTTCCAGGCTCCGAAAATATGTAGCCAAATCCCTTTTTAAGATATGGCTTTCCTTTATTTTTTGTTTCCTAATTTGTCTGTTACGACTTTCTAGGTTTTTCTTTTTCAAATTTAGAATCCTATCAGAGTGTTGGGAAATCAGGAATCCTAATAGTATTAGCTTTAGGATTTAGGAAACAAGGCTTTACATATGTTTTATCTCTTCTACTCCATTAAAATATTCGCATAAATTCGAATTACAACAACCAAATTGGTTCTACTTTACAGTGGATTTGTCACATATAAGAGTTCTTATTAGCCTTTTAGATATATTGGAGGGCTTCTCTGTGTAATATGCTTGGGAGTTGTCTAGCATAAATAGATCAAAAATCATGGAAGTCGGAAATCTCTTCTTTCCCAAATTCATGATTCTCCCTGTACCTCTCTTACTTCACTAAATCTGAAACCTAGTTCTCTAAGCCTAATTCTTAACCTTCTCTTTTTTCTTTGATCAACTTATCCCAATACGTGACAAATTGAGATTTAATTCAAACCGCAGTCGCCCAGTTGAAAACATGACCCAAAATCCGAACTACAAATTTACTGAGACGAACAGCAGCGCAGGATGGAGTTTCTATAGGGCAAGATCTTCTCGTGGAGGAGGTTCAAAAGTGGCAAAAGTCCTCAAGCCCTCCAGAGTTGATAGGATAAGCGAAGACTATGCGACAAGCAATGAGGCTAGAAAACTTATGCAAATTCTGTTACCATCAGACAGACCAAGTATTGTCTGATAATATATACTGGTTGTTAATGCGCAATTGAGCATCTCAGAAACACTACAATTGTGAAACGGACTTAATAGATTCTTAGTAGCATGAATCCTTCCTAATGCTGCTCGCACTTTCTGCAGGTGAGAGAGCTTAAAATAGTACTCTATCCGTCCTAGAAAAATAGTTCACATTACAATACAATTTGTGAATTATGTTGTTTTAAGGGTACGTTCTTTGCACCGTAAAGGGAATGGTACAATGGTAATCTCAACACAATTCACAATTTTAAATGTTGTCTCTCTGGACAGATAGAATACTACTTAAAATAAGTCTTGTGTGTGTTTTATACTAGCCGTTGTAGACCTCCCTCCGACCTCATAATATAGCTAAGCTGATTATAAATTAAAAGATGAAACTATCAAAGTCGATGTTCTGGGGCCGAAGAGGCGAATTTGGTTCTTTTTTTCTTTGAAAAAAAATGGTAAAGTAAATTTTCCGTGTTTTTTTATTAAACTATGTTTGGATCGTTTTTTGAGTGTGTTTTTTTGTATTAAGAATGTAAAAAGGTATATTGGAAATATAAAAAGGTGCATTGGGAATGTAAAAAGGTATGCTAAGATGACACATATATTAATTAAAAATTCTAAAAAAAACAATGAAAAACGAACCAAACGGAAATTGAAAATTCTTTCCCTTTTACTGTTAACTTTAATTATTATTACGAAACCCTACTAGTAGCTTTGGAATAAACCGCAAGCCTCTATAAATAAAGGTCCTGCGGACAGTTTTACCTTCTATTCTTTCTTGTTATTCTCCCCCAAAATTTTTTTAATTATCTTAAAAAATCTGCTGAAGTTCTAATTACAACACAATTACTTGTTTTTCAATGGATTGAGATTTTAATTCAAAAAACGCAACTCGCCCCTTTAAAAATTGATCCCAGACACAAGTTGAGTGAGATACTGTAGCCATGGCAGGAGCTTCTCCCGGGACAGGTTCAATGCGAAAGCTAATGAAGTGCTCAAGTGATGATGATCGAATCAGCAATTTGCCAGATTCCCTGATTTTTCATATCCTTTCCTTTCTTCCAACAAAGGAAGTTGTCGCAACTAGCCTTTTATCAAAGAGATGGAAGCTTTATTGGACTCAGGTCAGCACCCTAGATTTTGATCTTCACGATGAAGACAAGAAGAATGGAGAAGATAACAAAACCATGGATTCGTGCAATTTGTTACCAATGTTTTATTTCACAATGCTGAGCACTTGCATAAGTTCCGGCTCAGATGGGTCAGAAAGGAAAAGACTTTATAAAGTGAGACTAGACGCGCAATCTTTCGCAATGTTCGAATTCTTGATCTTCGTGTTGATGAAAAGAGTACTCGCCTTCCTAGTAACCTTTCCACGAGTGGCACACTGGAATTAATTCCTTAGATTATCAGTGCCTGTTTATATTAAAGTCCCATCTAGAGTTTGTCTTCCCAAACTGGAGGAGATGCGCCTTCGTCGTGTTGGTTATGAATCTGCTGAGTCTTTTCCAGAAGTTTATATCTGGTTGTCCTGCGCTCCAAAATCTCACTATTATATGTGATGGCCTCGTCGATAGCGCGAGAGTTTACAAAATTTCTTCTCCTTCGCTGAGAAGTCTTTATATACATTTCAGAAACTTTTTGGATGTTGGCGTCTACTCGTTGTTACCTGATTTTCTACACAGAGGAAAGCTGGTAATAGATGCCCCTGAACTTCAATTTTTCGAGTTGAAGGATTACAGTTGGAACTGAAATGACCAACTTCTTTTAGTAAAGTTAGACTTTCTCTCGATTTGATTGATTTTCCATTTGATAGTAATCGATGCAATTCGATGGCAAAGCTGATTCAAGCTATCAACCAAGTAAGCTCTCTGACTTTGAAGGGGGAAATTGTCAAGTCCCTTAGCACCGCCACGACCCGATGGTCATCAGTAACATTTGAGAGATTAACCAAATTGGATATTCAGTGTAGTTGTGGACAATGGAGCTCTCTGAGCGTTATGCTCCAATGCGGGATCAGATTACAAGCCCTATGTATTAGTAAGAGTCAATGTAGTGATCAATGCAATCACAGCGAATGTTGGAAGGACCCCAAGGACATTCCTGTATGCTTGTCAAATAGTCTTAGGAAAGTTTCGTTTTGTGGATTCCAAAGCATCAAAGATGAGATCGCGCTGATTAGGTATATTCTCAAACACGGTGTATTGATGGGAAGAATTCATCTAGCCGCTACTGCGAATAAGGGCTTTGATGAAAAGTTTCAAATGCTCAGGAAGATATCAGCATTTTGTTCTCCTACGTGTGAAATCCACTTTGATTCAGATAACTTCTTGTTATGTTTTTGCCATTGTTTTCTCTAAAAAAGATGTTAGAAGTGCCGGTCCTTAGTATGAGTAGGTTAACCTGTGGCCGGTAGAGTTATCTTAGCTTTCTTTCATGTGACCTTGAAACGGATCTGGAGTTGCTTATTTTTTTATTTCAACTCTTTCAAGCCAATTCTGTCTTTAGGTGCTTTGTAAGTTTGGTGTGTTTTTACTGGATTTTTGTGATGATTTTAACTCGAGCTCTATATGTGATCATAGTTTTGAGATGAATTTAGCCTTAGGATGCAGTGTGCTCAATTTTTGCTCCCTTAAACTAGTAGGCCCGGAGACCATAGCTCCTTTCAACTTTCTAACTTCAGAAATTGGCTGGTGACCATAGACCAAAAGTATTATTCTGGTTGCAGAACAGATTCAAATATGGCATACGAGATAATGTAATTCCTTGAATAATTGGATGAAGATGAGTAGATTTCTCTCCATGATTTATTTTGAAATCTCAGGAAGTGCCCTTGGATCGGAGAATCGCTTTTGGATCTCATTTGCGGTCATTTTTTATTATTATTATTTTTAATGAGAGGTCTGATATCTGATGCAATTTCTCATTTGCTATTACATTGGCAAGACGGCCGAATCATTTTTTAATTAGTATCAAAATATGCTTATTTAATCTTGCACCTCCTCTGAATTTAAGTTTTTTTAATTGCTTGTACTCTCTCTATCCCGAAACTGTTGTCCAGTTTCTTAAGTATAATTTGGACTAAATGAAAAAAAATTCTAAATGGTCAATCATTTTGGGACAAAAGAAATACTATTACATATATATACTGCAGCTTTAATTTTATTGGTCGTCAAAATAAAGTTTGCTAGGTGATTAAGTGAAATTCATGGCTACTGCTTATTTCCATCGTTGCACTTCGCTATGGACAATTCGAAGTTTGCAAAAGATATATATTCTTAATTCTAAAAGAGAGAGAGAGAGAGAGATCATAGTTCATAGCGCCAATTTGAAGACCAAAAGATTACTTGCAACGAGAATCAGCTTCGATTGATGTTGTGTTTTAGAGAACATTCCCTTTTGTAACATCCTTCCCTGTATGACCTCAGCTTCATAAACTTCAAATGGAAAATAAAAATTCAAATTGAATAATAATTTCGGGACGGGAGAATATTAACTTTTAAGATATATGAACGCTATACATGTCACCGTAATTACAAGTAAACCTTCACTAAATTTATTAGTTTAGGAAATTATTATATAATCAATAAATTAATATATTATTAATTTAAAGAGTTCCTTTTAAAAAAAAAAAAAACATAATGCATCATCATCTTTATGATCTTAATCAAGAGCTTCAAACTTTTCCCAATACTCAGTAAAACTTTTCTCATCATCTTTCCATCGCCTTCAAGAACTAAAAAAATACAATTTCATATTTGACTAAATATTTCTTATTATTATAGAGATTTGTTTCACTTTTATGATAACTCTTAAGTTTGGTATCGTCGGATCTACAAAAATAAATAGGGAATTTTTAGAAACTTTATTATTTATGATTTTATCGACTTTATTCACTTTTTAAATTGATCTCAAGCTGTCCCTTCGGGGATAACCGATAAAATTGGAATGATACAGAGAAGATTAGCATGGCTCCTGCGCAAGGATGACAAGCACAAATCGAGAACTGGTCCAATTTTTTTTTTTAATCTCAAGCTTAGAGAGGAGAAAGTTATTACTTACTCGTTATTATTAGTTTATATTTAGCGAGGATACTTTCCAGATCACAAATTGCCAGAGAAACCCTAGATCATTAGGTTTGCCAGAGAAACCCTAGATCATTAGGTTCAGCCTTCAGCGGAGGATAACTTGTCAATGGAATCAAGGGCTGCTTCTGGGGCGGATTCAATGACAAATATCCAGAGAGTCTCGATGGATGATGATAGGATTAGCAATTTACCGGAATCCATGATTTTGCATATCCTTTCCTTCGTTCCAACGAAGGAGGTCGTTCAAACAAGCGTTTTATCCAAAGTCTGGAAGCTTTTCTGGACTAACCCTTGATTTTGTTAAAATCATGGAACCAAAAGGTGCCAAAGGCATCATCAATTTTGTGCGGTTCGTTAACAATGTGTTACTAAACAATGATGCTGAACACTTGCACAAGTTTCGGCTCACGTGGTACCAAAGTGGATACGAAGCTGTCGACGTAAATATGTGGGTCAAACATGCCCTCTTACGTAATGTTCGAGTTCTTGTTCTGAGAGTTGATACTTCGGCTATTCTCCTCCCTGGCAACCTTTTCAATAGTGGGACGCTAGAAATTCTCAGATTATTGGGTCCTGTTTTAATTAAAGTCCCTAGGGTGGTTTGTCTTCCCAAACTGGTGGAGTTGTGTTTTGAGGAAGTAAGATATGAATCGGCTGAGTCTTTCCAGGCATTTATTTCTGGGTGTCCAGTGCTCCATTCGCTCCGGGTTACATGTAATCGTAGCCATAACCACATAGTTAATAACATTTCCTCCCCTTCCCTAAGAAGTCTTGAAGTGGTGTACTGGAAGTTTTCCGGATCCTCAGCGTTAGGGTTGCCGTCGACTAATCTACAGCTGGAAATATAGATGCTCCTGCCCTTGAAGCCCTCCATCTTCAAGTTGACTCAGGGGAGTTTATGATCTCCAAGGTCTTGGTGAAAAGCTTAGCGCCTGTGGATAAGGTGAAGCTTGCTGTTATTTTCAGTAGCGGTTGTGATACAGAAGGATGCAATACAATGTTGAAGTTGATTCAGGATCTGAATGGGATGAAATTTCTGACCTTAGACTGGATAGTCCTCAGGGCTCTTAGGAGTGCCACTATTCCCTTGTCACAAAAGTTTGATAGACTAACCAAATTGGAGGTCCCCCGCTTCTGCCATGAGTGGAGACTTCTGAATGTAATGCTTCAGTACTCACCAAAATTGCAAATCCTCAACATTGGCAAATATTCTTGTTTTGAGAAGTGTACTTCGGGGGAATGTTGGAGGGACCCCAAGGACGTTCCTGAATGCTTGTCAAACAGTCTCAAAGAAGTTTCCTTTACCAGGTTCGACGGCTTCGAAGATGAGGTGGCAATGCTTAGTTATATTTTCAAGCACGGTGTAGTCATGAGAAGAATGAGAATAAGGTCCAGAGCTGGAGACTCCGAACAAAAGTTTCAAATGCTTCAGAAGATGTCTACTGTCCCCAGATGCTCTCCTGCCTGTGAACTGCAGTTTGATTAAGGTTTCGTTAGGGGAATTTTCCTCCTACTATGTGTTTTCTTTAATCTTAATTGCATTATTATTTTCAAGTCTTTCTAGTTAGATCAGCTTAACTAGTTGCACTTGTGAATTTGATTATCTTTTGACTGGTTTTGTGAAATGATTGATTAATTTAAGCTCTGCGCACAATGTGACTTTGTTGGTGATGAGTGTTTTGACTAATCAGAATATGCTTGCTGTGTATTCTTTGCTTGGCTCCCATTAAGATTGGTGGGAGATCAGATTTCGGTTAGCTTGAGATGCAGCGAGTTTACACAATCAAAAACAGATCACGAACTTGAGATAGGAAGATTTGCTGGACAAAAGGAAGCCTACCAGATATGTCATTTAGGTCAAATAAGATATTCGTTGATGAACAAATTGATGTCGTTGTCGATACATAAATTAAAAGGTACCCTTTGCTTTACAAGAATTTCCTTTCGGGTGCTAAGACTTCCTGCCAGAAAACGATCACTGTAGGAGACAGTTTAAGATGAAAATAAGGCCAATCAAGAAGACTAACTATTATTTCCATAGCCAATTTGCAATTTTGCTGGTCCACAATTACAATTTAAACAGGCAAGAAACCAGTTCACTAGCTCAATCATACAACACAAGCTATGTACATTTTAGGTAACTGGAAAAAGCCACAAGCATATCAATCGTGTGTGCCATTACCACTATCAAGCAGTTAGCGTTTTCCGAATCTCTAGTATAGCAAAGCTTATGCGACAGAAATGAACTGCACACCAGATGCAGGCTCCGCAGGATCCCTGCTCCGGAGCCCCTTGTGCTGCATCTTTGAAATTTTAGTGGTATACGTTCATGTTGTTGTTCTTGATTAAGCACATAAAAATTCTAAAGTAGTCTCAATTGCAGATCAGGATAACCAACTCTTCTTTTGTGCCTTTCAAAGAGATCATCGAGTGCTTCAACGAATTGGCTATGTACTTCAGCAACCTGTTGTAGGATTATGTGAAAAGAACTTAGTCAATCATTCAGCCAGCCTCCATCAAATAAAAGGCCGTAAGTGCAGTAATAATGAAAAAAAGTCAAGTAAATAATGAAGAATTCTCTTGTAACTTCTCCATATAATTGAACTGTCCTGATCCTCAGTGGTTGTTATTAAGAACATGCAAATAAGTAATGTGCAGTTTTAGAAGCAGCACGGGCATAAAAGATAGCACACTGATTGAGAAATTTAAGTGGTAGTTGATAAATTTAACTCCTAATCCATCACTTATCTGCAAAGTAGGCAACAGCAAAGATAATTAAAACATAAAAAGTAAAACGAGGACATAAGCGAGAATTCGATGCATCACTAGGATTCCTGTTACACAAAATGATGCGATGGAGAACTCGATTGTGAATGGATAAAGAGGCGATTGTAAGCAATCGATCAGTGACATAAGAACATACCTCCTCTGCAGTGGGTTGGGAATTTTTCTTGACCAGGATAGGTTTCCCAACTACAACATGCATTGGGCGCCTCAGGGGAAGAGGGGACCTGCAATCGTATCATAATCAAAATTCCAAAATTAATCACTGTCTACCACATTCTCAAAACAAATACAGGGAGAAAGATTCTCCAGTTTCTCAATTTACTGGTTGATTTTGTACTACATCTTGCTGTATCGCCCTATGTTCGATAACCAACTAATAATAAAGTCATCAAGTATCTAAAGGAAAGCTCATCGACAGATTAAAATAATCGAGACAATTTGTGATTTGTTAGTACATACCCAAGAACACCCCAGAAAACGATAGGTGTGAACTTTATAGCCCTAGAGAACTCCAAGAACAACTTTCCGCCGGGCTTCCACCAGTTGTAGACCTCCGACTACAAAATAAATAAGGCAGAACAAAATAAATAAATTGATCTAAGAGAGAAAAATGCACAACATATTGAGGAGAGAGTACTTTAGGTGCAAATTTATAGCCCTAAAAGACTCACGAGAACAAACACTTTTATCTTTAGTACTATGAAACCATGTTACAGACACTCATGTTTTCATAAGAAATCACACTCAATTCGATACCCTGAGCTTTGACTCCCAAAAGAAACTTATCCGAGTATATATACATACCTGTCCAAAGCAAAAAACTGGAACTAAAGGTTTTCCCAATTCCATAGCAATCCGCACAAATCCTCTCCTATTCTTGATGAATGCAATCTACAATCAGAAAAGCCAACAGATGTAGATTTTACAAGGATAAAAGTAACAGATAAAGAAATATTTCTTTATCAGAAATAACATCAGCGTAAGTAGAATATGACAATTTTTTCACCAGAATTCTACAATGCAACTTTTATTTCTAACAATTTGGCAAGAAAGGGAAGTTACTTTATTGCCAAAGATTTTGCCAGTTCAGCTATTTCGCAAGTTACTACATATTTCTCCTTCTGCCAGTCCTTTTTAAAAAGCTTTAAATGTAAATTTCAAGAGAGAGCACATACAATTCAAAGAACTTCTTTTTACATATGAAGACTCCATACATATATTTTCTCCTAGGAAGAGAACCTCAAGTTTTTCTTATAGGTCTGGAGAACAGAATCATCCTCAATGCACACATGTTCAATGCAGAGCCATCGAAATGGAAAAGCAGAAATATCAGTCATGGCAGAAGATACACTAAGTAATCATCACATTTTGCATATTGCAGCTGCCGAAGAATTCCCCCAGCCTTGCAATCCTCTCTTTCAGTTATCGGGTAAAAATTAGACCAAAACATAAAAGGAATCAGATATAAATAATCTGTTATGCCATTCTTTTACGTCTAGAAGGAGGAAACAGAAATTATACCTCCGATCCATGCTCCATATAGTATGCCTCTTGAACACCTCCTGGCACTACAATACAACTATATCCAGATTCCAAAAGAGAATAAAAATTCTTCCTTGTCGCTGGTGTAAGTCCCAACCATGTCCATATATGTCGCAGGAGAGGTGTGTAAAAAACCTGTATCCATTTTTCCACTTTAGGACAAGCCAACTTTTATATAGCTAAAAAGCTTTACAGGTAAGGGGGGTGCTTACGGCAGTGCTTGCAAGAACCTTGATCTTGGGAAGAGGCATAAACCCTGTAAGGTCAGCAAGTGCAACTACACCAATTGGCCAGACAGAATGCGGCTCATAGCCAAAAACTGCAGACAGAGATCACCTTTAACTTTGAATACTACCATTACTGAGAAGAAGAGGGACAGGCACTTTGTTTTGAAGTCAAAAAGAAATCCCTTGAGAGGAATTGACGAGAATTCCAAATGCATAATAGATCAAGCAAACAGAATGCAAAGAAATTATTATTGGCCGATTCAGCACATCTAATAAAGTTTGATTTTATTTAGACAGTTACATTGGAGTTTCTGTTCAGCTGAGATGCTCAAAACCAAAGGTTGAATTGATTTCTTTCACGAGTAACACTATAAAGATAGTTCTCACAGCAACATGTTTTCATTTATTGATTAGCCCATCATTCATGAACAAACCACCGAGTCATGGTTTTGAATAGCTACAGTTGGTAGAAAATGAGAGTATCATGATCTGATCAAAAGTCCCTTTCATATACTGACTTCTAGATGAATCCTCAATTAATTACAAAGATTTGATGACCAACTACCAACCAATAAACTCATTGAGGATCAAACAGACACATGCGAGAAACTAAGCCACCAAGGAAAAGAATGTCTAACAATTGAAAGCTGAAAACTTTACTTAAAAAAGAAACTGTAAGCTCAAGATAAGTATGAATACCGTACGCCTCATTCGGATCAAAGGCTTTATAGTCTTCCACATAAAGACTAACTGGAAAATACCCACAAGCATGCTTACATATGTACCTGAAAAACGAATGGAAAATCCAAAAAATTGGACTTTTAGCTGCAAATAGCAACGAACAAATTTCCAGAAACAAAAAAAAAAAAGGCAGGAGAAAGAATAGTTGTTAACTAAATGATCCAACAAAAGCAGAATAAAAACCCAGAATTTGATTGACTACCTAGACAATTTCCGACCCCATTTGCTCCTTTCATCAATGGGCAGCACCATTAAGATCATCAACAATCCTATCACCCTGAAAAAAACCATATCAGCAACAGCATGCCGATAATTTAGAAGAAAAGCTCCAACCAAAATCCATCAAGTATAAAGAAAATAAATAAATAAACAGAGAGAAAAAGAAGACGAACAAGATGGCTTTGGAGAAAGGGAGGAAGACGAAGGAAGCCAAAACAATGAGAGCGTTGAAATGGACAGAACCAAGCCAAAGTATCAGCGCCAAAATTGTATGTAACATCGACCCACGAATTCCCTTGAACTCCGCCGTCGTTCCCTCAGTCGGTACTTTCATCCCCGCCGGTGCCGGCGGTGAGTGAGCTGATCCACCGTCCGCCTCCATCGTCATAATTATGTTCCAGCTGAATCAAGCTCTTTCTCTGACTAATATGTGGGCGAAATCTACGATACGGCTCTGTTTTTATAGGACGAAATCAAAGATTCTGGAAACGACGTCGTTATCTGGTGGGAGGATGAGTTGTAGAAGCATCATGTTTCATCAAAATTGGAATAATTTTTCTTATCTTTTTCATGATGGTGATGTATTATTATTGCATGATTCTGGTGAGTTCACCTAGGTGTGCTAAATCATCATATAGTTATTTTTTTTTTCCCTTTTTATCTCTTTAGCTCTTAATTCCAAAATGGAAATAAAATCCAAAAAGAAGCTTTATTTAATTCTGATGATGTAGTCAACCCAGTTTCATTTCTGAATATTTATTCGTTTCATTTTAATAGTTTGATCGGTAAAAGGGAAAGAAAAGTACACAAACCAGGGACTACCATTTCATTCTTAACTTCTTCAGCTTTTAGATGGATAGATGAAATGAAATGAAGTGCAATCAGTATCATTTGGAACTAAATTGTCAAAAAAAAACAAAGTCATGCTCTAATTTTATTTAATAGGGCACATTAATGAATGTTTTGGATCCACCTCGCTAACAAGATATGATCGATATTGTTTATCGGTGTCCTTCGTTGAGGAGTGATAGAATCTATTTTCAAGCTAGACCTAAGAAAAAATAAAATAATAAGCCTAGTACAGAATGTGTAAAAACATGTGAGTTTTGATGTTACATCATCCAGAACAACAGATGAAGAAAAATGTTTAACCCGAATCACATGAATCAGCCTAAAATCCTGCTTCAATCATGTTTGCTAGATTATCAAATAAAGACTTAACCAATTATGTGACGAATTTCAAGATGGATTCCCCATTGATAGTTCCGAAAATTGAGACGTCGGAAATTGCAATCCTTATTTTGTCGTCTCAGAGCAATAATACGACAATGTGTCGTTACCATTGAGAATAGCTTCAAGCCACAAAATCAAAGTTTACTCCTCCCTCGTAACCATCTGATGCACCACATATTCTTGGTTTTTCAGTCCTGCACTTCTGTATCTCTGGCTTCATTCATTCATCAAGGGTAAATCCCCAGACTACGTAAAAAGTTATTTTTTTAGCTGCGAGTTTTGTCGAAAGGGAAAATCATCAGAATCAGAGCAATGTTGGGTTTTTTTTTGATGATTGATTCGTCAATTTTATTCATTCATGGATCAACCCTTTGAACATTTTTATATTCAAGTGAAGATGAACCAAGAGTCTAGGCAATCCTGTGTGAATATGAACTATGAATGTTTTGAAACATTTGATTTCAGTTACAACCCAAATGAAACCATCCAATCCACTTTTTGTAGCCTTTCTTACTCCGTCTTCTACCATTCTTGTCCACAATTTCCTGGGCAGCAGATGATATATTTGAGTCCTGGTCCTGCAGATTGGCATAAAAATCAAGCAATCAGGACATCTTTCAGGAATGGAACAAAAACTGAACATCATTGCTTTTCATCTTACAAGTACTTCAACTGGACTATCTCTACCCGGCATAGTCATGACTTCATTCTTCTGATCATGTATCTTCATCTCATCTCTCCTGCCTGACCCGGATGGAGATTTCAAGTTTTGGTCTAACTTTTCAGTATTTGGAACTGTGGAAGAACTCGACTTGGGAGTGTTTTCTTCATCCATCTCCAAGCTCAGCTGGAATTAAAAAAAAAAAAAAACCCAGCTTTAATTTAAACAAGTTTCTTGCAGCCAGAATTTCATCTGATTAGGTAAAAAGAAATGAAATGAAAGTAGAACCTGTAAGACTCTGTTCTCAAGCATGGTTAGTCGTTCCATGAGTGTCCCTTTGTGTTGAACTTCCTCCAGAGCAGATGAAAGGGTCTTGCAGTGATCATTTTCTGGTTTGATTTCTTTCTGCTCATCAGGATTTCTCCTTGACAAATTATGCTTCTCTTCAAGAAGCTGCAGCTGCAAAACATAATACCGAAATGCGTGTAAGCTTGTAGATGAAGAAGAATCGAGCTAAACAAGGTAATAATCAGCCAAAAATGAAACTTGAAAAAAAAGGCTTATTACGACTTACAAGTCGATCAAGGCGGTCTAATCTGGGAAGAACAGGGCTGGGAGGAACTAATTCATCATGCATCTCTTGTTTGTCCATCACTTTGATCAATTGCATGTTGCTTTTTTTGCTGTTAAAAACAAAGCTTGAGCGCTTCTCAAGTTGGGATCTTTTTCTGTTTATTATTATAAGTTGCAAGTGTGAAAGTGGATACCGAGAGATCTAGATATGGACACTATTTAATTGATGTGGACTGAAATAGTGATGAAGCTGTTGTGAGCTTTCATTCTGTTATCAAGAAGTCAATCAAAGGGGTGCAGTAAATGACATCAATTCAACAACCACCAGGCCATATTTCCCATGTCACGTTCTTACTAGTTGATCATGAAAAAACAATCAGTTTCTGCATTTCTTTATTCAGTTATTGTTATCTGATGATGGGCTTAGATATGTATCCCAACCAAACCGCTTCCCGCACGCCACTCCTTCCCTTCTTCCGCGCTCTCCCAGTCAGAATTGTGGGATTGGATTCACGTTGGATCTGTCTATATTTGCATGTCTAAACAAAAAAACAAAGCTTGCTCACGAAGTTCAATAGTGCCTTAGCAACGTGTTCGGCTTCTATTTTGTATATTACGCACCCACTAATCCAAATTCGAGTCGTGTACGTTTCTTTTTTGGTGTATTAGCACTTAATAATCCGAGTTCAAGCAAGATAAATTTCTTTCGGGAAGCAAAGTTCTCCCACATATTCAGCTTCGATAGACCAAAACAGGGCGGGAGGATTGAAAGGAGAACCTGAAACTTGAGGTATCTGGAGCTTGCACTATTCCACTTTACCGTCTATACATATTATTATAGTTTGCGATTTTACTGAACAAGCTACCTTCGGTTTTACCTCCTGAAAGACATCTCTTTTGCTGTTTTATACACAAAAAACCTCAAAAGGGGAGAACACAGGAGGAAAGTAATGGAAGAAGCTGAGGACGAAAAAATATAGAAGAAAATTTCTGAATCAATTGGTGCAACTGCAAACTATCACATCCACAAGTAGCTTGGAACCGAATCAATCAGCAACTCAGTTTGTTTAACAAAGAATGTAACAAAGTATCCCTTACACTTGTATTTCGTAAGCAAAATTACCAGAAAGAAAGTGCCCTTGAGGGATTTGTGTGCACTTGGAAACTCAAATAGGAGATAAAGAATGACAGAAGCTGTCTAGTGCAAAGGACACTAGGAAGTAAGGGACCCTGGAAGGAGAATGAATAAAATGAAACGAAATCGCTCATGCATGTCTAACTGATAGCTATATACAGGATTCACAGGTAAACAGGAACAAAATGATATTGGTTATTGTCTGTTGGCAAGTTAAAACTTACTGTGCTGGAAGCATTCTGATCTCCTATTTGTTTCTACATTTTAGCACTTATGACTTCAGTTTGAGAATGCTAGAAAGATTATCAGTTACAAGAGGATCATGGTTTTGAGCATCAGAAGCATTAGGAGAGTGTAGCATAATTTCTATTGTTGGAGAACTGAGAAGAGCTCCAAGTTCTCAAGCAAAGCTAGGGCTACAGATGCTATTAGCACACCAGAAAACAGTTTCTGAGTTGAAAAGCTATTTTGCAAACATACAGAAACCTCACACGCCAAACCAACCACTTCGTATTGATTAATCTGTGCAGCATTCAATATCTCTTATTTACGACTATCATTTAGGAGCTCAGGAAGAAGCCACCAGGGCAAGCAGCCCAAACTTTGTCTTGAGAAGCAGAGGGAGGGGGCAGCATTTTCTGCCCTGGTAGAGTAGATGGAGAAAACTCCCAATGATTACATGATTTTACAGGTCTGAACCACAGGAGATTGAGAAGATGCACAAAATCTTAGAACATCAATAACTTAAGACAATTAACTGAAAAGCCATTCAATTGTTACTAGTTTAGTATAACACAACTCCATAAACTTCAGAATTTGTGTTTACAGATGTTTAGAGCAGTTAATATTAGTAGCTCAAGTGACTGAACTTACAGCTACAGTTAATATTAGTAGCTCAACAAAACCACCTTAGTTCTGAGAGAAACAATATTTTATCAACACCACAAGTAATTCTGATATACAAACCTGCATGGAGACTTGTATTTGTAAAAGAACTATGTTGACCAAAAAGATCTTGGTACAGTCGTTAACCTAATAAATAGCAATAATCCACTTCAAACAAAGAGAGCTTTAACTGAAAGTGGTTTGACTGTGAGAGGAAAGAACTGTATAAGCTATCCACTTCTGCAGAAGTTTAAGTAACTTGGAACTTTAATCTTCCATTACATCACTACAGAATGAACACAACAACTAGCTATGCCGTGAGAAAAATTGTTGCTACGTAACAGAGGAGGAGAAACGAATGCAGCCATTTTGTATGAGCATAAGAGAACCAACCAACCCACAGAAAGTCTGGATCTTAAAGCAAGATTTGGAGCTTTATATTCAAGCTCCGTATGTAATCAGTAGTCACCACACAGCACCATCTTCGACATGGTTTAAAATGAATCATCCACATAATCACTATGCAAGCAAAATGAAGCCCAATGTATCCATGGCCTTCACAGACTAACCTTTCCAGCAGTGGTGTGCAATCAAGATTTCAGACACACAACTGGAATGCAGAAAATCCTAAAGATATCCATCCCGGCGATCCTGCTCCTCTGCCTCCTTGTTAGCAACTTGGACTGATTTAAACCAAAGAAATGCCTGGAATGGCTTATATAATTAATTTCTCTTAACCATAAACTCTACTTTAACTTACTACATGCAAATTGCAATGGTTAGCTTGAAAATTATTCATGAACAGCCAAGTGAAGCTAACTCATAAAAACAGATTATAGGGCCCAAATTATTTCACACTACTTAAAAATTGGGTTGAAACCATTTTAATAACGAAAATGAAATCAATGTACACGAAATTCTCAGATGACACCAAAGTACTACTATGTATATTAGCGGCAATACAACAGTTACTTAAAGGACTGCACATACCGAAGTGGGGATGCCCGTGAATGCGAAAAAACCAAGCAATGGAGCATAAAAGATACTGTCCGAAGCCACAACTCCAAATACGGGTTTTTGGTTTATATACTCAAAAACAGAGCCAATCTGCATCGTTCAATCAAAACCAACTATCAAGATACACAAAATTTCTCCATCACAAATAAAAGAAAATAAAGGAGAAATCAAGAATACAGAACAACTCAAAGAAACACCATTTACCGCAGCAATGGCAGTGATGGCTGAGGCAAGCAAGTAGACACCATAGGGAACTTGTAAGCCAGAAGATTCATTCTGGGACTCATTACGAGCCCATGGTGGCAATTCATCCGAGTCGGGCTTAGCCCAAGAAGGAACTGAAGGGTCATCCTCTTCAAATGACTTGCTTGAATTTTTCTTGGCAGAACCTTCAGTTACAGCCAATACACAAAACCTACGACTACTACGACCTGAATTTTTCCTTGCCGGGCCATCTTTAAGATTGAATAATCGTAAATTGAGAGACCCCAGGTATGGAAATGGAAGGGGAATACAAGTTCTTTTTGGTGAATGGGCAAGTGAAGAAGCAGAACTGCAAAGAGATAATGGAGTTAAAGTCGCCATTACTGAAATTGAAATTCTCAGCAAAATAAGTCCTTGATGTTAATCATAAGATTATGCTAATCCATAATGCATGCTTGCTAGATATTGAAATGGGTTTGAGGATATTTCCAGCCAAAATTCAGAAGCATTTTCTGAGAGAATTGGATGGTAAAGGGGTATCCACAAATTTTTGTTTTCTGGCCTTCTTTCGTTGTCATCCCCTTTTTTTTTATTTAATTTTCTGTTTTTCATTTCTTATTTTCACGTAAGACCAAAATCAACGGGCCAAATTACATCAACAAAAGTGTCCATGTCCAAGTCCAAGAATAGTTGACTTACAGTTCAAGATCCAAATGGTTTAATGTAGCCCACTAATAAGAAGTCCATAGTTGTCAGCTGCCTTCATTTCGAAGAGTCAAGGTCCAATTGAAGACCCAGAAAAATAATACTCCCTCCATCCCATAATTATTGTCCACTTTGCCCAAAAAATTTTGTCCCAAAATTATTGTCCAATTTGACTTTTTATGGATCAAGTTACACATTTGTCTTTAGTAAAAAATATTATCCATAAAATCTTAGTGGTTAAACAATTACTTATGTAGGGGTACATCCGGTTGTTTAAGGTAAAATATAATTAAGTTTGACTAAAAATAAAATCTTTCATTTTAATAAAACTGGACAATGATTATAGGACGGAGGGAGTAGTTAGGATGATAATTAGTTAGGATGTAGTTTTGTTGTGATTTGGACTTCACAGAATATTTGTAGATATATAATCTCAAGACAAGAGAATATTTATATAATCTCAAGACCCAAGAGAATATTTGGGCAATTTATATGCTGCAATTCTCGACATACTACCCTTGGGATAATTGTTCCACTTCACCAAGCATTAGGCTGCCAATCCCAATATATGTAAAGATTACTGATGAAGAGAAGTGACCCAAAAGGGAAAATTTGTTTAACTAACCTTCACTATAAATAAAAATTTTTTTTAAAAAAAAAAAGGAAAAAAAAGGGGTAGGATGCCTTGTAAGGCTAGCTTGTGATGGCGTTGAAAAAAATTTAGCAAAGTGTAATGATGGCAAATCCCACATTAGTTAATGTCCAAAATTCCTTGCAATTGATGACAGTATGATGATGATCACATATTACTATAGTAATAAATATAAGTGCATTATCCACGGCTGCAACTAGCTTTTGCACACCGATCATACTAATAATTTGTTACCAAAATTTACCATTTATCCCTTTCATCATTAAGTTCAGTAGTAGTAGTAGTAGTTATAATCATTATCTCTCAACTGACATGATACCATAGTTTTTTTTTTTTACCAAAGAATATTTCTCCGATTACCGAAAATGAACAACTTATGATTCTCAAAATCATAATAATACAAATAGTCAAAAAAAAAATCTCAATAATATTCCCTTTATTCCATAATAATTTCATGTTCGTGACGAGATCGAGGATACCCGTATGACAAGACCACTAAATATGTGCATGGTTTTGGTTTTCCTTTGGTTTATTTCTATTTTCTTTCTAGGCTCTTACAACTAGCCATTTTTCTGACGTCGGAAATTTGGATCGTTGTTCAAAGTTCACTACCTTTAGGAGCAAGTCTCGCGCTGTTGGCCGTTTTAGGTCTACATACATTTCTTACAAGTCATGCAAGTTGTGTTATCATCGTACAGTGTGTCCTAATCATAAACCAATCAAGGGGGATCGATTGTGTGTCAAATAAAAATTTATCACTCGATCAAGTTTTGAACAAGTTTTAGCTCTATTGCCTTTCTTTCTTTTTTTTTTTTTTGTTTTAGTCATTGCTTATGTCCTATTTAAATAGTTCAGTAATTAGGATGGAAAGGAGAAATCTCTATTGTTTATAGAATTCATGTATGGCACTTTGATTTAAACCAATAAGTGTTACTTCTCTACATCGTCATTTAATTTGTAGACAGAAAGAGTAATAAACAACAAAACTTGGATATTTTTGCTATAACTACGATTACGAGCGGATTGATTTTCTTTTCTTTTTGGTGCGTGTAACTTAATTTTTTACTGTTGGTTTACTTTTCTGTTTTTTTTTTTTTTCCCTTGAACTGATAACGGATAAATTACAGTGTGTGGTTTTGACATGTTTTTTTGTGGGATAAATGTGTGGGTACACGTAGAACATTGAAAGGGTCAAAAGGGATCAAATGCTATTATTTTGTTCCAACAAATTTCATAGGATAAGCTGGGTTTCGAGGCCGACAAAAAACTTTGGTTAATTTTATGTTACCCAAGTATCATATTGTTTTATAAATGGACTTACCTGGCCCACTTCTGCCGGGTGAAGCTTCATTCGAACAGTGGAGAAAGGAGGATTCAAGCAAATCACAGCGCACTTGATCCATACCCTGCGGGAAGAAGCTGCCTCCACCACCACTGTCCAAAATTTCCCACAATTTCCTTCCAATTTGTACCACAACACCTGGTTAATTACATCATTAATTAATATACTGTTAACGTGTATTATCTGTTCCACGTCGACAAAGTAAAAATAAATAAGTTAATATATAAATTTCAAATCCACTGATTTTGAAATAAGAGTCCAAGGTACGTAAATACTTTGACAGATATTAAACGGTGAATCCAATAACATACAACATAACTGAAAATCAGACTTATATAACGTTTATTATTTATTATTCAATGATTATTACGTTTTCATTATCTGATGATTTAGTCCTATATATATAGTATAATGGTGTATGCAATTCTAGATCGTCGTGATGAGAAATAAGAAAAATATGTGTGGGTAGGAATATATTAGTATGTGTAACTGTGCACACCTTGTTCATGATGTGTCGATAAGATGCTTCCTTTTTGTTCGATTTTGAAGGGTTGCTTTTACTGATTTTTTCATTTTAGGTTTGTTTGCTTTCCTATTTGGCATTTTTTTTTCATCTCTCCCAATTCTTTTGGACTCGCTCTCTCTCTCTGTCTCACGGGGATGTGGAAATGACTGGTTTTTTTTTTTTTTCCCTGGTCTGTGATGTGGATTCAACAAGAAGCAATTAAATTTCAACCCAGAAACGCAGAAAGGCATCTAGCTAACCATGTTTTTGTCCGCTTTTTATAGAAATTTCCCTCAAAAGTTATGGAATTATTTAAGATTATCGTGAATTAATGGTACAAAACTTCTCCTTTACTTCTATTGTTGCTTAATTCTGAAACAAAATCTTCGTCACGAGTTTTTTAAATTTTTGTAATTACTCCTTATGTTCCAAAATAACAAAACAATATACTCTCCCGGTCCTTAATATAAGGCATTTTGATTTGTCATAGGTTTAACCTAGTACGTATTTATAATTGACCAAAAATTCTTAAAAATATTTCATAACAATCAAGAGAATATAACGAATGCGAAAATATATTTTTAAGATTTTTTTCATCAATTAAAAATGCATGCTAAGTTAAACATATGACAAAATCAAAATGTCTTATATTAAGGACTGGAGGGAGTACAATACTTTTGTTTTGCACCCTCTCCGTCCCAACCAAAAAAAAAAAGTAGATTGTGATAAATTATTTTTTCTGAGACAGAAAAAGAATCATAATTGAGAGTTCAGTGTGATTCATCTAGCTAGCGCAATGATGAAAACAAAAGGGTATCCAATTAAAAACTCAATCAAATCAGATTTGAAAGAGTAATTGCTAATCATTTTCCTTGCCACTTAATTGAAGCTAATTTGTTCACAATGTAATTAATAAACACTGAAAGCTAAGAATAAATAGTGGTACAAGTATAACAATTATAGCGAAGATCGTCGGTCGACATCTAGGGCCATTCTGACAAATGCCCGACTACACTAACCTAACTTAAATGAGCTAAAAAATCAAAATACTTTTTATATATTCGATTGCGATCTTTTTGATGCTTTTACTCCAATTTCCTACATTATGCAAATGATCTCATTACATTTGATGAAATCAGCACCTACGTAGCTCTTAGCATTATTATGGTTAATAATGAGAAGAATTTCTTTAACTAACACTTCGACCATACCGCAAAAAAGTGAAGATTTTTATTAAGGAATGTATCATCATCAACCTGTTAATTATGGACGGATTTAAGTGTTTTCTTGTCAAAAGAAATTATTTTTATGCCATCTTTTCAGAGAATGGTCTGATTGGACCTTGTGTTGAAGGGATTTTTCTACCTTATAAATTATAATCATAAAAATGTTCATTTAGAGAAGCATTTCCATTTCTTCTGTATATATGTGAAATTTTAGAAAGTCAGAAAAATAATGGCTGACTATCAACAATGTGTCCGAACATCTGAAATAAAGAGGAGGCAAAAGTCATTGAATAGTGGACTAAACAAGAAAACATACTCCACAATCCTCAATTGCATCAAACCTTTTTAATGGGCTGATTTCCAAAGATCAAAACAGAAACTAATATAAATACTTATTAAATTCAAAAAAGTAGAGCAAAAAGAAGAAAGAAAAAATCTGTCAGTTTTCGGTATGGTGTAAGCATGCCAGCATTTTGATCTTGATTTTGATTTCCCCAGGAATATTTTTGTTCCACCTTTTTTAACGGTCTCTCCCAAAATTCTGATTGCTTGTTGGTTTAGTTACTGGGGGGTAATGATAGTGGAGGGCCTCGTGGTTTGGTTCAGTTAAAAAGCAAAGCCATGCTCTGACGTCCACTCCACAACTCCCCTTGTTCTTCTTTCTTCTTCTCTCTTTCCCTTCTTCTTTCTTTTCTCCTCACCAATCTTTCACGTTTACACAATCTTTCTATTAACTGCCCTCAAAAGAAAAAAAAAAAACAAAATTCCCATGAATTAATTGGCTGGTCATAATGAAAAAGATGTGATTTTCACAACCCAGTTCATCAATTTTCCATTCCTTGTTAAGAACATCACTATCCAGGCCAGGAGTAGGGGGGGCATTAGGCCAAATATTTGCTGTTACAAGCCTACAAATAGAGAAAAGGACCACCTTTTTTTGGTTGTATCTTACGCTTGTGAACAATCTCCTTCAACCCTTTTTCGTTTTCTCTCCCCATATTGGTTATTTTCCAAATCATTCTGCAAAGTCTACAAAGTGCCCCCAGTTACATACATTCCTTGTATATTTGTCCCTTTTGTCTCTTTAAGAGTGCTTACCACTTGCTTTGCAAATTCGTTTGTTTTATGGTTTGGAATCCTTGTTCACTTTCTGGGATAAGGAGATAGAAAATGGGTTCGCTTTCTAGTAGCAAAAGGAGCTTTCTTTACATCTTTCTTTGTGTGTTTCTGTCTCAGATATGCCACTCTGCTTCTTCCAAGGTAAAAAAAAAAAAAAGGCCTTTCATCTGCTGATAAGCACATTTTTTGGTTAGATACATTGCCCACAAGCAGATTTTCCTTCAAAGTTTGTGCCTTTTTGTTTTGCTGCAGTTGTATGTGGTTTATATGGGAAGCAGAGGAAGTGATGAACCAAAGGAGATTTTGAGGCAGAATCATCAAATACTTACTTCTGTTCATAATGGAAGGTACAGCCTTTCTGTCTTGAATAGTAATGTTAGTCTTTTCTTTTTCCGGCACCATTTCATCTTTCTTTCTGATGAGGAAAAGTTCACTTGTAATCTGAATGAATGAGTCATGCTGATACAGTGTGGAGAAAGCAATGGACTCTCATGTGTACAGTTACAAACATGGTTTTCGAGGCTTTGCTGCCAAGTTGACTGAAGAACAAGTTTCTGAAATTGCCAGTGAGTTGTTCCCTTTAATGATTTTAGCTTTACCGGTCTCCCCTGAAGTTCAAAGTTCCTAATGTGGCTCCAGCCTTCTAGGAATAAGAAATTACATGGTTTTTGTAAAATTGTGAAGAACAGTAGGCTAAGATAATAATCATGCAATTTTGTATTTTTCTCCTAATGGGGTCAAGCCAAAACACAAAATGCCAAGATTGTGTCATTGTATCTTGGACATTAATTTTTAATGAAAATTTGTACTTATGTTCTGCTGGTCAAAACGAAATACAGAAATGCCAGAAGTCGTATCAGTATTTCCTAATTCCAAGAGAACTCTGCACACTACTCATTCATGGGACTTCATGGGCCTCAATGATGAAGAAACAATGGAGATTCCTGGCTATTCAACAAAGAATCAAGTAAATGTGATCATTGGTTTTATTGATACAGGTAACTCTCTACACGGGTTTCTTTTGGTGTTGAACAATTTTATTAATTTGATCAAGTTGTCAAACAGTGCCATCATTAATTGGTCCCTTCATCACAGAGTTTGGCCGTTGTTTCTACTCAAATGCCAGACAAACATAAAACTATCTGTTCTCTTTTCTTCTTTTGTAGAATTAGTAAAGATATTTTTGTTTTTCCTTCTTTTCCAGAACAAGTGACATTGAACTATAGCAACATCACTTGGAAAAACTGCCTGCCTAAATTTCAATTGAATACTCGGGTCATGCCGAAAAGGATTATACTAATAAAAGATGATTTCTTGTTGCTTAGAGTTTAGATGGCAATAACAATTTGCATTTCCAGATCAATATAGTTTGACTGCATTTCTAGCAATTAATAATGAAGATGGTGAACCTGTTTTTACTCGGGCCACCCCAGTTCCTTCTAGTCCTCCTGTTCTAGTTGTTTCGGCATATACCCTATAATATTACATCTTTAGTCATGACGTGCTATGTTGACAGGAATTTGGCCTGAATCTCCAAGTTTTAGTGATGCTGACATGCCCCCTGTGCCAGTTGGATGGAAAGGACAATGCCAGTCAGGGGAAGCATTCAATGCTTCTTCATGCAACAGGTGTTTACCGTACTTACCTTGCTCTGTTAATTACAAGCTTTACAATTCTTTAGATCCTCAAAAGTGGAAAAATTGGTATCCTGCAGGAAAGTAATTGGTGCAAGGTACTATTATAGTGGATATGAAGCTGAGGAAGATTCAGGGAAGACTACATTATTTAAGTCCCCTAGGGACAGCGCAGGTCATGGAAGTCACACTGCTTCGACAGCTGCTGGTCGTTTTGTGGAGAACATGAATTATAAAGGGCTAGGAGCCGGGGGAGCAAGAGGGGGAGCTCCAATGGCTAGGATTGCCGCATACAAGACTTGTTGGAATTATGGGTGTTATGATGTTGATCTTCTGGCTGCCTTTGATGATGCTATTAGAGATGGGGTTCATATCATCTCTCTGTCTTTAGGACCTGATTCTCCCCAGGGAGATTATTTCAATGATGCTATCTCTGTGGGCTCCTACCATGCAGTTAGCCATGGAATTGTTGTGGTTGCATCAGTTGGAAATGCAGGAACCCCAGGATCAGCTACAAATCTTGCTCCGTGGCTGATTACAGTTGCTGCAACTTCTACTGACAGGGATTTCACATCTGATATTGTACTTGGAAATGGCGCTAACTTTTTGGTATGGATATTGTTTAAGAACTGCATGATAATTTCCAGCGTTCCGATCCATTAACTAAATAGAATAATGCTCCTTGTCTTCTTCATAGGGTGAGAGCCTTACTAATCTTCAAATGCAAGAATCAGCAAGAATTATTCCTGCTTCTGAAGCTTTTGCCGGATATTTCACTCCTTACCAATCCAGGTGAATGAACAGGTACTCTTTGTGGTGTAATCTGTAGGTTCTAATCCTGGATTTTGAAGTTCTAATATGTCCCTTCTCTTATAATGTACTATCAGTTTCTGCCTAGACAGTTCGTTGAATATCACAAAGGCAAAAGGGAAAGTTTTGGTTTGTCAACATTCTGGGAGTTCAACTGAATCAAAGCTAGAAAAAAGTGTTGTTGTTAAAGAAGCAGGTGGAGTTGGGATGATTTTAATAGATGAAATGGATAAGGATGTTGCTATTCCTTTTGTGATCCCTGCTGCAATTGTCAGCAAGAAGTTGGGCTATAAAATTCTTTCTTACATCAACAATACAAGGTTTGCTTCTCCTATGTTTGGGAGGTTTCAAGTTTTCTCTAGTTTGATTTGTACAATGCTTTCACTTTCCCATCTTTTCATTGACGCAGAAACCCAATGTCAAGAATTTTGTCTGCAAAAACTGTACTAGGACTTCAACATGCTCCGCGCGTGGCTGCATTTTCTTCAAGGGGTCCTAGTAGTCTTTCCCCAGAAATTTTGAAGGTAATTCTTTATAAGAAGTGTCTGAATGTTTCAAATTCAGAACTGCTTTGCTCTGTCGCCAATCTTTTGTTGTTCTAGGCCATAATTTTATATGTCATTCTAGCTAGAATCAGATTCTTGTCATATTTTTAATGTTTCTTTCTTCATGGTAATGAGTAGAGCAACCTCTCCTAACCAGTTCTTGTGTAGCCTGATGTTGCAGCTCCTGGTTTAAACATTCTGGCTGCCTGGTCTCCAGCAAATGAGAAGTTATATTTCAACATTCTTTCTGGAACTTCGATGGCTTGCCCACATGTAACTGGGATTGTTGCGCTCATTAAAGCTGTGCATCCTTCCTGGTCGCCATCCGCCATCAAATCTGCCATCATGACAACAGCCACGGCGTTAGATAAGAACAACAAACCCATCACTGCTGACCCCGAAGGAAGAAGAGCAAATGCATTTGACTATGGTTCTGGCTTTGTGAACCCAAAAAAGGTCCTCAATCCGGGTCTAGTTTATGATGCAAAACCAGTAGACTACAAGAACTTTCTTTGCTCAATTGGTTACAACGAGAAATCAATTCGTCTTATTACAAGGGACAACAGCACCTGTGGTCAATCAGTCGCTACAGCATCAGACCTAAACTATCCCTCCATTGTGGTTCCTAATTTGAAAGAGCACCTTACAGTGACCAGAACTTTGACAAATGTAGGAAGGCAACAGAGTATTTATAAAGCAGTAGTTGTTGCTCCCAGAGGAATTAATGTTACAGTTGTGCCTCGCCGAATAGTCTTTACTAGATATGGACAGAAAATAAACTTCAGAGTCAATTTCAAGGTTGCTGCTCCAACAGCAGGTTATGCTTTTGGATCACTGACATGGAGGAGTGGTGATTCATGCGTTACCTCCCCGTTAGTCGTTAGGGCCGTGCACTCAAGGACGAGGTTGATGATTTAGCCTCAACCTTCACTGAGAAATGCAGCTTAGGGCCAATGAAAACTTTCAGGTATAGGAACATCAAATTGTATAAATCTATAGAACATGAACTAGTTTCCTGCATCATTCAACTCCTGTTCTTTAGAGGATACTAGCCATTATTATAGTGTACAGCATTAGCTTCAAGCTTTTGCAAATTTGGCTGAAAGTAATGCAATCTATCATCTTTTTCCTTTTATCCAACTGCTATTTTATGCAGCATTTAGAAAGTTTTTTTTTTTTTTTTTTTTGAAAAAACAAAAGAAGAAAATTTTATTAAGAAGTAGAAGACGATACAGCGTGTTGATTACATTCTTTTGCTTCCTTTTCAAAAATAATAATAATAATAATAATAATAATAATGATTGGTACAAGGAAAAAATGATAAGGAAAAGTTAGAAGGAAATGATCTCACCCATCCGTTGTTAAAACTTTCCAAACGGAGTTTATACATTTAAGAGCATAGTTAAGATCTTGACACATTTTTCCTTGTCTTTTTTTTTTCCTTTACCTATCACTACTCAAAAAAAAAAAAACATTCTTTTACTTTGTTATGAACTAATACTAGAGCCTCTTTACCTTACCTTGAAAGATTCAATCAATGTGTTATATAGCATGCAATAAGAAGTCCACCTTTCCAGAATTAGAGCTTTCTTGGAGGAATTTGGCTACATTATTACAATAAGGAGTCAATTATTTAAAAAAAAAAATAAAAATCCAAGACTACATTATTACAAAAGTCATCTCTGGAAGGATAAACCCTGGATCATAAGGTAGGTTTTTAGAGACAAGCCAAAGTTGATCATCAAAATCAAAACTGGTTAATTTTGTCCAATGGAGTGCCCAACTCTTGGATAAAAAACCGGTCGCAACCGCAGATTTTGTGGGCAGGAAGGAAAGGATGTGACAAATAACTGATTCGGCTCAGTCGCTGATCCGATCAACTGGAATCATCGCTTCATCACCATCATAGGAACGGAGCTTTCGTTGGTGGATAGTCTTGGACCTCTTGGTTCCGACAAATTCCATCCACATGATCACAGTCAAATTCTTGGTTGGAGGGTTTTTTGTTTTCTTTTTTCTTATCTTGTGGAGGGCGCCCTCTCAAAGGAAAACCTAATTTGATTGAAACTCTGTTAATCTATTCTACTTCTCTTGTGTCCTCGTTCTTTCGTTTAAATAAGATTTAAAAAAAGAACTCGTGGAATACCGGGAAATTAAGCTGCGAATTAACTTTGGATTGTCCAAATAATATACGCGGGCCTTCCTCTAGCTAAATTCAATACGAATACATTTTGTTGAACTAAAAATAAAAGTTCAAACTAGATAATAATTTTGGGAGTAATATATTGCACCAAACAAAAATAATATAAGATGATGAGTTATTTTTCTGTATATTTTTTTTTATTCTCAAAAAAATTATTGGAAAGGAGATGATTACGACTAGTACACGGTTATTATATTACGACTAAGAACAAGGAAACTCTCTCTATGGGACATTCCTCCTAGTTCCAACTCTTTATTGTTTATCAACGGAACATTTTTCGCTGCTTCACAGTTGAATAGTCTTCTTCTTTGTGTATCTGCAATGATATAGCAAGTGCCATTCTTGATGAATAATTCATGCGGTTTCAGGTTTTATGGGGGATTTTTTCTGGTGAAAACTGGGAATTCTACTTGAATTCGCAGCTCATTTATCACTTCACTAATTAATATACCTAAATTCCGGCATCAATTGAACCCCCTTGTACTAACCAGCCGGATATGGTTTTTCAAGAATTGGAAGGAATTAAGGTCATTAGTCTTATTCGGTGATGTTTATCTTGGATTCTCTAGTAGGATTTGGAAGACACTAAAAATAAGCAATAGCTTCAAGCTTTTGCGAAATCACCGGTCACCAAATGAATTTCCACTATCTTTTTCCTTTCTATTCCAAACATATAATTTGATGAGAGATTTCGCAAGGCTGATAATTTGTAAACATCACTTAAGCTGAATAAAATCTTTCCAACTGGTAATATATAGCATCAGTACGATATCCCTTTGTTCATCCACGATCAGCTCAACTGACCAAGTTATATACCTAGCACACCAAATTTCGTTCCTAAACTACAAGAAATCTTCCCTTTCTAAGTTTCTAATCAAACGATAGTTTTTTTTTTCTTTTATTTAAATTAACAGAGAATAAAATCTTACTCCGGAATACCCAACAAAATCTGAAAATCTCATGTGTATATGTATAAAGGTTACACAAGAACTAACCTAGAAATATGCACACCTTACTTGAAACCGAAACGAACGCAAGTTTTATAGCAGCTAACGGAACACAAGTTACATACAATCCAAATATCTGATGGGAATAGGTTTACATGTGCAGTTTCAAATGGATTTTGACGATAGAACAAACAACAACATATTCTAAAATTTCCACGGAAGCAACAAGAAAAAACAACATATTCCAGAAACTCTATCATGCTCTCTGTCAGATTTCTCTGAAGCAATCTCAAATAATTAAGTGCGACCTCAAACAAGTTGGAGACGCTGTAGCGACGTTTCATATCTCCTCCAGCACGCAAAACTTTTCTCAAGATCACCGGAAACAAGGATCATAGTTTTATAACCCAAAAGATACATCCGACAAAATGCAAAATTCCTTCATGGTAGGTAGGATATTTCAGAAAATTACCTCGCATCTTCCTAAATATGTATCCATGGATTCCAATCTCAGGAAATATCAATTCTACAAGTAGGAGACACTCTGCGTGACATTAACATCTTCCTGAACGAAGTAATCGTTCCGCTGAGATGGAGAAAGGTTTTGCAGATTATATCAACAGTTTCCAGCACCAAAGCATGTTTCACAGTAAACCCTAGCATGGACGTCTCATCCATATGGTATTCAAATCCAAGATAAACAACCTGTTTGAGACTAGATAACAGACATTTGGGAACACTAGAAGGATTCCTCCATATGTTTGGGTCCACACATTCCAGCATTTGAACCTGGAGTACCTCTAATACGGGACAACAATCAATCAACTCCATGAGATCCCCCAAACCGAAGCAGTCAACTTGAACATCCAATACGGTTAGTCTTTCAAAAGTTGCTGACAATTTGGTGGTGGTGGTGCAACTAAACAGAGCCTCCATGGTTTCATATGATAATTTCATAAACTCTGCACGACTACCAAAAGCTTTAACTAGCCCAACCGCCACTTCGCCTTCTAAGCATGGCATGAAAGGACTGGTTTGAAGACGCACTTCCCTCAAAGAAGTTAGCTTTTGCATTAAACTTATTTCATCGCAAGAAAAATTAACTAAGGTGAGATATCCCAATGCAGGTGCATCAATGACCAACTTGAAATGAGAAACATCATGAAAGTTGTTGCCATAGCACATCCCATGAGAATAATCAAGATACTTTAAAACAGGGGAAGAAATTGTACAAACTGCCATCCCATCATAGTGATACCTGTGAATCCAGAGAGTGTGGAGTGATGGAGAACCCGAAACGAGCTTACGAACAGATTCATCCGACCCGTATTGAACGAAATTGAGTCTCAGAACCTCAAGTTTTGGAAGAGAAACCGCAGTTGGGTCTTGAAGGAGAAATGGTCCGCTTAAATGCAGAGCTTCTAATGTCCTGCAAGTGTACAGTGCACCCGGCAAGTGATACTCATGTTCAGGATAGTAACCATCATCGACAGAGAATGGCGACATATCCAGAGAAAGATTTCGAACATTTCGAGTAATTGCACAATTAACCCATATGTTCAGATAAATAGATGGAAAATTGTGATTGATCATTTTGAGATGAAACTTGTTCAGGGAGATTTCAGTACTCTGATTAATTAAGACCATATTCACAAATCCAATAAAATTCATCACCGGAAAACCTTCACCAGGCTTCGTGGGTCGATCTCCATTGCTATTTTGCCACAGCACATCATCGAAATGAAGGTTTGTCACTTTAGTCCAGTGAGATTTCCAGCTCTTGGAGAGGAAGCTCGTTGCTACAACTTCTTCTGTGGGAAGGAAGGAGAGGATGTGGCAAATGATTGCTTCTGGTAAATTGCTAATCCGATCGACCGGAATCGCCTCATTAGCATCAGAAACGTCGCCATCGTCACGGCATTCTTTCAGTTCCCAACTTGGATTTTTATCATTTCCCCGATTCATCGATGGTGTCGCCACCGCTCTGTCCATTTCTGGAGAATTTCCTTGCTACCTCTCTCTCTCTCTATGGAAACCTAAGACCTAATTACAATTTTAACTTTTTAAGCTCTTAAAAGCAATGTTGTCTCTTTTTTTCTTTTTCTTTTTTTCTTTTTTGAGAAAAAGAAATGTTGTCAGACTCGGATCGGAGCTCAAGTCAGCATAGACAGGGGTCGGGCGAATCGGAATCAATTTCGCTCGACTAGGGGTCGATTCAAATGAAGTCATTAGAACTAATACTAAGTAATAGTTCACATTGAATTTTAAGGTTTGTATTATTTTTAGATCAAATTCGAAAATTCAAAATGGACTATTTTTTAAGGATGGAAGGAGTATTTCGGGATCAATTTATCTTGACTCAAGGGTTGCCTCAAATGATGTCATTATTACTATAGGATGATTTAAAACTATTCGATTACTCTTTGATGTTGGTAGTTTTGTTCTCTACTTGAAAATTATTACGAAGAGAACGGGTGACGGAATTGAAACAAGTGTTGTAAGATTCTAATCTTGCAGAGAATTTCGTGATATTATTAGATAAGATTAGTTTCAATGGATTATTGTGCCTGTCTGATGCCATCATCATGGTCTATTGTATTTTGATGTAATAGGTATTTTTCTTCTTAGTACTGTACCCAAAAAGAAGTCTGTAAAACTGCACTCGAAACTCCCATTGTCCAACAAGAAGTTAGAAATCAAAGAATACAACCTTCCCCTCCATTTCATACACAAGTGACAAATTTCACATATTAAACCGGAAGCATATTCAACTTCATCTAGACACGATCAAACACAACTTTTAACCGAAAACAATGCATGGAAAACAACTAACAGAAAGCCCAAACCTCCGATGTAAATAACTTTACATGAACATTTTCAAATGTCTTCGACAATACAATAAACAACTACATATTTACAAAATTTACATGCCTGGAAGCTATGTCCAGAAAATACAACTTGCTCAGCTGTCAGAAATCCCTGAAATCATCTCAAGTGAGTGAGATTTTACAGGTTGGAGACGCTCTAGTGAGGTTTGTTATCTCGTCCAACAAACCAAACTTCTTCCCGAGATCACGAAAACAAGCACTATAATGTATATCAACACTTTTCATCACCGCACCATGATTCACAATGAACTTTAACATAGCCATCTCATCCTCGAGGCCCCTGAATCCCCTGTATAAGACTCGCTTAAGGTTGGTTGACAAACATCTCGGAGCACTGATGGGATCCCTCCAACAACAAGTGCAATGAGTTTGGTAAGAAGAATGGTAGTTGTAAATGTGGGGTACCTCTAATTTGGGGCAGCAATTGATCAAGTCCATTACATCGCTGAATTGACAACAGTTAGTTTGGAAAGACAATTCGGTTAATCTCTTGAGACTAGTAGTACTAATTGGCAACTTGTTTGTGCCTTCCATAAGAGATGAAGTGAATTTGGTTGATAAACACAGCTTCTTCGCGCAACCTAAAGCTTGAACTAACTTAATAGTTGTTTTTTATGCCGTAGAATGGACATCAAGAGTAGCTTCATTCAAAGACGCCATAGCTTGCAATGTAAAAATTTCCTTGGACACAGAATCAGTTATCAACAGATACTCAAGTGCAGGAGCATCAATTTCCAGCTTGAAATCAGGTTCAGCAATATACCAAATGTCATCGTCCAGATTATGAGCATAGCGGAGAATTTTCAAAAAAGGGGAAGAAATAGTACAAACCTCAGTGTTATCAATGTGAAACCTGTGAACTAACAGAGATTCAAGCACAGGAGAAGCAGATATGAACTTAGGAAAAGACTCGTCAGATTCAAATTTAACGTTTCTTAATTTAAGAAGAGTAAGTTCTGGAAGGCAAACCACATTTGGAACTTGAACAAGCAAAGGGCCGTTCAGTTTTAGAGTCTCCAAAGTCCGGCAAGTGCAGAGCGCATCTGGTAAGTTGAACTTGTTCATAGTAATAATCCTCGTATTTGGTCGACGCCAACAAATCCAACTCAAGAACTCGAACATTTCGATAAATTACCATGTTGGCCCATAAGGAAAATAAAAAAGCGCCGAAATTCGGAGTTATTCAGCGCAAGACGGAACCTGTCGATGGAGATTTCAGGACACTGACTCGACAAGACCATAAAAACGAAGTTGACAAAGTCCTTAATCTCTGAGCTCTTGGAATCATCATCATCAAAATCGAAGCTGGTTAACTTAGTCCACCGATATCTCCAACTCTTGGACAAAAGGCTTGTTGCCACCACACTTTCAATCGGGATGAAGAAGATGTGGGAAATGATTGCTTCCGGCAAGTCGCTAATCCGATCGACTGCTTCAAACTCACCAGAAATCTTTTGCAGTTTCCGACTTTCATTGCCTGCATTAATTCTGGACGATTCTTCATCAGCTTTTCCTGATTTTGCCAATTTCATTGAGCGAGTGAGCACCATTCTGTAAATTTCAGGACAAAATTCCTATCTGAGTGAAACCTGCTCGGAACCAAAAACTGCTAATTTTTTTGTAGAAGAAAATAATTTTGTGGAAAGTTGTAGAAAATATAATTAAATAGAAAGATAGTGATTCTGGCAACAGATAAACTATACCGCCGCCCATCAGGTAAGTTCATCATACTGGGTCGGTTTATTTAAATATACTTATTGGAACTCGACCTGATAAAGGTTTAGAGTGCTACAATTAGATGAAAATCATTATTATCGATAATAATCACAGTAATATATATGAAAAAAAATATAATTTACTAAAGGGATGAAAATCACCTCATTGACGACAGACAAGTTCATCGATTCTGTTTCAAAATTTTATCATTTCCTGGATTCTGGAAAAGACTCATTTCGTATTCGTTTGTATCTTATTAGTCCGATCATTGTAAATGCGTGTTGTTACTTTTCAGAAGCTTAATGCAACCTTTTTAACACTACTTGTTTCTTCTACTTTATTTGTTTTCTTACCGTAGATTAATCAATTCTCACTTTACGGTAAAATAAAACTCGGTTCTATATATCTTTTTTTTAAAAATTTTTTGGTTATTTTGTTCCTTCGATCACTATTTTTTTTAATCAATATTTCAACAGTGGATTCATAGTGTAAATTTAGACCACCAAATCTTTAATCACTCCCTTTTTTTACAAAGAAGGAAGCTAATGGCTAACAAAAATTACTTAAAACATTTTCATGAATAGAAGACTCCGATAATATGGTGCTCTAACCATATTTTCACCGCAGAAAGTGTGTTTTAAGTCCATTTCACACTCACCGGGAAAGTTGAAGCTATATGCCATGTGGTTTAACGAAAATCACAATCTTAGTTATCATATCACAAATAATTCGAATATTTCTATTTGAACCTCATTCAAATTACATTTGCACTTCAAATAAGTATGCTCCTCTCCCAAAACTTCTTGTTTTGGAACTAGATTGAGTTAAGAAGGCATAATACACAGAACCTCTTAAGGCTGAATGCCTGAATCTGAATGATTTTGGCAACCTGTGCTACTATATAACAAGTCAATGAACTAGAGACATCTAAGTTGACCAAACTCTATTTCTCCGACAACCACAATTTGTTGCGAAGGTACAACAAACTTTCCCCACATCATATGATTCGAGGATATCCTTTAAAGCACAAAAACTTCAAATAGCAGAGTACATAACCATCTTAGAAGATCTAAAGTCTAAACTGCCGGGTTCAAATTGTATCGCAAAATTTTCCCCTTCCAAGACTTAATGCATCAACAAGTACTTTTAAGTGATGGAACCAGAAAACAAGCTAGTTTATCTGACCAAGAAACATCAATTCACCATTCACCACATATAAAAAACTAAGAGGCAGCCAAATTTTTAAGAGAGCAAAAGTAAATTAATGCATCTGTCCTAAAATCCAAATGAATACAAACTATGGCTTGAGGACTCAAAAGAAACACTACAAGCATGAAACTAATATTGTGAGAGTAGTACAACTACTTTCAATTGACATCAATGTTGAAAACAACTAGAGATCCCAATAGATACATCTCCGAATTGAAAATTGCTACGTGGAATGTCTTCCAAAAAGTAATGAGACCTTCCAAAACGACCACTGATGACACCTCAAGAAAGGAAATTTTACAAGTCAGAGATACTTTGGATAACATTAACATCTTCTTGAATCTATCAGGATAAGAAGATTGTTGTATATCAACTCCTTTCATCACTAAAGAATGATTTACTATAAACTTTAACATGGCCTTCTCACCTTCATGGTCTTCGAATCCCACATATGAGAATTTTGTAAGACTGGAACACCAGCATTTTGGAACACTAGCAGGATCTTTCCATGTGTTGCCACACGGAGCATTACAGTGCCACTTCTCAATGTGAAATTCTTTTAATATGGTACAACAATCAATCAAATCCATAAAGCATTTGAAATCACAAGAGCTAAATACAATAAACAATTTGGTTAGACTCTTGAAATTTGCTGACGAGTTGGTGGTGGTAACCGCAAGAGAGTCTGTTATGTGCGACGACAATCTCATAGTCCACAATCAAAAGCTTGAACTGATGCCGTAGTTAATTGGCGTGTCAAAGGGTCGATATCAAGAATCACTGAATTCAAAGATGTCATCTCTGTCACACAAATTATCTCTGTCGACACGAAATCATCTATTGAGACGTATTCAAGCGCTAGGGTATCGATTTCCAGCTTGATGAGATCAAGAGAATCAACATCCACACAGTCATCACACCAAAAATGAGTATGTTGGAATAAATTCAAATACTGAAGAGACCTCCATATCAAATTATCGAGAACTATACAAAAGCGGAAGCGTACCTTAATATGAAGTTGCAAGAACATCGATCCGGTTTGGTCTACCAGATGATTCCATCAAGCCCTTACGCGAACCTCTAACAAATGGGGAGTTGGAGATTTGGCATGATGGCTCATCTCGGGACCACAACCAATATATATATATATATATAATAGGATTTCCGGTTCCACCCATCACAGAACGGGGAACTGGATTTTAGGATTTCTACACAATACTGGGCCACGCATTAACTTAATTATTATTAGCCCAAACTTTAGTTGATTTAATTAGATCACTTTATGTGGGCTACTATTTTATGATAGTCTGTAATATACAATTGTTATATATTAGTGTATTAAGTCCGCATAGATCTTACAGAGTATACTCTAAGCGTTTTAGGGAGGGAGACAAAATTGTACAAACATACATGCCATCATCGTGAGACCTATGGACTGCGAGAGATTTGAGAATGGGACAACCAGATATAAGCTTACGAATAGACTCATCCGATCCATATCTTACGAGACTTAGATGCAAACTAGTAAGCTTTGCAAGACAAACTACAAATGGGAGTTTAACAAGAAAAGGCCCATACAAACTCAAATCCTCAAGGGTTCCGCAAGAGTAGAGAGCAACTGGTAGGGTGAATCACTAATTCATGATATTAGCCTCATCACGTGGCATTACTTCCAAATGAAGAACATGCAAATTTCGAGCAATTACATAACTGATCCAATGGCCAAGATATATAAAGGGGAAATTTTTGTCGTTTACTATGAGACGGAATCTGTTGACGGGGACTTTAGAAATCCGATTGATGAAGACCATGTTTACAAAATCTGCAAAATTGATAACATCAACACCAAGCTTCATCAAGGGTCGATAATTCTCCTTATTGCACTACCATTTTGCATCAAAATCAAGATTGTACACTTTCGTCCAGTGATGTTTCCAACATTTGGACAAAAAGCTTGTTGCTACCACATATCGTGCCAGCACGAAGGAGAGGATATCGAAAATGGTTGATTCGTGCAAGTTGCTAATCCGATCAACTGGAATTCCATGGTTAGCTTCCGAAACGTCCAAATCATCATAACCCTTTAGCAGTTTGTTGCTTGGATTCTCTTCATCTTCCGATTTTGTGGAGCTATTCACAACCATTCTGAGAGAGATTCTGTGAATATCAGAATTTCTGCTCGCGGCTCACTGTGAATGGGAAATGGAAACCTAATCGGAGGAACCTATGTCAGCTAGCAAAAGAAATCTAAAACGTAAAAAGATCCAAATTTAGCCTAATGAAAAAGTAAATTCACTGGGTCAGTCATTTTAATTTCCACTCAAATGTTGAATTAGCTTGTGGTTTTACTAGGCCCGATTTTGTTTTATAAACCCATTACTAATTTTGGGTCACAATTCGGACAAGTAAATACTATGTTCCAAAATATTTTTGTTTGAATGCTCACTTCATTTATCACAAATTGTATTAATACTAAAAATAAAAATTTAAATTAGATAATTATTTTGACACTAAAAAGTACTTTTTATGTCCCAAAATGATCAGATTGGATTTTAACATTTAGTATAATACTAGATGGATTGGACGCGCTTCGCGCGTACGAGAAATATAATGACATTTTACAAGTGTAATTTAAATAATAAAAAATATGAGTTACTTTGTTTGTTGTAACATTGTATTAAAAAACTATCAACACTAAATTTTAATTTACAAAGTTTACTACGTGCAAAATTATATACATCAACCAAAATGGTCATTTCCGAATTTCAACAGAAGTGACACATAGTACTCTTATAAAAAAAGAAAAACAATAACTAATACATAAAATATCAAAGATAAAATTAAAAATAAAATGAAAAGAACATAATTATTTTATTTTATTTTATCTTTTGGTAAAAGGTAAACTTGTATTGCAATAACTTTAAGTTGTACAAGCCTACTATCTTTCTGTTACATCATCCATTCGATGTACATCAATGCTATCTAAAAACAAACTACCACTGCTACTTTTTTAACAAGAGAACCGGACTTTCCAAATTAACTCCAGTTTGATACTTCTGATATGATCTTCAACTGTCAAACTCTTGCCGAAATTTCCTCTTATTCATTTTAGTCCATATATGGTGCATAGATGCTGCTATTGCTGCAAACAGGATTCTCTGTTTTAGCTTCCTATGTTGCCATGTTTTCATCAGCCATCTACCGTCAGCTCTTAGACATTTCAGACGTATTTGCAAGGCCAACCATTGCTTTATCCAACTCACCTACTGCTGAGAGAAGTCACAGTCGAAGATGAGGTGATCAACATTTTCTTCATTCCCTTGACATGAGTTCACACTTAATGGGATCTTTCAGTAAGTGCATCCTATTCAGTCTTTCCTGAGTAAACAATTTGTCCTTTAGGGCAAGTCAGCATATGAAGCTGTGTTTGGGCACACTGTAAGGACTCCATACCAGCTTAGAAGGTCTCCATTTTCCTGGCTGTCCTCTTAGTCATAAATATCCAGACTTAGCTGTGTAACCCCTCTTCCCATTTCTGACCCATCTACCATTCTGGGTTCCTCCTAATAGTGTATTTTTAAGTTTTATGAGTCTCTTCCAGCGCCAGTTATAGTCCAGTGGGGCATGATATTCCCACATATAACTTAGGTAGTTAACTCAAGGAACATATGATGGAGAGAAAGATTAAGAAGGGTTAGGAACAAATGTCTTGAAGAAAAAAATTCAAGAAAGAGAAGTAAAAAACTTTTGCAATTGAGAATTATATATTTGTGAATTCAATATGCAAACCTTTTACTATTCTCTTAAGTTATGCAACCTTTCTTTAAATTCTCCTAAAACAAAAACATTCAATTGAGAAAAGAGAAGAAAAGTAAAAGACATTAAAAAATTTAGAGTGATTAGAATTATCAAAATCGGTTATTTGGCCGTTCAAATTCATCTAATAATAAACAATAAATTTTTTTTATATCTTAGAAATAAAAAATAAGACAACATTAATAATAGAAGGATATCAAAGATGAGAATAGGGAAGGTAGACTTTTCCGGGAAACCAAACTGGGTGTAACGGTTGTCATAAGATCAAACGAAGAAGATAATGGGATTGTGATAATAAAATTAAATTTAAATATTGTGTGATAATTAAAGTAGAGATAAATGATGTAGGTGAAATGGTTAAAATAATAAAAATATATTTAAATGATATGTGGTAATTAAAGTGGAGGACTACTAAACTTAAGAGTTATTTTGTAATTATAATATAGGTAGATTAATTAAAAATGAAAGTTCAAACTTATTAAAAGTGAGAAATGATAAGTAACTTTGGTTTCACCGATTGTAGGTGAGGTTCGATCGCAAAGAAAATTATGCCAACACGTCTTCAAAGGAGGTGTTTATGTTTGAAATGGATATGGTGCGTTATGCGTATGTTGAAGCGCGCATGTTTCTTTCATTAAAACTCATCTATAGTACTTAATTAAAACAGCAAATAAAAAGGACATGTGTTAGCACCACAATGAAAATTTTCCCGCAAAAAGTCATTTTTAGTACAAAATCATTTTCGACACGTGGCACTCTAACTAATCAGGATAGAATAGATAAATACATAAATCCCTTAATTATAACTACATAAAAATATCTTAATTATAGGTATATACTAATCTCTTGAAACAACAATATTTAGTTGATAAAATCAAATGTAAGGAAATCCTCTTAATTCAAGTGAAACACCCGTAATGTCTTCGCAATCTCCAATTTCAAAGAATCTCTTTCATTCCGCTCCTCTCTCACACCTGGGCCTTTAAATCAATTATGTAAAATCTGACATCAATTATCAATCCATCTCTTTCTACAACAGAGAAAAAATAAGCTGTCATGAAAGAAATTTGATTTTTTAAGGATGATTTTTTTTATTCTTCTGTTGTAGATATTGGTTTATGATTTATAGGATGATTTTTTTTTATTCTTATGTTGTAGATATTGGTTTATGATTTATGTAAACCCGGGCATAAGTTAACTGTTATAAATTAAATATTGTAAATCTGAGTATAGATTTATGCGTAATAACTCACTTTCTGTCTTTTCAATCTAGTTTTTATTCTTTTAAATTTTTTTATTTTTTTAAGAATGATTCATATTTTTTATTTAATCAATTTAAAAATACAGGCGACACTTGCCCGGGGCAATCTAGTTGAGATTATGCCAAATCTCCTAATATACAACACCATTAACTGATGACTATTAACGCACCATCTGGATCAGAATAAATAAATAAATAAAATGTTGACATCTTTTCAATTGCACAAGATCGACAATATTCAAACTCAACAACTTAACTTGGCTGAATCCAGATGGATGATGGCTGAATAGAGAATATCGATCCCTCAAACAACAAATGAACTCAACACCTTAAAGCCGAAAAAGAAAAACTACAAGCCCGAAGACAACCCTGCAATAGTAATACAACCAAATAAAGAAGACACACTTCTATTATCAATGTAAAATAAACAAATACAGATCCCAAAAAGATACATCTACGAAAAGAATATTACTAAATGCAGCAGCTTTCAGAAAAAAAAAATTAAAAAAGTAACGGCACCTTTTAAAATGACACCTATGCCATCTCACCAAAAGCAAATTTTTCAAGCACAAGATGGCTTCTTCATGAGTGCTTCTTAGACGTAGTATTATTATATTAATTTCCTGTAAACTTAAAGATCAGTTTGTACCCTCTCAAGGACCAGTAAGTTTTCTTTTTGACAAAAAAACAAGTCATATATAAAATTAGAGCAGGTTGCCTTAAACCTGCAGAAATTCCAGATACTAACGAATTTAGAAGAATGAACAACCTCTTATTTCTGGGGAAAAAATAATTGCAAGATATCTTACATCTACGTACAGCATCAAATGGCAAAATATTTTGCGAAACTCCTATATATAGCGATCTATTCAAGGTTTTCATTTTAAACGAGAAACATCGCAGGTGACAAAATTAACTCCATTCCTGGTACACAATGTGTTGTTCCAACTTCCAACGTTCAGCTACCTTTCGGCTTCTCGGTCGACTTTCGTTTATCAACAGCAGATGGAGGTTAAGGTAGTCACTGCAATATATGAACTCCACATAATAACCAGAGATAAGCTTACTAAAAGACTCATCCGATTCATATCTAACGAAAAACAGAAACAAATCAGTAAGTTTTGGGAGGCATATCACTCGGGAACTTTAAAGAGAAAACGCCCATTCAATTTGAGAACCTCCCGCAGGTGTAGAGTGAACTTGGTAGGTTAAACTCATAGTTATGATAATGACTAGGGTAATCTAAATGATCCTCTCGCAGCACATGCAAATTAATAAACCGGACATTTCGAGCAAGTACATTATTTAATCAAATGTTGAGATAAATGAAAGGGAAGTTTTCGGCGCACCGATTGATGAAAACCATGTTGACAAAATCCACAAAATTCATGACACCAGCACCACCAGGCTTTGGGGAATCAGGTTCTTCTTGATCCCTATAGTAATAGCGCCACCAACCCCGTCTCTATCATCAAATTCGAGGTTGGTGACTTTAGTCCATTGGTCTTTCCAACTCTTGGACAAAAAGCTTGTCGCTACGACCTCTTTTGTCGGCAAGAAAGAAAGAATGTGGCAAATAATTGCTTCCGGTAAATCACTAATTCGATCCACTGGAATCGCGTCCAAATCGTCACCGTCATCACAATACTTTGGCAGCTTTGGATTTGAATTCTCTCCACTTCTCGACTTGGCGAACTTTCTTGCGTAGTCTATCAATGGGTCTGAAAATATCCAGGGTTTTGGAAACTTTGTCGAAGAAGAAGAGTTTTATTTGTATCCATTCCAGGGTGTAAGAGGAAATAAAAATTAATCAAAAGCAAGATAGAAATCGAACTCGTGACTGTAGTGTATGAAGTAATGGAGCCATTGTTAGGGAATTAAAAGAAAAATAAAGAATCATATCGAAGATGGTAAATTAATAATAAAAACGAAAAAATAAATTGAATAGAAAAGGGGAAGAAAAAACTCCATTGATGGTCAGCGAGAGATCTTACAAGCCGGAGAGATCTTAAGATGTGACCCTCTAGTGAGAAATCTTACAAGCCGGAGAGAACTTTGATTAACTTTGGAGCTCATGAACATGTGCGGTTCACACCAACTGGCAAAGCTTATGTGAACTAGTTTCATCGTGTAAATGAACATGTCCATCTCGTTCTTCAATATGAAAGTTGTCTGAGATCTATATATAAGAAGAAGAGCGTTTGAATTCCGCTATAGACATGGAAAATATTCCTCTTTCCTTCACGACCCATTTACAATCCGACCCATAATTTCAAGCACAACCGTGTATGACTTGTGAAGCATTTTTGTATTGCGCTCATCTTATGAAACTGTATGTACATGTCTAGACAAGGAAGTTTTACGACAATTATGTACTGAACGAAACATACATATTGAACGACTAATACAAAGCACATGGAGGATTGTCATATTACTTAACTCCAAATACGTAAAACACATGGAGGACACATCTGTTTGGAAGGTTTTTTTGATAGTTTTTTCAAAATAATTAAACAATAATTGTCCCATCGCACATACCTTTTTACATTTCCAATACAACTTTTTACATTCTCAATACAAAAACAATCAAAAACACACACTGAAAAAACGATCCAAACATACAAGCACTTCATTGCCGGAATCAGAATACGACACCAGTCAAAATTCTCCCAAAAAGAAAAAACTATAGTCCAGAAAGCATCAATACAACATTCATAATGATTAATTATATGACTGAGAGAACCAAGAACCTAGCTAGAGTCATTGAAAGGTAACGCATCTTCCATTCTACTCAATTGAACGGATTCTAAAAGCCACAAAAGAAGCGCACTACAAGTCTAAGTGCAACTTTGAACATAAACGACACAACTACAAATCCCAAACAGAATGTCTGCAAAATGAAAACTACTACTAAATGAAAGACTTTGATGACGTCTTCCTTGAACACCCATTCAAGAAATTGAGATAGCACAAGTTGGAGATACTGCCGAGGAGCTTAACCTCTGTTCAAGTAAATGCATCTTTTCCTCGGGAACAACATATCCCTCACGACGCCTCACATTAAGGGTTGTCAACCTCGACGCGTGATCTGCTATAAACCTTAACAAGGCCATCTCATTCTCATGACCTTCAAAGTCCAAAAATGAAACGTGGGTGAGGCTAGACAAGAAGCATTTAGGAATCCTCCTCGGGGGATCACCCAAACTTTTGTCGTGATGTGGGCAAAGGACTCGGCACTTCCCAATCTGGAGTGACTTTAATGTGGCACAACGATCAATCAAACTCATAAGATGGCTGAACTGGCAGCATTCAACTCGGGCAGCCAATTTAGTTAGTTTATCAAAACTTGATGACAGTGTGTTGATGGCTTTGCTGACTATCCTCATGGTAGAATCATATAAAGCCAGAGAATTCACGTAATCAAAAGCTTGAATCAACCTCACAGTCTTTTCAGGCTGAATATAAGGAATTTCAAGATTTACTTCATCCAAGGAAGTCAAACCTCGCACGATTACCTCCGTAAGAAAATCAAACAGAGTGAGTCTTTGGAGTGCAGGTGTATCAATTTTAAGCTGCAAATGATGCTCAGCCTGCATATCACATTTCTGGCAGAAATCTTGAGAATACTGAAGAAGCTTTAAAACAGGAGAAGAAATTGTACAAACAGTCATGCCATCATTACAGTGATCCCTACTCATCACGAGAGAGTGGATCATCCTACAACCAGAAATAAGCCGACTAAAAGACTCATCCGAATCAAATTTAACCGAAAGGAGTTCCAGATCAGTAAGTTTCGGAAGAGAAACCATAGAGGGTGGTTTAATCAGAAAAGCCCCTTCCAATTTCAGAACCTCTAAAGTGCCACAATTATAGAGTGCATCAGGTAAGTGAAACTCAGAATCATGATAGTCATCATCAGAATCGTCATGCAGTGGTAAATGTGGCGATAAATCCAAATCAAGAACACGAACATTTCGAGTAACAGCAGTAGTGACCCATATGTTGAGAAAAATAAACGAGAAATTAACAAAAGGGCGATTCTTAATTTGGAGGCGAAACCTGTTTATGGAGTTTTCACGACTCTGATTGAGCAAAACCATGTTAACAAAGCCCACAAAATCCATCTTTGGAACACCACCGCCGGGGTTTGCCGAAAGAGAGCTCTCGGTCCCGGTGGTACGCCATCGACGCCACGGTAAATCCTTGAAATCAAAATTGGTTACTTTAGTCCACCGGCGATCCCAGCTTTTGGACAAAAAGCTCGTTGCCACTGCGGATTTTGTCGGGAGGAAGGAAAGAATGTGGCAGAGAATTGCTTCCGGTAGGTGGCTAATCCGATCGACCAGGATCGCCTGGTCATCACCGGAAACGTCAGCATCATCGCAACGTTTTAGCAGTTTCCGACGAGGATTTTCTCCTCTTTCCGACTCCATTCAGCGATTCACCACCGTTCTGTTGAGGAATTTTCTAGTGGAAACAGAATCAAAATCGAACTCCAAGCTTTTATACAATACTTTTCTTTTGGAAACGCCAAGCTTTTATATATGGAAGAAGAAAGTGGGCTCTACTGGTAAAAGATAGCCCAGCAAACAAATTCGCATTAGTTTCTTTTGGGTTTTCCAGGCCTAATAATCATTGTCCAACTTTTATTGGTGAAGAAATATTTTAAAATAAATAAATAAATTATTAAAATAGAGTGAAGCAATAAATTAAAATCAAACGGATTAATATGAATCAATTTGGGGATTTGGAAGCGCCAAACGACGCATGATGAAGGTTTTTTTTTTTCTTTTTTTTTTTGGAAGCTTTTTTTCTTTGTTAAATGGTAAAAATTTATATTGTAAGTTGCATAAAAATTTATATTCACGGTGGGATCATTTCTTTTCCTTCTTTCCTGTTTAACAATCGGATAATTTATTTATTTGAAAATGATGGGGAAGAACTGCAAATCCTGAAACTGTCAGCCTTTGATTTTCAAACCACGTTGGAAATATGCCAAGTTGTTGTACTACATGTCACATTAAATTCATTATTTATCTTCAATTATACACGATGCTCTCTATTCTATGGCATAAATGTTGTGGTAGTATTTGATAGAATCGACAGTAATTAAAATAATTAATGATTATTAGGCTACTAAAGTTAGGCCACATAAGGAAGTTACATTAATGACGAAAGCTTGGTTTTACACCGTCGGTCTTATCAGTGGAACTCCGGCTAGCGTTTCCTGTAAAATAAAGTCTTGGGGATCTCTCGAGGGTAGACACTCCGATACTTAAATCAGTAAAGGGTTTTAGGAACGTTTGAATGTGTAGTATGTTAAGCTAGAAATTGCGTACCCGTATTGTGGTGCGACCAACTTTATTTATAGGGATGAAAGTCCCTGGGGAATAACCGAATATTACTAGGTTTCGGTTACCTAAACTGCCTTATCAGACTCGGTTGGACCTCCTACGCGGTTAATGGGCCGGTCCATTGTTGGTAACGGATATGGACTCGTCAAGTGCCCCTGTCAAGTGTTAGTTGTACATGATAAACAATACTTGACACAATGTAGACTTACTTGGAATAAGCCCAAGAGTAATGGGATATATCACCGATTCCATTTGAGGAGTAGAGTCATGAAAGCTGATTTAGTAGCCAACGGTTTTGTGGGAAGGAATGCGAGGGGGTCGCAAAATAAACACTCTTTTGATATTGCAATAATTGTTTTTTATGCTAAGTTTTAAATTTATCATGATAATTCTTTCATTTAAGTTGGTAGCTAGAAGAGCGTTGAGAATTTGGGTCATTTTGTGACACATTTGTTTGACCCTTTTTTTTATACTCTCTCTGTCCTAAAATTATTGTCCAATTTGAGATTTCACTTTTAGTACAATTTGTACTAAAATTGAAAATCCAAACTGGACAATAATTATGGGACGGAGGGAGTAATAATTTCAACACTTTGTTTGTTTATTTTTTATTTTTAGAAAAAAAAAAAAAAACCTCTTCGGCCACAATTATTGTCGTGAACTTCCTCCGTGTCGAGTGTCGACACACCTAAATGCAAACATTATAGTATCCGATAAGTTAACTCTCCGACACAAAAATTGAAGGTTTGTTAGAGGAAAACATTTCAGCAAAAAGAATAAGGTACATTACCATTATCCAGAGGCAGCATAACAATAGAGCCCACTGCTTCACGCTGGAAAGTTTCTTGTATTTCATCATATACATTGTACCCATTCTCCATAAGCCTCATTGCATCTTCAGTAAGCTGGTCAAAAATCTGCTTAGTTTCCGTGGACATCTTCTCCTTCTTGTTGTTTGAGATCCCTTTCAACCTCCTCAAGGCTTGCAAGACGGTTTCATCAGGCTCAAGAGCATCAGCAATGCGACTCTTTATCTTCCCAATGTCGTCAGGAGAAAGATCACCAGCATCATCATCCTCAATAACCACCTTCCGAGAAGCATAAGTAATCTTATTTGCTTCAACTCCATCAAGCCATGCATCCTTCATCTCATCCTCATTTATGTACGCCACATAGTTTCCCGATGCATCAAAATACCCTTCTTCTCTTTCTTTGGTCAGATTAAAAGGTTCTAGCTGGATCCCGTCATAATCTTCAAACGTCTCTTCATCCTCATATTCAACTTCAGCGTTGGTAATATCAGGAATCATCCCTGTATTTTCATCTTCAATAAGATCTGCCGCCATCTGACCCCGCCGCCTTCTCCGCTCTTTAGCAACCAACACAGGATCTTCAGCACCAAGTGGACCTTCCTGATCATGATGTTGGGCATAGTCTCCTTCCTTCTCTTTCTTTCTTCCCCTTTGGAAACCGAATCCTCTTCTGCGGAGCAGGGTTTTCGGTGTTGAAATCATCACTAAAGGAGCGCTTCCCTTCTGCCATGGTTGATTTGCTAGATGGTTATTCAAATCTGCGGTAACTTTAGACGTGAGATATGACCCCTACTTATATAAATCAAACCCAAAAAAAAGTACCACTCGTTGAATCCTTTTCCTATTAGCAAACGGGTTAGCTCGGGTGAATAAGTCGATTACCGATTAATAGGTTATGGGCCTGGTCTAAGCATTTGTTCATCAATCAGCCTGAATTTTCTTTCAGAACTTGAAATCCTTTTGAAGTCGAAAAATCACTGAAATCTAGAACACCCTTAACAGAAAAGGGATTAAACCATCCATGATTACCTGGATGCACTTTTGCAACTTTGTTTCCAGCATTATTCAACAGGAAAAAGTCCAAGCATCATCTTACTTCATCACTTACTACTTGCATGGATGATTAGTGACAAAAAACTAATGCTTGTTTATAACTTAATATCAACACATGACATGGTCTCTTGAGGCACTGGAGAAAAAAAGTTGTAACATAAATGATCTGATATGAATGAGCAACAATATAAATCATATAGAATTGATGAAGCACAAATCCGTTTTCCGCCCACTCCCTATTTTTTCTCCGTCATGAAAATACGGGGGGGGGGGGTGAACATGGGGACAGGCAAAGACAAAAAAGAAATCATATCGGAATCAAAATATGTTTTTAGTCTTTGAATTCCCTGCAGAGGCATATATGACAACCCGTTCCCCATCATATTGCTGGATTATTTTTAGTGGAAGCCGAATCAAGTTGTGGACTTCGTGCATACACAGTAAATCACTTCCAGTTTAAAGCCTATAACTTGAAAAGTCAAACCTTCATGTCGCAAGTCAAAACAACGACTTAAAAGGAATAGAGCTCAACAGTAATTACCAATCCAAAGAACTATATCAGTAGAGCATAGTATGGTATTAAGCTTCCAAATAAAGAACTCAAAACCCAAATTGAACACAAATGGCAAAACAAAACCGAACCAAATCCCTTACTGAGAGTAAGAAATGCAAGGACTTTGTTGGTGGAATGCCAATTCCACGATTCTAACATAGGCTAAAAGGTACTAATAGCTAGCGCACGCTGACATGATCAGTCCCTGCAAACTATTGCCATCTTTCGGGAACCAATCATTGATGATCTTCCAAAACATCCATCGATGTGATTTGAAGAAAATGAGATTTTACAAGCGGAAGACACTTTGGAGAACAGTGACATTCTCTGGAAAAAATCAGAGCATGTTACATTTTCCCAACGAACACAGCGACGGCGTATGTCAATTACTTCCATCACTGAAGCATGATTCAAAATGAACTCCAAAAATGCCATCTGACTTTCATGTCCGCATCCGAATCCCCTATATGAAACCTGTGTGAGACTAGATGATAAGCATTTGGGAACACTAACAGGAACCTTCCATGTGTCACTGTCGCAGCATGAATGTGAGAAAATATCAATGTCAAGTACCTTCAATAGGGCACAACAATCAATCAAATCCATCAGCCAGTTGAATCGACAACAAGCATCAGCGATAACCAACTTGGTCAATCTACCAAAACTTGCGGACAATTTGGTGGTGATCAGCATGGTACTAAGAAAGTAAGTGGTAGCCAACGAAAATGTCATAATCTTCACACGATTAACGGCTTGAAGTAACTCAAAAGTGAGTCGTTTGTCATGAGTACTTTTAAGAAAGACTTCATTCAAAGAGGTGGGTGCTCGTGCGAAAACTAAATCACCCAACACAAGTTCCTCAACATAGAAGCAAAGGTACTCGAGGGAAGGTGCATTTATTTCCAACTTGAAACGAAAAGGATCAGGATCACCATCACAATGGAAAACCATGTCATGGAGATACTCAAGACGTTTTAGTAAAGGGGACGAAACTTGACAAATTGGCATCCCATCATAGTAACGCCTCCTGATTATGACGGACTGAAGTGCGGGAGAACCGGATATAAGGTTACTACGAGACTCAACCGAATCATTTCCACTAATGATGGATTGATACCTAACATATTGTAAATCCAGAAGTGTAAGTTTCGGAAGACATGCCACATTGTCGACTACTACGAGAAAAGAACCTCGTAACTTCAGAACCTCTAGAGTGGCGCAGGTGAAGAGTGCGGGTGGCAACGGAAACTTATAATTAACGCATTTATGGTTACCTAAATCCAGCAAGTCGGAATAGTACAAAGGCCTGCTCAAATCGAGAACTCGAACATTACGAGCAATGGCTGTGGCAACCCAAACGCCAGGGTACTCCGGGTCGTATTTGTGATTGTTTATTTGGACATGAAACTGGTTGATGGAGAACTCGGCATTCTGATTGCGCAAAACAATGTCAACAAACTCCCCGAAACTAATCTTTGGAAGACCAAGCTTAGGCCTCCTGTACTTATCCCTCTTTAAATTAGCCCACAAGTAATCATCAAAGTGAAAGTTGGTTGCATTAGTCCATCGGTATCTCCAGCTTTTGGCCAGAACGCTGGTTCGGACAGCTGATACGATGGGAACGAAAGAGAGAATGTGCGAAAGGATAGGTTCGTGTAAATAGCTAATCCGATCCTCAGCGCCGCCGCCGCCGTCCTTACACTTTTGCCTCTTTTTGGTTGGCTTCTTGTTCTTACTCGCTGAAGCCATAGAGCTCGTCAACTGCGCACAGAATTTTAGGGTTTGGGAGGATGAGATTTATGTATTTATTTATTATTTGTAATTCTCCTTGATTTATGTATAAAAACGTGTTGTTGTGTACTATAATTTTCACAATTTTTTTTTTCAAGATAATATAGTAAATCACACTGTTAAAATAGACAGGCACTGACTGACGGAATTTGATAATGTATACCTTATTTTCCGCTTGATTTGTTATTTTATTTTCACGAGATACTATCGTAAATTACCAACTAAAAACTAGATCCAATCTAAAAAGTTTATCGGAAAAAAAAAATTTACTATTGCACAAACACTAATGTAAGGAGGTAGTATTATTGAGCAAAAGAAACAAATCCGTAAGTCTAAAATAGGCTTCAAGATGAAAGCACAAAAAAAGAAACCTCAGTTCCCACAAGATACAAGGAAGCTGTTTCCACAAATATAAAAGCATATAAAGTTCAACAACTTTCGAATAACATTGACATCTAAACATCCATACACACCATCTCAAGTAATTGAGATCTTACATGTGGGAGACACTCTTGGGAACATTGATATCCTTTGAAGTAGAGGAACCTACCTTTTCCTTCTCCCAAGGAGGAGAAGGTATATTGACCATTTCCATCACTAAAGCATGCCTCAAAACAAACTTCACTAGGGCTATCTCATCTTCAAGGCCTTGGAATCCTCTATATGGAAACCGCGCCAGACTGGATGGCAAGCATTCGGGAACATCATTAGGATCCTTCCACCATGTATCCCTACTTGATGTAAATGAGCGCTTATGAATATCAAGTATCTTCAGTTTGGCACAGAAACTAATCAAATCCATCAGCCATCTCAACTGAGAATCGTCAATGATGATTAGCAATCTGGTCAGCCTCTCAAAAGTTGCAAACAATTTGTAGTTGCCCGCGCTAAGCTTTTCAGTGATTCCTCTTGATAATTCGACAAACTCCACACCAGTAAAGGTTTGAAGTAACCCAGCAGTGAGATTGGGTGAGGTAAATTTAAGAACCACTGCATTCAAAGATACTGGCTTTCGCGGAAAAGTTATCTCCTTCAACACATACCCGTCATCTAAGGCGAGATACTCAAGAGCAGGCGTATCGATTTCCAACTTGAAATACATATTTTCATCGCACTTATCACAATTACCATTGCACATATGATGACTGTACTCAAGACGTTTGAGTACAGGGGAGGAAACAGAACAAACAACCATGCCATCGTAATGAAGCCTGTGAATCCTCAAAGAGTCAAGCACTGGACAACCAGATATAAGGTTTCTGAGAGACACATCCGAATCATTATTTCTAACCAATTCATACTTAACAAAATCCAATTCCAACAGAGTAAGTTTTGGAAGACAGACCACATGATGAACTATCACCAGAAAAGGCCCACGTAATTTCAAAACTTCTAGTGTCCCGCAAGTGGATAGTGCCATTGGTAACTGAAACTCAAAATTACCATAATTCAACCCGCGTTGAAGCGACCTATCCAAAACTAGAACTCGAACATTACGAGCTATTGTGGTACTGACCCAAGCCCCTGGGATACTTAAATGTGGTTTTGGGGTTATCTATGGTGACACAAAACCTATCAATGGAGGAGGATTCAGCATGATTCTGATTGCCCGCACGGCGCAAAACCATGTCAACAACTTTCCCAAAACTCATATTTGGAACATAATAACCTAGCCTACGCATTTCAGATTTAACACTATTGCTCTGAAGCCACAATTCATCATTAAAATCAAAGTTGCTTAGTTTAGTCCAGCGGGATCTCCAGCTTTTGGCCAAAATGCAAGTTGCAACTGCATATTCTGCGGGAAGGTACGACAAAATACGGGATATGAGTCCTTCCGGTAGATTGCTGACCCGATCAACTCCTGTAATCCGATCACTCCCACCGGATTTACCTCCTCTGGAGGGTTTTCTGCCGCGCTGCATTTTCAGTGGTAATGGAAATTGAAAAGTCGAAACCTAACTCTTATATCGCCATTTGTGCAATATGCTGAGTGAAGTATAGTATATACACTAATAAACATAAACTTAGCTCATCCAAAAGCCCACATAGACTCGGCCATTTGAATCCTTAATTGGGCCAAACTGAAGTGAAGATCATTCACTTCTAGAGTTGATTAGTTACATTTGATCTCCCACTAATCAGTCAACATTGGTAACTCGTTACAGATTTTTGATTCTTCATAAAGAGCATTTAGAAGAGAAACTAAAAAGAATGTAGTGTCTAGTTCTGTTTAAGTCACTAGCTTAATCCAGCCGCAGTCACAAAGTATACGAATCCATAGTTCAGTATAACCCACAATGGTTCAGTGAATTCATGATCGTAAATTGTCATCGCTTTAATCAACCATCCTCCTTTGTACCAAAAAAAAAAAAAAAGAAGACAATCAACTACCGTGGACGGCAAAGAAGAGTTTCATTTCTATCTACAACTGATGATCTCCATCTATAAACTTAAGTTACTCTAAACCAGTCAGCTCAGAAACAAGATAGTTGAAGTCAATATTATGTGGCCTTGGTAACCTCTGAAGGATCGACAAGGCCTTCTAACACTACAAGTTCGTCTAATAGTGATAGTTTCTCTTCTTCAAGGGCTTTTATCTCATCTTCAACAGCATTCAAATCCCTTCCAAGTGTGAAGCTATCCTCCTCTAAGAGCAAATATTTGCGTCTCAGCGCCCTATAATCATTACCGGATGAAGGGGAAGAGTCTGCCAACGAATCTGAAGTTGACTTATCCGGTTGTTGTAAAATTGCAGCAACTCCATTTACTTGGCCTCTCTTGGATGACTTCGGAGCCTTCTGAATTGGAAGAGCCCTCGATTCTTGTATTTTGTTGACATTTTCTCCTTTTCCAGCAAGCATGGAAGACTTCTGCATGGAGGGTTTCTTTTTCCGTGACTTGGGACCCAAAGCTTTTTCTTGTGAAAGCATACTCTGGTCTTGCATCATAGACACTGTCTACAGTACTCTACAAAAAGAACGGAAAATACATTAGCTACATACTCTTCAAAAAGAATTGAAAGTACACTAACTACAGAAGTCCCAAGAGATCGACAAGTTTGCAGAAGTCATATCACCGCAATCACAGTAAAAGCGTGAACACATTGGATATCGAATTTTTTTGATAAGACGCAAGGAGAAAAGAAAAACAAAAACAAAAACGCGCATATTATGACAAATTATACCATGAAGGCAATGGAATCAGTAATACAGTCACTGCAACATCAATCTAAAGAATACTAGCATAGAAAAGGGGGGAAACTTGCTTCATGCAAAGCTCAGAGACAGTATCAGGATGCCAGAGGCAATTAACATCTTATAAGAGCTCAAACAGTACACCCTCGTGCACACACACCAAAATCCTGTTGTTCAGCCAAAAAGTCTAATTTTTTTCTCTAGTTGCAGATCTGGCATGCCCCAATTTATTCCACCGGCCAAAAGCTATCCAGATTTAGTATTTCCTGAACTTGATTACCAACCAGGACTTTATCGACAGATTAAGAACCATTAACAACACAAGTTAAAATCCTCAAGGACACAGATTCTTTAAATGTTCAAAGTCACTGATCCAAGGATAAACAAATCTACGACGCAATCTTTAAAAAAAACAGCAATTATCCATGACAGACCTGATGAAATACATAGATCTAAATGCTTAAGTTCAAATCTTTATTGGCATTTAGAACATCAATTAGGACTTTCAAAAGGAAACTGTCCAAGCTTCATCTTTCATCAAGCTAATACATCAGTTTAGCTTTAGTTATAGATGTCATGATACCAATGCTACTTCATGCCAAAACTCGATACTCTTCGGTATAGACTAATGCCAAAGAGCTCAGATGAGCCATCTCTCCCAATCCAATGAGCAGCAATCAAACACTCTAACTAGTATGCCGTTCATCCACTAAAAAACCACCTTAGATTTCTATGTTTTCCCGAAAGATCCACACTAGGATTCAGAACACAGGTTACTAAAATTAAACATTAGGGAAACACAAAATCTCCATTCCCAAACTTAGCAAAGATTCATCAAAGGCCTGAAAATCAAACCATTAAGCTACTAATCGAACGGATACATATCCCCATTAAACTAAAGACAAAAACTTTACTCCTATAACTGTAGATAAGGCACAACAACTATCTAAATTCCTTCAAAAGAAAAATCCTCCACCAGTTAATCTATATTTTTAAAAACTGAAAAACACAAAAGCGATCAGCGGACGGGAATCAACACATAAAAACTTCCAACGAGATGAACGAATCAATAAGTGAGATACTAATAAAGGAAAGGATTTTGTTAATTGAATCGAATCTCTAACTGTTTACCTGGAAACCGCGGCAACAAGAGAGAAGCTTCAAAGGGCTACAGTGGAAAAAAGGGGTTCTGAAGAAGAGGATAGAGTTGATTAGGTCGTGCCTTTGATGTTGTTCTTCAAGGTCCCTAAGTTTAAGGCTGGCCCTGGCCATGGGTTCATGACCGACGCAGTAGAAAAAAGTAGGGCTCAACCACGCGCTAACTGAGCGAGTATTGTTTCCACACTTCACAGCTCGCCCTCCCGCCAATAACAACAAGGGCCCAATAAACCTTTTTCTTCCCAGTTTCGGTTTTCTTTTAAACAAAATATATATTTTTTTAATCTCAAATTAATTAATTATGCTTTTGATTTTAATCATTTCGAAAAAAGGAGGTTTTTTCTTCTTTTTTTTTTTTTACAAGGCAGCTAAAGCCTTGTCCTAAAAGGAAAAAGAAAATTTATGAATGCAAAATCCAAACAAAACGTATAAATACACTATAAATGTATTTGTTGTACCAGATCGACCCCCCAAAAAAGAAAGATGGAATTGAAAAGGCATAGAATATTGGAAAGAGGACCCAAAGTTTAGCTAAGACTTGAAGAATCAACATGAGGAGGAAAGAGTGAAAGCAAATTTTCAGAATCTATGGTATACTTCTAAGCTACTCAAGAAAATACTACTAAAAATATATATACAAGTAGGGTACCAAGATGCTTCAACAATTTCCAAATGGTTATCATTTTATTTATTTTTTTTAATCACATTTCCAAATGTTTATCATTACAACACCTTATAAATACTCCTTGAATCCATTGAGATGAATGTGCAAAATTCTAATATACTTTTTAATCAATACAAAAAAAAAAACTTTGTGGAATACATTGATTTTCTCAACTAAATCCACTTATATGGATTTTAACGTGACAAGATTAAGTCACGGCCTAGTTCCACCCTCGGATCCGACCCCTTCCGGCGTGCTTGATCTCTCCGTCATCGACCGGCAGCCGGTGTTAAGGTGTAATGCACGAACCCTGCACGTGTTTAGACAGGGCGGACCAACTCCGGCAGCTGAAGTTATCCGGCAAGCATTGTCCAAGGCATTGGTCCCTTATTATCCTCTAGCCGGAAGGTTAAGATTCGGGAATTCCGATGACGATTCACGGCTTCAGATAACATGTTCCGGCGAAGGCATTTGGTTCGTGGAGGCTAACGTTGATCGTAGCCTTGAAGAAATGAATTACTTCGAAAATGCAATGTCTATCCCTATTGATACTATTGATAAGCTTTTGCCTCCGCATCCTGATGCAGCTGATAATCTAGATCCATTGGTGCTAATTCAGGTACGTGCTTTTATTTTCCAATTGAAAAAATAACATAATACACCAATTTCGTCCTTCGGTTCACATCTCTTTTTTTGTTCAAATGTCAATTACTTATATACGTGACATCCATCTAATATATAATGCTCAAATTCTCAAATAGCAAAAATACTACATTTTACTTATTTTGTGATCATAAACTATTTACAAAAAATTATTTAATAAAGTCTTGGTTTAAGAGTAATCGTTTAACCATCTTTTGCTACTGATTCAATTTTAATGGCTCACTAACATTTGTGTAGGTTATGTGTTGTGACACAATTTATGTAGGATGTTTTCAATTTTGCTACATTCTATGCACGGATTCTTTATTTGATTTTCGTTTTTCAGATGAAATTGAAGGTTTATTGGTAACAAAATATTGGGATAAATTCCAACATTTTGTTTGTTATCTTCATGCACACAGATAACTCAATTTAACTGCAATGGTTTTGTGATGGGCCTAACATTCTGCCACACAATTTGTGATGGACTGGGAGCTGCACAATTCCTGAAAGCAGTAGGAGAAATGGCCCAAGGAGCAGATAAGCCCAGCATGATACCGTCTTGGAGCAGGGACTTAATTCAATCACCAGCTCTAGAAGCTTACTTAAACTCATTTCCAAAAACGCCCCTTCCACCACCAGTTCCCACATACCAGCTTGAGCATACTTCTATAGACATCACAACGGATTATATCAATAGGGAAAAACAAAATTTCAAAGCCGAAACCGGAGGCCGAAATTGCTCGTCGTTTGAAATTGTAGCCGCAAGCTTTTGGAAACACAGAACACAAGCAATTAGCGATAGTCTAAAAGAAGACACTGAATTAAAGTTGGTGTTTTTCGCGAATTGCCGTCAGTTTGTGCACCCGACTTTGCCCCAAGGCTATTACGGTAATTGCTTCTTCCCGGTGACCATCTCGGCTTCTAGTGGGCTGCTGAAGCAGGGTTCCATAGTCCAAGTGGTGAAATTGATCCAAGAAGCCAAAGCAGACTTGCCCAATGAGTTTACGAAATGGATCAAGAGTGGTGTAGTCCAAGGTGCTGACCCATTCTTGCCACCTATGCTTTACACAACGCTGTTCATTTCGGAGTGGGGTCGGCTTGGGTTCAACGAGGTTGATTACGGGTGGGGCCGCCCCGTCCACGTGGTTCCGATACAAGGCTCCAGCGTCATTCCGGTCGGAATTGTGGGATGGCTGCCGTCTCCCCGGTCCGGAATCCGGCTAATGACGTGGTGCGTTGAGAAAGACCATCTCTCGTCCTTGGCCTATTATGATCTCGGAAAAAGAAGATGAAAACTAGGGCAAAATTCAAAAATTGAATTTTTTGACTCCCAAACCAAACTTAATAAAATCCCAGTTCCAATGGTAAATGAAAATAATCAACCTAATGAAATTTTTTTTTCTTGATTTTTAAATCTTTAAAAATCTTGTTCCGCCTTCGAAATTACGATTCTTGTTTTAATTCAACTAACTAACGTGACCGGTGGCGGAGTACATGTTAACACATTGACAACACGCAAAAAAGAGGGTTCAGGTGATTACAATTGTATGTTTTGGGCGTTACTTCCGGTAAGTGGTTTTACTTGGAAGTTGGAACTAGCAGAAGTTTGTCAATGTAACTAGTAAAAGTAAAAATACATTTGTCAAATGTTTGACATTGTCTTTTCTTCTTTTTTTTTTGAAAAAAAAAAAACCAGAATGTTTGACATTATTGATAGTCAAGTTCTCATCTTTTTGTTCATTTTCCTTTTAACAAATTCTCACCTTAAAAAAAAAAAAAATCATCAATTTGTAGTTGTTGAGTTGCACGAATGAATTTTGTCAATATGGCCTTGAAAGTCCATGATACTGTATGTGAAATTGCAAAACCTACCCTTAAAATTAAATATCGCTACTTTAATTAAGATCAGCAGAAGAGAAAAAAATAAAAAGAGATTATATGATTCGTGTAAAAATAAAGCAAATGATTAAGAATAAGGGCTTTATTGACTGAGAACTACTTACTTCTTCTCACACGGCTAAACACAAAAGGATAAGAAATAATTAAGTAGGAAAACAAAGCCTAATCCTCAAAGTTTCCACAGATTATCATCATTGGCTTCTGGATTGAATGCTCAAGTACTTCAATCCCAGAAATAACGTGATTTTGCACCTTACCTATATAATTTTTCCGGCCCCCCCTTTTTCCTGGAATAGGAACAAGAACTAGAAGACTATAACAACCAATGAATATACCCTCTCAAGTTGGCAAAAGAGATGGGAAAAAAGAAAAATGACTCCAGATCGAAAAAGACGTTGGTGGTCACGTCTATAATATTTGGTATTCCTGTAATATATACTGCAAATTGGAATAAATTAAACAACAAAAGAAAATCAAAGAATGCAGCGGCCATTTTGACCATACTGCAGAGAGAGATAAGCACGTGGGCTGTTACGAATTTACCGTACTGACAAATGTTTTTAAGGTAAAATTTAAACCGATGTAACTGTTGGTGGGCTGCACTATGCACAACAATACTCGCGACAAAGCACAGTACACCGTCCGGCGGCCGGACATCTTATTCGTAGGTAAGTTTCTTTTTTTTCTTTTTTGTGGCACATACAATCTATTTAGGGTTTTGATATTTATCATCTTAACAGTTACGCACTAATATATTTAACTGATTAAATTTAAGTGCAAATCAAATCATCAGAGCAAACTATTAATACCGTAATCATTGAAAGTGTCAAGAACTCATGGTCATGTGTGCACTTGTACAATACGTATCCATTATCCACCTTATTTAATAAGTATTGACTATAGATAAGAGGGATCTTATCAGGTATATTTGTGTCTTTGTCACTTGTCACAATGAATTTTTTTATGTCAACTGTATATGTAACAAAATCACACAATTTGACTTCGTTATAAACCGAGGAAATTTCCTAACTCAACGAATTATCAAAGAAGGGGTAAAAAATTAACCTGCATTTTGCTTGTCGGAAGCCTGTCTCTCCAAATTTTCCTCAGAATTTCCGAGTATTAACTACATCATCATCTTATGAAAACTTTGAATGTTCTGCCGACCAAATCTAGAAATTCCATTGTAAGCAATGCGACTGAAAAGATATTCGAGGAATTCAAGACCTATTTGTTGGTTTTGTTTTGAAAGATATTCTTTGAACATTTCTAAGAAAAAAACTTGAAACAAAATTTAGTTGAAAATGTGTATGATCTGACGAGAGGCCTGAGATTTCAGAACTCGATAAATCAATTGAAAATAATAAAACTTAATAAATAATTGTGTGGTTGTAGCAATTTAACTGCATTGTGCTTTATACCATCTTATAAAATTTATTAAGCAGGTGATCACCCTATATAGAACTGCCATTAATCCATAATTAGCGCGAGTAATACTAGTTTATTTTTATTCACGTAATTTTGTCCACTTACTTTTCTATTTCATCGTACCTGTTGGGCCAGTTTTTTGCGATTGGACAGAAACTGTAATTGGGTTGTAGTTACGCAAAGTGATGGGCCACGGTCAAAGGACTTTATATGGTCTAGTTTGATTACAAGAGAGAAGACAAATTGGATTTAAAGAAAGATTTGTGAACCGATTTGGCACAAGTTATTAAGAACAACGCACATTCATCTGAAAGATATATTGTGTACTTCTTCTATAATGAAAATTGTGCAAACAATATCTATGTAGTATTGTGTTATTTTTTAAAAATAATATTATATATTTGGTATCTGAAATTATTATTTTACCCGTTATGTTGTGAAGAAAAAGAACAATAATTGTCCTAGGCTCCAAGCTTCAATAATTTGAGAGGTTAAAGAACAATATAGAAGTGCTAGAGTTTCATAATCCATCACAAAAATGTCTGGGATGACAGCAATTCATACAGCTCAGGATGTCCTCTGCAGAATCCCTTTCCCTTTGCTTCGTTTCGAGAAGATTCTTGCTCCTTTTTCCTTTTCATGTTCCATGGATAATTATAATATTATACATGCAGATCATCAATTTCCCCTTTTGCGTTCTAGGCGTCTAAGGTAGGTAGGTAATGGAATTTTGCCTCAAAACCGTTCCTATGGGATAGGGAAGATCTTTAACTTTGAATAATAAAATTTCTGGAAAAAGAATTATGAATGTGAATGCTCGTTGGATGTACCCAATCAGTTAACTTTGCGAGCAGCAATAATTATTAGCTTGATGGAGAATTATTGAAGTGCGGCTCAATCAATACTCCATAATAAATGGGATTGTTTGTCGAAAAAAAAAAAAGGTGGGATCGTGGGAATTCTTATTTATTTTACATAATTTGTAGAAAATGCGTGGTTAATTAATTAACAGAACAATTGGTTTGAGGTTTTAGATTGTTTTATATAGCTTGACTTTTTACGCGCATGAATCAACACTTTTAGAAAAGTTATATGCTGATTAACAAGTTTTAAATAAATGGAGCGCTTAGATTTCTTAACAACAAAATGATATATTCAATAAAATGAGATAAAAACTACTATTGTCTCTGCCAAAAAAATAGTCTAATTTTAGAAATGTAAATCTTAAAATTAGACTTATGAAATTGGTATAATCTAAGCTGATTATAAGATAAATAGACATGAAACTTTATTCAATTTTTTAATTTAAAAGATCAAGTCATCTAATTTTTATATTACAGTTTGTCAAATTGAACTATTTTTTTAGGATAGAGCAGTGTTATTCTTTATTTCTTTTTAACAATCTGTAGTATGTACAATTGAACCATATGTCTGTAATATACTAGTTGTTATTCTCTCAATTTTGAAATAAAAATCATGCACGTTTATCATATGATACGTTATAATTCAACAAAAAATTTTATTGTGAAATGGAAAGCAAGGACACACACCATTAGTATCATAGCTAACCTCGGTTATTGAATCTCTGAATTTTGTTGAAATAAAAAAACGAAGGGTATACGAAAATTGGGTCCAAAATTAAAGAAAAGTTGAATGACATCTAATACGAAAGTTGACTTTGATAAATTGATGAATGACATCTGATACAGTGCTCCTACCTTAGATTTTAACACTATCACGACGACTAAAAGTAAAGTAAACGCCTTTCATACGTGTATTGTAAGTCAGTTTGTATTAAGTATTAACTACAAATTATTAGCGTCATATTACTCTCGTTTGGACTTCCTTCTTTTGTGACGAAATCCTTGTCTGGACTTTAATTACCTAATGCAACTGAAAGCATATATAGAATACAACAAGTTATGCACAAAGAATTCCTCACTTTTCTACCGTCTTAAGTGTTAACTTCGAAGCTTCCTATCTAAAAGACAAACTCTATATAAAAACTCTTTTTTTTTTTTTGGGTTTTATCTAGCTAATATCTGCTGATGCAGGCCATATAATTAATATTTTTTAAAGTAATTTTTTTAAAAAATCTTTTGGAGATGGAAAGGAACTTTTATTCATTTTTTGAGGTGAGCTTATATATCAAGGGAATATAATTATGTTTACTATAGTTTACAGGTTATTGTAGCAAATATAAGTTTACCCATATCAGGTGGATTTTCCGGCGTAACCAAAAAGAAAAAACTGCTTCAAGACTTGAGTGGTTATTTTTTGCTTATGTTTCCATTTCAAAATAATTATCTTATTTAACTAAAACTAAGACGCCTATGAAACGGAGAGTATTAGAACAATTACTAGCGTCTTTCCCTCATGGAAAACTTACGTATTTTGCTTGGGAACTTATCTCTCATTAGCATTAGAATCTGACTTTCGGTTCATTAACATATACAGTAATTCATTTTATCCCTCCTTGTACAATGTAAGATTTATGTTGTAGGATGAAAACTGTGTTTATTTAAAGGTAACTAAAAATAAGAATATTGCGACTACATACATACAAAATTTTGTATGTTGGTGTATTGACTAATTTACAGATTTAGTCACATGTTAATTGTGTAACTAAATCTCCCCAAGTAAGATTGGAATCTACGACCAATCGATTAACATTCGATCACTTTACCGCTGAGTTACTGAAGAACAATGGTAGATTATATCACATAGAATTCAATTCATATTCTCAACTCATGAACAATATGAGCTAGAAACTTCTTTCGTAATTCCCAAAACTTTTTCGGAGTAGTTATCTTCCATGCCTCATTTTAGAGAAAACCTCAAAGTGGCTCTATTTCATTATATTCCACCCATATCCCGATTCCATTCATTTAATATCCCTTCATTGTCGTTGACATAAGAAATGTCATTTTTAGTCTATATTTCTTTTCTATACATGTATATGGAAAGTTAAAAAATCATCATATAATAATAGTCACACGCTAACTGTGTAACAATAGTCATTCTATTTTTAAAATTGCCAACCTATCTAGAGTACTCGTAAGATTTGCTTTAGAGTTGAAGTTTGAGATGATCCATGACTTAGTTTTCGTAATTGGACTTTGGAGTTGGTAAGACTTAATCAAATCAACTGACCATGGCGATGTAAGCCCATGTATCCTTGAATCTTATGAAAGAAAAAAATCAAAAAAGTTAATTTAGCTATAATCACACGCTAGAACTAAAACAATTCATTTCATCGAAATTAAACATAATATTAAAAGAATGATATTTCATTCATTTCTGGATTCAAATTGTTTATAATATTCTTGCACCTCTCTTATAATAAAGATCTCAAAATGCAAAATTACATCCATCTACTTAATCATACGCGTGGCATATTTGGAAATTTTCAAAGGTCATAATTTTCACCACAAAATTCCATGCTGATGATATGATTATTTTATAATAATGATGACTTTCATAGATTTAAATATTTCGACTTGTCAATTAGCTAGGAGGTACTATTGTATAATCAATTTATTCAAAATGATAATATTTGCCCTAGATCTTATAGAACCAGCCACACGATTACATATAATTAGAGTCACGCAATTTTAATTAAATATTGTTGCATGTAGTACAATGTTAATATGTAACAGTAGTGAAAGGTAGTTCTGCTAACAAACCATACCGATGAAACAATGTACAGCCTCGTTTCAAATTTTGGATATGTTTAATTCTTTTTTGTTCCCTATTATTAAACTTATTTGCCACACTAATAATTTGATACACTTTTGATTTCACACAATCAATACTGAGAGTAGTTTATGATCCTTTGATTTTTATTTTTTTTTTTCTTTCTCCCTTTTGTTTTAGAAGAGTATTGATATTTAATAAAAGTTGGGAAAATGGTGGAGGTGCAACAGTCAGCATGTAGTAGGGACATATGCAACTTTGGCATGTGCAATTGCAAATTGGAAATAGAAAATTATGGAATAAGAAAGAGGCGGGTATCTTCCAGGACTCAATACTATATTCATCATATTACAATTACGCTACTCCCTTGGAAATATACTTACAATATACACTACTAATAATGTAATTATCTATAAAACACAGGCACTTGTTCTAACGAGTCACTGTATTAGATCAAATTAACTCAGTTTATTTATTATAGTTCAAAATTGTTCCATTTTATAAAAAGAAACGTACTCTATGCAACTCAGATGAGTCATTGTAGCCGACGGTGAATACCCTGTAAATATACAAAAAGTAAGGATTTTGAATACATATATTAAAAAAAATCTTACTTTATTATATCCATGCCAAATCGAATAAGAGAGAGGGGAAGATATTAAAAAAAAAAGGGGAAAAGAAAAAAAGAAGAAGAAGCAAGTTCCGAGTAATGCAGCCAAACGCAGACGGCAGACCATTCGACCAAGTTACTGGTAAAAACTTGAACCTTCAAAGTTCAAAGGCTCTTTCATTCCTGAATTTCCAGTCCTTTCAACCATTTCTTTATTCCTTCAATCATTTCTTTATTCATCTACATCGAAAAAGTTTGGTACCCAATAACACACCACCACCCCCCACCCTGCTTTTCGTACCTCAAAAACAAAATCAGACATTGATTCCTTCTTTCCACATTTTCCTTAAACCACCACCATAGCCAGCAAAAATCCACCATCTCCATTTCCGTTTTTCTCCCTCCCCCTCCCACTGGGCAATTTGTCACAATCCCAGCGAGCTAGCTGTCAGATGGGATTTCTGTCAGCAAGAATCAGCAAAGAGTTAATCTTTTTCTTACTGTGCAGTCTCTTTGCCATTTCTGCTGCTCAAAAACTCAAAACATTCAATAAACGGTATGGCTCCTTCGATTCAAGTGACATGGATGTTACCAACGGAGCCCTCCTGAAGGAAAGAGATGCCGGAATCAACAATCAAGCCCTTCAACTCACCCCAGATAGTCTTCAACAAGGGTTCATTAAAACAAACAAATCAGGTAGAATGCTTCTGAGACAGCGTTTTAAACTCTGGGATGGGGATGGAGATGAGAAGATCCCAGCAAATGACACCAGGAGGGTGGCCTCTTTCAATACATCCTTTCTTATCAATATTTCTCCAGTTGATAACGCAACAGGGGAAGGCCTTACTTTCTTGATTGCTCCATCCCTAAATTCAACCCCGCCTTCCAGTTATGGTCAGTATCTTGGCCTAACAAATGCTACAACTGATGGGCAAAGCAGCAACAAAATTGTTGCTATTGAGCTTGATACATTCAAGCAACCATTTGATCCAGATAACAATCATATAGGCCTTGATATCAATGGGGTCAACTCTAAAAAGGTGGAATCTTTAGCACTTCATAACATCACACTTGCTCCCTTAGATGAAGTGAGATTTCACAATGTTTGGGTGGATTATGATGGGATTAACAAGGTCATTGATGTTTACATTGCACGACAACAAAGTCAGAACGGTCCTACGCCTCCTAAGCCTGATTTGCCCATAATCACATACCCTCTTAACCTGAGGGATGTCCTGAATCAGTATTCATATTTTGGGTTCTCTGGTTCAACTGGGAATACTGCAGAGCTCAATTGTGTTCTGCGCTGGAATTTGACTGTTGAGCATTTCCCAGATGAAAAAGGTCACGTCTTGACCATCGTTCTTGCAGTTGTAGTGCCAGCTCTTGTGTTGATCTTGTTAGGAGCTGCGGGATTGGTATATTATGTCCGGAGGAAGAATATGGGAAGGTCCAGTTCAAACATTCTTGGTGCACTCAAGAGCTTGCCTGGAAGTCCAAGGGAGTTTGAATACAAGGAATTGAAGAGGGCTACCAGCAATTTCGATGAAAAACACAAGCTTGGACAAGGGGGTTATGGAGTTGTGCATAGAGGGTTCTTGCCAAAGGACAATTTGGAGATTGCTGTCAAGTGTTTTTTGAGGGAGAGCATCAAGGGAGAAGATGATTTTCTCGCTGAGCTTACTATTATTAATCGTCTTCGCCATAAGCATCTTGTTAAATTGCTTGGTATGTTTCTATTTTCTCTGACCTTTTTAATCTACTACTTGATGGTTTTTTGCATCTCTATTTACTAGCTCTCTTTGTCTCATCATCAGAGAAGAATATAGTGATACTTCCATCATGACCATTATTAACCCTACAGTGGCCTTTTACCTGATTGTTTCCATTTGTTCTTACTTAAGAGTTTAGATGATTGTTTCAAGCCTATCAAATTTCATATCCTTCCCTACTTTTAGAAGTTTGTTTTTTGCTTAAGAAGCTGAGAACCGGTCATTTCATACAATTCTTCCTAGTGAAAATTAGCACGTCGCCTCAGAATATCTCATTGTTAGCCAAAACCTATCACAATCACATGCTGGCTTGGTCCGCAAACACCAAAGCTTCTTGTCAGCGTGTTTTATTGAGCTTTCTTCAACTTTTGGTACCAAAAATCTTCGGTCAAAAGGAATAGTAAACAGGCCTTACCTCAGCATCTTATCTGCTATATTACATCATGATAAAGGGGAAGAAACTTCCTCAAAAACTCCATCCTTATATCTCTGGTCAGCTCATCATAAGTTTTTTTTGGGTGTTTGGAAAATAGTCTAAAATACTCCTCGGTCATTAGGTCGTTAAAAATGATTTGCTTGGGCACTAAGCTTGGTTACGCTTTCGCTTTCTTTGAATCGAATTATTGATTGTGTTTATGTGCTATTGTAGCCGGCTATCTTTTACTTGTATAATCAATTGCTATTTGATGTGACTTGAATGGAACCTTATCATAAAAGGAGATAACGACTTTAGCAGATATTAAGGACAAATTGCCAGTTGTTTACTTTGGTGATGTAAGAAATAGTCATTAGCATTAACATTTTCCATCACAAAGAATGCTAGAAGAAAACCAATTTTCTTACCCAAGTCATTGATTCAATATCCATTTAGATCCAAATTTCAACAAGAATTGAGTGGCACGCTGAAAGACCTTAACAAAGTCTCTTTTGGATTACAGGATGGTGTCATAAAAATGGGAAGCTATTACTGGTGTATGAGTACATGCCTAAGGGCAGCTTGGACCACCACCTCTTTGTAGGGAGTGACAAACCTCCATTGAACTGGAATCTCCGATATAAGATCGTTTCAGACGTGGCCTCAGCTTTACATTATCTTCATAATGAATATGATGAAAGAGTGGTGCACCGTGATCTTAAGGCCAGTAACATCATGCTTGATGACAACTTCAATGCTCGACTAGGTGACTTTGGCCTGGCCAGGGTCCTAGAAAAGGAGAAGACATCATATGCTGAAGCTGAGGGCGTGCCCGGCACATTTGGATACATTGCACCGGAGTGTTTCCACACTGGGAAAGCAACACAACAATCTGATGTGTATGCATTTGGTGCAGTCTTGCTGGAAGTTGTTTGTGGACAGCGACCCGGAACCAAGGTTGGTAACTTCAATACTTTAGTAGACTGGGTTTGGTTCTTGCATCGCGATGGCCTCCTACTTCAAGCCGTTGACATGAGGTTAGGGGAAGACTACATTGCTGAAGAAGCCGAGAGACTTTTGCTATTAGCGCTGGCTTGTTCACATCCTATAGCAAGTGAAAGACCCAAAACACAAGCTGTTTTACAAATTATAACGGGAGCGGTTCCACCGCCACAGGTGCCACCTTTCAAGCCAGCATTTGTATGGCCTGCAATGTTGCCATTAGATATAGAATCTAGCTTCACAGACACAGGTTCCATTACAACTTCACAGTACAATTCAGGATGGAGTCAGCAATGCCTCAGTAGGGAAAGCCATGCAGACTATACAGACCATTCCTTGGTGTAGTCTCTTCTATATAGAAGTACTAATCGGTTATTTTTCTTTCCATTGTGTTAGGCTCAAATGCCCTTCCTCTTCTTTCAATCTTTTCTCTTTTCTGTGATTACTTTCATTCTTTCTTTTTCCCCATTTGGGAAAGGAGATCTAAAGATTTCCACCCCCTCAATTTTTTCCCCATTCTATCTTCAATTTGTTTTTACTATGTAGAGAAGTTTGGGAGGAGGTTTCAGTGTACATCTGGTTCATGATCCATGAAACTTGTAATTATCATGTTTGTCAATTTGAAATGCTTGATGTAAAATATTCAATGACCCATTATTTGAATTCACTGTAAGCTCAATAGACTGTAATGTTATGACTAGTCACAAATGGTGACGAGCATAGCTAAAATAGATGCTTACACAAAGATGAGCGCCGCATCAAACAATCTCAAGGTGAATGCCACTGACCCCCAAGAAACTGATGTTCGACTGTTCATGATTTTCAACCTTCCACAGAGTCTCAAATCTTGTGTAACAACCCTCAAAATTTCTCTGTCAATATTAACTTCGCCGACCAACCATTTGTTTGGTAGGTAATTCACTCAACTAAGAAGAGAGAACTTTCACTAAAACTGGAACACCTACTTTGACGTGCTTGGGCCACAGCCCACAAAGGAGCTTAATGCAAAATGGAAACCTATCTCAACTGATATACTTACACACTAATTCCCCCTTTTCCCTTTACCCTCTTCCAAGTTCCAACCAGTCATCACAAAGAATTGACTGAAAAATGTTTAATTGATTCAGTATGTTGGAACAAAAAAAAATCAATCTCGATCAGTTTCCAGAAGTTGGGATTATCAATAATCTTGTTTGATCCTGTCGGTGTTATTTCACTACAATTTGTATACTGTACGTGTGTGGCTCTTGCTCATCTGCATGCTTCTTCTATGTTTGCAGGCTCCACTGTTTCTTAAGGCAGCTCCATTTCATTGTTTGGGGGAAACAGTGACCTTGTCACTCATGAAATTATGGGAGGCTTGAAGAATGACTATGCAATTGGAGCTGAAATGAGCGCAACATTGACTAATGAAAGTGGCACTGCTGCACAACCAAGTGCGTATAAAATACATGAAAAATGGCAATCATCGTGCATTTGTTGGCTGCGAAAGCTGTTTGCTGCCGATACCTCAGAAAAATTGTTGATAACAAAGGGAGAATTAAGCCTGGATTTGGCTGATAGCATTAGTGGCAGAGTAAACCATTCAGGGGGAGTCTGCTTTGGAGCATTTAATCAAATTCTCAGTTTCGCTATATATGATATATACTGATGATAGAAGCCGTTGCACCTTGGGGACATCTGTCCCATCTTGAAGATGTTATACCAAATATTAATATCTGGGGAACAATGTTTAAGGGTCATTCTTCAAGCATTGAGGGATGCAAATCTAAATGATCCCAGATCGAATAGAAAGTGAGCAACGCCACACTTCCTATCGGACTTTACTTTTAGGTTTCTTTAGGCAAACTTCAATTGATGCTCCAAGATTACACAACCACACAAGTGTGTGACAAAAGAACACGCAGACTGATGCCTACGATTGAGTTCAGTCATAATGAAAACATTTGAACCAAAAATAAAAACCCAGCTTATATTGTTTACAAGGGAAACTTAAAAGCCTATTCAAGATTAACAATACTATTTAGAAGCCAAATATTTTCTAACCGCTTCAGTAGATTGGTAAGCAAACAACTTTTGACTCAGAAAGACATAAGGGTATCCAATGACAGATAAGAAATGGTCTGGCTTAGAAAAGGAAACAATTTCATACCAGACTTGCTTGTTCTCATCCATAGAAATTGAGAAACGCTCTTCCCCTGCCTGTTTTTAGCAGTGCCGAACAGAAGTTAATTTGCAGTTCAAGGAGCATATCATAAAACTCTAGAAACAGGAACATCATCAAGAAGCATACTTGAGTTATTTCATATTTGCATATTGATAAACTGATACTGATCACAGTTGGTAAAAGACTAACCAGTAAATGTCCTTTAAGAGTACCACTGCCGAAGCTAAAGGAAGCTACAGCCCCTTTTGCACCTCTCTTATCAGCAACATACACCACCTGGAGAGGCATCATTACCCAGGGCAAAAATTCCTTCACGCAAACGCAGAACTTTGTCCCCATTTTCACAGGTGTCTTGGAGTCAACAAAGGCCCAATCAAGCCCAAAGTGCCTGCAAATTGATATTCCCCATTGCATAAATATTGCCTCCAAAATATGAAGGAAAGTTCTAATCTTTCCAAGAGCACAGACCTCCAATTCTGAAGAGCATTTTTACCCTTCTCAAATGTATCAAGACCAGAACCAACTAAAGTACGCGCATGATTAACTGAGAACCCACATTTCAACAGTTCCTTGTCTTGCTTAAGTGAGGATGCAGGGTCTGCGGAGTGGCCTCTGAATTTGGTCTCATAATTAAATTCTCCAGACCTGATTGCATATGATCAGAAATATAAGAATGGTAAGCTCAACTCACTTAATGAAGCAATAAGGAAGTTAAATTAAGAGGGAACTCGAAGCTCAATAGGAACAATTACTTGTTGATGCATGCTTTCTGATCTTCAAGGGATGGGGGAGCCCAGCTCAAAAATATCATCTCTTCCCTCAAATGAACAAACTTTACCGAATCAATTTCACCGAAGATCATACCAAATGGAAAAAACATGCCAGAAAACTATTGCAATTCAAAATCATCGAACCCACGGATAAATTAAGGAAAAAAGGAGAATCACATAATTTATTTACCCCAACAAACCCACAAATAACAAATCCCAAATGCTTGCAGTTCCAGAAAAACATTTAAATAAATTTGAAGGGGAAAAAAGGATAATCTCATCTTCATGTAAATGGTACTCAGTACCAATCAATTAACATAATAAGATAATATCAATCGCAAGTCTTGCTCAATCTCATTGTCCAACCTACGACTTTCAGGAATTCAGCAGCTCTAAGTAATGAACTAAGGAAGACGACGATGGGGAAGTACAAAACCCTTTGAGAAATAAATTCAAGAGATTCGAGCAAAAAATATACTGATTACTAACCTTCAAACGATGGAAACACCCAAGTATTTACCAGTTACCACTGGTAGAGGAAGTTACTCCTTTAGAAAACTGGAGAAAGAGAGGAGAAAAGAGCAAAGTGCTGAATTGGCCGTCCCACATCGACAACTGGAAGAGACCCGAAGGGCATAGGCTATTATTTAATTGAAGCTCGGAGAAGCGCATTAAGTATCTTTGCGCTTGGGGCAATGACGCAGCTTATGAGGTTCTAACCGAGGCGCGTCTATTGCTGGTTGAAAACTATTTCCAAACCCCCTCTTTGGCCTGGGCTTGTCCTAGGCCATCGAGAATTTCTGGAAGGGCTCCCTTCGGGGTAAAGCCCTACAATTATAGTCCAAATTTATAAAATAAGCCCATAATAATTTCAGTATAATTCAGTCTTTTGATAAAAGGCGTAAGATTGATTAATTCTAGAAATTAAGATAGTTATGTCAAGCAACATTATTATTGACTTTGAGATTATGCGCCAAAAGATTTTTCAAATAAAACTAATTTTTCTGAAATGGACCATTTGAGCTGGTAATAATAGTATCATGCCCTCGTCACCAATGTAAGCACCATGGCCAGAATATTGATCGAATTCACTTGAAACTAACTACAGAATGTAGTATTGGCTTGGGTTGCAGTATGGATAAACCTAAGAAGTAATTAATGTCCAGCTAAAATTTAGAGTAAGTTAAAGTTGAGCAAGCAAATATCTTCAGAAAAAGAAGAACAAGGCAACACATTTGCTATCGACCTAGCCAGTTAATAGAATACATCTCGATCTACTACGGGTTTGTGATCAAGAGATTATGAATGGAGATCATAGTCTCTCCATTGTGGTTCGTTCTTCCGGTATTTCTTCTCCATTTGAGAGGATTTAACTCATTGATTCAAGGGCCTATGAGGCTTTGGAGCATTGGGATTTCCTTGCTCATAAAAGGTTCTCAGCAAAGATATCGCCTCTGTGGTCATTATTCCTCCTTCGCACTTGAAACACTTTGTCTGATCTCCAATCGACGAATGCAAAGACAATATTGATCCACATCCTCCAAATCTATCGTTTGCACAACCAAAATATATCTGTTTTATACCAAGAATCGACAAGGATCCCGCACACATTATACACGGCTCACAAGTGACATAGAGAGTGCAATTTGAAAATTTCTTCGCAACATCAGCTTTTGAAAGTCCAAGTTTCTGCCACTGCTCTAATAAGACATCAATAGCTTCCATCTCAGCGTGCCTAGTAGCATTTCTAGTCTCATTGGTTCGATTTCTTCCATGTGCAATAATCTTCCCTTCTTCCACAATAACACACCCAACAGGCACTTCAAGACTGTCCAAGGCCAGCTTTGCTTGGTCCAATGCTAACTTCATATATGCAATACTTTCTGGCACTATTTCTTCCACACAAGATGCCATGTAGACTACTCAAATAGCAAATACCTATCCAAAGAAACTAGCAATCAATATTTGCTAAATGCATGATAATCAAGAGAAGTAAAAATGATTAAGAAAGAAAACTAAATGAACAAGCCAAAAGGAAAGAAACTGCTAGATTGATGCACGCAAACGAAAATGAAAGGTGTAACATATGAATGCAATCTGAAACTTATATTGAAGGAAAGACATCGAAAAATTCGTAACAGTTCTACTTTTCCGGATGGATTGGTTCTGTAGGATAGTAATCTCATTTTGCATCAAGAAATTAATGACATACTTATTGTGAATTATGACATTTAACTTTCTAAAGATTTAAACTTTGCATCAAAAAGGAAAGTAAGGCAGGAGCACATTAAGCTCAATGCACATAGGTCACCAAAAGAAATAATGATAAAGTTACCAAGCTAGTGGGTGTGCCGCATGAAAGTTTGCTCATTGGTGCTGGCGACAATTAACCGACAATCTAGTCGACCATTTTACAAAAACTGAAACCAATGCATATTTCTTCAAAGTTTGCGTATTTTAGTTGCATAATATGTAAATGACACAGCACCAGTGTGGTGTATCTTAACATATAACATAAACCATAGATAATTTAACCAACACGTAAGCAGCAGAAAATCAACACAAAACAACTGCTGAGTTTAGGTAACCAAAACTAAAGAAGAATGACTCTTAACATCTCGAGGTTTAAAAGTTGTATCGCAAAAAAGAAAACCTTATTAGCAGGAATTTTATTATTGAAAGTTTGATATGACATTTCTTTTTAGACCTAAAAGACTTAAAAACCAAAGCCAAAACAACTAAAAACAACTAGAATTCACTCCTAATTTGCTATTATTCCAGAACAACCTGCAAGATAGCAAAATTACTTGGGAACTGTATTCTAGATAACTGAAAATAAATTACTGCTCCCTAAAACCACATTAACCTAACCAAAGCGCTAACACGATGCATAAGTATAAATAAACAAGTGATCGAGTCCTAACACCCTTCCTTATCCACATTAATACTAGTGAAACTTTTGCTTCAGCTTAGTTCACTGATATAAAAGCAGAAACCAAACAAATTAAAGGCATGTGAAGTAACACGTAATATTAAGGGAGAATTAGGCTAGACATTTTATCAAACACTTGTTGTGCACAGAGAACGAATCCATAATCTTTGAAGAATAGACTTCCCCGCCTTTCCATAATACAAGTTGTAGTACCATAAAAGAGAAAACTTGATGTTCCTTGCACTCCAATGTCGGCCAGGAGTATTATTCACCGTTCCGCTGCAACTGGTTCGAGTTCTTCAAGGTATTTCCTCAGGAGTAGCAATAATAAGGAGAACGAGAGGCCGACTTTAACTTCTGCTGCTATTGTTGGAGAGAAAAAAATCTGCAGCTAGAGGGCCAGTAGGATCCGAGTTCGATGTGGTTTCAATTATGCAATTAATAAATTTTTCAACATATATATTATAATTGTTGAATGTAAGAATGAGTTTGGCGTACTCTTTAAATATAATTATCAAATTCATTTATTTGATAATTATGTCTTTTTGTTTTCTTTTTCATTCTCACTATATTTAAATGATTACTCCGTGATTAATTATGTCTCTTTATTTTTTTTTCATCCCCACTACTCTTAGATGATTATTCCATTATTCATTATGTCTCTTTGCTTTCTTTTTGATTCCCACTGCTCTTAGATGATTACTTCATAAATATTTATTGTTAACAATATAATGGATCTTTAATCTTATTTTTAGTAATTTTTTCTTTTACTATTATTGTTACTAGGATTAGAGAAAAATTATTTCTCATTATTGATAAATTTTATCAGTTAAAAAACGGTTTCGGTGATCCTAAGTTTCTAACCACTCTAAATTTTGTCTTTTCTTGTTTCTTTCTCTGTTTTGAATTTAAAAAGTTCATTAATGATACTTTAAATTATTCAATTAAATAAAAGAATATTAAAAGTCATGCATCACCTATATAAACTTTTAAATTGTGTAAATTTTATTACTTCTTTCTTCTTCTTTCTAAGTCTTTGTTTTTTTTATCTATCTCAAGTTTATTAAAGATAATCATCTTTTTTTTTTAGAAAAAATTTCATTAATAAGCTGGAATCAGCCACTGAACGATAACCAATTTGGAAGAGACGACCACAAGACTTAGCATAGTCAGCTATTGCGTGAGCTATCGCATTTTCCGTACGATTAATCAAAAAAATATTCAGGCTAGGAAAGCCTTCTAAGAGACTTTTTATTTCTTGGACAACTGGAAAAGCGAGATGTGGGCAATCAAGATCTCCTCTGGCAGTTAAATTGGAATTGAGGGAATCTCCGACAATCTAGAAAATTTGCGACTTCAAAACTTGCGCTGTTTTTAGAGCTTCCTTCAATGCCATCAATCAGCTAGTTCCGGATCAATTACATTCGCAGCACGAGAGGCGAAAGCATGGAGGAAATTGCCCTCAGATGAAGCAACATACACCCCGAATCTCGCTATTTTATTCCATGAGGAAATTCCAGCATCAAAGTAGACCGAGACCAACCCTGATTTTGGACGGAAAACTGAGTCAATGTCAAACTTATGCATTTTCAGATTTTCTAATTGAGAGAGTTTCCATGTTTTTATCATAGAGATGGCGGCGAGAACCACTCTCCAGGGAGTACTGCTTTTCTGTGAGAACACTTTGTCATTTCGGGTTTGCCAAAGGACGTTACAAATGAAGCCAAAGAGTTGGATTTTGTCCCTGTCAAGAGCCAGAAATAATTCAGTGAACCATTGCTGGAAATCTTGATGTTGGAATTTCAATACGAGCTCCCTTAATCCAGCCTGAGTCCAAACCTACTGTGCAAAGGAGCAAAGGGAGAACAAGTGTGTGGCACTTCCATTCAGAGAATCACAGAAACAGCAACTTGGAGTAACATCCAGATGGCGAGCTGCTAATCATCTTTCGTTGTTCATCTTCATATTTTTCTTCCACAATTTAGTTTTTTTTTTAGATTTTTTCTTCTTATTGGTTGTTCTTTATTTTAAGGTAATACATTTGATTTTATTTTATTTCTCACTTTGCATGGTCTTTGTCGAGAGATTGTGTTTCACTCTGTTGCAATCCAAAAGTAAAGCGCTCTAACTATTTCATTTTGTTCTTATAATGATTATATTACTATTGATAAATTTGTTAAATCATTAATATTTGGTAGATAGTGTAAGACACAATAATGTAACTGATTTGTTTTAATTATTAAATTTTATTCTTTTATATAATTTATATTATACTATTATACGTACGCGCGAAGCGCGTCTAATCCATCTAGTTAGTAGTAATTAATTATTATATTTTAATTTTGTAGCTTTTGCAATGAATTTCTTTAGTACGCTTTACAAACAAAAACGGTGCAGGCCTCCAAGTGTGCACGTTTCCACTCCATCTTGCTTGAAAAACTTCCTACTTACATCATGATCTTGCATTTAAAAGTTCTCGTTAGTAATAAGATTCAAAGTTTCAAACCTTCCTATTATTGGAGTTAACTGTGCCGTTACAACTTAGACAAGCTCACTTTCCCCTCTGTAATGAACCTGGGATCTCATGTTTCCTACCCCTTTTATGTTGTGTATTTCCAAATTCCAAGCGGAGCACCAAATTCATGGTTTTGATGCAAACATACAGTAAGAACAATGTTGGATGTCGGCTAAATCTAAAGCACCCCCTTTTATGTTGTGAATTTTCCAAGTAAAACGCCAAGTTCATATTTCTGGTGCAAAAAGATATGCCAAAAGAAGAGCAAGACAGCTTAGAGTTCGAGCAGAACCTTTACTAATACGTTTTGAGGATCCTTGTTCCAAAAACATAGTTCACGAGTTGACATTGTAAAACTCGCAAACTATTTTTTGGCAACGAAGAGTATAATATATTCTTCCAACATAAGGGGTGGGAGGGTTGCTGAGCGGGAATTAAAATGTGAAATTAGGTCGATAGTTCGATTCTCATTGAAACTATCTCATTAAAAATAAATAAATAAAGAAATATACGAAAACAGTGCCCACATATTGGAACGGACTTGGCAGTAACTTGCAACTGTCAACAAAATGAACTTCACTTCATAGTTAATCCTTGAGAATGGCAACTATGATATACAATTCTAAAAGAATTGTCAAAATGAGATCCAAATCCATTCATATCATCCATAATTTGGTAGTTAGCTGAGATAAAATATACATGATTTCCACTATACAGCACTAACATAAGACTTTCCTAGGATTAGTAATTACCCTTCCTACCAGGCTAACACGTCAAAAGTTAGAATTCAACTGGGCAATACATTAGCCAAAAGATGCAATGGAGCAATCACAGATTTATAAAATATTGCTGTTGAACTTGCACCTAAGACCTACAAAGTCTTTCTCAAAGAAGTTTACAGTTTCGGATGACTCCTTGATCACATGGAATGACGACTGTCAGGTTTCTCTTTTGGGATTCTTTCTTCTTGGATCTCCTCCAGGTCCTCATCTTCTCCCTTCCGGCCAGCTTGTTCCTTCCAATATGCCACTAGCTTCCTCAGACGAGCCACTTCTTTTGATGCGACATTTTTACTTGGATCATTCACAATGGTGCGAACTCTTGATGCATACCTAAGCAACAGAATTATAGGAGAATTAACTCAATAAAGATATGCAGACACACAACTCATGAGTTGATTCACTTTAGAAGTAAACATATTCCTTCCTAACACATATATCACACGATTAGTTTAAAACATAATCATTTTATTGCAAGTGAAATCTATATTGATGAAAAACTTACACTAGAGAATTGTAGCTCTCATCGAGGTTTGATTCGGCGGGTGAAATATTTACAAACATTAATGTTTTTGCATTACCACCGAGGGAATCACTCATCAACATTGTCAATTTGTGATTTCTGTAAGGGATGTGCTGGCTACCAGAAGAAAGAGCACTAATTACATCTCCAAGGGCAGAGAGTGACTTATTGATACTTTGAGCTTCCTTCAATTGACTTCCAGAAGAGCCAGACTTTTTTACCCTCTCAGAACCGGCAAGATCAACAAAACTCAGCTGCATCAAACGTGAACCAAAGCACATCAAAAACAGCTTGAACCAACCAATGGAGTGAGTACACCAATGATACCAAATTATAATTACATCAATTAATTGGTCTTGACCTTTAAAAGAATAAAATTTTATATGGAACAGCAACATTCATATAAGATTGCAACCCCTTCCAAAGATTTTATAAGCCAATCAAACATTGTTAATTGAGGACACTAACCATCCAGCATATATATATATATATATAGAAGATGGAGTATCATGTAGTTTTGTTCATGAAAGCTTAAAAACAATACCTTTCCTCGAGCAACAGATTGAGTCTGCAGGTTCGTACTTTCAATTACAATTGAAAGAATAAGATGAGATCTTGAACTATGTTCATTCATCAGGGTACCAGTGGTATGGCGTTGTCCAGATCCTTGTTGCATAACACTCATAAGCTCATCATATGATGAAATAGGCACAACTGTCACATTTTCCACAGCCACCATGCCCTACAAATTGCAACATTTGATGGAATAATGTAACTTGAATATTGTTTACGCAAATTACTAACAGAAAATGAGGACAATATGTCGTCCACTATGAGAAATGGAAGAATAACATTAGAAATGTAGCCAGCCAAGAGAATACCTTTGAATCCTTTTTGATATCTAGCTTGAGCTGGTTGGCATTTTTGGGCAATAACAGATCTAATAGAGTGTCTTGATATAATTCCACCATGTATGCCTGGATCAAATTAAACATACAGTTTTAATGCAAAATATATTTTACAAACTTTATCACAGTAAGTATAATATATTTCTAAATACTTTCCGATTATTTCTTTGGCACAGAACCAAATTACCTTCAAAGAAAATGAGAATTTGTTACTTTCTCGCTTCATAATCTTGAAAAGCTCTGAGATTGCACGAGGAGTCAAACCAGGATTACTATCAGATCCATAGATTGTATGTGTCTTTCCAGAACCGGTTTGTCCGTATGCAAAAATGCAGACATTAAACCCATCAACAGCAGATTGCACCAAATACTGCATGTGAAAAACCAAATGATCTCCAGATATAGTAATTACTTAAAGATAGAACAAAAACCAAAAATAACCTATTAATCCACAACAAACTTGCCTTTGTATCCTCAAAAACATCATCCTGAGAGGCAAATCCATCGAACACACGATCATACATGTGTTGTTTAGTTTCATCTTTCCAAATATGTTCAACTGTGAACTCATCAGCACATATGAGCACATTCTTTTCCTTCTTGGCAATTTCTTTCCCACTAAGAGGCCTCAATCTACAATATACTCTTATCTTGCCTTTCATATCTGAGAAATTTAAAACAGAATTTCATAATTCAAAAAAGAGGCCACGGCAGTTTCTTAAAAATGAAAGCAGTATCACTATGAAATTGAAAAAGGAAGAGGATTCTACCTTCTATCGTATTGTAATACCGCTTTCTCAAAACCTGTTCTTCCCTGTAAAGTGCCTCCATTTCAGCTAATTGTGCTGCCTGTTTCTTTAGTATTGCAGCAGTCTGCTCATTTTTCCTATCAATGTCCTTCAAAACCCCAAAAAAAGAAAAGAAAAAACAATGTTAGCAAGCACTGATTTTGTGCTATTACATCTCCAGATGGCACAAAATAATGATATCCAAGTGAAACACAAGAAGTAACCTCTTTCATTTCCCTAAGGTCCTCCAATTCCTTGAGGTTATTTTGATACATTATCAACTCAGCATCTTTACTTGAAAGAGCTGTCTGCACAGTCGACAATTTCTGAGTGGCTTCATCTAACTTCCTTTCAAGTTCGACAACTCGTAGCTTCAAGGATTTTTGTTCATGTTCAGCAGTTTTCTGGAGAAATTCAGCCTGCAATCGTGAAATTAAATAATTACGTAAACAGATAAAACAATAATTTGGCATACTCGAGGATAAGAATCAGATCTACCTCGTCCATTTTCTTCTTTTCTAGTGTTGATATTCTCTCCTCCAAGGAAACTTTTTCAGCTAGGAGTTTTCTCTTGCTTTCTTCAGCAGCATGTAACTCCAGTGTCCGTGCTTTTAATTCATCTTGGATCTTGTTCAAGATCTATGCATAAACCACAGTTTTAATTACACACCATCAGATACATACGAAACACATATAAGCATATCAGACAATCAAATGTAGCCACAATTTTTCCCTTTATAAAAGGCTCAAAATGGGAGTTTCTTCAATTAAAAATATTCTCAACATCACTCATCAGCATCACTTTATGAACATGTAAAAAGATACAGTTTGCATACAAACCTGATTATTGGCTTCAACCAGCTCTTTCCTAATATTTTTCTCCAAGCCTTGACTGCTTAGCTTTGCAAGTTTGAGTTCCACACTCCTTTTGTCCATAAGAAGAGCCTGCAAGTTAAAGATATTATTGAGAGCAAATGAAGAAAATATCAGATTCAATGATCTATCATTAACGCGACATGATCACCTGGAGAGCCGAATCCCTTTCATCACATAACAATCTTAATTTGTCCCTCTCAGACATAACTTCTGCCAAACTTTGCTTTTCTGATCTCGAGAAAGCTTTCAAACTTTCTAGTTGTTCATGCAATGCCATTTCCTGCTTTTTTTGCTCATTTAAATCTTCAAGCAACTGCATCAACAACACCGTTATAAATAAGATAATACATATGAACCCACAGTAATGAGTAATCCTCTTAACGAGTGCCCAGACGCTACTTAAGAAAAACAGTATAGCTATGATATTAAGTCTATGAATGTGGCCAGAGAGCTCTAGTACTCACTTGGTTTGTTTTCTTTTGTGAATCATCAAGAGCTCTAGACAACTCTTGAACACGCAGCTCATAAACCTCTACTGTAGGAGGCTTCTGATTATTTGATGGAATTTCTCCATTTGTCACACCATTGGCTGCAGACCGTGCCTTTGAATACCGACGTAGCATCACATCATTTATATGTGTCTGAAGAGCAACACATATTTCTTCCCCCTATGATTGACAAGTCAGAACACAGGAGCCCACATTGAACGAATCAATTTCAGAGAAGTCATCCAATGAATCCTTTACCTGCCTAGTCTCAAACTGAAATATATGTAGAACCCCAGCAACTCTCATCTTGAAAAACACAGCGGAGTTACTACTACCAAATTGCATAATATCTCTCAATTCAGCTGAATGTAAATACTCTTTCGGAACTGGACGAAAAAAGTGAACCTACAACATATAAACGAATTCTCACATCATTATCATTTTTTATATCAAAACATAATAAGATTTGGAATGCAAGATGAAGTTCTATATCAAGAACTTACCCCTCGTTTATTAATGCCAAGAATTATTTTTCCTGGTAGCAGACCGATTGGATCGTCAATCTTACGAACGGCGAAAAACACTGAATTACCATAAGGAAGGGTTCTCAATATCCTCAAAAATTGTTGCCTGGCGTCATCTTTTGTCAAATTTTGCTGCACCAGAAACCAATTTACTTTTAACAACAGAAGAAAACTTTTGCTAAATGAGAGTTCGCAAGACTTATGACTGCCCCCAACGGAAAATTGAACGATAACAACAATATCCAAAAAAACAGAACTACAAGAGGTTCTTGACCTAAAAGTTATTATAGAACTGCAAATTCACTCTCCTGTCAACAATGGTTTAAATCAAACATTATCTTCATATAGCATTCATCACTTAATTGACACTATGGATCTAATTTGCAAAGGAACTAACAGAAGGACAATCTGTAAAAGAAAGCTATCGAGCAGGAACCAAGGTTGTAAGAAAAGAGAACCCAAATTTTTCCTAAAAACTAAGAAGTAACTATCTCACCATTGTCCGGTATCTAGAAATGATGTCCATTTCCCACTCTCTCTTTCCACGAGTCATTGCAACTTGTCTGGGCAAAAATTGCTCGAGAAGTGATGTCCAGTCTCTGTGACAAGTAAATAAGAAGAATGAGGTGATAGAAGTTTACCTAAATAAATCGTTTTAAAAATTTTACGACCTACAGCACATGTAAAGGACTCTGGCGAGCAACTTGGATAATTCACTAACAACACACCCATGTTTAAGGGAAGCACACAACAGCAGGATAAATCCAATTTGTGATCCCAGACAAGAAAGCTGACCCTTAGCAGAGATAGAAACAGACTTACGTGCTTGATTCAGGACCTTCAATGAAACCAACCTCAACCAAAATTTGCAGGGCAGACAGCTGTGCTGCATCATCTCTTCCAACAGGATAATTACCCAGTATGTAATCATGTTGCAGCTGCAATCATATAACTAGGTCTTATTATTGAAGCTCAACAAAGAAAATCCTTTTTTGAGGCCAAATATATAAGCCAATGGAAGTTGAATAAAAGAACCAACGCACTTGGACATAGCATAACTGCACAAACATTGAGTCTGTTATGGTTTCATCTGCCTCTCGGAACAGCTTCTTTTTAAAAGTCAGCTTGCAGTGCAAAATTTCTCCTTTACTTCGATCTTTTGAGGCTTTAAAGTCAGCCAGTAAATCGCCAATATATTTGTTATCATCCAATCCAATATACTCCTCTAAGTCACATAAAGAACAAATATCAGACAAGTAGACATTGAATGATGAAATTTGAACTTTAAGGATCATAAACTGCTAGCTAGTACCATTGCCACTATCCGGTGATTTAGAACCTGTGACAACTTTACGGCACTCAAACAGGCTGAAGCTAGAATGTGATGTCAACTTGATGATTCCAGCGAGCTCCTAAAGACATAAGCAAGGACCACATAAGAGGATAAAATTATGGTGAGCTCACGAAGAAAAGACATGCTAATCAAACACACTATGGATAACATGAAAAACGAAGATAACTCTTATTTCATTGAATTCTAATGAATTTGCTGGAGAACATTTACTCTATACTTGGAAAAATGATGTACGCCTGATAGACAAAAAAAACAAATAAAGGAATGAAAATGGCAGTCACCCAATTCTGTCTCATTCGATTTGAGATTGTCCTAAACAACAAGCACTAAATGATCAGCAGTTGTACTGAGAAGTTGCTGAAGTGATGATGGGTCATTTTGGGTCGGATATATTTTAAAACCCCCTTGAATGAGGCATAGGGGAGGTGCCTAAGAGATCATCTAATGGTCCTCAAATGAAAAACAATTCAGAGTGTTATTCAGTATTACTACAATACCTCGACAGCATCAGCTACAGTAGTTGCCATGTCATAAGTGATCTCCTCAAAAGTTTCATCCAGGAAAAACACTATGGTTGTAAGCTTTTTACCAGTTAAGCGAGCTTCAATTTCTTCCCGGCCGGGTATTACATGCCTGGGACCAGCCTTAACAGAATGCTTTAAAGCATTCAATGTGTTTAATGCCAACACTTGGACTTCAGAATCAGCACTGGATCCGTGTGCTACATTATGGATGTATTCAGATAAATACCCACCAATTTCTTTGCTAGGAGGCATGCAGGATGCAAATAAGTACATTAACTCCCATGCTCTTATCAAATAGTGCCTGCATGGTTATTCAGACAAGTGGATGACCCTAAGAAGGTAAGAAAAGAACGAATAAAAATGTACAACCTCAATTTGATCAACTACGCATGTACCACTTTTACCTTTCTGGATTTCTTCTGGTTTGCTTCGATACTTGTACGAAAAGTTCATCCCGAAGTTCAGACCGCTTCAAGGCCTGCTTATATAGTTTGCCAACAATCTCAATACGTTCGTCTAAACTAGCTGAATTCGGTCTATCTGAGGAATCAACTCCCATATACTTCAAAATGTTTTGGAACAATTTAGTCGCCCTACTAACCAAGTCAACGTTTATCCGCAACAAAGAGGTTGGAATAGGGTCCTATAAAATTATGAAACTTTCTGTCAGTAAATCTACAACTGCCTAACGTTGAGACTTGAAATCAATAGAACGTTACCTTTTGAAAGCTCAACATGTCCTCAAAGGTAAACTTCTCTCGAACTTGAGACCCCACCGACCTTTTCGAAAAGAAACCACGTTTACCAGCAGAATGAATCTGCTTTTGCATAGCCCTCAAGAAACCCTCTACCTAAATAAAGAAACATGGCCAGAAATGTCAAATTGATCCTTCAGCAGACAAACTCAAACTTTATTCAACAAGTCACTTCTTTAATGCCAAAGGGGTAAGGACAAGCAGAAAGAGAGAATTTTTTACTTGAAATTTATCAATCAAAGGTATGGCAGCAGCAAATTCAGGCGGAAGAGCTGTTGACAGAGTTTTCGGAGTGCTGTCAAGAGTGAAGAAATGCAATATTAATTAGGGTTGGAATCATACCCAGCACAATACAAGTCATAACAGAACAAAACGACCTAAAAGAAGGTAAGAGTGAATATAATCAAAGTTATATGCACCAAGCTAGAAACATACGGTGGGGCAAAATTTGAACCATCGCTGTCATAATCATCTCCATTGGAGGTAATATATGAATTGTTCACCGGGGTTTCAAATCCATTGCTGGAGCCAAAGGATGACCGGCTTGATCTCATACTGTGTGTCATCTCTGATTGGATATCAGATGTCATTTCATCCAAAAAAATCCTCAAAATCCCAACATGCTTAGAATGCCATTCAATGTCCCCCACCCTACCAAACAGTGAAAAATCCCACTTGCTTTATCAATGGCTCGTGGTTTTGCTTTGTTTTCCTATCCTGAACCGACTGAATTGGAACTGAATCGACCTCTTCAGTAACCTGAAGATAATGTCAAAAATCATTTCAGTTGGAAAAGTAGAAAATGAGCTCGCTCTGGCACTAATCCAAACTGCAAATTTAGATCAATAAAAGAAACTCGGCAAAACTTGCCAAAACTTAACAAGTAAGAGAAAGTAAATGCAAGACATACCGAATTTCAAAAGAAAATCAAAGAAAGAAAATGCCAAATCTTAAGACAAAAGCAACGAACTTTGTGAAGTGAGTCTAAACAAACATGCGACCTAAAAGAAACAGACTCTCATCAAGCATCCAATTCCAAAGATCCAAAAGAACCACAGAAGGTCTTATTTATTACGAGCATTCAATTCAGAAACCATTGAACTTCCCAATTAGAAGTTCATATTGGGATTCATAAACGAGCTAAGGCGACTTTAAATCAAAAGGGTCAGATCAAAACACCATGAGAAGTCAGATAGGCATTCATTTTCTTTGCCGCTGCCCAATAAAAATGGAAACACAATAATTGAAATTGCGCCCCCAATGTGTTGAAAGAAATGCAGCTGGTGGATTTTCATTTAAAAAAATAAAAAATAAAAATGAAACTTTAGAAGAAGCAAAGAATGCAGATGCTTTTTCGATTTACCTTGCAAAACCCAGAAAACAAAGAGAAAAGGGATCTTCTTGTTGTTCTTCACCTTCCTTCCCAATGTAGTGTGCACTTTTGCTGACCAGCCGGAGAGAGAAGTGAAGAGTGAAGGAGGGAGAAAGAAGATGTGAAGGTCACGAGCTTTTTTAAAATAATTTCATTTCAAGAACTTTTTTTGGGCAAATAAAAAACGACAAACATTATTTTTTTTTTTTTCCCTTTGATTTAATTTCATATTATCAACTTTGTCAGTTTGTTGTGATTTTTCTTTTTTCAAAAATGTTGTTCTTTTTTGTTGCAATTGACTTAGTCCTCTAATTTCTTTAATTCCATTTTTTGAGTTGAATTATTCTCCTGTTATATTTCCTCGCAAAAAAAAAAAATGCATTAACCAAGAATAATAAAAAATTAATTTCATTGTAGACAAATGTCTCTTCTGTACTTACATTAAGTAATGCGTTAAGTCAAGCGGTAATAGTTCATTTGGTGTAATAAATTGGTTATGTAATTCTTATAAGGTTTTTTCTTATATAATTATGCATGATCATTTTTTCAAAAAAAAAAAACTATTATGTCACTTCTTATTTCCCATCCAACAACCTATTTTCCTTTTTCAAAAAAAGGCAGCAAGTCCTATGGGTCTTCTTTGATAGACCCAACACAAACTATGTAGTAGTACATAATTTATTTTTTTGGTTATGGAAAAAAGGATGATAAACTTTATGGTACCCCCATTTCAATTGCCTTAAGTTACTTATTTTGTCATTTCAATTGGGGGAGTGGGGGGAATGTAAAAATCAAGGATCAACCTTTATACCATCACTCAAATTTTATCCCCTACAATTTTCTAATGGATAGTCCCCCTAGTGGTGACCATAGGGTGAGACCGTTAGATAAGACGGTTAAAAAATTTTGACTCGAAATTGTGATTATCACGAGATCGAACATTTGATTATGGTCAAAATTTAAAATAATCAAAATTGAATTAGAATGAAGGCAGATAATCCCTAAGCTAGATTACAAATTAATCTGTCAACAAAAAAGGGAAGATATACTTTTGCTAAAATATAGAAAAAAAAAAAAGAAGATGTGTTTCATTGGTTGGGACTTTAAACCTCCACCTTTATATGGTGACACAAATTTGGTACCAAAACTTCATATTTACAATGTCATCATGCACCCTGCTATGTACTCTTTAATGCATAAAAAATTTTCACCATCATTTAGTACTACCTTTATTATAATTATTCTTATTTGCAGAAGCATTTTTGTTATAAAATAGTAAACGAAATCGTTATTCAAATAGTACTTCGCGATCCTCGATCACGTACTTATAAGTTTTAACTTCATTTATTCATACCTTTTTTGGAGAATATAGAGTACTTTTTATTTGATGTCAATTTATTTGTTTTTGGGCTTTAAATAGATAAATTTACGATGTACGTTCTCAACTGATGTAAGCTTTGAGTACAAAAGTTTCTACTTCGATGGATCTTCCCAAATGGCTTCGTGAAACGTCGTACGTAAGAACTTTCCTGTCTCAACTCTTGTCACGAATATATTGATAATTTGAAATAAATAAATTGAAAATAAAACCCTTTCTTTCTTCTTTTTTTTTTTTTTTACTGTCTTCTAAATTATGCAGTTAAAATGATAGTGTCGTCATAGCCAAAAACCGCTCGTGAGTTATATGACTGGGAAAATAATTATATTGTTTTCGAGTATCTTCATGATGGAATATATAATAAGGGTATTGCTAAACGCAGCTTGAATTTACTTCGTGCAGTTTATTAAATAGACTAAATTACCCCTATAAAGCTGCACAAAGTAAAATTAAGTTGCACGAAGTAAAATAAAGATACACGAAATAAAATCAAACTGCACAAAGTAAAATCAAGCTACAAAAAACAAAATCAAAACACATAAATGACATAAAAAAAAAAGTACGATCACTAATCAGCCAAAAAAAAAAACACGATCACCAATCAGTAATCATGCCAAAGTCATAAAATTTCGCGCAAATTATTTCTCCTTGTAAAAAAAATCCGTTGGAAAATGACAATGTTGACCACCAATAAGAAAATGAACTTCGCAAAAAAATTACCTATTGAGAAGCCAATGTCTTATTTTATCTTGTTTTTTCGTGTTATTTGATTTTCTGCCATTACGAACCATCAAGAGTCAATGATCTTTTGAGAATATAATGAAAAAACTTGTGAGAAATTCTAAAAAAATGATCGTGTAGAAGAATTCGAGAAAGTTTAAGGTTCAGGGTATTTTATTATATTAAATAAATTACACGAAATAAAATCAAGTTGCATTTAGTAACCCACTATAATAAAGATGTGGAAGTAGCGTGTTTTTGTAGTCATTTACTCCTTTTAGGATTGAAATAGGTCCACTTTTAGGTGTACAAAGCAAGCAAACTCCACAAATGGTTTTGGAGGCAATTGCTCAACATCTAAAATAAAAATAAGATTGTCACATGCTGGAGTATCGAATGATATGATAAGAAATATCCCTTCAGTCCCAAAATTATTGTTTACTTTAAATTTTCAATTTTAGTACAAATTAAATTAAAAGTGAAAATTGAAACTGCACAATAATTATGAGACAGAGGGAGTAAAAACTGTAAATTCAAAGTTCAAGTCACATTATAAGAAGTCTGATATATGATTAAATAATTTATAGAGTAATAAATATATACAAGTCAATTATAAAAATGGATCAAGATCAAGATCTAAACATTCTGATAAGTAACAAAATAAGGTTTGCCGGCCATGCCGGATTGGACCTGGAATTATGTCTAGAACTTCACCAGGTGGAGCATAATTAAGCAACGGTAGTAGAGCTGTACTTGGGAGGGAATTAATACTAGTAAATAGAACCTTCTTTTTATCATTTCTTTTCTTTCTTTTTTTGTGTATTAAATAAAGTCACGAGAATTCTGTTATTATTACCACTACTAGAGTACCATTACCATACTTATCCTAGAAAACTAACTCCCCTGATTCATTCATGCTTTATTTACTTGGTCCATTTATTTTCTGAATATTAATAGTCAATCAAAAAAAAAAAAAAAAGAAGAAGAAAAGAAGAAAAAGAAAAAAGAGGGATACGGCCAAAACAAGAAACAAACTAAAGAGTAACAACAAATGAAGGAAAATGGAGGGGATGATATTTTGTATTTATGGCAAACATGAGAAAGTTGATGTCCTCCCATGTAGGTTCCTATCTATAGGGGACAAAGATTTTTGTTGGGATTTTTCTTTTATTTCAAGGCCCTCATAAGGGAAGCATTTGCTTCAAGGTTACTACAATTGCACCATGACAAAACAATGTTTTTTATTGATGACTTAATTACTTAGTCGGGGTAAGGTTGCTTGTATTTTGAGGAGGCGAGGCGACAATGAGAGTAGCGGAACCAAAACTTCAACACGGGGTGATATAGCATGAAGAACAGTATCATGTCTTTTATTTAACGGAATCAGATCGTGCATTTTATTTTATAATGCGGGTTCAAATAATATAATCTAGCACTGTATCTCAGAATGATTATGTTACTATCAATTGAGGTAAGATAATTAATAAATATTTTCCCCTTAGCAGTATCAGCAGTAACTCCACTGTTTAAGAGGTTGGATTTTTGTTCAAAAATTGCTTGCAAAATACCCCACATTAGTAAAGTTTATAGATCCTATATCGTAATCCTCACTACAATATATTTTGGATAAATCAGGCCCTGCTTAACCATAAGGTCACTAAAGCTAGGGCTTTAGTCCTGCCTTTAAAAAGGCCCCATAAAATTGTTAACGGTATATTATATATTTATAAAATAAATTAAAGTAATCAAAATTTTGATAGAAAACTTAAATAAAGTTGATATTTTGTAAAGATTAATTACAAAATTTTTAATTTGAATATTATATCAATAAACTTGTATTCAAAAAAGTTAAACAATAAATTTTATACGATAAAAATTAATAAAAAAATTTTTACTCATAATTTCCAGAGAGCTTCAAATTCGTATTCCGCTTTAGCCCCCACAAACCTTGAGCTAGCCTTGGGATAAAATAGGAGAATGACTAATATAACCGAAGCACCGACATAATGGATAAGTTGGACCAATTTGAGGGGAACGTATTATATGCCCAGAAAAATACTACTTCTGTTCTAAAAAATTAGGTCATATTGAGTTTTCAAATTTATATTAAAAATAATATAAAAAAAATCAAAACTCAATGTGGACTATTTTTGTGGGAGAGAGGGAGTACATGAAATCCAACCTAAATGAACATGCTACGTCGACACGATCAAGTATGCAGTGAAAAATCAACCAACTTCTTTCTTTTAATTGTCTTATCAGCTTAATTGTCTTGCATTTTACCCACATTAACTTGATACTTTTCATTCACTCTTTTTTCTATCTTTTTGGCCTTCTGGTGAGTTGATTCGCATTTTGCCATTTCTGGGCCAGTCGGCAAGACCTTTAGTGCTTGCTGGGAACAGCGTTTTCGTAAATAAAAAGTGAGAGTTGTTGCATTATTTTTCCGAAATCAATTTCTTTACCATATCGAAATAATTCAAATCAATTTTTTAAAAAAAAATAATAAAATAAAATATTTTGAGTGATCAAACATCAAAGTATCGAAGAATAAATAACTAAAGATTTCGGGCCCATATAGTCTTTGCTTTGTTCTCCGTAGGCCCAAAATTCCATGTGGATAATGGTGTCTATTCATTTCACCAAGGTTTAACAAATAAAAAGGTTGATTTGCATCTCAATCCCTCGTCTAATTAGTACTCCCTGCTTTCCAAAATAAATGTCATTCTAAAGTTTGCACATGGTTTAAAAAAACATTAAATATAATAACTAAATTATTAGAATATCCTCAACCAACCCCATTAAAATAAATGTTCACCAATAATGTTATTTTTTTTAGGGTATGTTTGGAAATTCTTGACAAAAAATGCATTGGAATCCGAAACCGACACTTATTTTAGAATTTTTTTCATTTTGCTAAAACGATACTTATTTTGGAATGGAAAGAGTAACTTTATTTATTATAGTTTTTTAAAAAAAAATACTAGTACAATACAATTTCATTACAAATGTCAAATGTGCATCAAACACATAGTGGGAGTGAGATCAGCTCTCACACCTAATGCAAGGTAAAAAAACACAACGGAATGAATGAAAAGGAATTCCACTTGATTCAACAATAATAAATTCGGTACTTGATAATCACGTAATGTCGATTCAGTATATCATTATTAAGAAATACTATACTAAAGACTTTTTCATTTATCTATATTAAAAAAAAAAAGGGGACTCGCCTGAATTTGGAATCTAGTCCTTGTTTCCCATCATCTGCCGACAACAGAAGTTGAATTAGGTAACTTTGTGTGAGAATTATGATTACCCTTTAAGCTAATTGAAAAGTCAAAATAATTAAGTTGATGATGGTGAAATGGTTAATTGGTTTTAGTTTCCAGTTGGAAAAACGTAGTGAGAAAAAAGCAAAAATGTTCCACCATTTGCAAAGGAAATAAAGCGTTTCTTTTTTAAAAAAATCTCTGATACCATTAGCACACTTGTGTTACAAAATGCTTGTCATCATAAATGATTGCACAAAATTAGAAACAATTCATTTCGGTTTGGAATTTTTCACTTTTCTTTTCTTTTTAAAGAATCATCGTTTTGGAGAATGTATCATGAGGCAGAAATAATTAAAATTGGTTGGTATAACAGAAAAAATCTCTACAAAATTTTTTTTGGCGTGAACCCTCAAATTTATTATAAAATCAGCACATCATAAAGCATAATCTAAAAAATTCACCCCAAAAAAAAAAATCATTGTTTTTTTAGCAAAAATCTAATGACTTCCACCTATAAGCAAGTGCATCAACAATTCCATCAAAACTACCAAACCTAGAACTAATCACATCAATTCCAACACCCAATCTTTCAGCCCCAGAAGCAGTAACTGGCCCATGAGCTGCAACCAGCATTGTAGGGCACCTCCTCCTCATCATATCCCAATTCAAGCCCAATAACCCTTCAACCTCTGCAGTACTTGTAAACACAAGTGCATCCACACCACATTCCTCTTCAGTCTTCTTCACCAACTCCTCAGCACATTTCGGCCCAGCCCACCTAGTTTCATACCCATTCACTCTCACAGCAATCCATCCCATCTTGTCAAGATCACTGAGGAATTTGGGCACCACTGGCGGCTCATTCAGGCCCAATACTGATGGAACAGGGCACAATACTTTTCTGCCATGGCCTGATCCCAATGCATCAACCAGACTTGATGGTGTTGCAATTGGTGGGACAACCACCTGGATTCTGCTGGGATTTTGGCAGAGTTTATGAATGAATGATTCATTCAGCAGCTCTGAGTCTTTACCTAGAGCTGAAACTGTGAAGGGTTCTCCATGTGGGGCAAGAGGGGTGGTGGTTTGGATATTGCTGCTTGTCAAGGCTTCTGTGAAAGCTATGATTCCAGTTCTTGATGTGAATGCTATGGCTGAAAAATCTTCTAGAATGGAGGTATGAGAATCTTTGGGATTAGGATTGGAAAGGTAGCATTGAAGGGCAGATATGGTTTGTGGGGTGGATTCAACAATGACAGTGGGGCACACGTATAAACTATGAAGAACACTACTACTGCTAGTATGCATGTGGCAGTGGCCTACTAGCTAGGAACTAGAAGAAGGAAGTCAAAGACTAACAAAGTCAACCGCCATAAATGAAGGTTAATTAAGCTCTAAATCCGAGGTCTTTGTCGACTTCTTCAAAGTTCAGTAAATTCCTCCGTTCCAAAATAAGTGTCATTCTAGACTTTTCACACAGTTTAAAAAAACATTAAATATGGTAGTTAAATTACTATAATATCCTCAACCAACCCCATTAACATAAATGCTCACCAATAACATTATTTTTTTTAGGGTATGTTTGGAAATTTTTGAGAAAAAATGCATTGGAATATGAAAACTGACACTTATTTTGAAACTTCTCCATTTTGCTAAAACGACATTTATTTTGGAATGGAGGGAGTATTAATATTAGTAGTATAAATGCAATTTGCAAAGAACCCGCAACTCATCTTCCTGTTCTTGTGTATGAAGAAGCACTTCATGTAGAGACAAATTCTACATATTTGGTTAAACAAAACTGCGGATCAGTGCATTTGATGATGTGAAACTAAATACTGATGCAATTGTTTAACTCAAGTGTGATGGATCCTTGCATCTTGCTAAGTGTGATTCATGGTGTCGAAAGATTCTCTCCCAACTCATGAAAATATGAAGGATGTTACTACGTTTGCTTCTTTTTTTTTTTGGTGTAAAGAAAAAGTTTTGGCAGCAAATGTAATATACAATATGCACCCCGAAATCTAACCCAAAGTTAAAGCACAACCCACCAACTTTTATTATTAGTTGTTGGTCATTTAGATCGAAGATGTGAAAGAAATATAATAAATCAATTGTACAAGTTGATTTGGCCTGCCATTAATTGATGACTTAAAAAGTTAATCCACACCCTATGTAAATTTTTAATTACAACCCCCATCTGATCCATCTCTGCTTAACAAGATAGAAACAACTACACAAGTGGACCGTGAACTTCTAAACTCTTCACATTTATTATACTAGTATAATTTAGCCTAGGTGCATGGCTAAAGACATATATTTCAGATACTTTTCAAGTAATGTTGTTCACCCTCCTTTCTCCAAATTTGACTGAGAATTATTGAAATACTGGCCAAATAATGCACGCAGCCACGCACAACTCTAACTCTCTCGAGACTCTATCATCGTTAGATCGTTGAGGGGTTTTATAATGTTTTGGGAACCAGAATGTTGAGAGTTCAAACGATTTGACACACATTTTGACTGCTCCGTTCAACTGGTTTTTCTTTGCATTATTTCTACTCTCTTAGGTTTCGTTTCAAAATGAATGCCCAATTGATAAGTGGTGAGTTTGATACCTTAGGCCAGTAGGAAAATGATTTTCTATTGTGTTTCGAGACGAAAGCTTTACAAACTTTAATTTTTGCTTTGTACTCGCCCCGTCCCATAATTATTGTTCAGTTTGAGTTTTCATTTCTAGTTTAAATTGTACTAAAAGTGAAATCTTAAATTGGACAATAATTTTAGGTCGGAGGGAGTAGTAATTTTCTGTCAGCTCTAAGAAATAATGATTCAAAATAGGTTTTAATTCGATCAACCTCGAATGGTAAAAAAAGAAACAAAAAAATTATAACAATACTTCCTATCTCTGTCCTTGGAACAGATTTACCAAGTTTGTTACTTATTCTGGAGAAATAAAATTGGCATAATCAAATGAATTAGAACAAAACATTATTTGGCTTCCGTTTCCCTAATTGCTAAAATCAAATACACATTCACCAAGAATTCTTCAATGGCTTCTCCAACACAGCAGAAAGATACATCTCTCGCAGCTCAGGCCCTCTGTCCAGCTTTCTTCCCACTGCCCACTTCACTTTGGTGAACCCAATGGTTTCTATAAGAGGAATGTAAACCTGTTCCATCTGATCTCCAACACAGAAGAAATGGTCAAGCCAGAAAATCCCACCAGGCCTAAGCACCCTATAGATGTCAAACAACAAGAAATTCAACAACGTTGTTGGAATCCAGTTGCTCAAAACATGCATCGAATGAATTATATCCAATGTGTTGTCGAAAAAGGGCAATCTTTGTGAAATGGTCATGTACAGAGGAATCACCCCTCTTGATGCTATGAAGTTATTGAAAGGACCATTCAGATTAATCGAAGTTGTCACAATTGTGACGTTCCTTTCTGCCATTCTTACAGCAAATGTGCCGACCCCACCTCCAATATCCAGCCCAATTCGGATCGTCCCAGGTTTCTTCACTGCCAGCACTTCATCAATGGTGAAATTGAGGTTTGATTTTGTGTTTGGTCCGACCCACCGACCTTTTTCCGGGCCTTGGAGATCAAAACAGTCTTTACAATCATCAAAAGCTTTCTGATTTCGAACTCGATTAACCAGACACGTGTAATTCTTGCAAGAATAAGCAGTCCACACAACAGAGGAATCAGGAGGTATTTTCCAATAGCTTTCAGGAACAGAGTAAGGCTCCACGTATTCCCCCGGAGCAGCTGGCCGGCAACGCCGCCTTGGGAGTGGCTCGCATCCCTTTAAGAGAAGCTTCTGGGCCAAACGTTCGTCGTCAGGGCAAGATCCGTTGACTTGGTACGACATGTACCGGTTGAGTTCATCCGGGAACTGGGTACAGGGGCGGCCAACCGGAGGTAAGATGAAGTCGGCACCGAAATTCGGGTTGAACCCGAATGGGAGTTTCTGTTGAGATGTGAGTGCGAGAAATTCAGGTAAAAGTTCGATTTCAGCCGATGATTTCGATTCACTCGAAGATTGATGATATTCCTGATGAACGGTAGAAGGCAGAGTAATAGTTGGAGGAGCAGAGTCGGTAATGGTGGAATGGAGAAAACGAGAAGAGTATGAAGTTGTAGAGATTAAATAAGTTAAAAGATTTGATGAGAATAGTAAGGATAGAAAGAGTAGGTTGTGGATGATGGGGCGGGACTTAGGGGTGGCATCCATGGCTGGCTGCATCCAAATTGGTATTCAGCTTAATTTGCAGGAGTTTCAGCTTTATAAAAGCCTAATAAAACAGTTCCATTTTGTTCTAAGGTTTTCTGTACCATCTTAAATCGATGGCTTTAAGACAATGACGCTTATATTAATTAAAACATGAATATGTTCAGTTGGTTTTTTTTTCTCTGTATAAAGAAGGAGGCCATCGCCTGACAAGCTTAAATTAAAACATTGTTTCATTAGTGAAATCTAATCATCTATTGGAAGTAAACTCACTATAAAGAACATACAGTAGGAACTGAAGATGCCAAAAACTTCGGGAAGTCAAATCGTAGATGCAACGCAATGAATCATTTGAAGTAGTATTGATCCTCTCCTCAAGTTATCTTCATTTTCTCTCGGTTATATAAATTACCCATTTTTAAACAAGATGCAACTTGTCGAAATCCTCCATGCATTGGGATATACTCCCTCTGTCCCAAAATTATTGTCCAATTTGAAATTTCACTTTTAGTACAATTTGAATTAAAATATAATTATGGAATGAAGGTAGCAATAATTAAACAAGTTGTGGAAGACGTTTATGCATGGTACAGTATTTTATTTTATTTTTTCTTTTTCTTTGCTGCGTTTCTACGAATACCACCCATGCATGTCTTTTCTTAATGGATGATGTTACACTTCATTGAAGTCAAAATTACATGTATCGATATAGCCATATTAATAGACGTTGAAATACTGGGCAAATAATTGATTTTATTCTCTCTCTCTCTCTCTACTAACAAGATCACAAAGGACATCTCAATTCTGTCTCGAGCTTTCAAACCCGAATAAAATAATATTGTAAAAAAACTATTTCTCATTAATGAACGTAATTCAATGTGAATGCAGTAAATATACAGGAGCCAGAATATCCCAAGCTTTTTTTCTTCTCTTTCATATATATATATATATATATATATATATATATATATATATATATTACTAGATGCTTATTCCGGGCGAGTGCTCGGAAGCGCCTATAATTTAAATTGGTTCAAAAAAGCAGATAACTAAACCGTATAATTGTTTGTCGGTTGGAATCTTTCAAACCTAAAACTTGGAAAGAAATGAAAAATGAAAATTATCAACTTATCCTAATGCATAAATGTTGTGATTAAAAAAGCTATCATAAAGATCCTGATTAAAAAACAATATCAGGTATAACATCATGAACCTCAAAAATTCAGAAATAGCTTTCGGTTCACGCAAAACCTGTTTAGATCTCATCGGCTATACAAAGGCCGCTAACTCTTTCTATGCTATAAAAAGCATGTAGATATCTTGGAGCGAGATATCAGATCCCACTCCCACGCTTTAAAAAAGATAACAGAATACCATATCAGAAATTTAAGTAAAAGATCAATCGAATACATCTTTCAGATATCATGGAAGTTAAATTGAACCTGTGCAGCCTCGAAATTAAAGGCAGCACTTGTATGCTTGTTAGTCTTTTCCCCAGTGCATATTGTTCAAACATAGAATGATCAAGGAGAAAAAAATTGGCATAATCCTCTAATCAACCAAGAGATTTTTTGAAGTTCAAGTATTTTCAAATGCTCAATTTTTGTGTACAATAACTTGTATGCTTGAAGGCCAACATTAGTTTACGATATGTGCACCAAACCAGAAACAAAAAATATGCAGAGTTCAATTTCTTGGTCTGCAACATGAAGCAGTTCCTTCTACTCCTCGAATTTCTTCACAATTATACATCTTGTCAATTGCTCTTATTTTCCATCATCACCATCTTCAGATTTGGGTTACAATTTATCTTCAATATAATCCCTCTGTAATACCACACTATATCCAGAATTCTATTATTTTTTACTTTGGGAAAATGGGTCTTTTCATTTCAAACTTTGGACCACACCATCTAAAACATCCAAAAGTTTAAGGATATGCCATTTACATCCTAAAATTTTTAAAAACATGTTACATTAGGATATTCGTTAAATTTTTAACTCCAGTTAATTAATTAGTGGTGGTACTTTATTCTGTTTCTCCTCCCCCAATTCTTTTAATCATTTAACACGTTCCACTAACTCCCACCTTATAAGAAAATAGCTAAACCTAATTTGGTCTTTACATCATCCATTCTTTCCTTGCTTAGAAAAAGAAAAAAAAAATCAAAGATTTACCTTCTAGATTTAACAATCATGAGAGGTTTTGTTTGTGTCCTAATTAGAAAGTAAGTCCTATTTTATTTTTATTTTTTTAAATATGTAGCATCATTATAAAAATTGGTGTTGTAATTGATGTAGGGGCATGCAACTTTTTTGCTTGGCATGGACAAAATTTACTAAACGCAAGCATGAAACTTTTTTGACTAAAAAAAATGGGGGAAAAGAAACTGAATGAAATATCGTTGTTAATATGAAAAAATTAACAAATGTCTAATATTACATATTTTTGAAAAGTTTGGGATGAAAATGGCATGCTTTTAAACTTTGGGATGTTTTAGATGGTGTGACTCAAACATTAAGATGAAAAGACCCATTCTCCTTTTTTTACTTTTTGATAATTTTTTTTAGGCTTTCTGACTTTGTAAAGAACATTTGTCCAAACCATTTAGCTCTACTCATGTATTCATTTCAAACTGCATTATCCGAAACCAGAAAATTATCAAATCAGTTCTACATCAACCAGCATAACATTAATTTGTTGCAATAGATGCAATAGTACCTGAGGTAAATTAACCACTCAATGTAATGCTGAAAAAGTTTCAGGAACCTCTATCCATATACAAAGGAGGTTCAAATCTAATATGCAATCTCAAAAATATGTAAACTCTATCTTAAACAACAAAACTCACTCAAAAGAATTCTCGTTCAGGGCACTTGTTTAGCAGTAGATGCTGCTCTTTGATTGATATTATTATCATTCAAATTCTCATCTTAAAACAACAAAAATTAATACGGGGAAAGAGTAATTAATAAATTAGTGCACAAAATGTTTGCTATTTATCGTAAGAAAATATTATCCTAACCGTAAACTAACATGATACTACCCAAACTAACAATAAAACATAAAATCTCCTTTATATGATTGTTCTCCATTACACATTCACTGTCTACCCTTGTCATTTCACTAATAATATGCATGGAATGCACAAATGTATCAAGTTACCTATTATCATGAAACATAAATTTTGCAAATCCACACACAAAAGGAAAGAAGAATGGGGATATTAATTTTTCATCTCCATTGATTTAATCACACAAATCCATAAAAGTGAAACAGTTCATTAGTTACCTCTATAAACATCACCAAAACTTTCGGAAAAATTATCTGTATGAAAGAAAAATTGCCTTTTTTTTCCTCCACCGAAAATCCTGTCATGCATTAATAAAGCACAGAACGATGTCCTCTTTAAGTTTTACCAAATAACCCATTCATTGCTTGTGGAAACACTACTTGAAAACCGAGCCTGCAACTGACCCTTCATGTTGTCGTGTGTCTAATTTACCTCAGGTACTATTGCAACAGTATCTCACACAAATTCCGCTACTTGAATAATTAACATTCAAAAAGCAACTGGAAGCTACACTACAACACATACACAGCTGAGCAATGCAATTCATAAATAAAATATCATACACTCCTCCCTGAATGAATGTCAAATGGGAAACAATCATGTACCAAACTATGAATCATACACTAATACAAAAGGGAGCTAAAAGAAACACGCAGAACAAAGCATCCTTGACAGTCATTTACAAAAAAACAACAACAAAAGAGTAGATGGGCTACCTTAATTCGACCATCACCAGAACTAATACGAAAGCAATCCAGAGAATGACTAAATAGAGCTAATATTTTCCAAATACTCGTAGTCCCCATCATGAAGCTGCAACCAAAAATACCAAACACAGAAAAAAATTAAACAAAAAAAAAAAGAACTCATAAAAATGCCTTTACCTAGAAATTCTTTATTTTGCCCAAATTTAGTTTTAGTTATCTAAACAAAAGAAGAAAAAAAACCTATTTCTCCACTTTTGTTCTCAGCTTGTATCATGAAGAAAAAAGGAACAAAAGTCACAGATTGATACGAACACAATTTTCTCTGATCTTAATCAATAAAGAATATATGGAAAAAAAACTAACTTTGCAACTCTGTTATTTTCAGATTGGTAGATGTTCTGATTATGGGTGTTTTCACCCTTGATTTTGTTGCCGCCACGGAAGAAAGGATTAATGATTAGGGTTCGGCTTCCACCGCTACAGATTTCTGATCAAACAGAACAAATAAAAAACCACAATAAATGGAGATCCAACGCTTCCTCTTTTCGGCCATTATTTTCATGCGTTGAATTTCATGCAGAATTGAAAAAAATTCAATCGTTGGCGGCATATATATGAATCGGTGTGGTGATGGGGATGAACTTCATATCGTAGAAGAAGAAAATAAATGGTTCCTAAAAAAATATACAATGGAACTGCTACTTTGGGCGAATCATACCTGAGAAGAGAAAAATTGAATTCCCTTAGAACTCATCTTTTATATTTGAAATTGACATATGATGGAGATGGGTTTGGCATTAAATAAATGGAGTGATTTGTGGGATTTGAATGAAAGAAATTAGCTAATTTTGATGCATATTCAATCAGCCTATTTTTCTGAAAATATAGAGTGCCACGTGTCAGAAATGATTTTGTACTAAGAAAAATTTTTGGTGTGAAAATTTTCAATGTAAAGCTGACACGTATGATTCTTATATGTTGCTTTAATTAAGTACAATAGATACAATACAACATACACAGAAATACTAATAATAAACTCATAACAAAACTCAAATAGGGAAAAGCCCTAACAGCTGTGGAGAGAAACTTATCAACATTTCTTGGTGCAATTGTTGATGATCTCCCGCCGAGAGAAATCAAAGTTGGTCGAAAAGAGATGGTTGTTGCGGCCCCATAATAAAAAAGCTGGGGATCCATATTCCTCACAGCTCGAGTATGTGGTTGTTTGTCTTCTTGTTGGTGGTGGAGTTGGTGGGCCAAACTACAAGACACCAAGTTCCTATCCGTATGTAATGCCACAAGCTCCTCGTCATTCCAAAAACATAGATTACCCCAAAGCTGTGATTTGGGGGAGTCGGTGGTAATTCGCAACACAGAATATATCTTAGTCCATGACTCGTCATTGCCATATTCCCTCATAACCCAAACGTCCACGTAATTGTCAAACTTCCTTTCTACATAGGACTCGTCATCGCTGGACTCGTCGTCGTCAGCTTCTTGGCGCTTGCAAACATGTAAGAAAATCGCAAGGGAATCGTGCAACACCGTTAACTGAGTTGGAGTCCTCAAATAGTGAAAGTTGGGATCACAAGATGGCGCGAGAGCTTCCATACGTCCAAATATCTCGCGTTGAAAATCAAAGGTAACGATAGGAATCCGTTCTTCAAAACGTCGCTTAGTAGCTCTCACCTGCCAGTGACAACAACCATTTACTACTACTCCCTGATGGCCACCATGAAAATAAGACAGTTTCATGCGCTTGTCATTACCCCGGATGTTGTATTCAATCTCACTCCAACTATTAGTAGCCACTCTGTAAATCTCAGCGTAACGTTTTGAGCTTTTTCCCATCATGTGTTCTTTAGGATTCTCGAATAGGCCCACAATCCTAACAACCTTGTAGTTATTACCCCCAGGAGCAGAAGACGAATCAATACCAAATCCGAACGCTTCTCGTCGGTAGGGATAATTCTCTGGGAAGGCGGTGGAGGTAGGAAGCCTCAAATAATCCCGAGTTACGGGATTACACAAATAGAAACCAAGTTGCTTCCCCCATCTAGGATCACCATCCATAAAGCAAACGATTCCATTGCACGATGACCGTTGTATTAAGCTGAGCTCAGTCTCGTAGGGCAAATCTAGAGCCGGGGAAACAGCTAAACCCCGTAGACGACAGCTGGAATCTTCTTCTACTTCTGGCGATTGGGAGGAGGAAGAAGAAGAAGAAGAAGAAGAATTGGTAGAGAATAACAAGTAGTCTTGGTATGGCAGTAAGGGCCTCGGCCAATTGCTTAAGTCGTGCACCCTTACAAGTACCATGTTTTCGTGTTTGTGGTCCTTCTCCGAATCATAATAATAATTCACAAAGTGTTTGATGGCAAAGTAAGAACTAGAGATCAAATCACGCCATTGTTTGGAGACGCACAAGAATCTCCTCAATGATTTAGTGGGCAGCTTTGCCAGAATCTCCATCAAAACGTCTTCCGGCAACAATTGAGGCGTCTCCGAAACATCCCCCGATGACTTCAAAAGCAATCCATCAAAGTTGTTCCATCTTTTGGAAAAAAATGGTACAAAACGTATCTTACTACTAATATATCGTTGAGAAAGAACATATACGCAGCAATCCAGCAAATGATCCATATTGTGAAACCCACCAAATATCAAACAGCAATTACGCGTAGTAGTCTTATTTATGCACCAAATATATCTTCTTGTATATATATGATCCTGATCATATGATCCGAGGACCGAGGATGAATCGGATTGCAACCACGTTAAAAAAAAAATAAAATCAGAATTAGATTCAAAGTTGGAAAAGAATTATGCATATAATATTAAACAGAATTTTTTTTAATTTAATTTTTAAGAGGAGTATTTTAAATAACATAAAAATAAAATAAATTTGCCTAGTGACATAATACTAATCAATAAGTAAATCTTGCCCATGCACGCGGTATAAGGTAGAGAGATGAAATTAGGCATCTCTACTTATGCGTAAGCAATTTAACCGATTAATTAATGAAAAGAAAATACAGTGGCGGATTGTTTTTTTCCCAACAGAATTAATAATAAATGACTTTATACCACCAAGAGAAAAAGTAGCAGTAATTTAATTCGTCACCATTTTTGTTATTACTCCCTCCGTTCCAAAGTAAGTATCGTTTCAGCAAAATGAAAAAATTTTAAAAAAAGTATTTGTGACTGCAAATGCCCCACCGCTTTGGAAGCGCATTTGGAAGCTAAAAATTCAGGGTCGATTACACCATTTTCTGTGGTCAATGTGTAATGAAACGCTACCAACACCTGAGAATTTAGAAAGACGGCATCTATCTCAGCCCGGTCTATGCGTAAATTGCAACAACCTAGACTTGTCCACAAAACATCTTTTTTTCGAATGTTCCTTTGCCTCGGTAGTGTGGCGAATCGCAAGGCTAGACACCTTGATCCAGCAATACCAGCAAGACAGAGGGAGCGAATGGACTCGAACCCTAATCCTCAAGTTGGAGATTGTAGACGTGGAACTTGTTGCTACCATACTGAGTTGTATATGGTTCAGGAGGAATAAGGTATTGCATGAGAATGAGCTGATCGCTCCAGCAGAAACAGTGTCAATGGCAGGTAGCATGAGGCGCAATTTCTTGAATGCCAATCTATGGCCAGAACGGACGTCGAATGCTCTCCAATCTCATCCAATTTTGGGACGGATTCCGGACAGCACAAAAGTCTGGTTTGACGGGGCAATTTCCCGGCTACACAAATGTGCTGGAGTGGGTGTTTGGTGTGCTGATGTTTCAGGAAATTTTGTTGGAGGAGTAACAAGGAAATTCCCAGGCATACAAGACTCGGGCATTGCTAAATCGTTGGCACTCAGAGAAGCCCTATTCTTTGCAAAAGAACACAAGCTCGTGAGTTTCTCGATCATGGGCGACTCAATCAACACAGTCTTGGCAGCGTTAGAGGACGTTCAAGATCTCAACCAACTGGATCCGGTGATGAAAGACATTCATAGTCTGATCCATTTAACCCATCCCTTAGGGATTTTTTGGATTAGACGACCAGAAAATAAAGTAACTCATGATTTTGCATTTGTAGCCAAGAATAGTTATACCGAATATTTTGTTTGGTCACATACCCCGAGACTTTTTGTCAAACGCAGCTGGACGATTTTCCAGCAAAAGTGAATGAATGAAAACTCTTCCTTTCAAAAAAAAATCTTGCCCATGCACGCGGGATAAGGTAGAGAGATGAAATTAGGCATCTCTACTTATGCGTTAGCAATTTAACCGATTAATTAATGAAAAGAAAATACAGTGGCGGATTGTTTTTTTCCCAACAGAATTAATAATAAATGACTTTATACCACCAAGAGAAAAAGTAGCAGTAATCTAATTCGTCACCATTTTTGTTATTACTCCCTCCATTCCAAAATAAATATCGTTTCAGCAAAATGAAAAAATTTCAAAATAAGTGTCGTTATCACGTTTTAATACATTTTTTATCCAAAATTACCCTCGAAAGAATTAATACTATTTGTAAACATTTTTTTAATTGGGTTGGTTGAGGATATTTAAGTAATTTTATTACCCTATTTAAGAGTATTTTAAACTATGTGCAAAGGGTAGGATGTCACTTATTTTAGAATGGATGGAGTATTATTTTTGGTGCACTGATATAAATCGTGATTATAAAATATAACAGAGGTAAAGAACATAAACAATCCTTGTATTCCGGGGACCAACAAGCAAAGGATTATTAATATTTGCACATTCTTCTCATCAAAAAAATATATATATACATAAAAAAAAATTGCACATTCTTAGAAGAGCTAATTACTATTGTTCCGGAGTCCCTGAAGTTCGCTGATCATTCTCCTCTCTAGCTCAAATATTTTGACTATGTCAACAAATTTTTTATGTACCTTATGCCGAGACAAAAATATCCCTTCGATGGGCGGATTTAGTGTGTAGGTCCCACGTATCTCCCTTTAGTGTATATTATATAGTACTGTATTATGTAATATGATCATCAAACAATTAATAATATCCTCCTAATTTCATCTGGAAAATTGGATTAATGAATTTTATTTTGAATACTGATCATGGAACTGGAAGCTATATTGATTGAACATTTGGATTGATCGAAAGAAAAAGGTAGAAGAAAATGAAAATGATTAGAAAGAAAAGAGAACCCATTAGATGCAGCAATAAAACCCATTAATTCGAGGCGTTACAGAGGTGTAGATTCTGCAACAGAGTTTCTGCCTTAGTTTGAAAAACCGGGTGATCTTTGATTGCCACATAACTGAGAATTTTCCCGGAGCTGTGTAATCTGGACATACAATGCATATCACTCCAGCTCATATCCTGAACAAATTAGCAGTTTCCTGAGATACTGAACAACTTATCAATTTCATCAACAAGAAGACCTGTGCGGAAGAGATTTTCGTGCAGAAACTAGAGTTGAAATCATCTGCAAGCTCATGTAGAGCTTCCCTTTCTGTTGATTGATAAAAAACCTCTTTAATTCCTTTTTATCATTTCAAAGCAGAGAGTTGCGTGTATGGAAACAAGAAATACAGTCAGCAGTAAAAAAGGTAGTCCCTGCAATGAACCATGAACGCACAAACATGGTCTCCAGACCTGGATTGCTCTTATGTCACAAAATGCCTGTTATCTTGGCACAACTGGTTTCTCAGGTTAGCCAAAGAAGCATTAAGTTTGTTTTGATACTTATAGCGTTGTCCAACCACAAAGGGGTTGTAGATTAAGGCTAAATTGGCTAGATTGTGGCTACTAGATTTCATCCCCGATTCAGCAAGTTAATTTGAGGGTCCGAATCTCCTGCAATTTTGATGCATTCAACTTTACATACGAAGTACCGGCGAATCTATGACTTCGGTCTTCTGGCCGGAGCCAACCAAAAATCAGCATCCTTTGGCAGGAAATCATCATCTTGTAAGATATTGCTCGATTTTATAACTCGATGAATAATGCAAATTGTTACTGGTCATGTAAATACGCAAGACCCCCTAGCCATGCCATATATTATGTTAAACAACTGCTTCCTGTCATCATAAACATAAACGATCTTCCAAATGTGAAAGATGACTGCAAGAGCAAAAAGAAAGCAAATTTGCATCTAGAAGGAATTGCTGACAATGATAAATTCTTTATACAAATTTAAAAGACAGATTAACTTACCATATAAATTAATATCCATCAAATTAAGCTTCGATTTGCCATGTATTCGCAGGTCTGCTGCTCCTTTGTTTGCGCATCCTACAAGGCGCACAAGGTTCCCATCAAGCATACATTCGCTGCTACAGAGATTTGAGTAAGGCCAAATTGATCACCATGCTATCTCGCCAGGTTTTATGTTGACTTTCAAGTTCTGGGCTGAAGGGAGGAAAATGGAGCCTACTACTAGTCTCTAAAGGCATGGTGAAGAGGTGAATGGTAAGGGTGTTGCAGGAAGAGTCTCTCAGATAGTTGGGTCATACCCCGTTAATTACTGTTTCTGCTGATTGTTTCTTACTTGTATGAAAATGTCCCTTTGGTCTATCCTGAATCAAAGAAGGTTCAAGAAGCTTCTCGGGCAATTCTAGACAGAAATTACTTTGCGAAGGAATTGGCCTTTCAGGGATTAGCAGGATCACTCTGTTGAGATTTATTAGCCGGCTACTTCCTAGTTTACCAGAGACAGAAGATTCCCTTAGACGAGAATACATTGTTGTTCCACTGCATTCTACGATCAGGAATTCAAAGGTGGCAATGGGAAATACTTATTGCATAACCAGTAAATTTGGTCACAGATATTGAAGAAACTGCGGGAATGGGAGATGATAAATCGATATTCAGTATTCTTCAGTCTGGCTCAGAAATTTGGGTCAGAGGTTATGGACTGGATTTGGGTACTCATTTGAAGTTTGATGGTGGAGCAGACAATTGGAAAGTCAGTTGTAATGTGGTGCTGAAGATGATGATGGCGAAAAGATGATTGCATGTGCGTTGTGTGAGGTACGGCGGCATACTTACTGCTGTGGTATCGAAGACTCTCAAGGAATGCCCCCAGCTTTCAAGTTTGATGTGTGTTATTCTTTGCTGAAACCAACTGTAAAGCAGCCTATCTATGAAATGCAGTATCAGGGTGCTCTGACGCCTTCTCTGGAATCAGATATTTACTATCCAGATTCTTCTTTGCTCAACTTTGACAGTCCTAGCTAGTAGCTACCTTAGAGTGAGTAACACGGGTTGAGGAATGACACTTTGCTGCAGCCGAGATAATAACACTGCCTGGTACCACAATTTGATCTGAAGAGTATTTAAACTTCAATTCTTTTGATAGACTATATACTTTCAGATACTCAGTCAGATATTAGGAAACGAAACACTCCCTTTCCATTTGCAATTTTGATTCGTACCAGAAATTATTTCGTCAATTTAATTAACCTTTTCCCGATCACATTTCCCTTAAACTGATTACTGAACCAAATGTTCATGTCAATGTTAGTGTACATGCTTTAGCAATCAACAAGTTTTGAGGTAGGTCTAAAGAAGCAAACACTTTATCATCTAGCTTTTATGGTCCTCATACCTACAGATGTAGAAAAGAGCAGGTTTGGCATGTATCTTTCTGCAAGATTGATTTCATTCAGTTGACCAACTCAATCTCTTTCGTACAGTACATTTTTGTATTTTGTACTATTTTCTGACCAACTCAATATTTCTCTATTCAGTATCAGTCAATTGTCCTTGAACTCTCATCAACTTGATGTGCCATTTGCTTGATGATTTTATTTTGGCTATATTTATGCTATGCAGTGAAGGGAAACCATTTTCTTTTAATCGTTCGATGAAGTAAGAACACACATAATCTCACCAATGTACAAATAGCTACCATGCTATTTCACCAAAAAGAAACACACACACATGTACACACAGACACGCAATTTGTAAGTACCAACTCTAAACCTGTTCAAGTTTAAAGACCAAAGAACATCACTAATCAAAGTAAGAAGACCAATTATCTCACTGATGAAGGCTGATAATCAAAGAACGTCACTGATGAATTAAGAAGACTGACAATCTCACCAATGTACAAATAGCTACCATGCTATTTCACCAAAAAGAAACACACACACACAATTTGTAAGTGCCAAATCAAAACCTTTTTCAAGTTTAAAGACCAAAGAACATCACTGATCAAAGTTGATGGACACCATTCTCTACTCAATTCATGATGCAGAAGTATTTCTTTGCTGTCTCGCTTATCTCTATTAGACAAGTTTTATTAACAACTATTTTAGTAGCAGAACCAAATCTAACATACAATGAGCAAGGAACTACTAAGTTGTTAAAAATAGCATATACAGAAAATAGTGATTGGCAGATGCTATCAATCAACACAAACTATTTTCAGACATTTCTCCAACAACGCTGAAAGGCCCAAGCTTTCTCCCACCTTCAGATCTTTGCACTGAAAATAGTTTCAACCACTAACTCCGTCATGTTTGAAGTTTATCCCTGAAGTGCTTGAAACAATCTACTGTACCCCATCGTGGCTCCACCACTTTATAAACCTCCATCAAGAGATGTGGAAATTTCTTTCGAAAGTAGGCTTCAACTCCATATACTAGATCTCCAAAATGCTTCTAAGAAATCATTAAAAAGGGGTAAAACAAAAACAGATAAGTTACATCAATTCAGGAAATGAATTTTTTCACCAGTAATATAATCAGATTGAAGTGTTTACCTTACTCTTCTTTGACATATCCAAGTAATGGTGTTTAAGATTTCTTATCAATCTTAATAATCCTTGCACCGTTTTGAAGTTATAATGTGCTCCTCTTTTGGATAGATCAGTAACTGCAAAAGCTGGAATACCCCCCTTCATAGTCCATGGGTTAAGTTTTCCTAGAATGATGGTAGCCTTTGATTCTATTATTGATACTACCTGGGGCTCCTTTTGTAACCAGTCACTGGTAAGGCTTAAGAAGTCTAAGCGGGTGTCAGCAGGCCAGAAAAACGGATGCTGGATGGCAGAAGTTGTGTTTGGTCTCTCTGCTGGTTCAGCTTTCAACATTCCATTTAAAACGTCAAAAAGATCAGGGAAGTTGATTACCTTCGACAAATCAGCTTCCTCGCGGTCTTTCATTTTTTCTTGTCGTTGTTCCTCAGTCTTCCCATATGGATGTTCTCCTACACTAATGCAATAGTAAGCAACCGCAGCAAAATTGTGAACATCACTAGCTGATGTCACTTGCTGTTGAGAGAGAGTTTCAGGAGCAATCCAGCCACCGCTTCCACCTAATATCCCTTTTGAACACTCCTTTTTAGTTAATCCCATGTCTGAAAGTTTCAGACATGGGTTTTTAACTCCCATCATCAAGATATTATGTGGGCTAATATCTCCATGAACAAAACCTTCATCATGGAGATATTTCAGTCCACCAAGAATGGATCTTTCAACAAGCAAAACAAACCAAGTGTTAGCATTCCTACAAATTTTACTTATTCAATCCAAAAAACAAGAAATCAGTTACCTTAAATGCATAATCAAATGAAAAGTGGGATAGTTTGCTCTACGAGGACCTTTTGCTCTATTCCATAACGGAGTGTTACGGGATCTCATTTGCTTCAAAATCAATCTAGCAATCTCCAAAGGACGACCATCAGATGCTGCCTTCGCTTCAGCCATGACCAAATCTCCGAGTGTACAAGCACCCCTCTCCAAACTGATATAATAAAATTTGCGGTCTACCTCCCTACCAAAATATCGGACAACATTGGGATGGCTATCTAACGCCACCAAATTGTCAATCTCCCTTAAAACCACTTCGTAATGTGACCTTAGTACAACTTTAATGGCAACCTCCCGCTCTTCATAGAATCCCTTGAACACCTGTGACCCATGACTTCCAGCACCAATTTTTTCCTTCATATTCACAGTGACTTTGCCGATCTTTTTACTTCCTTTCCTCTTAAAACTTTGCAACAATTGTGCTCCAATTTGTATGGCATTGTATAGCACAATTATTAACAACGTCCCAGTCACTAAAAGGACGGCCCAAAGCGGTAACTCAACTTGTTCCTGCAACGAAACTTCTGGAAGACTAATCTTGCTTTCCCAGAACTCCTGTCCAACAGCTGATGTTGCTGGTCTGAGTACCTTAAAAAGCAAGTTGCTGTCATTTATTGAAAGTAGTTCCGATTCATAGGGAGGAAAACCAACTATCAATTCCTCAGCTACCATTTCCTTAGTTACCGTAGCTGCTGCCGTACTACACTCACCCCGACACATGTTTACTTCTTCAATCATATAGTCCAGCTGTGGCATTGATTTAATTACCATGCAGTTGACTATGTAATCACCAACTACAACATTGTTCAGTGATTTCAGCACACAATCAATCAAACCATTGTCACCAATTTGTTGGTGAGCTGCATTATGTAACTCCTCTTTAACCATCAAGGAGCTCGAAAATTTATTTTGAGCTTGCATGAGTTTTACAGCTTCAACAATCACATTAGCTGTAAACTCCGGTCTTTTAACTGGCCACTGGCTGTCTCCATTGACAGAAAGTCCAGAAAATTTGCAGAACTTGCCGGAGTTCTTTTCTCCAAAGGACTGGGTGACAACTCTGGTTACTGATCTTGCTTCATCTCGCAAGGTGATCAAATTGGTCTCACTCAAATCTCTGTAGCAGCGAATGATATGCTTGACGTCCTTGCATCTCTCGGTACAGCTTAAGTCCTGAATTATCTTATCGAGTTCCAGGGAGCTAAGTAATTCCAGTGACCTATTATAATGACAATCTTTTACCCCAAAACTGCCACAGAGACAATGATATCCCCATCTTTCACACCAAGGATGTCCATAGGCCATGTTGTGACGTAACATTTTATGTTTTTTGGAAACAACCGGTGCTGTGGTTTTCCTGAAAGTATAGAAAACAAAGACACAGTATATGAGTTCCAATTTATCTGCTGAAGGAAACTGCAGTCACCATATGATCTAAGGACCTATTGAAATTACAAGCTTATATACAGAAAAACACACTTTAAAAGAGAATACAGATTAAGGGTCTACTTGTGAATCTTATAAAATTTCCTTTACCCTGCAATAACTGGGATTCTTATTGTTTCCAATTAACTAGAAGCCTTAAGATCAAGCTTTCCTCTACATATAGCTTCTCACATACTTTGGTCCGAGAAAACAGTGTCATGGAAGAATAATATCGCCACATGCAAAAAAAGCAACAAATAATCGAAAATCATATGGATAACTCTCTGCAACTCAGAAATTCAAGATCAGCAAGGTATCAAGAATCAATTGCTAATCCAACACAACAGACATGGGCAAAACCAAACAGAACAATTAGAAACCCCAACCAACACAATTTAAGGCCTAAGCAAGGGCATGAAAAGTATTAAGACTGAAAATACTTATAAGTCAATATCAGCTGCAGCATTCTACAACTTAAATTGGTGTACAATGTCAGCAAGAATTTTCTATAACTTGAAGATATAATCAATACCGTGTATGAAGGCAGCTGCAAATTCTGTCCCAAAGATCCATAATTTCTCTTCCACACAACTGTTTGGACTCTCCTTCAATTCCATTAATACAGAGAAGATGTCCGAATCCATTGCAGTGTATCGACCCATGCAGCAAATGGGAATCGAGATCAAGAACATCCGAACTTGGAGGTTTATTCCATTCTTCATATGAGGGTATAATAAAATGATATTTCCTATTGGAAACAAAATGATGAGACCAACCTGCAATGAAAGAAAAATACAAACAAACACAAGAAAAACCCACACTCAGAAATCCATAAAATCCTCAATTCTGGGTAAAATTTCCAAGAACCCAGTTGTAATTCACCGTTTCAAACAAAAGGGTTTCGAAATTCAGTAATATTACCAGCACATCTGCAGTGATCACAGAAGGATTCAGGGGAAGAAGACTTGACAAGTTCCTCGATAGTGTACAGCGGCACCACAAACCCCCCGCCTTCATGCACCAAAAACGAACACCAAATCCGATGGCCATTGACTAAGTTTTCCTCAAGCTCCGCAAACTGATGAAGGGCAATGCGGATGTTGTCTCTAAAAGAGGCATTGGGTGAGATGGGGAAGCTAGAATCAGCAAATGTGTGGAAACCGGAGTATTTTGGGAACCCTTTTCCTTTCCTGAGGGGCTGAAAACTTCGGATTGACATGGCTAAATTCTTGGAGCTATTTCCTCTGCAAGATTCTATTTCTTGAAATTATTCAATAAAGATGAAATCTTGATGAGGGAATCGAGCCAATTGTGCATGATACAGAGCTCTAAGCAACGGTCTGTTAGTTTAGTTAAGCGCGGAGGGAAGTTTCGAATTGTGAAACTGTGAAAGTGAGCTCTTTTTTTGGTGTTTCCTAATTCTGTGGCGGTTGATTTTCTTTAGCTTGGATTGAGAAGGGATCTAACGGTTTCTGTAGCTCGCAGGATGGAAGGGGCAAATATGGACGGTTGATTTCCTGGCAGTTGAAATTTTGACTGAGAGCTGACGCATAAGGACTGCTGAGGTGGATGGGTACAGCAATAGACGCAGTTTCCAAAATATTATTATTAGGGATTATATTATTTATCTGTCTGAATGTCTGCCATCCTCATGAGAATAAATTATGGGTGTGAAAAATACAAAAACAGACTATCAAGTAATTCCATATTCCATAAAAAAATTAAAAATAATGCTCAGTATAACCTATAAATTATATATACTATAAATAGTACAATTACAATTCGTAATATAATCTATTTTTTTTAATGGAATGGATGTTTAATTAGATATAGAAGAAACGAGGCAAATAACATATGTTTTGACCAATTTATTTGGAAAAAAAAAACACAATGCATACGGTAAAAAAAAAAAATTCTTATGCCTCATCGTTTAAAATAATGAGTCATATATGAGATATTTTACAAGGAAAATTAAGAAGGAACTATGTGGAGTGGTTCACATTCATTTACTTTTCTTTTTTTTTTTCTTCTTTTTTTTTGTGTTTAAACGTTTAGACTTATTGGGATAGTTTATATTTTAGACATTTTATTCTTTGTAATTTTTTTTTTACATGTATTACTACTTTAGTGTTAATAGCCCATTTTATTATATTATATTACAATAAGAATATATTCCTCTTCCTATTCTAAAACACTAGTACACATTAAATTTTGAAATTTTATACTAAAAATAGTATAAATTTTAAAAATTCAATTTAGATTTTTTTTTTACACAGAAATAGTATTAAAACGAAAGGAAGTAGTAATAAATATGCTATGCACTTCATATTTGGTTACTGTTTGTTTGTATGAGCATTATAATATCCTAGATTTAAAATTTTCTGATGTTTATAATTAGATGATTGTTAATAATTAGTCGAGGTTAATATTTCGTTTGATGTTAATAATTATTACCTCCGTCCCTTAAAAAAAAAATAGTCCACATTGAGTTTTCAAATTTGTACTAAAAATAGTACAAAACTCAAAATTCAATATGGACTATTTTTGTGAGGAGGGAGGAGTAGATGATTAATCGGCCAACTCAAGATTAAATTTTGTGAAAAGAAGTTATTAAATCACAAGGGATCAGTCAGTTAGTTGCGCAAACCATCGAATCATATTTTTATTTATTTGGAACCAATGTTACTTTTGAATCGGTGAATTGGTGATCTTCCATCATAGTCCGTAATGTGTATTGATAAATTCAGCAGATCCATCACTTACAATGAAGTCCCGGAAAAATTGTCCGATCTACCCTAATCTTTATCCTCATTGTTAATTTTACTCTAATTTTTTCAATTAGCTTATTTTATTCGTAATTATCACAACTTTCATCAATTTATCCTTTTTGGCCAATTTCCGTCCAAATTAACGGTTTTCACGTTTTTCCGTCAAATGAGCCATTATTTTATTATAAAAATTTAAAATGGGCCCTTAAAGAATCAGATTTATTCCTTAATCACTTTTGACTTACAATTAATTATGTTGGGTCAAAATGGAGGGAAATTTCCCCCCAAAAAATTTGTAAGCCCCACATGGCCCAAAAAAATTCCCACTTTATAAAAGGTCAAACCCCTTATTTCAGTCTGATTCCATACTGATTTCAACCGGATTTTTTTTTTCTTCTTCTTCACTTTTTTCTCTCTATCGTGAATCAACAGAGCATGGCACAATTGTGCAATTATGGAAGCCCTGCAGCACTTCGCACTTGTTGGAGAGGCAACAACTTGGGCAGAAGGTTTTTGGCATGTCCTCATTGGCCAGATCCTAGGGTGTGCAATTTTTTTGTGTGGCTAGATCCCCAGTTGGAGGTCAGAGGACGGGTGATCATCCAAGGTCTGCTTAGGAGGATAAATAGCAGTAGAGACAGAGAGAACATCTTAGAAACCGAATATCTAAGATTGCAAAGGTGTGAGCGGCAAATTTGGTTTTATGTTGTTGCTACTGCCATTGTGGTGGTGTGTATGTGTTTGATGAGGAACTAGGTTCTTCATAGCAATTATCAAGACCAGTACTTTATTAAAAAAAAAAAACAAATCAAGAGCACTACTGTCATGTGTCTTCAGTAGGTTATCTAGGTAGTAATATTTTTCTTTATGTTGGGTGATGATAAGAAGTAAGCACTTGGTTTTCCCTTGTACTCTCTTATCATTTTTGAATTCTGGAATGGAAAGCGTTTCCATATACTTTTGAATGCATTTGAATTTGATTGTGTTGGGTTGGGAATATCTTAAAAGGCCAGTTCATGGACAACATTGGCCATATTGGTCAAACATTTAGGACAAAATTGGCCAAAAATATCAAATTGTTAGGTAAAATTAGCGAAATTTGTGAAACATGTTAGACAACATTAGCCAAATAATTGGTTAAACCAAGCATCACTTCACATCTTCTAATCTTCACTGCTGGTGTATATAAAGAAACCTTAAATAAAGAAGCATTTGAATGCAAGGTGAAATTAATTTCATATATTAATAATCTTGGCTATCAAGCACATATGAATACCTTACACAGTTCCAGGCATGTTGTGCAACAAAAAACCCAAGTGATTTCCAAAGCAAAAGGTGCCAAGGTCTAAACAAAAGTACTACTTTAAACCTGCAACCTTGCAGTAGTAAATATTCTAGTAAAATAGGAAGACAACCAAATTATTGAATTACATCACTTGACATGTAACTTCTTCTTCCCATCCTTCTTTGCTGCATTATTTGAGGAAGATCCGTTAACAGGCTTAGTGCTGAAATTTCCATCAAAACGCGTACTTTTGACAGTGTTACAATGAGAGCCTTGATACAAGTCATAAAGAGCTTTTGAACTTTTCACTTGTGGAACATCAGGGATCAAATTCTCCACTGTTGACATTAGTTGCTCAAATGTGGCCAATGCATCCGCAACAAAATTCTTATCATTGACACTTTCTGGTGGTTTAGGGGTTGAAGAAAGTGCAACCACATGTTCAAAAGCTTCCACAAAACTCGATTTACTGTGAATGTTGTTTGTGGTTGGATCTTCATCAATATTTTCATCAACCAGTTTGAAGGGAGGTTGTGAACTTGATGTCTGCTGAATTCGTCCTTTTTCAGATTTGCGAACCCTTTTTTCAGGTTGAGATGAACTAGCAGCCTGTCAATATTATGAACCTTCACATAATAAGTATTCAAACTATCTTTTTCTAATTCTACTGAAATAAAGCTCCATAACTAGTATATATATTCACCAGAAAAAAAAAATTGAAATTCTTAACAAATCTTGTATTTTCTCTTTTTTGTTTTCAGTGGAGGATTTGTCTCAACATCAGTCTGTCCAGGTAGTTTATCTGTTTCCCTAGGAATGATAAATACCAGGACTTTTTCCCGAGTAGCCTTGTTAGATCTCTTTGGTGGATCACGTCCCACATGTATCATCGGTCTACGCTGCTCATCAGAATACTGCAACAACACAACATCATGTTCTAACATCTGTTTTTTTACCTGTCACATATTTAGAAAAAAACAGTCATTTGCAGGCTTCTCAATAAACCAATACTTAAGCCAAATGAAACTTAACTCATCATACCTCTGGTTTAAGCTGCTCAATGTTGTCACGCAATATATCAGCTACGTGCTTATTAAATCCAACCTGCAAACATCATCATGTTAGTAGGATTGTATACAATTTTAAGTAATTAAATTATTGTATCAAATATACAGTACCTCAGTTTCTTTTTCTAAGCCAATGTCCTCACACACCTCAACATGAACATCTGCAAGGGTATCTAGACAACCCTCCATTGAACTCACTTGAGCATCCAAATAGACCTCAGTACAATGGATCCATCAGCAACATGGACTTCTGTTGTCAAGTTCTCCCTTGAACTCAATTGAGCATCCAAATGGACCTCAGTACAGTGGAATCCATCAGCAACATGGACTTCTGTTGAAAAGTTCTCCCTTGCACCATTTTCAGAAGCAGCACCCAGATCACCTTTAGGCTTCGCTTTGCATGACCTGACATTGTGGTCCTTTGTGTCGCATCTACTGCAATGATTTCTTTGACCTTTTCTAGATAGTCTTTGTTCTTTATTTTCCTGAATGATTGTTATTCAAGCAGTAGATCTTCTCCTTTTTGTAATAGGCCTTCCTTTCACTTTTCGTTTAACAGGAGCTAAATAGGAGGCTCTACGACCTTGTCCCATTCCCAATCTATTTCATCTCTCAAAGGATAGATAAAAGGTTCATAACACCTTTTATATACTTCAACAGAATAGCAGTTATCAATAAAAACAACAGGGTCTTGTTTTATAGACCATATAGCAGAAATTCCTTGTATACATGGAATACCTGTGAGCTGCCACTTTCTACAGCTACATTCTCTTGCAGCAAGGTCAACTGCATACTTGCCATCATCTGGATGGTCAACCTCCACATGAGTAGTTGATGAGGGGGCTGCGGTGCATTCAGTTGCTAACTTTTGGTATCCTAAAAGCCTCTTGAAAATTCTTGGACAAACCACCTTGTTGTTCCATTTCTCATTTGCCATTGTTCTATTCTCATACATCCTTCTGGTGGTGTACTTCCTCATTCCCTCCATAAGTCCAATGATAGGTTCTGCTCTTGCCTCGAGAATTTTGCCATTCAAAGACTCACAGTTATTGTTGAGTAGAATATCACAGTTACATTTGAATGGAAAAAATGCCCTGCACCACTGATTCCCAGGCATATTGCTTAACCAGGTATATGCATCTTCAGATATTGTCCTCATCTTCTCCATTTCTTTCTTCCACTGCCCCTCAGTGGTTGCCTTTGCCGCTGCCCAGAGTGCTTTCCTAAGTGCTTGTCCCCCATGCCCGTGGTCTACAAAATTGGAATTCATGTACTTGTATCTTTGTTTTCTTTACTTTGCAGGAAAATCACAGCACAGGATGTTTCCAAAAAGCATAAAATGGACCTTAGGCTACTTCATGGTGTGGCCTATGGACATCCTTGGTTTGGAAGATGGGGATATCGGTTTCTCTGTGGCAGTTTTGGGGTAAAAGATTATCATTATAATAGGTCTCTGGAACTACTTAGCTCCCTGGAACTCGATAAGATAATTCAAGACTTAAGCTGTACCGAGAGATGCAAGGAAGTCAAGCATATCATTCGCTGCTATAGAGATTTGAGTGAGACCAATTTGGTCACCTTGCGAGATCTCTTCAGGTTTATGTTGACTCTCAAGTCCAGGGCTGAGGGGGGAAGAAATGCAGCCAGCTCCAATTCTAAAGTGCGGTTTGGTCCAGCAAGATCAGTGACCAGAGTTGTTATGCCTTCCTAGTCATTTGCAAAAGAGAAATCTGGTAAGTGCTGCAAATTTTCTAAACTTGTTGTCAACTGGGACAGCAGATGGCCTGTTAAAAGACTGGAGTTTACAGCTAATGTAATTGTTGAAGCCTTGAAAAAGAAGCAAGCCGAAAACAACTTTTTGAGACCTTTGATGAATAGGCAGGAGGTACGAGATGCAGCTCGCCAACAAATTGGTGATACTGGTTTGATCGATTATGTGCTGAAATCACTGAACAATGTTGTGGTTGGGGATTACATAGTCAAGCGCATGGTGAATAAAACCACACGCAAGCTAGAATATATGATTGAGGAGGTGAAGAACACTAATTAGGGTGTTTCTGGATCTGGAAGAACCCCTCAGATGACTGTGTCGAATCCTACAAATCATGGAGATAATGTTTATGCTGGTGCCTCGTACTTGTATGCCAATGTCCTTTTGGACCATCCCAAATCAGAGATTGTCAAATCAGCTGCTAGGACAGTTCTGAACAGTAAGTATTTTGTGAAGGAATGGCCTTTCAGGGATGAGCAGGATCACACGCTGAGATTCATTTGTGGCTGCTTCCAAGTTTATTAGAGACAGAAACTGAACTTACTAGGGAGTTGTCTATTGGAGAGTACATTGTTGTTCCCCTGCATTCTACTATCGGCGATTTAAAGTTGGCAATCCAAAATGCAATGAGGGACACTTATTGCATAACAAGTGAATTTGTGGTCACTGATATTGAAGGAACTGGGGGAATGGGAGATGACGAATTGATATTTGGTTTTATTCAGTCTGGCTTAGAACTTTGGGTCAGAGGTTACGGACTCGATTTGGATACTGATTTGAAGTACGAAGGTGGAGCAGACAATTGGAAAGTCAATTGTAAATGTGGCGCTCAAGATGATGATGGTGAGAGGATGATTGCATGTGATATGTGTGGGGTATGGCATCATACCTACTGTTGTGGCATCGAAGATTCTCAAGCTGCGGCCTCAGTTTTCATTTGCGATACATGCTATGCTTTGCTGAACCCAACTGTAGAACAGCCTATCTACGAAATGCAGTATCATCAAGCTCTGATGCCCTCTCCGGAATCTTACATCTACTATCCGGATTCTTCTTTGCTCAGTTTCGAAGGTACTGACTGTCTATTGAGTTAGTATATATGTCTAGGAGTGACATTTTGCTGGAGTCTAGTCATTAACACTGCCTGGTGCCACAATTTTGATCTGAAGCATAGTTGACCTATTCTTTTGGATAGATATTCTGTTTGTACATCACATTTACAATTTTGATTTCTGATTGTAATCAGTTCACTCATTTTGATGAACTACTCTTTGTACATCACATTCCCTGTGGACATTGATTACTGAACCAAATGTTCACGTAAATGAGTGTACATTCTGTATAAACTAAAAAGTTCTGGGGGCGTCTGAATAAGCAGACAAACCTGATCCTCTTGGCTTTTTGGCCTCATACATAGACACAGAAATTAAGCAGGTTGACCATGTACCTTTCTGCACAATTCTTTTCATTCAATTGATCTACTCAATCTCTTTCGATATGTTTTAATTGTGTATCTTGTCTATACATACTTTTCTTACAAAATCAGCGTTTCTGTATATACTATACCAGTCAATTGACCTAGAACTGTCATCATCTTGCTATAGCAATTGCTTTAATGGATCACTCTTGGCTTTTAGTTATTACTGTGCTAAGCAGGGCAAGGAAACCACTTTCTTTCAATCATAAGATCAGGTGAAAGAGGTGAAAAATCTCACCAATTCACCAATTCTTTAGTTCCAAATTGTACCTTTCAAGATTAAGGATGAAAGAATGTTGTTGGTCAAAAAAGCAATGGACGAATGTGATTTACTCAATAGCAACAAAGCTCATATGGATGTGAAGGAAAATTATGGACTAAGTACAACTTTGTCTACTAGTACTATTCACACAAGTCCTTAACCTCATCTGGCATACAATGACAACTGCAACTAAAAAGAAGTAAGAAGTTCCAATATCTAGATACTGCGCTTGGCATATGTCATCAGTTACACTAATTTGTGGTTTGCTTGATTTTCCTTAGATTTCCTAAGATCTAAACAGAACTGTTCTCCTCCAAAAAGTAGAAAAAATGTGAGAGGAAAATGAACTAATTACTAAACAGAATCAGACAAAAATTTAAGAGGCAGCAGCTAATTATGCTTTCACCAAGAATTCTTCAATGGTTTCTCCAACAAAGCTGAAAGATACATCTCCCGCAACTCCGGCCCTCTGTCCAGCTTTTTCCCCACAACCCACTTCACTTTGTTGAACCCAATGCTATCTATAAGGGGGATATAAACTTGTTCTAGCTGATCACCGACACAGAAGAAATGGTCAAGCCAGAAAAGCCCACCAGGCCTAAGCACCCTATAGATGTCAAAGAACAAGAAATGCATCAATGTGGTGGGAATCCAGTTGCTCAACACATGCATTGAGTGAACAATATCCAATGTGTTATCAAAAAAGGGCAATCTTTGTGAAATGGTCATGTACAGAGGAATCACCCCTCTTGATGCTATGAAGTTATTGAAAGGGCCATTCAGATTGATGGAAGTTGTGACTATTGTGATGTTCCTTTCTTTCATCCTCACAGCAAATGTAGCCACACCACCCCCAATATCCAGGCCTATTCTGATGGTTCCGGGCTTCTTCACTGCCAGCACTTCATCAACGGAGAAATCAAGGCTGCCTTCTATGCTTGGTCCAACCCATCTGTCTTTCTCTCGGCCTTGAAGATCAAAGCAATCTTTGCAATCATCAAACGCTTTCTGATTTCGCCTTCGGTTAACCAGACAAGTGTAATTCTTGCAAGTATACGCGGTCCAGACGACAGAGGAATCAGGTGGTGTTGTCCAATAGCTTTCTGGAACAGGGTAAGGTTCTGCGTATTCCTCCGCCGCAGCTGGCCGGCAACGCCGTCTTGGGAGTGGTTCACAGCCCTTTAAGAGAAGCTTCTGGGCGAGAAGCTCGTCGTCTGGGCAGGATCCATTGACTTTGTATGACATGTACATATTAAGTTCATCTGGAAACTGGGAGCAGGGGCGGCCAACTGGTGGTAACAGGAAATCTGCACCGAAATTCGGGTTGAATCCAAGTGGAAGTTTCTGAGGAGATGTAAGCGCCTGGAACTCTGATGCAAGTTCGATTTCGGGCGTTGGTTTTGTCTCAATCGATGGTTCAAGTGGAATTAAATCTTCCTCGGGTACATCCTTCGTGGGCAGAGTAGTAATGGTTAGAGTCTTTTCAGTAGTGGCAGTGAGAGTAGGAGAAAAGAAGGATGTTGTGGTGATTAAATAAGTTAAAAGATTGGATGAGATTAGTACCAAGACAAAGATTAGGTTGAAGAAGAAAGGGCTGGAGGACTTGGGATCTTTTTCCATTGGCAAACTTTTTAGTATCCCTTTACATAAGCTGCTGCATTGGGTTTACTTCAAGTTCAAGAGTTGAAGAAGAAGATGAATATTTGTGTGCTTGCCTTTCACAAAGAAATTTGGGAACAGCTGCGTGTTTTCAGGCAACAAAACAGATCCTGTTTTTTTTTTTTTTTTTACCATGTTACATTCGAAGGTTCCAGATGATGCTATCGATGTTCGTATTGTTTATTTGAAAAATCAATATTTTTTCCGTCCAAAAATGATTATTTTGAGTACCATGAATTTGATGGTTTTGCTTTAAACATGAGTGTATCAATTAAATTAGCATTTCCTGTTTCGTTTTCTTAACGTGGGAAAGTATTTTTAAGGTCTTTGTAATGGATCCAGTGGGGAGATTTAGTCGGCTGTTGTTGGGGCTGCCGGAGGAAAGTGCAGCAGACATTAGAATATCATTAGAGGAGTTTTCTGCAGATTTTGGGCTGTCATATATATCCTCATCATTGACTTTAGAATCAGAGGCCTTACGCATGCATTAATAAATGGACTATAATATAGGGTCCATTTCAAGGTTAGTTTAAGATTCAACTAAATTGGTGGAGGAATTGCTGCATTAGTTTAAGGTCGATTTCTCTTGGATCAACATTATCTGTATTAGAATGAAATAACTGTGATTAGCCAATGATCAACATATATGCTTAATCAATGATGCAATTTGCGAGATTAGAAAGTGAAAACAATAGCTTCTCTGTCAACATGAAAGATATAGTCTGCTGAATGCGACGAGGCAGTATCATTGGAATCCTGCCGTTCAGTAGTCACAGATTACTCAATAGAAAACTCAACCACAAAATCCCAGGGTATACCCCATCCAATAATAAATCAATTTGATGGTGGTAGTCCACAGAGCCTGCAGCAATTTGCTACTCTCTCTATAGTCCGGGAGGAAAAAAATATCATTCTACTTGCTTACTAATTCTTGTGTCTAGATGATCCATTGACATGTGAAGACAATTCGGCCCTCAATGAATCCAGGGAGGTGGAAAGACAGCAGCAGAAACTGCAGCAAAACCCTAGACTAACTCCAGTGTTGCTGTTAACTTAAAATCATTCCATAACTATCAAAGTTCAGTTCGTTGACCTAAACTCAACGCCTCAGCTTTTCCAAGATTTCTTAATCTCTCCATGACGATCCTAATTTGCTCTGATATAGTTGAGTATAGATGGCGTTGTGCTGCTTCATCCAGTCCGCAAGGTTTAAGAGTTCGCCAAGTGGCACCAGAATGACTAGGATTCCTCGACTCGGAAATTGCCATCTCCTTCAGTTTAGGAACATCAAACTCTATTGGCTCCCCAACAACAATATCAATATCCTTACCCCACAATGGCACCAGTGGTCTTCTATCAAACATATATTTCTCTGGCATTACCTGGGAAAGGAGTACTAATGGATTACTTACAAGAGAATATTACATGGCAATCGGAGCCAAAAGTTTTTCGAGATAGCAATTTCAATAGAAAAATATTCATAGATTTTGAAGGTTTGGTCTCAAACCATTCCACTAGACAAACAATTATCTCTGCACCCAATTGCACAATCATTCTGAACAACATAAAACTACTGACACCAATTGACAAATTACTCAACAACTGAAAGTTCACTCTTAAGCAAGGGAACAATACGAAACTAATTAGAGCAATAAGTAAGTACGTCCCAGTGTGATACAATTGACACTCTTAAACAGTTCCATATCAATATCTAGACATAACAAAGAAGGGGAAATACATGCTCATACAAGCCTGCATGAAGAAAGGAAAGATCTAAAAAAACTTCATAATACAAGTACTCAAGTCCAAACTAAAAAACTAACCTTTTCGAAACCATGATGAACAATTGGTAAAACAATTGGAGTTACAGGAGCACGGACTATAAGACTGGCCGTTCCCCATTTTAATCTTCTTATAGCTGTAACTTCCTGACACACTTTTCCTTCTGGAAATGTATGTAACTTCCATAAAAATAAAAGAGAATATGAGCAGGAGGGAAATATGATTGAACAGTTTTCAAAAGAAAGGACAAACAAATCAACTGGACTTAGTCTTCAGGAAAACGGAAAATAATGTTCAGGAGGAAAGAAATATGGTTCAGACAAAATCAAGTATGGCAAGAGATCCTACGATTGCCATAACATAATAAAAACTCATGGAAACTGCAGTTAATATGGATGGAGAGAGTAATAAATATATTCAAAATGGCACTTATAACTAAACATATTTCTTCTTCTTTTTTACTTCCCTGCCCAATGAACAAAAGTCGTCAAAGTTATCTAACCTAAAACTTCATTTTAACCACATCATCTAGTACTTGACACATCGAACCAAAACTTTCCCGAAACAAGATTACATAATGGATATGCGAATGACAGCCGAGCAACAGAAGGTCCACTTATTCAGGACAATTTTTCATAAATATAATAAGCCTCAAGAAAAGCATAAAACATCACTTTGATCGGCATAAAAGAATTAACGTGAATGTGTGTCACACTAAAAGGGAATATGGCATACCCAAGCTCCATCCCTCAAACGATCAAGAGCTTCATTCATGTGTTCCTGATAAATTCCCCCTCCTCGTGTTACAGGTATGCATTTCCCTGTAAGCATTGCACATAGCAAATGAAAAATGAAAAACAAAGATCAGATGATGCTAAGAGAAGTCACCGCATGCAATAGCTATAAGTACTTCTTTTAGGATGAAACTATAACATTGCTTTTGAACACATAAGCTGCAACTTGGTTTTCAATACCTACTAGTCCAAGAAAGTAACTTTATTCCATTGCAAATCCACCAAGCAATTTTCTGTTGGAATAAGACCTTTGAAACTAAAATATAATGATAACATGACTTTTTTTGAAGCACCGATTTTTCCAACAATTGACATTATCATCACTTGGCCTAATACAAAAATACTCGTTAGGGATTCCATGTATTCGTAAAACCCCAATGAGTTAACAGGTAAATTTAACTAATTTAGGGCAGGTCTTCTAGTTGTAGCCAAACATATCTAGGAAGTTTGAATGGAATCAGTGGAAAATGGAGAAACAGTCAGAACAAACAAGAATATACGAACCAAGTCGGAAAAGATACGAAAACACCGGATTTTTAAAGCAAATATCTTCAGCAGCCAAAACCCAGCGTCCAAGACTTGGATCTGTAGCAGGAAAGCCTTTGAAACCCCACATAAGTGGATCGTCTAACCTGCATTACGTTCAACAGAAACATAAGAAGCACTAGAAAATCCAAATGGAATCAAAATAATCCCAACTCCTAGTTAATACCACCAGATAAAAGATCAATCAGGTGCCTCATAACTACTCTAGAAAGGAAGTTTTTATCTCTAATTCTAAACATATCTCATTCACAATTTTCAAACCATCACGTTTTAACTACACCTACTATTGGTTTGCTCAGCATAAAAACATCACAACATTGTTCAGTCTCAATATGCTGACAAAAAATCGAAAAGAATTGCAACTCATAATTAGAGTAGCCGCATTAACACAACTTCAAATGACAACATTCTAAAAGATGACATATTTCCCTTCAGTTTCATGGGATTTAAGTGAAAAATGAGCTCATTCTATCTCTTAACCCAAAGAAGACTAATTCACAGAGCCACTTAAGAGTCAGAAGAAACAGAGGATCAAAACTACCAAAAATAGTTTACAGTAAATAATCAAGAGAGCAAGAAGGCAAGACTGACTGACTGACGTGGACATATGATTGCTGACGGTAATGAGAGGCACACCCGGAGGGCGGGATCGAACAAGACGAATCAGTGTATCCGCATTGTGAACGGTGGTGTTGTTGAGCAAATTGACCACAGCTTTAGCGAAGGCTCCGGCAGCCGAGAACACCAATTTTCTCGGTATTCCTCTCAAGTGAGTTGCTTTGGCCGCCCACTCCATTGTCCTCCCCGCCATTCTTACAGCAAGAAACTTCTTCCCTTACCCGTCTCCGCCTTCCTCACAAAAAAGAGTGCGGAAACAGCTCCGGCTGCCACTTCCTCCGCCGCCGCCAGAGATCAAAAACCGACCCTTTTATTCTGGTAACGTGTTTGGAGATTTGGGAGACGGAAAATCGTAGTCAAATCAAGCTGAAACAAGTCGAGTATCTCAATTAAATTTCTTCAACAACCCAGGTCTTTGTTTTCCTTCCCTTGTTCGGTTGTTCCCTCCTATTGAAATTTCAATATCGTTTTTTTTCTTCACTCGTTATTGTTAGGACTTGAGAGTTACATTAAATTGATACTTAAATTGATTTTAAACGATGGATTATTAGTTACATTATTAAAACCATTTGCCATTTTTTGCACAGAAGAATTAATCTCTTTCTACTAATTGTTGGGTTGCCGTTGCACTTGTGCATAAGAATAATTGATTATCCTAATTTGCTATGCGATTTCTTTTTACCACAATATTAATGTACTTGGTTAGGTTTAATTATAGAACCAAAAGAGGGCAAATAAAAAAATAAAAAAAAAAGTTGAACTAAATCACATTTAGATATACTAACATAATGAATTACTCCATCCTCCGGTCATTAATATAAGTCATTTTGGCTTGTCCTAGGTTTTATCTAGTACAAATTTTTAATTGATAATAAAATCTTAAAAATATATTTTCACATCCGTTGTATTTTTCTTGATTGTAATGAAATATTTTTAAGACTTTTTTCATTAATTAAAACTACGTACTAGGTGAAACAAAAGACGAATCAAAATGCGTTATATTAAGAACCGGAGGAAGTAATACATACCACTTTGTTCACAATTTCATTTCGCCCTGTTAATTTTCAAGGACAATCCACGCATTACTATTATTATTATTATTATTATTATTATTATTATTATTATTATTATTATTATTATTATTATTTTCTTTTCCCCTTGAGTTCAAAGAAGATGTAAGATAGATTTTAAACAAACTAATGATACAACATTTACATGACAATAAGAAAAAGATAGTTCAAAAGTAAGACTTACAGTTCAAAAGGATTTTGTTGGTATGAAGTCGTAATTATTTTTTCTTCAATTTATACTACTATCGGGAGTTTGACCAGCAAAATAGTTCAAAAGTAGTACATGGCCAGTGATCTTGCCAGGACAATTTCTAGCATCTAGGGCAAAATTTTGTTGAATTTCCAAATCTGTCTCTCGTGAAGTCAAATTACATATTCTTTTCCGAGCTCCGGTCAATTAGCTTATTAATCTCAATTTTATTTCTCCCTCTTCCCCCTGTCGCCTGTGAAACTTCGCCGGCAACAGAGCTGCTGGTTTATCAGTTTTCTTTCAAACTCTGTTTAGGGTTAAGAGTTCTAAGATTTGTATAGAGGTTGTGAAAGCCAAAAGCGACCTCTGTTTACATTTAAAGTTTGTACAGAGGTTGCAAACGCCTTATGCGAACTCTGTTTAAATTTAACAAATTCTTGTTTGGGATTTTCCGATCATGAGCTTTTGGTGATGATGATGCTTCAGTTGGGAGTGTTTTGGATTGGTTTTACGGGTTTAATTTAATATCATCTTCCTCGTCTCCGCTTCGTAATCAAATCCAATAATCTCTTCACATCGATGATCGATCATTAGTTATCCGAAGCTGCCATGAGCTGCCTCACCAAGTACGTTGGACTGTATCTCCATTTTCAAAGAATGCCTTCTGTTTAAAGAAAGTTTCAGAGAACAGAGATTCATGAAAGAAGGGATACACGATTTCTCCGAGTGGTCCAAGGTAATCAAGGACAAAAGGAGCAGTTAATTATTATGCCTGTTTTAAAAAATTACTTCCTTAGTACGCATTATTAATCATTTGTTTAAACTCTGCTCCTTCTGTTGCTGCACGCATCCTTCCAACTCCGTTCCTATACAAAAAAATTATTTTATGACTCTACAAGTTCTTCGTTTTTTCTACTAGGGGGAGGCCATATTGACAACTAAAACTCAATATGGAGATTACGAAGAAATCTTCCACAATAATAATCTAATAATTCTAATATATGCATCCATCCCACTTTCTGCAAATTTCTCTCCACCAAATAAGTTTTGCTCTGTGATTAGTAATACTTCGTTTTTGTACCTCGGTTCATAATGCATAAGCACGTCTTTTTTTTTTTTTCAAGTAGACAAGTACTAATATTCAAGACATCACTTATTTTGAAGAAGCAACCAAAAAGGAAAAAAAGAGTACTAGCTACTACAAGTGAAATAAAGGCAGAAGCTTCTTGAATCTTTTTGCAGCACCCGACCCATGTAAGATACCGTGAAACAATTTCTACTTCTTAGATTCTTGCTCTGTTTCCAGGTTTATTTTTCACTTTAGTGGCTGATTCAATTAGCTTATTGATCTCAATAATCTTTTCCAATCTTTATTCTCTTTTGTAGTTTATGACTACCCATAGGGTTTACTCTGGAGTTTGTTTTGCAAATTTCAATCCTGATTAACTAAAACGATAAACCTTTTGCTTGAATTTAGAAAGGAAACGAATGAGAGAGAAACGTGAAGGAGAAATGAAAAAGATAATGCGAATTTCATTGAATAGAATTTCAATTTGACTTCATGAGAGCAGATTTGAAAATTAGACAAAATTTTACTCTGGATGCCAGAAATTATCCTGGCAGAATCACTCCCTGTAGTGCATGGTTTATGTTTAAAAACGTGGTCGAAGTTCTAGACACACATGCTCCTTTTTTTTATTTTTCTGTTTTCTTTTTTTAAATTAAAAAATAATAATCTTTCATTTGAGCACTCTTCTTTCCCAATCTTCCAGGAGTAGGGTTGACATCCGATTTGAGATGATTCGACATCTAAATGTCCAAGTGACCGTCAACAAAACAATGACAGATAGCTGGAGAAAATCCGATAATATGTCCATTACAGCTAAATTTTGTTGTCGAGTACATAAAACTGAAAGTCACTAAATATATGTCTGCACAAGTTCCTGGTCCTTTCAAGTTGGTCCAGCACAACATTTGCTGATCCGGGATTCATGTTTGCTAAATGAAGATTAATTAATCCTAGTACAACAGAATAATAGACGCCACTGCAGATACAAAAGCACATCACTACAGTGTGATATAACCACAGATAATGGTTTTTCTGCAAAAACATGTCGGCCGTATTTAAATGCTTCCAAGTGGTTACTGCCTCTCAGTATTCAAGTGATCCTAAAGAAGGAAACCTAGAGACCATGTGTCGCCCGTCTCCACCGCCGCTGTTCATCCTCTCGGCAGCAAGGCGATTCAAGGATTCTGCCTCTTGCTTTCCCAGTTTCAGCACATCCTCGGGGGAGAGAATCTTGATGTACCAGACATTATTGACAAATGCCCTACAACAGACCATGAGTTAGGAACCAGAGACGAATTTCTTGCTTGTTAATAATTTGCGTGGAAATATAAGCCATGGGTTGTTTTCAATTTATAAAAAGAAGGACGAGGGAAAATCAGCTAAACGATTAGAACCAGACCAACTGAAGGTTGTAAAATATTTATGAGAAACTGCTCGGTAACTAATAAATACTTACTCCCACGGATCGTCTCCAAGGAGAAGCACATCATTCTCCCTGTCGACGAATACAAGCTGCCAGCCTGATCTTTGAGGGTCTTCAAGCAACCCTTCGATCCCAAACATCTGACCAAGTTCCTGCCTCAGCTCATGATAGCTGTTGAACCGGCTGATGTCCAATGACCTTCCAACACACCCTGACTTGTAAACCTGCAAATGCAACGTTAATTGGTTGCTGCTTGAGAACAAGAAAAGATAGTTTACTTCATATTATTCACATTCTCAAACCAGCACCTTGACAAAAGTGCGAGCTGGTGATGGAGAGTCCTGTCCCGAACCATGCAACAACTCTGGAGAGTCCTGCATATAACCATACAGAGAACTCTGAAAGCCAGAATCCCCTAATGGCATAGAGGATAGACCAGCATTAATTGAAGAAGTACCAACGCTGGAGACAGTTGTTGGTAGCAAAAGAGCAGCAGAGTCAATGTTGGAACTAAAAAGAGCCTGATTCTGGGCATCCAAACCACTAGCTTCTTGCTCACCAGGGGCGTCTTTCCCAGGATATGGTGGCAGTGACACAGAACTGGAATTATTAACTTGACCATGAGAAAATTTCGACACCCAGGACTGTTGAGATGGTGGCTCGGGAAGCAAGGTTGGGCTACTTCGGGAGAAGTTCAAAAGATTACTACTCCCTTCCGAACTTAATGTCCCCAATACATTTTGCATGCTAGATGGAGCAATCGATGCTGAAAATTTGGAGTTTGTGTCAGCAAAGTCTGTTTTGGAAAAAGAAGGAGATGGAATGTTTGATGGCTGCCTCTGCTGGAGCTGCTCGTGCTGGATCATATAACCATCCTGGAATGCATGATGTTGTGGTTCCTCAGTTTGATTGGTAAGTTGTTGTTGTTGCCGAGTCCTGTCCAGGTTCTCTGACAGCAGTTGGGTTTGTGCAGGGAGCATATTTGGAGACAATGTTGGCTGCATTACTTGCTGAGGCTGCTGCGGCTGCTGTAACATTGTATTATGGCTGCCTGAATGTTGAAGATATTGAACAGGTGGCTGAAACTGCATTAGTTGTTGTTTGAGCATATCTCCACTTCCAAAATTTTGCAAGCCAGCAGCTAGCATAGCCTGGTACTGCTGATTAAGATCATTGCGAAGCATTGCAGGGTCAATTCTCTGCTGCATCCACGGGAACATACCAACTGAAGGAAAGTTCAGAGAATGGAGTCCTTGCTCGCCAGCTTCTCCTCGCAACCAAGCCATCCCATTCACAGCTTCACTGCTAGGATCTGTAACAACAGTGACAGTTAGAAACCTGAAAAGACTGATAACAAACAAAAAATGAGAAAAACTGTACACATTACTTGGGGGCCTACACATCAGACAAGTTTACCTTGATAGAAAGGACCACAACATTTACCTTTGCCTAACATCAAACATAGTGAACTACCAACCTCAATTTGGGGGAACATAGTTCAATAAGAAATCATATGAGGCAGAAATAATGCTAAGCTTTCGATTATGAGCAAGAAAAAAAGATACAGATGAAATCAAATACAGCACATATAATAAACAGGATAGCACCTTGAAAAGATGATGCTCCCGGATACCAAGGTCTTTTCAGTCTGAGAGGAAACAGTGATGGATACATGGGAAAGGTGGTCAAAGGCTCAATCTCCCACAACGACACCCGAGGCTGTCTCTCACCAGCTGTTGACTCATCCCAACCGACCTGCATATTTCCAGCAGATAAGATACAATCAATGCCGAAAGAGCAAAATTATTACATAGGAGAATGTAAGCTAATTCAGATAGGTGTTTTTAGGAATGTAGAAAGGAGTATCGGAAACGTAAAAAGGTATGCTGGGATAGGACAGTTATTAATAAATTATTTTAAGAAAACCATAAGAAAAAGGAAACAGACAGGCCTATTTTCACTGAAGCTATCAGTAACACTCAACACTGTTACCATGGACAACCCAGTATCATGGGTAAATTCATGTGACCACCTGAAACATTGAACTCACCAACTACACTTACAACCCTGTAGCCCTGAGAAACTCTCTTTCTAAATTCAGTGATGACCCAGATATCCAAAACAGATATCAAGACACAACAAAACTACCCTAGCTATCACCCATTTCAACACACAAGCGCATGAGAAAAACAGGAACAAAGCACAGACACACTGGTCCGGAGAGTGGAAAAGCGGAAGTATAACAATGGATGAATCAGATACTAAACTTCCCTGAAACCAAGTAGCATGCTGGAAAAACTCAAAAAAACTCGATATTGAAAGAATACTGAAGACACCACTAACATCAATCAATTTGAGAAAGCAAAAAAACTAAATTGTAGAATATTATGCTGAATGTCTTAAACACACGAAAGCATCATCAGGATAATCAAATTTTATTCACCTTGACAGATCGCCAGTGAGAATTTGGCCACCGGACAGGGTCCAAGTCACCAATGCCAGTAATTGTACCCATATATCTGGATAATCACGAGACAAAAATTGACATGAAGAAGATAAGTTTCGGCGCAGCAAAAAAAAAAAAACCTACCTTAAAACAAAACAAAAAAAACACGCACACGCACTCGCACCCACACAAACCAAGAGGTTGAAAACAAAGATTTGCAAACTAAACTAAACAAGAGAATCTGAATTATTCATTAAACTGATTCAGGACCACGAACCATATGAAGATTGAAACTTAGCACCAATCTATCTTTCCAAAAATGAGTTATTGATGCAAACAGGGGCTCTGGCACATGCTAAGTTATCAATTCCCAATGTCCACACATGCGTCACATATCAAAGAATTAACAATACAATATTAACAGAGGATTAAATGAAAGAGGTTACAATCGAAACTTTACCTGCGGACACTTGATTCTTCAGTTTCAAAAAGCATGCGAAAACGCATCCCAACAGAAACGCGAGTATGGTAAACAGCTTTAACATACTTTGAAAGAGGTATTACGAACTCAGATGGGCTAGCCCTGATATAGGAAATACATGATTAGGAACAGGTAAGGGGGAAAGAGATCACTAAGCAACGATAGAATCCACACCTTGGATTATAGAAAATGGTAAAACAGCTATTTGTAGCTGCAGCATGGGCGGCGGCAGCAAGTAATCCAATGTGCATGCTGTCACTTGAAAGAACAGAGGATGGCATCACAGTTTGAGGCCGAGTAGCACGGCGAATCCCCAAGAGGAGCTGATTTTTTTCATTCCTAATTTAAGCTTGAAATGAGATCTTTGAAAATAGAAGTGAGCTTGAAACATTTTCGTGGAAAGTTGGAAGGGTTTTTCTTTTCCAAATGATTACGTACCAGATAAAAAGTACAGAATCTCCAGCAACAAGCCTCTTGGCACTGACAAACACACTCCACCCTGTAGTAAGAAGATGTCGCTTCGGTTGACCTGCAAAACAGCAATTAGAGAGGGAAAAGGAAAAGAATTAAATACTGGCATTTACATTTTGGGCCCTCTTGGCACTGGCAGTGGATTTGCCTCTAATGCCTTCAAGATAAATACTAAAAATGAAGAACAAGAAACATTGTAACTTTTTTAATTACATTGAAGATAAACTATTTGTTATCAATTGCTCTGATGAATAATTTCTGAACTTCCAGAAGGCATAAAGACTAAAGACGCATTATTATATCCGCAGCCAGAAATAGGAGTAAATTGCACAATATCCATGTTTTGGGACTTTCTGTAAAAACTACTCACCCACTAGACAAATATTCTGATCATAGACCCTGATTTCAAAACTTTGACATCATTAAACTTTTTGAAACCAACATTTACCCTTGCTCCAAAAAAGAGAGAAAAAAAGAAGCTTCACTTTGAGTTTGAGGGCATGCACACATCTTCCATTCTAATCTACCATGCAGATAACAGCTGCTATCATTATCTTATCACATGTAAACTGAATCCATTATCAGTCCACAGTGAAAAATTATGAAATTGCTCTAGATACTATGAATTGGAAATTTGTGATACAATGCCAGGAAATTGAACCCCATCGGTCTGAATTGTCAGCTAGATTTTCTGTCTAGCCTACTGGTCTAGGCAGCCTATGTTTAACAAACCAATCAGATTTTAGTGGTGAAAAAAAGGACCTATGAGTGCTTGCTCAAATTACGTAAAACTCGTAATATCGTTGACAACTAGCGTTCTGTACAAATTTACATCAAGAAGCTGTGAAATTGTCATGAGATAAGAGGCCATGGAAGTAAGAAGCCAATCATAAAAGGAAAACCAAACTTGTGACAGGATGAGAGTACGACTGTTTTTCTTATCACTCAAAACTACCAGCACGTTCAAGCAGAGCGAGGTTACCACTAGAACCAAACATAGAGTGATCATATCTTTGAAGACAAGTAAGCAAGCAAAAAGACAAGAAAATTTACTAATCGAAAAAAGGCGGAAAGAGAAGAGTGAAATGAGAAAGGATCTTAGTTGTAATAATACAACTAGAAACATAAAGGCAGACTAAGATCACGAGTAGTTTAATGCAGGTGCCAAACTAAATTATAGACTGGAAAAGCACCCAGGCATCCATTCATTCAGAAATTCTGCGGGTTTGTAACGTAAGAGATACATAATACCAGTAAGGAAATTACATGGGCAACCAAACAGACATTACTATCCTGAATTCCAGGTTGACTATGAAGATATGATATGATATTTACCATAAAAAGTAACAGCAGTTAACTGGAAATCATTCCAGAAAGACAGACTACAGCTCTATCTCATTCATGGGGAAGATCCCACAATGAAAAGAAAACAGAAAAAGAAGGAAAGAAACTTGCCCCGGAATATGTGCCTAAACTTCCATTCAACGTCATGAAGATCCCTGGCAATCAGCTCTTGAGCAGGTGGAGTCTGCGAAAAGTCCTAATATTCCAAACAAAAAAAAAATGTATATGTACGGTTGGGCTTAAACCTTTATAAGGGCTGGCCATGGCATTCAAGTTGAAGAAATAATCAGTAGACCAAGAGCACAATCATTACCAGAGGAGGGAAAACTTTCTCGGCAGCACGGCGAGGGACAGAGAATCCCCCATGCGTACTGGTATCACTTGCAGTCAATGTCTTGCAAAAATAGTTAGTTGGCTGCCTGCTTGGAGTCCCCAGCTCTACTGGGAGATATGTATCCTTTTGTTCTTGCTGTATACACCACATTAATTTCAGTTATTTCATTATTTCATTATTGAACTTGCAACAAATTCTGAATTAACCTAATGAAAGTCTACAAGAAAATGTTTCATGAATCTTTAGAGAAATACCGGAGTCAAGGGTTGCAGTGTCATTTGAGCATACACTTCATCGGTTTCAACATCTGCCTGAAATACAATAAATAAACAATTCAAAACCAACACGCAAAACACCATATGAACATACAACAAAAATGGATAAGACCCACATGCATTGTAACATTGTGAAGCTGGCAAATCAACTGGGGTGGCAAGCTCGGATAATTTGGTATATGAGCATCAACTTCTTTATTAGTCGTGGCTGCAACCTGACATTCAATACCAATTGTGGTCCATTAGTTCCTATTCCAAAGATAAAAAACCACACACATGAAGAAAGGAAAAAACCCATGATTTTGATAATTGACCAGCATAAACTATAAAGCACCTGTTCACTATGTCCCTGAGGAAAGTAAACAACGCGGCTGCCCACCGTCGGTAGGGACACCAGAGGACCAGCACAAGCGTGCCATAGCTCTGAATTCAAGCATTTCTTCTCTCCTTCCATAAAACAGAACAACAAATCAACCCATCAGACGGTTTTCTTGAAGTTCCAAATTTTTATTTGGATTTCAAGAGGCATTACTCAGGACTAGCATGAACACGTCCAGAAAAGAGGGAACAAAAATCCAAAAACATAAAGTAACAAATTACTCTCTTTCAATAGTTAAAAAGATTTTAAGAGTACCAAAAAAATTCAAAAGGCAAAAACGAGAGAAAACAATAGACACTCTTCTCCTAGGACCAAAAAAGGCTACCCCAAAAGAGAGACAATTGAAGCAGAAAAGGAGGAGAAGAAAAAAGCAAAAAATGAGAGATAGAGCATAGATACCTTCATGAGCCTGCTGACCCATCCCTGATGTTGAAAGCTTCATAATCTTGCACTCCCCCCTTTATCTTTAATTATAAATAATTACACTTTACAAACTACGAATTGAGCACTAACAAGCTAGAAAAATTCCTCAAAATTCTTTCAGCTCACAAAATCACAATTTTCAGTCCACAGAGCTATCAAAACCCTAGCTCCTTTCTTCCACAATCCACCATTTTGAACTCCCATTTGCAACATGCATTCCACTTGCATTTCAACCCAGCTTGATCCAAAATTCAGCAACCCAGAAAATGCTCAAACTTCCATAAAGAAAGCTTTCAGCTCATCATCAACTCCTAAAAAGCTTCACAATTTAAAAAAAAAAAACTCAAAACAAAAGAAAACAACTTTAAAGCTCCCAACACCACACAAACACAAACCCAGCAAAACCCATCACCATCATCCTAGCTCACGACACTTCTCTCCCTCCAAAAACTCCATCACCACCTCCTCAACCCAAAAACCCCCCCACCTCCCACCCTCAAAAAAAAAAAAAAAAATAACCCAGCAAAAAAAAAAAAAAAAAAAGCTGGAGCTCAGCTCCTGCTCCAGTCAAAAAATAAAAATAAAAATCCCTTTTTTAAAAATTAAAAAAAAAAAACCCCCCCAATTTCTAATGCAAAGTAAAAAAATTATAAAATAATTTTTGAGAAGGACAGAGAAAGAGAGAGAAAGGGAAAAATGGAGAGACAGTGAGAGAGAAAGTGAGAGTGATATAATATCTCACTTTTTATATAGGCAAGCCGACCAAGGTCGACCTGATTGCAGTAGAAAGAGAAAGTGTGATTAAAAGAGAGAGAAAGAAACGAAAGAGAAAAAAAGAAAAGAGCCCTTCTTCAATGGGTTTTCTTTCTTCTTGATTGAGTTTGAGTGGAGTGAAGTGTGTGACTGTGTGTAAATGTATCTATATGTGTATCTCTATATATCTCTCTCTCTTTTCTTTTCTTTTCTTTTCTTTTCTTTTTTTTCTTCTTTCTTTTCTCTCAGTCATTTTTATTTTCTTTTTTGGTCTGCCTGTCAAATAAGAGAGAGAAGGCGTTTTGGGAAAAGATGAATGATGACCGTTGATTTAACCGTACGGGGGAATCTAAGCCGTTGGTTTGATGAAAGCTGATGTGACAGGAGGCATGTGCCACCATCCTTCAGTGGTCGTTGTCAGAGTACGGACCATCAATTCAATTTTTACTATACTTATAAACATAAAATAAAATAAATGAAATTAACACACATGAATTTATTTTCATTTTATTTATCTAAAATAATAGTAATTCCAACAATGGCGGTGTTTGTCTAATTAGGAAAAAGAAATTGCGTTATCTAATAATATAAGTGGAAGTAGAATGCTTCTTGGTGTGAGACCTTTTGCATCAGAGGTTGTACCTTCCATTTTATAATGATAATTAATTAATTATTCTTTCAATTTGTCAATCTGATACTAATATATATTATGTTCCCATACAACTCATGTTCATGAAATGGAGTGGAGAGGAGTGTGGACAAATGGAGTATGAATATAATGTCAATGTAAAAAGTGGATTGCTGATGCATTACTTTTCATTTATTAAGATAATTATCCTCTTTTTTTTTGGGTGATTAAGATTTTGTTTTATTGTGCTACTGCCTTCCCGAATGATCTAGTAATAAATCTTTAAAACACGAACATCGATAAGATTGTTATAAATCAACTTGTTCCAAATTATTTTTTTCACTACTGAAACCGTAATTACAGAATCATGATCGTGAATAAACAAAAATATGTTCGTAAGAAAATGACATCCCTTCTTATATTGAAAGACTTTCATTTCGGCCATTATACTTAGGACATGAATCAAACTTTGGCAAATTGACAGTTCTCTAACACATGATAATTTGTAAAGAATCTAGGATCTTGATCAAATTCAAAGGGGTGAATTTGAGCCAACTGATTGAGAGAAGAGATATTATATATGGATGATAATAACATTAGGAGGGAGTGGACCTTTGTCTTCGTGGGCAAGGCGAAATGGTCCATACCCTTTGGAAGCTAATTTTTAGAGATTATAGAGTTGGGGGGGGACCGGTCATATTGGTCATACTGCTACTGAAAACACACACACACACACACACTAGACTACACTACTATATATTCTTTTTAGCTGAAATTCATGATAGGTACTATCATGCTGCTTTGAATGAAAATGATTTTCCATGATTATGAGAGAAAAAAAAAATAAAGGCCGAAAGAGGTTGTTGTTTTGTTGGAATGTTTTATGTCTAATTTGTGAGTAATTAAGCTTAATCCATTATAACCAGCAAAAAGAAAAAATGATGTTCTTTCTGTGTGAAGATTATGGCAGTAAACTGTTGGATTAACAGTGGATTATGTCCACTAAACTGCCCAATATTTGGATGACAGCAAGACACTTGATGTTCTTTTATCCAGCATGCTAAATTACTAATCATGATTTATAAATTTTAAGAAATTTGGAGGCTAATTAATAATTAATTAAGTTCACACGCCAATTATGAAGGAAGGGGAAGGTGAGTATTTACTTACTATTTCTGATGAGAATGTGTGATTAAGATAAGGGAATGTTAAGTTTAATTTATTCCTTTTCGTTGTTGCATTTATGCTTTGGCTTTAAACTCTTCTTTATAGGATCAACAAGTTGGATGCCATTGCGACTTCTGTGTATTAATTACGATATTCATTGATCAACTTGTGTTTTATATAGTAGTAGTAGTACCATCTTTATCTCTATAGTTTTCTTAGTTTTGGATTTAATAGGAGTTAAATAAAAAAAAAAAAAGAAACAAAAAATCATAAGTTGTGCGAGTAATCACGTGTGTGTAAATTTTGTTTGCGATGAAATACAAGAGTTACTCCCTCTTCGAATTATTTTTTAGGGTGAAAAGAGTGTAATTTATTAATTTTGTTTGAAGTTATTTTCAATTTTATATATGATTATCAACAAAAGAAAAAAGAAACTCATGGAATGTTTCGATAGGGGTGGACTGGATTGGATCGACCGATCAACTTGATCCAAAAACTTTTGATATGACCCTGTTTTTTATTTTGTTCTAATCATAATAATCATTTCTTCATTTATGTCTCTGAAAACTATTACTCTCTCCATTCTAAAATATAGGTCGTTTTAGGTTTAGAGTAATATTTCAAAATGTAAGTTGTTTTAAAATTTCAAGGTAAATCATTAGTTAACTTCTCAACTTTGTCGTCAATAAATTATGCTAATTACTTTTCTTTTAGTCTTAATTAAAATTCCAAAACAATTAATAATGGATAAATTAGATATTTGACACACAAATTAATTGCAAGGTAGTTGTCTTCTTAATTTATGTGTAGAATCTAGAGTGACCTACATTTTGAAATTGAAGAAGTACGATATCTATCTTAATAAAATAGTTCATTGTAAACACAATATAATTCTTATTTTATTTTGGATGAAAGGGCACTTTAAATTATTAGGCCTTGAAAGTGTGGATGAAAGGGTGCGTAACAGGAGTATGTGTGTGATAAAGCAATTGTCCACGAAGCAACAACGATTTAATGTATTTGACTGTTCACCTGAAAACCAAATGTGGTTTTAATGATTGATTGTTCAACCGCAGCTGTGGTTTGGTACTTGTTCACCTCCGAGGTACTAGATCCAACTCTAATCAGCTGGAATCCTCAACTATAGAGCTTCATTTTTATTGTTATTCAAATTTGGGATCAATATCTTTTACATTTCCAATGTTTACTTGCACGATGTTTGGCTTTCAGTTGTTTAACGCAAAATTATTTGGTAGTGTTCCGCCCCCGAAATGAGCAAGTTGCAAGCTTGAAAGAGGATTAACCTCAGTTGTTACTAGTATTTGTATTTCAATTAGTCAATTATTCTATAAAGAACACGATAAAAAATCACGTGTATTATTTACTTATATTTACTTACATTACTTCTGCTAACACACTTGTACAAACAAACAAATCTACAAATGAAACACATGTAAAAAAAATTTCCTGTCATACTTGGATGGTACTCTTTTATGTCATATTGCTGCATAACATGGAATGTTTACCAAATTTTGATACCAAATTTAGAGCAAAACTTTGTTAGTTAGTAACCAACTAAACCACACCCTTCCAATTAAGTTGGAGTTTTGTGTTCTCTCTCTCTCTCTCACAAAAGAAGTTGGAGTTTTGTTAAGTTAACCTAACCATAAATTGATAAGCAAGTCATCCCATGAATCCATGATAAAGAAAATCAAAAGTATCCAACTGTGATTCCTTTGAATGTTTGAAAGTCAAAAATTTGATGCAAAAAAAGAAAGAAGAAATAGACTGGGTTTTGGGGTACTACAGATGGGTCAAGATCAAGTTGCATGTGCTCAGTCCTTTTTATAAATGCATATCATTCTTACCATATCTTTGGTAGGCCTATAACTAGTTAAAAAATCCTTTTTCTTTACCATTAAATAATTGGAGTCTCAGCAATTCCATACATTCCCCAACTTGATTGAACAAAGCCACCTTATTTTGACGAATCTTATGTAATCTAGGACTGATTCATGAACTTTGTGTGTTATTGTTACCTAGTCGGCAAACCCAATTAGGATCTCGGTTTATCTTGTCATGTGGCCATGATTTAAAAACGTTAGAATCCAAGTAACGGTTTGTGATATGATGCAAACTCAAATTTACATAATCACTCATTTTATTGAAATACTATTTACAGACAACATGGATTCCCACACAAAATTAAGAGGTACTCCTTCCGTTCTGAAATTATTGTCCAGTTTGGATTTTCATTCTCGGTTTAAATTATATTAAAAATAAAATATTAAACTGAACAATAATTTTAAGATGAGATAGTAATATATAAATTCAGATTCGTGAATCACACTAGATAGCGTGTAATTTGCACCATGAGTGGTGAAACCCATTCAAAGAAAACATGTATAGATTTAACAAAAAGTTGGGTGTTCACAAACAGTGGCAGAAAGAACCAACAAAATCAATTGTCCACCAATGCAAGAATAAAATCCAAAGAAACTGATCCTGAGGTTTTCTTTTTTCTCCCTCTTGAGGTCTACTAGTCTACAAACCCTCCAAAGCCATCTATTATGATCAACCATTTCCACAGAATTCTTGTATCGTCCCATAATCCGTGCAATTATATGTACGGTTGTGTGATTGAGCTTCCCAACCAACCTAGACGAAATGAAAGCAATTCAATTTTTTTTTCCCTGTACATATGTATTTCCGATAACCATAATAATAATAATTGAAGAATTTTGTTCATAAATCTAAACAGCTGTAGAAGATCCAAGACCCCACTACCTCAAATAATGCCATCCTTATGTGACCATTATCCAGCTCACAAGTTAGAAACTTTTTTGCACAATTTTATTTTATTTTTTTTCCAAGTGATCCCACAAATTATATGGCTTTTAGATATGATGGTGTGCTGCTAATGATAAAGCTACAATCTTGACAAGAAAACTTTTAAGGTTGGTTTTTTGAAGGACATAGGTACTTATGACTTAAACATCTGTTATTATGATGTCACGTTTTGCCTCCAAATATTTGAACTATGGTTTACAAGTTTTGCATGCAAATTCAATCTCGCCTTATTGTCTCCGGCAGGACCGGCACCGTATCCGACCCTTTTGCCGGCTGAGGATTCTATGCCCCTTTGCAATGTCTTAAAAGAGGGATCTTTGGCATGCTCATGTCCTTTTTTTTTGATAAATTGCTTTATATATACTGTGATCAGGTCCACTTACACAGAGAACAGTAGAACACCATGATTGAAGCTGATTTAGAAGGGGAAATTCTTTTTTTGCCCGGTTATGGCAATTTCACTTTCTAAAAATTTTGATGGAAAAAGGGGGATTCTTTTTGGATAAGTATGCGTTTTTTGCTTCAAATTCGGGATTGTTCTGAGAGAAAAAGATAGGTTCTTTGGATTAATGCACCAAGCTTAGGTTCTAAAAATTGGACTGGGATATTGTGAGTTTGCACGAGATGGTGAAACTCACTTCAGGCGAGGTCATATGGACATGGCTAAAAGGAGTTGTTTGATAGGAGCCAAAACAGGAATATGATTTCCGGGGATGCTGATGTGAGTGGTGTATGTTAAATGCAGGGATTCGGAGTTTGAAGGGAGTTGTTCGATGATATGCCTGAATGAAAAATTCAGTGTGAGTGCTATCATCTGTGGGCACTCAATGATTGTTCAAAGAAGCTAGAGTTGTTTAATGATACGTAAGTTGCTGGCATCTGGCCTAACAAGGCTGGAATTCCTGCTGTACTATGTGTTTTTTTTCGACCCTTTGGATCAGGGCAGTTGAATACATGCATTACTGAAGAGAAATAGAATGAAGAGCTAATTGATATGCTTGTCTACTGAAGAGAAACAGGATGATCATTCTCACGTGTTTGTGGAGTTGCCTTCTAGAGGTTGTTTGCTTACACGCCTTACATTTCAGGTGGCTCGTTACAGCCAGATTGCAAGGCAAGTGAGCCCATTCACTGAGATGGAGAATTAGGGCGTGTGTGTTTGAGATTGTATCAGAATGGGGTTTAAGTTAACGGGATGGAAGCAGTTGTTAATGTCATGGTTGCTGAGTAAATCTTCCTCGTAGAGTGGTGGGGCAGAATACAAAGTTACTGTGATGGGGGAAAACAAGAAGAGATATCCAGGTTTTAGCTTGATTGAAGTGCATTTGGCCAATGTTGAATTTGTGATTAGAGACCTTGTATGGAGTTAATTGACTTTGTTTTGAGTTGCCAGAGATTGAACATACTGACTTCGAATAATTTAGCATCAAATGTGTGACAAGATTATTCTGACATCAGGTCAGCTTTCTGCTCCCTTACACTGAGAGCTGAGTAGCATTTCCAATTGATATTTCTGAATCTAACTTTGCATTGTGATAATTGTTGTCTCAGGAGCATGCAGCTGTTTTATTTTCATTTATTTCCTTTGTACTATTTTTTTTCGTTATGGTAGCTCTATCGTTTTACTTCTTGGATGTGATTGATAGTAAATGACGCGTCCAAATAGTACGCCCGTAATTAGGCCGGCTCAAGTTCAGTGAAAAGTCTAACCGACCTTTGAAAATTTCTAGGTTAGTTCTTAATTACTTTCCTACTAAAAAAAGGTTTCATAATCTAGCCCTATAAATAGGAATCAACCCCTCACATCAAAGATACGCTCTACGCACTATAATTTATACCCTATTACAATTACTCTTACTGACTTAAGTATCGGAGTGTCTACCCTCGAAAGACCTCGAGGCCCTCTTTTGTAGGTTTTAGGGTTTTGATACCGCCATGGCCACCGGTTCAATCAACTGGAGACGTCGGTGCAGATTCATGCTTCGTCAATAAAGAAGTTGCTTATTTCTCAACATGTAAGATGTTATCATAATTTAGTAGACTTGGTAAGATGCCCACCGCAAAGTCGCAAAATCTTATGATTTCTGAACTGCAAGAGCAAGAAAAATAGAGATAAGATCAGAATGGTAAATGAAATTTGCATGGCCATGACTACTGATTCTTTGGAAGTTGTCAGGAGCAAAATGCTATGTTGACCAAAACGAAAAGAACCGCCATATTTCATATTTCCAGCCCCACGTAATTTTCTACTTTAACTACTCGGTAAGCTCACTGATCATAGAACGAAATTCCTCCCAAACATCCTACAAAAATAAACAAATTAAAATCTGGTCTGCTTAATTAGAAGGACTCGTGGACTAAACAGAAATGATTCCCCTAGTTCTTACCTGTTGCATCAGCCAGAATTGTTCTCCATTTCATACTAAGAAGTTACTTCAAAGTGAGATGGTGGAGGATGAACGATAACCTCGACCCCCATCGTTTCCCATTTCCAGTTGTTTTTCATGAATGAGCACTACAGATCATGGAACAGTGTCTCTACAAAAGTGCACTTCAATGGTTTCTAATGTAGGTAGATACTCTGTTGCTCCTTGCAACTTTTAAATACTACTAGATGCTTTAAGCTTGGAAAATGATCATTGGAAACATTCCACTGTGGCAAGATTCAGAGTTTCAAGTTTCAAGAATTTGAGATTCTGAACACTCCATCATTTACATCCCATCTCTCCCCCTCAAAGGTTCTAAAGAGTAACTTCAAAACCACAAGGTTTGGCAGTCTCCCTATCTTAGGAGTTCCACTCCCAAGGGAAGCGAAACTTTGATATTGTGATCTTCCCAACCAACCCAAACGAATATAAAGGAATGTTTCCCAAAAAAGCAAAACAGCTGTAGAGATAATGATATTTGTAACCAAAAAGGGCCCTTACTAGCATAATTCTGACCAAAAAATGAAGAAAAATGAGGGGGATTTTTGTGGAATAGTTACAGTTGTTCTTTGTTTTCGAGGTCTTCCTGACATAACACACAGAGGGGGTTCTCTAGATTAATAAAATAAAATAAGATTGGGGATTGTGAGCAAATTGATCGAAGCAGAAGCTCCCTCAAGTTCTGTCTCGATGATGGCGTCAGGTTAACTAAGATGATGAAGCAGCTTTTAACTCCGGAAGGCAAAAGTCAAGGAGATCAGTAAACAAAGAACACAGGGTTTGAAGGAGGGGAGGATGACTCTTTGGTTCCTCATATAACCCGAGTGTCAACAATATTATGGCGGAAATTTCAAAGCTGGTGTCTCATTTGCCTGATGAATTTTAGATGGAGATGCTGAAATTATCTAACTGATTGGTTATGCATAGGGAACCGGAACCGGACCGGAAGCAATCTGGATATTGTAATGCTAAAATATATTGAAACTAGTTCGAAAACCAGTTTAGAGCTTTTGCAACAGCATGAACTGGCATTGCAAACTGGAAGAAAAGTATTGAAAAATGGCCTAAATGGGAATGACTCATCATCTGTTTGAACTACAATCAAGAAAAGCAGATGGAGGGCAACTCTCCATCATTTACACCCCATCACTTCCCCTTAAAATGAGTAATTTGAGAACCTCAAGGAATGAGAGTCTCTCAATCTTTCGAAATTTCACAACAAGAGAAGCGAAACTTTGACATTGTCAGCTTTTTTTGGTTTAGGCGGGACGTTATAATCAAGAGGAAGCTGCACTTGTTGCCATTCATGATGGTAAGACCCCTCGAGTGACTCCAATTTACTCCAGAGATCTAGCACTAGAATCGATTACCACCTCTGTAGGAATCCCTTCGGATTACTTGGACTTCTCATCCCTACAGATAGAGTCTCTCCAAATTCCAGAGTTTCACTGTTGATGGCAGAACAGCAGTTATTTTCCCTTCAATAGCAATATCTTAGATGAACAAGGAATTCAACTCCAAAAGGAAACTCTTTTGAGATTGAGCTGAGCCAAATCCAGCAGTCTAGAAGTTTGGTGCGTGCAATAGGAACGACAACTTATTTGTATATCTGAATGTTAATGGGTAATTTTAAGGCCTTCGACTATCTTGGATTTGCATGGATGCCTTCTGTCTGTGGCTCCATTCATAGACAAAAAATAATGGGAGTTGAGTTGAATCATTTGAGGAAGTTAAAATTTCAAATCATTTCCACGCAGAAGTAACACAATTTTCTTCTTTAGCCTTTTCCAAGGGAAGCTAATGGGATCCTTATTCGTTTTAATTGAGTGGATTGCTGAATGCTAGTACTTAGAATACATGGGTGGCATTAACCTGGGAACAGAAATATTGGGGGAATGGGCTGACCAGGAACATGATTGAGGTGGTACACATGTTCTCCTTTCAAATATTTAGCCGCCTTCAAGAGTCGGGATCACGTTGAGTTTATGATAGGAAATGTTAGAAACCCAAGGTGTCTGGCTGTAGCCTTACTGAAGTGGATGGAGTGCTCCATGGATTCATAAGCTAGGATTTCAAAAATGGAAGAAGGTAAATTCTAGTTTCTTGTGAACTTGTTACTGTGGGAAAAATATTAGCATTTGAAATAAGAGAAGATTAAATACATTTTCCCTAGGTAGGGGAACCTGTCCTCTCAATGTGCAGGATATCTTGTGCTTCAAATTGATCAGAAAAATGTCAGGAAGCAGCCCTAGTGAGTTAAAACGTTTTTTTAACTAACTTCAAAGCAACACAGCCTGCCCATTCACCTGTATCTGTAAAAAGTTCATTTGATCAATAGTATTTGTATGAGTTCGAGTTCAGCAACAGAGCAAATTTCATGGTTGGTGTGCCAAAACCAGCAAAGGCACTGTTAAGCTACATTGCACAATCCACACCAAAAATGGGTTCAAATCCACAGAATTCATGAGTCACTTCCAAATAATAGTTAATTATTTGAGGCGATAAAACCTCCCAAATGATTCGCAACTCCGACAAGAAAAAACTACAGGAACCTGGATCGCGATTTTAACATTCATTCACATTCGCAAGGTTTATACAACGCTAAAACCAGATACTCAAGACAAAAGTCCCAGACCAAATGAACTAACCCTAGATGGCACCAATGCAAGTCCTATAGCTACAAAATAGAGTTGGAGACAACTGGCAAATTAGGAAAGATAATCTATTTCTGAACTCATTCTAACGACTTTAAAGATCATAAGCATCATGTCCAAAATGATCCCAAAAACAGAGAAAGGAAACAGAAAAAGGAAACAGCCAAGGAAAATCTATCTTCAAACAAAATCATGTGTAAAGAATTCAAACTATGGCAGCTGCTCTAAGACATATAAGATATTATACGACAATATGCAACATGTTATACCAGCAAATTCTGGGAGCTAAAAAGCTGAAAAGTAAAACTGTACTAAACTAACTGTTCGTTGCCACTAATGTTACTACAATATCAAAATTCGTATCAACAATCAGAACTTCAAACTACATAAAATCTTTCCAAAGTGAAAGCCTTCCGTAATTTCCTACTCAGGCAACTACAACTGTCGGTAGGCTTTGAAGCACATCACAACACGCCGCAGATTTGGGAGCCCATTTAGCACAACTATCACAACCAAATTTCTGTACTTAAGAAGACAAGATCGAACAGAGAACACTACGATCCAATTGGAAATCCAGAAGAAACAGATAGAAGAACTAAAGGGATAGATGGCTACAAGAAATATTCCATTGCACAATATAAAAGGTCAACTTAGATATATGCTTAGTAAGTTGTCAATCAAAAGGTTATCTTGTAGCATAATCAAAGTCACAGTATCTTGCAAAATATCATTTATTTTCTTGACAAAATTAACATAATCTGCAAAATCATACAACTGATAATCGAATACAAGATACAAAGATCATATTAAACACTTATAATTCATTAAATCATACTGAATTTCTCTGACACCATGAACATTATATATCAGCTTATATATCAGCTACTACACACTTATATCTGAATACTTTCACAGATGAAAAATAAAAGTCAACAACTTCTTTTGCACTTCAATGAGACCCAACACTTACACATCCCACAAACCAGCCCCCGAAAACAAAATACCAATTCAAGCAGCTTCCTTGATCTGGGCAGCAATACCCTTCTTGATCATATCAACATCCTCAGGAATTGCGACGTATCCATTCTTCTGGGCTTTAATCCCCATCTTGATCAAATCCACCTCATCAGGGATAGTCACGTAGCCAACCTTGCGTTTTTCGTCATCATTATCGTCATCGTCACTATCATCATCGGAGTCGTCAAACTCAAACCGGTGAGGGGAGAACAAAGACCAGATCAAAAACATGGTCGCGGCGGTCAACGCCCCACATCCCACCCCAAAAAGCAGAGCACCGACAACGCTCATGATATCCTTAGTCCGATCCCTGATCGAACTGGTACTCACAGATGAATAAATCCCAAGAGGGAACATCGAATCCTCATCGGAACGCTTCTCCTGCGCCTCATTCTCCTCTACGTCCCCGATAAAGTTATCGGCTTGGTTAGAGTAGTAGAGATGAAATGGTGTCCGGCGGAGGGAGATGTAGGACATGCGAGGACGGCTATCCTCATGGGGTTTGGCCGTAGTCAGATAAAAGGTGAGGAATTTGGGGGAAAACGAGTTGGATTTCTCGAATGCGAAGACATTATCGAAGTTAGGGTTAGGGTTTAGCGAATCGGAGAAGGCGTTGGAGGCGGTGGTGGCGGGGTAAAACGAGGTGGTGGTGGTGTAGAAGAAGAGGGTTTTGCAGGGTCTAGCGTAGGCCGTGAGGGCGATGAGAGAGAGGGAGAGGAGGAAGATGGGGAGCTTCGTCGTCGCCATTGACGCCATAGAATGGAAAATTTCGTGTGTGTGTGACTGTGTGTTTTGGTTGAACCAATTAATCTGAATTAGGATTGGAGGAATGGGAAAATGTAAAGAAGACCCAACGAGGACAGTTTGGGAATTTTGTCTAGTTGTAACTGGCTTTGGGTAGGGAGTTGACTTTTGACTTTCTTGAATCTAATGGTGTAGTAAATTCCTCGGAAGTCGGAGCTGTCACGTTTGCGCCTCGGGTAACTTGCTTCCACTTTGCCAACTTCAGAAAATAGAAATTAAAATACGTAGTAATTCTTTTGTTACCGTTACTTCTTTTCTTTTTTCTTCCTCATTGGCCAAAGTATCTATTGTTGAAGGGACTGTGACTAATCCTTCACTGAGTTAAATGCAATAAGTATTTTGTTAGCAGTATCGACTAATAAGAGTAATCACCAATAAGTTTCGAGCTAAGATCATTTTTATGTTTCATGAATCAAACATATATCGCAATTAATCATCAAAGAAAGAGATAAATTTAAAATTGTGTCTACTCAAAGTAAGTCTAGAACATCGCATTCGTGCAACAGTACCAGTTAAAATATTTGGTGCTGCTAATAAAATCTTTCAAACAATATCTTTAGGTTAGGATATCAAGTCATTTGTCCCCACACTATTTGTTTGAGAAATCGGTACTCCACTTGTTTCCAAAAAATTATATTTGTTTTAAAAATGATACAAATTTCAAGTTGAATGTATTTTTGAGATAAAGAAGTAATATTTTTTATATAAATATTATATTGTTTTAGTTAAAGAGTAATCCGCTCAAAAGGTACTATACATCTGGAAGAAAAATTAATTTGGTCTTTTACATTAAAAACTCACTCATTTGGTCCATTACATTTGTCTTTTCAAATAATTTAGTCCTTTTTTTTTTGGCCATTTACATTTGTGGGTTCTTGGACTAACCAATTCTTGATCAAATTCAACAGGGGTATTATTTGTAACTTATAAATCTCGGATTTTCAAAATATGTTAAAAATAAAAAATGTATTAAAATAATACTAAACATATTATATTAATTTATAATTTATTATCAAAAATAAAAAATTTAAAAATTCAAAATTCAAAAATAATATTATTAAAAAATTGAAAATTGAAAAATAAAAAACTCAAAATCAGATTTTTTTTTTTTTTTTTACCGTAGCCCCTAATCAAATTGAGGCTGACGAGTAAAAAAAAAATAGATTTTGAATTTTTTAATTTTTTTTAATTTTTTAATAATGTTATTTTTGAATTTTGAATTTTTAAAATTTTTTATTATTTAATAATAAATTATAAATTAATATAATATATTTAGTATTATTTTAATAAATTTTTTACTTTTAACATATTTTAAAAATTTGAGATTTATAAGTTACTGAAAAAATGCTCTTGTTGAGTTGACCAAGAATTGGTCAGTCCAAGAACTCACAAATGTAAAGGGCTAAAAAAAATTAAAAGGGACCAAATTAGCTGCAAAGACAAATGTGATGGGCCAAAAGAGTGAGTTTTTAATGTAAATGACCAAATTAAGTTTTCTGTCAAATGTAAAGGACATTTTAAGCAAATTACTCTTAGTTAAATAAAGTGTATTTTTTTCTTGAACGAAAAAAGTTCATTATTCTGTATGTATACTCTCAATACTCCTTTTTTATAGGGTCGCCGAACTTAAATCAATAAAGGTATATTAAATGAAACTATAAATTAGCTATACACGTAATCTCAAATAGATGAAGTTAATCAATATATATATTATAATTGCTGAATGTAATATTGGGTTTGGTAATATTCCTTAAATATAATTATCAAGGTCATTTATATTTTTTTTCCTTCCTAAACGCTTATGTCTCTTTGTTTTCTTTTGTCATTCCCACTGCTCTTAAATGATTATTTCGTGATTAATTATGTTTCTTTATTTTATTTTTCATACCCACTATTCTTAGATGATTATTTCATGATTATTTATGTCTCTTTATTTTCTTTTTTATCCCCACTATTGTTAACAATATAATGAATCTTTAATCTTTCTTATATTATTATTATTATTGTTATTATTAAGACTACAGAAAAATCATTTCTCATGATCCTAAGTTTCTAACCACTCTAAATTTTTGTCGTTTCTTCTTTTCATTTCTTTTTTGAATTTAAAAGGTTCATTAATGATATTTTAAATTGTTCAATAAATAAAAAGAATATTAAAAGTCATGCATCACCTATATATAGTTCTAAATTGTGTAAATTTTACCACTTATTTCTTCTTCTTTCTTTCTAAGCCTTTATTTATTATCTCTCTATCTCAAGTTTGTTAGAGGTAATCGTCTTTCGTTGTTCCTCTTCATATTTTTCTTCCACAATTTAGTTTTTGTTTTCGATTTTTTCTTCTTATTTTAGTTGTTCTTTATTTTAAGATGATACATTTGATTTTATTTTATTTCTCACTTTGCAATGTCGTTATTTCACAACCGAGATATTGTGTTTCACTATGGTTAAATCCAAAAGTAACGCGCTTTAGCTATTTTATTTTGTTCTTATAATGATCATATTACTATAGATAAATCTGTTATATCATTAATATTTGGTAGATATTGTAAGAGAATAATGTAACTGATTTTTTTTAATTATTAAATCTTATTCTTTTATATAATTTATATCATATTATTATACGTACGCACGAAGCGTGTCTAATCCATCTAGTATGTACTAAATACTAATGCATAGTTGTAATTTCGTGTCCGTCATTTGTAATTATTTTTCTGTATTTTTTTCCCCGAAAAATAGCATTATTACTCTTGTAAACCAAAAGAAAAAAGTTAAGGTTCCATTTGATAATCACTGAAGTATGAATCTGAAAACTTAACACTGAACACTGAAGTCTGAAATCTGAAAATTAAATTTATATTGTTTGATAAAAACGTCTGGATTTGATATCTGAAAACTGAAGTCTGAAGTATGAAGACTGAATCTGAATACTCATGTCTGAAAGTTATTTAAATTTTTAATACTCCCTCAATTTTTTTTAATATGTCTTTCTAGAAAAATCATCAAAATCAAGAAAACATTAAGTATTTTAGTTAAAATACAAAAATACCCTTGTTTATTGTCTATACAATTCATCACAAACCAATAAAAATTCATTATAAATACTGTTTCATTTCTAATGCGAGGGTAATATTGATAAAAAGTGGTCAAATATGCCTCGATTTGAGAAAACGATATCTATTTAAAAAAATTTATCAAATTTTAAAACAACATATATTTCAAAATGGAGGGAGTATCATTAAAATTGAATTATAAACAAAAAATTTTTAAACAGAAAAATAACTAATATTTTGTTCTAAATAATAGAATACTAATTTTAAAATAATTTTTTGATATATATATAATGAAAGTAGATATTACCTTGTTATTTAACAAATTTTATGTATTAAAATTAGTTTAATTTGAATTTGAAAGTTTGAGATTTTTTCTAGTCATAATATAAAATCAAATTTAAGCACTCTTAATTAATTTATGAAAATAAAATTTTAAAACAATGTAAACATAAGCGTCAAAAGAAAGACGAGGGAAAAAAAAAAAGACTCATTACAGAAATGAAGTGTTAAGCAATAAGTGATAAGCCTATCATTTATTTTTTGGCACATAATTGATTTGGCCATTCAGACGCAATTAATTGATTCGGACAGTGAAATTTTATTTATCGAACACACTTAATTTATAAGTACTTAATTAGTTCAGAACTTAATTCATTAAGAATTTTTAAAAATAATTATCAAACACACTTAATTTCATTAAGTATTTAAATAAATTACGTCACTACATTAAGTGATTATCAAACAGAGCCTAAGAGAAGAGACAATTTATATTCTGCCAAAAAACGAAAACATTTACGCCGCCAAAATCTCAAGTTTTGTTTCAAACCAATTGTTGTTTTCACCGGGAGTACCTTTACTCAAACGAAGGCGTGTATTTAGGCGATAAACCAAACCTGAATAAATGCGAAATGGAATATCCAAAAATACGCTAATAAGGTAGTCCAACTCGTTAAGCAAAAAAACAAAAGACTATAAACGGCAAGTAAAGCGTCTCTTTCACATCAGTTTCTATTCTCTGGTTTCTTCTTTCTATTTTTTCCCCTCCCGCCTCTGAGTCAACACTATGAAAATGGAGGAGATGAGTGGGAATGATGAACAAAAACCAGAGGCGGAGAAGCCAAATCAGGGGAAGGAACAAAATCGAGTGTTGGGGATTTTTTCGAATAAGATCGAAAGTATTGATTTGAAGCCCGGAGATCATATTTATACATGGCGATACAATTATCTCTACTCCCATCACGGTTTGAATCTCTCTTTTCTCTTCTCAAAATTCGATTTTTGAATGAAATGGGTCGATAATGTTTTATTTCATTCATGGTTTTTTTTTTTTTTTCTTGGTTGCGTGCCAAGTTGGAGTGTTTTTCTTTGAGGACATTGCTGCAATTAGTTTTTTACTTGAAGAATGGGATAAGGATTTCCCTTGTCAACTTTGGGAATAAAGATGCTCTGTTCTTTCCGCATGGCTTTCAGTTATTTTTTTGGTAGGAATTCATGAATCGCGGATTTACTTCTCTAGTTGCTGGCGATGCTGATTTTGGATAGGTTGAAATTGTAATGAAATTCTCAACTTGGTTTCTTATCTTATCCTCATTTGAACGGCATTCATGATGATGTCAATCTCAAAAACATTAGACTATTAGAGCATAGTGTTCAAAAATGTTATAGGTTTTCAAAATACTTGAAGCATTTGATGTTATTTGGAGAAAGAATGAAAGTTTGAAATGAGGCAATTTCTTTCTGAAAGTTTTGTGTTCTTGTTGCTGGATAAATAATCCGTTTATGGTCGAAGGTCCTCACTCTTAAAATGTGTTTTTGAAAGCATTTGAAACAAAATGATAGCTGTAAAGCTGGATGAAATCAAGCACTAGTTCATAGGAGGCCTTCTTTCCTGCATTGTGAACATAGTCTATTATAGTTGTATAAATATTAAAGAGTTAATGACCCTCAGTCTCCACAGTTTTCATGTGGAAAAGCAGAAAGCTAAAATTTTTGAAATAAGTGTTCAAGTTCTACATTTTTTCTGTATAGGTTGTTGCACCAAATTTTTTGATGATGTGTACAGGAAAAAAAATGCAGACCTTTGAACTGAGTGTAGGTAGCAATTGAACTTTGTCCACGCGTGTGAGCAGAATGTTATGTGGATTGTGGATACCGTAACTTTTTTGCAGTCAGTTATTAGCAGCAGACTTCATGAGTGTATCTGCTCTGTGATGTTACTTATGGCTTTTTCTATTTGCTGCTAACATCAGGAATATACGTTGGCGATGAAAAGGTGATACATTTTACCCGAAGCGCTGATCATGAAGTTGGAACGGGCACCTTTCTGGACCGCTACTTATTCAGCTCATCACCCAGTAATACTTCAGGCCCCCCATGTCCAACGTGTGGTGATCAATCTAGAAGTAGTGGTGTTATTTCTTCATGTCTTGAATGTTTTCTGTCTGGCGGTGAGCTCTACAAGTTTCATTACGGTGTGTCACCAACAGTTTTTCTTGCGAAAGCACGTGGAGGAACATGCACACTTGCTGCTTCTGATTCAGCAGAACATGCCATTCACCGTGCTGAATTTCTGCTTCAAAATGGTTTTGGAGGATATAACATTTTTAAGAATAACTGTGAGGATTTTGCAATCTATTGCAAGACAGGGTTGCTAATATTCTCATCTGTCAGCGTAGGCCGAAGTGGTCAGGCAACATCCTTTGTGGCCGCTGCAACTGCCGTTGTCTCATCCCCATTACGTTTCATGACAACTAGCTTTCCTGGTCTAGCTGCTGTTGGATGCGGGATATATTGTCTCAGCCGATATGTTTCTGATATTGGAGTTCGCCGTGATGTGACGAAAATTCCTGTTGAGAGGCTGGTTGCTCATTCTGTTTTGGACGAATCCACTGTTGGCTCTGAGCTTTTCAACGATATTGCTTCTGAGACGTGTAAGAAAGAATAATTTTAGATTCATTGAGCTATTTGAGGTTTGCAAGGAGCTGTCTATTTAAGTACTACCTTTGTGAAGAAGTTCTATATTACCGGATTATTGTTGTTATTGACTGGTGATAAGGCTTATGTGAAACATTTGCTGTTTTTCTGTTGAACATGAATACATGATCATTGTAAGTTATGTTGAGCCTCGCTGTTTGTAATCAGATCTTATAAAGCCGTAGTTTCTTTGCTTTTGTTTTGGATTGTTCTTCGTTATGTCTCTTTTTATCTTGGATTTTCAATGAATGAAACCCCAAAGAAATTGAACAGAATGACAGAGTATGGTGTTGAATACTTATTTTCTAGAGTTAGTATGTTAAGACACGTGATTGTCTCCTGCATAACTGATCAGTTTTTCATCTAGTTATGACAGTTGCTGAGCCTTTTAGGTTTCTGGCTGAACCAGAGTAACTAACTATACATGCAGTTTTAGTTATTAGTTTCTGTTACTTTTGAAAGTACAGAATATAAGCATAGCGTTTGAAAGGTTAAACACAATGCTTTCTTACAGCCATGTTATCGGTGGCTAACCAAAATGGACGAATTGAAAGAATACAGCTTTTGTCTGTGTAATGCCCTTGGTTGCTTGAGTTGATTAGCCTGGTATCTGTTTTGCATCCGCACATTTGGTGGCAGCAATAAAAGCTGTTCTATCGTGACTGGAACTCCCACTATTGGTAGGAGTATTTGAAGTTGCATTTTTTCGGACAAGCAACAATAAGTGAGAGTGCAAAGTTGATCATCTGATTCTGTGGCTTTAATTGTTGGAAACGCAGGGGTCCGCAACAAATGAAGATAATTATGTAGGCATTGAACAGAAATGTATATTTCTACTTTTTATCTCATAATAAGATTCTTATTTGTTGAACTAAAATAGTATAATAAAAACACGACTCTATTTCTAGAATGCAGGAGTATATGGTCATAGTAATATTTTTTACACTACGCAGACAAACTTGAAGGGAAATAGGAGCTGTTTGGAACTCGCTAGTGTGTATGGGATATTATTTCATACGTGTGCTCCTGGATTTGATTTGTGCATAAGTTTGATAGTAACATGATTGACAATGATTTTTTTTACAATGAAATTAATGTGTACTGATTTCTTGAAAAAGACGAGTCAGATTCATTCCCACCACATTCAACCTTCGAGTGTTAACAAAGAAGAGAAACCTTATCATCATCTACTAATCAATATAAGCATGCATATAATAACATAGGCCTATGTTTCTAACCGGAAGGAAGAGTCAAAACGCAATAAGGACAGTTGACAATGGTACATTTAGATATACACTGATGGATGCAAGTAAAAACGATGGCTGGAGAACAAACACCGCATAATTCAAGTCATTTTCAACATGTTTACAATCTGCTGACTTTTGAAGGACCAAGGCTCTTGGCCATTTCTCTAAGCAAATACTTCTGAATTTTCCCGGTGGAAGTCTTGGGAAGTTCATCCTTGATCACCACCGTTTTAGGCACCATGTATTTGGGCAGTTTACCCCTGCAGAAATCAATCACATCCTTCTCTTCAGTCTTCCCCTTTGCATCAACCTTCAAGCTCACAAATGCACAAGGAGTCTCTCCCCAAAACTCGTCCGGCCGCGCCACCACCGCCGCCTCATTCACCGCCGGATGCGTGTACAGCACCGATTCCACCTCCACACTGCTCAGATTTTCCCCACCGCTGATGATCACATCCTTTGACCTGTCCTTAATCTCCAAGTACCCATCCGGATGCATCACTGCAACATCACCAGTATAAAACCAACCATTTTTCGTACATTTTGCAGTTCCTTGAGGATCTTTGAGATAACCAAGCATAACACAAGCCCCTTTCAGAACAACCTCACCAAGAGTTTTACCATCACTTTTCACACTCACTCCGGTTTCAGGCTCCACCACATCCACCTCCGCCATCCCAATACTCCCCACCCCTTGTCTCGACTTCAGCCTCGCCCTCTCCGTCGCCGGCAGCTTATTCCAATCGTTCTTCCAAGTACAACAAACCACCAGCCCCGCAGTTTCCGTCAATCCATACCCATGACTGACAACAAATCCCAGTGATTCCGTCCTGAAAAGGATCGGCGCCGGAGGAGGAGCTCCGGCTGTTAAGATACGAACAGGGTACTGAAGCGGTTCATTCAGGGGAAAACTTGAGATCATGTTCAGCACAACCGGGGCTCCGCACATATGGGTTACCTTGTACTTGCGGATGGCGGAATAAACAACGGCCGCATCGAATTTCCGGAGGCAAATATTGGTGCCGCCGACAGCAGCCATACCCCAAGGGAAGCTCCATCCATTGGCGTGGAACATCGGAAGAGTCCATAAATAGACCGGCTCTTTTGGTACCGACCATTCAATTAAGGAATCAACAGTGATTGTGAATATCCCTCTGTGACAATGGACCACCCCTTTTGGAGATGATGTTGTTCCTGAGGTGTAGTTCAACGAAATCGGATCGAAATCGGATTGCGGACGAATCCATTTGAAACAGGGGTCCCCTGTTTCCACCAGAGCCTCATACGAGCAGTGAAAATTCGGTGGAATCGAGGATGAATCGCCGTCGTCGGCGATGAGTACTAACCGGGGCAATTGAGAATTCGGCGGAAATAACGATAATGCTTCCAGAACTAAAGAAGCTGATTGGTAATCGACAAGAATGAGCTTTGACTCACTGTGATGAAGGAGAATAGAAATCGTTCTGGCATCAAGACGGAGATTGATTGTATTGAGAACGGCTCCGGCCATTGGGACAGCAAAATGAGCTTCGTACATAGCTGGAACGTTCGGACACACCACGGAAACCACCTGCCCTCTTTTGATTCCCAGAGAAACAAGGGAAGAAGCAACTCTGATGCATCTTTCATGGGTTTCCGACCACGTGTAAGTTCTGCTGTTGTACACAACAGAAGGGCAGTCGCCATAGATTGTAGCTGCTCTTCCCAGGAAACCAATCGGGGTAAGAGGGGTTGAATTTGCGGGTCCTGGTTTCAGCTGATCCATTTGTGTGTGTGTGTGTGTGTGTGTTTTTTTTTGTTTTTGTTTTCAATCAATCAATCTGATGCATGCTGTATAATTGGGACACTGGAAGATAGATGGAGGAGTTCAGTCTGGAGATTGGTGATTTGGGAGAGATGTGAAATTGTTTTGTGAAGGATTTGTTTCAGTCGAGGAATTTGCTGAAACATTTATATTGGTGATGATAAGGGTGATAGGTGTGAATGATGTCAGATTTTATCTATCTCTTTGCCAGTAAGTGCAGAAACGGTCTAAATTAACAAACTATATATTTGTGATTTTCAAATCCACAAATCAAGTAAAAAAAAATGTGACATGATGTTTGGACTCATTAAAATTAATACTACTATAATATATATACTACACACATGAAGTACCATGAATGTCACTTCTAAAAACACGTCACTATATTTTAGTATTATGAATGTCAAGAAATCAAACCGAAAATATTAATTCTTAATAAATGTGATTTAACTATACCCCATGCCCACCAAGGAAAGGATTCCTTTGAATTAGTGCTTCATAAGATAATCAACGGGCTTTTGCCATCCAAGATTACGAGATTTATGTTTTAAGGTAAAAAGTAGAGGAGACCTGCTTTGATATAAACATATAATGAAGCTTTTTTTTTTTTTTTATATTGCACAAATATAGTTACTTCTATATTCGTGTCACCTACGGCGATATAGAACAATTGAGAGCTTAAAGGGCTGTTATAGAAGTGAGAAAAGTAAATTAGGTGGTCAAAAAAGTAAACTGAATTAAGGCCATCAGGATTGGCATTAGCTCAACCTTTTTAATTTTGTAGTGGCATTAGCTTTTTTACTGGTTCTTTTCTCATTTTATATATAAAAAGAACATTGGAATTGGATCGAGATCGAGGGTAAAAACTTTAAAAATTGGTAACGTATATATTTAGTGACTCTTGCCACTTACCAAAAAAAAAAAAAAAAAAGAGACAAACCAAATTACATGAAAATTAATTCCAATGTGATAGGTATCATCTTAAAACTCATGATTAATGTGCGAGAGAAACAGAAACTCACAATGTAACCAAATGAGGTAATGTTCTCGATGGCTTGGGATTTTATGCTTGAAATTGGACATTTGAGTTGCGTATGGAATTGTTGTTTACCCGACCTGATTACCCAACTTTATTGAGAAATATTACATTTTTTTAGGCCAGGCGGTCGATAGCGAGAACCCAAACGTCCGTATGCTAACTCTTGAAGTTGAAGCGAACTATTGTCTCATCCTAATGAAATACTTTCTCTGTTTTAAAAAAAATAATTTACATTAAATTTTGAAATTTGTGTTAAAAATAGTATAAAATTTAAAAGTTGATATAAACTATTTTCTTAGAACAGATATAATATTACTATTTTGATGAATTCGTTGAAATCTGTAATATTATTTCAAATAATATATTTGTTTTTAAAGGTTATAACTATTTTCACGTTAATAAATATTACAATCTAATAGTCCGACTACCTAACTGATTGAATCACTGACATTATAACCTTCCCTGTTTAGTTAAAATGGCAAAATCAAGATACTTTTATTGATTCTTTAATATAAATAAATCTAACTTGGAAATGAGAAGCTTAATTTTAAATCATTTTACCAATAGAAGGTAAATATGGAATGCCTGACCATCATAAGTGGTCATACCTATATTCAAAAATAATTATTCAAGTAAAATTTGATTTTCAACACAAATTTAAATTAAACAATAATTTCGATTTTTTAGGGGGTTTAAACTTTTAAGTAATCCTTCCGTTTGTTGACTGCAATTTGGTAGTGTATGTACACATACATTTACATTAAAAAAAAAAAACTAAAATCTAAAGATATGACCGGTCTTCAACATATATTATAATTAGGAAATGTGGGATTGGGCTTGATAGTCCTCTCACATGATGCTCACATGCTTTTTTTTTTAATTGTTTATTTTAATTTTTAGTTTTTTCTTTTCTTTTTAAGCCAAACTTAGTACACCTTTTCGTTTTTGTCTTGTTATATTTATCGTAATCTTTAATTGAGATAGCTAAAATTTTTATTTCTTTTCATCTTCTATCATTTATTATTAAACGTTTCATTTCTTTGCATCTTCCATTATTTATTATAAAACATTTCATTTCCTTTCATCTTCCCATCATTTTGTGTTCTTTTTATGAAAGTTGTATTTTTCATTTTCCTTAGTCTTTTGTTTTTAACTACATTATTTTTTATTAGTTGCTTCATTTATTTGGAGTCTTTGCATCTACTGTTTTAGTAACCATTACAATATATTTCACTAAAACTATGTAATGATCAAATTTTATTTGGAGTCTTTCATTTTTCTATTCACTTCTTCTTACTTATCTCTTATCCAACTTTTGTCTCTTTTTTTCTTATTTTGCAAGTTTATTTTGATTTATTTTTCTGACAACCCAATTGGAACTTTACTGTGCAGGTTTTGGCTAATCACGAACATAAAGATAAGTTGCAAGATTAAAAAACAACGTTAGTTCTAACAGAAAAATTTAAAAACATAAATGTATTTTTAATTTTAGTAAAGTTTTAAATCTTTTATACTTTACAATTCGTAAGTAATAGTTAGTGATGTATTTTATTGACTTTTTAGATATATTCTTTGAACAATGACTCATCTCTACATATATATTTCTTTTAAACCCGTACGCGCGAAGCGCGTTTGATTGATCTAGTGTCACTTAAATTTGTTGTTGCATTTGATCGAAGTCCAACACGTAACATGTTTGTCGCCAAACAAATGAACCATTTCCATACAAATTAACCTTTTCTTAAAGATAATAATTGAGAAAAACAAAAACGAAAAAGAGGTTCGAAGTTGGGGACCTGTATATTAGTGGCAAGAGAGAAGTCTCCCATTACGGTGAGCGTCTTCGTCCACACGAAAAAAAAAATTCAAAATTAAAAATTTTCGTTTTATTCTCCATTTTTGGGTAACATTATTTCGAAAAGAATGATTCTCCAACATATTTAAATCTTTGGAGTACTTCTTTCCTCCTAAAATATTATTCAATTAATTAAATTATTTTAATTTATAAAATAAATTATTATTCCTCAGCTAGGAAATATGAAACAAGCAGATAATTAACAACCGTGGGTTTGTCCTTTAGCTAGCGTGGAAGAGAAAAATAAACGATAGAATGGACCTGGGCTAACGGTAGTTAAAACTTGAAATAGGAGCACGAATGTCATGCAGCACGTTCAAAAGACAAAAAATTAATCTTGCTACTTAGGTCACTTTTTTTTCCCCCCTTTTTCCTTTACTATCTAACTCGACCTATTTCCATTTCGAAATAGTCTCATGAAAAATTGTGAAATAATATATTTAATTTTTGTTAGAATGTATTCTCCGGCTCCCATTTTTAGTATTCTATTTTGTAGAATTAAACAATATATCAAAATAAACTAATAAAACAAGGATAGAGATAAGAGTGATATTTATTTATTATCTCATTTTTTTATTCCTCGCCATTCTCTGGGAAATCTAAACGAAAATCTTCATTCAACTAAATCAAGTTTGGCGTTTTGGCGAGATTGTCTTAATTAATAATCTGAAAGAACCAAAGATTTGACAGAGTAATAAATTAAACAAATGTATCCCGAAAGAGATGTTTTGGGATATATTGAAAAACTGAAACGAAAAACTATTATTATATATTATTTCATACGCAAAAATGTCATTCAAGGGTCCATAGCTCAGTGGTAGAGCATTTGACTGCAGATCAAGAGGTCACCGGTTCGAACCCGGTTGGGCCCTATTTTTTTTCTTGTCTATGCACTTGTACATCATGTAACTCACCAGATTAAAGTTCGCACCACAATCTTTCTTTCTTTTTTTCTTTTTCCCGTTGTAATCGCACCACAAGCCTACCACTTCTCCAAGTCGGAAAGAAGACAACTTCCGGCTACCGAGCTCTATGGACAAACATGTAACCAAATTAGATATTGAATGTCAATGCTGTCAATGGAAGGCTCTGGGTGTTATGATTGACTACTCGATCAATTTGAAAGTTAAGGACTTTATGTAACCCATTGAACTCTCACGATAGATGTTGGGAAGAGCCTAAGGATTAATGTACCTCAATGCTTGATAAACAGACTCGAAAAGGTTTCATTTAATGGATCCAAAGGTCTTCAATATGAGATATAATGGCCATGATTGAGTAGATGCTGATGCATGGTCAAGTGTGGAGATTATTCGAACTACGGCCCTCTCATGAAAACGAGGATAAGTTTCAAATGCTTCAGAAGTTAGCAAGGGCTTCAAGTATGTGTGAACTCCAAGTTGATTGAGATGATCTTGGTAATTAAGCTTGTTTAAAAAGGCTTTCTGAGAGATGCATAAATGCAATGCATTTTTGTAAGTTTTCTTTTGGATAAATCTATGTATAGCCTTTTAAATCTTCTAATGGAAGTTGTTTGAAATTAGATATGCTTTGGTAGTTGTCTTATCAATTTGATGTGCCTAATGGGTCTCCAAAGTGATCTTAAGTCCAGTGATGTATACTTATGTCTACTTTTTTATCCTAAAAATATTGTAACAATATTTAGCTAACGCAGTGTACTTGATTTACCTTCTGGTGCCCCAAAAGTCTGATAGGAACAAGACTTCTGTGAAGTTGCCTACTTGAGGATTTTACTTGAATTTTACTTCTGTTGCTGATAGAAAAATGGTTTATGTACAGCAGAACAAGTGGTATGTCCCAGAGATGTTACCGTTTCTAGCTGCGCTAATGATATTGGTGTGTATTTGTGTTAATACTTCTGGGAAAAAGAAGTAGTATAATTTTTTGCTGCTGCAAATGGCATGATTTAGCTGCACGATAAGGAATTTCTCAATTATTATAAACCATGTTTAAGGTTTCAATTTCAGTTGGAAGAGTACGATAAATGAATCCGCTGTCTGGATCCAAATGAGATTCCTTCTATATTATTTAGACAATCTCTGCAATGGCTGAATTCAAAATTGAATAATTGAAAAAGAAAAAAAAAACAAAAAAAAACCTAGTGTCAACTGTCAAAGGCTAGGTAATAAATAGTAACAAACACCTCAGTTTAAATGTACTGTACACCAGGAAGCTCTTCGGAACATCAAAACCCGCCTATAAATTTCGATCTTGTCATGAACATTGACAGATGCACGGAGTCTGACTCTTACAACATCAAGTACTAAACCTTCATGCAATAAGTAAAGCAGCAAGCTCATCTCATCTTGAAGGCCTTTGAATCCAATAAATGAAACCTCTTCCAGAGTGTTTATCAAGCATTTAGGTACATCCTTAGGCTCTTCCCAACACATATCGTGAGAGTTGAGCGGGCAACATAACCCCTTACTAACTGTGAGGACTTTCAAATTGGTGGACAAGTGAATCAGTACACCCAGAGCCTTCCATTGACAGCATTGGCATTCAATATCCAATGTGTTAATCTCTCAAACCTTACAGTCAAAGGAGTAGTGGCAATGCTGAGAGCCATCATCAATGCTCCCCCCAATTTCAGAGAGTTCACATGGTTGACTGCTTCAACCATCCTAACCATCGAATTGCATCGCTCCATATGTGATCCACTAAAATCAAGCAAAGAATGGAGGCCAAGCTCCGATTCGGATTGCAATATTTGGAAAGAGAATTCCTTCCATTGGTAAGACAAGAAATCAAGGAAGTCAAGGGCAGGGAGTTGTTTTCCATCTAATGGATATTCATTAGATATGAGGAAATATCTCAGTGAAGGAGAAGAGATGCTGCAAACTAGAACATCATCATCCTCCTCCTCCCGAGACCTTTTGATCCTGAGAGATTGGAGGACCGGACAACCAGATATAAGCTTGGGAAGGGACTGATCCTCTGATTCAAATTCCACCAAAATTAGATACAATTTCTCTAATCTGGGAAGCCAAACTCTAGAGGGGACATGAATCCTAATTTGAGGTCCACATAATGTGAGAGATTCCAGTGCTCCACAAGTGAAAAGGGAACAGGCAGGCGATGATGATGTGGATCATAAAGATGAAGATAAAGGGTTCGTACATTCCGAGTAATAGCGAAGCTTACCCAAATACCAACGTAAAGTGATTGACATTCATCCATCCATGTGAGTTGAAACTTGTCCAAGCTTTCAGCAGCATGACCTAGTAGAACTCTGTTAACGAAAGGCACAAAGTTGTTTCTTCGGCTGAGAGCAGAGAATTGTTGGTCATCAAAGCAGACTGTGGTTACTTTAGTCCACAGAAGCTTCCACCGTCGGGATAAAACGCTGGCTGCCACCACAGATTTCGTGGTTGGGACAAAGCAGAGTATATGACAGAGTATTGAATCGGGTAATTTGTTGATCATATCACAGGGAATCACCTGCCCGCAACCCTGTTTGAGCCGCCGGTTCTCCATAATCTTCTTCTTCCACAATTTTCTTTTGTTTTGAGGGATAAAAGGTGTACGAGAGGTTACAAATCCAAAGGGGGAGTGCGTGAACTTCTAACATATGCCAAATTGGAAGCCACAGTTAGGGTTAAGAGAAAACGAATTTTGGGGGAAAAATAAAAGCTTTGTTAGGGGGGACTGTAAACTCAAATGTGAGTTTGTGGTTTTGCGATTTCAAAATGGGCCAAGAACATGTTTGGATACCCAATGATCCAAAAATATTCTTTGCCCATACATTATACTCATTCAGAATTTTAAATTTTTATTTTTAGTTCAAATTGTAATAAAAGTAAATATTCAAATTGAATAATAATTTTGAAACGGAAAAAATATTATTTTTCTGCTTTCAAACATCACCCATGGTCCATCAATTGCCGCTACAGTGCTGGCACTGCCATCGGACTATGGTTATTTGGCGGTGGGTTGGGGATGACGCTGCCACTATAATTTACACCAGTGGTTGGTGGTGGTTAAATTTTTTTTTTTTTTTTTTTTTGGTCCAAACATGTTTTAAAATCCATCTCAAAATACACATTAAAACAACAATCTTATTTTCTTATTATATAAATGATTATACATGACTAATTTATAATGGAAAAAAAAATAATGATTCCGGTATACCCCTTATTTTATTAGCATTTTTACCTAAAAAATCACACTTTTATCCATCATTATTTTGTACACATTAATCAATATTAATTTTTTAAAAATATTTTTTTCATGTCTCTCAATGTGGTCGGCAATGGGTATTTCCTAGCAGCGAAATTTACGCCCATTTGCATAAATTCATCTACAGTTTTCTTACCCTCACGTACAAATTATTTAATGGGAATACACAAATGAGCATTTCAGGGGCGAGATTGAATACCTAGATCTAATCGGAGAACTTTACGTCGCCCCGACATGTGCCGTAGCAAGCGGAATACAAACCGACTTCGAGTCCTCAACTCTTGAGTACATTGACCACGAGGCAAAAACTATGTTACTCTTAACTCTTGAGTATAGAAGACATTCCGAAAATCGTAGGTAGAGATAAGCTTTATTAAAAGAGGGCCGTGAATATAAATGTTGCACGTTGATGGATGAAAAATCACGAACCTAATAATTTCTGGTTGACCACGTATAGACATTGGTACAATTAAATCACTTTTTGTAGACAAACTTGGGATTTATAATCCTATGTAAGATGAGTTCAGGATCATGGGATCTTTTTCTATCAGAGAGGAAGGATTGAATGAAAGTTAGTACCATCTCGTTAAGAATAGGTTCGGAAGACAGAATATATACTAATTTCATACGACCAGATGAAGTGGTACAAGATCTTCTCTGCACTTATATCGAGATATTAATTCTTGTCGTAACAATTTGGTTACTGTATCAATAAGAAGAGATGTTAATCAACAACCGTAACTAGAAGGCTTTTCTTATTCTTTTTATGCTTCGGTTTGGTCAGTAGGGCTTTTGGTTTTTTGCATCCCGTTTTTGGTCTTATAGCTATTAAAATTTATATAAGAATCTCTTTTGTTTAGAAGAAAGATTACTTATTTTGTTTGTTCTACCAGAGAATGAGAAACGAAATGTTCCAAATATTCTTGCAGATCCTTACTCCCATTGCCCATTGGGTCATTTGTATCTATATGTATCAAGATCCCCATTCACGCCGTTCTTTCGAGAGGGGGCCTTGGGAAAGAAAGAGCTATGCTCTTGATCGTTTTTCTCATGTTGTTTGAAGTGGGCCGTTAGAAAGTGAAATGCCAGCTAGGAAATATGTAGGATGAATTCTACCAAGATATGCTTTTGGGCTTATGTCTGAGGTGTTGAATTCTTCACACAACAATATGCTTTGACAATTTGCAAATTGGGCCAATAACCAAAGCATTTTGCTTCCCCTGTAAACAAAGAGAAAAAAAACAATTTGCTTTGACAAATTAGAATAGAGTCGCGTATCGCATATTGTTTTAGCTTAATTATCGGATTGTGTAAGACAATTTTTGTATTATATTGCTCAATTATATAGTTGATTTATATTTCTTTTAATATTAAATATTATTATCGTTTTTGGAAAAAAAAAAAAAAAAAGATGTTAACTGGATCGGGCTGGACTTCTTCCAACTAAGATAAGGTTCGTTAAAAAAAAAAAAAAAGAAACAAAGAAATGAGGATCTCTGGAAGACGCACCTAGGCTAAGGTGGATGAAAATTGAATGGTTTGAAGTATAGTGTATTCCAGGGAATTCGCTGTAAGCAGTTAAATGTGTAATTTACTTCGTATTCTGAAAGTTTGCATCGAGGCTAACCTATGCTTCATTCACATGGTTCTTCTGCGAGAATTCCTTCCATTGGAGAACCAAATACTAAAGGGCTTCGAAGGCATCCATGATATTAGTGATAAGAACATTCATTATTGATTAATGGGAGATCTATAAAGGACTTCGAAGCAACCCATCACGCTTCCTGAAAAGAAAGAAAGAAAAAACCCTTCTAGGTAGTGCAGTAAATTAAGTCATGTTCTTAGGCCGATTTTTCAAATTAGAAAGATAAGTAATTAAGTTTTTGAATTGATAAAATAAGAGTAATTAAATCGTAAAGATCGAACCATTACTAGTCGGTGAAGTCCAAATTAAAGCACAAGAGGTAAGTAACTATAATATTATTGGCTTAAAAAAAAAACACTTTCTTGTGAAATACTGCTGCAGAATAAGCGTACTTATTTTTTATTTTAGTTGTTAAACCAAATTTGCTCAGCCGTCTATACTTATACAACAAACTTCTAATCAAAATAGAGGGATACAGAAGGATGTAGTATATCTTTTTGCTCCAAAATAAAAAATGAAGAAATTATCCACTCAATTAGTAAACCAACCACATCAAATTCATCGGAAAAGGATGTGACGAGCCATTCCAAAGACTGGTCGATCCTTGTTTTCAACTGGCCGTCAGCATTAATTAATATCTCACACTCCTTTTGTAAAAAGTGCCAGAAACAAAAAAAAACGATGAAGAGGTAAAATGATACAACAAATTGTACAAATTGTTGTACAACTTGGCAAGTTTTTTGGTATTACAGTCGAGTTCCAATACGGCATATATCATGGCCAAAGAAAGGGGGGCTTTTTCCCGGAAAAAATTAATTAAAATAAACGTGGACAAATTTGAATTTTTCAGAATATTAATGGACAGAAATATATCTCTCGGATTTCGGAAATCCGAGCTCTAATTAAAATCAAAGATTCAGATTTCGTAAATCCGAGTCTATATTTAATAATAAAATAATAATTAAATAAATTTTGTTGAATAATAGTTTTTAAAAATTCTTAAATGAACAGTATCGTTCGGATTTTCGGAATCCGAATTTAGTTAAAAAATAATAAATTGAGGCGCGAAATATTTGAACTCAAATACGGAGTTCAGGACCTGAACTCCTTAAATGAACAGTAGTACTCGGATTTACAAAATCCGAGTGTACAAAAAGAAAAAAGAAAAAAAGAAAATCGCGGCGCGAAATTTTTGAATCCAAAAATCGGAAGTCCGTAATCCGGTTTTACGTATTCGGATTTTAGAAATCCGACGGCCTTTAATTTTGGTTAGTAGAAGTAGGCAGGTGCCATAAATTGGAGGACCAAAAAATGAATAAAATAATCCGGAATTGACCAACCCGGATTCAGGAAATCCGAGGCCACGGTAATTCGGATTTCTAAAATCCAAGTTACTTACAGACTCGGATTTTGTAAATCCGAGTTTAACGTGCTATAAAAGAAAAAAAAAATTCAGACAGTTCTCATTCGAGAACTGAGTTGGATTTTCTGTTTTTGCAGCTCAAACAAGGGCGAATTGGAGCTTTTGATGCATTCTTGCCTCTAAATACGTGGGAATCGTTATTTGAAAGAGGTTAGATTACAAAACTATGTTATTTAGTTTAGTTTTGTGTTATTTTGGTTGTTAGAATGATGTATGATAGATTAGGGTTTATGTTGGTTGGTTGTTTGGATGTTTTAGGTGTTGATTTTGAGGTCAGAGATGAGAAATCATAGTTGTTCATGAGATATCGAAGTTGATTTATAAGTATTTTAGTATTTTATAGGTTTTTTTGAATTATGAATGGAGTATGTATGGTGTATTTGTTGATTTTGTTATTAAGAAATGATTAGTTATTGATGTTTTTTTTAACAGTTATCAATGGCACGTAATGTATCATACATGCTTAATTTGTATCATACAAGCAAGTATGTGATAGAGAATGGTAGCATCAACACTTTTTCGAATATGCCGGATGATGGTTTGTTTGTTGAGGAAAGGTTGTCATATGAGGAATTGATTAGTAAGATTTGTATGACACTTGGTTGGGATCCAGCACACGTGAAACTCCACCTTTCTTTGATTTTCGATAGTCCCGGTGCTAGTGTAGTGAAGATCAAGAATGATTCGCATGTAGAGTTCATGAACCGTGTAGATCCAATGTCATGTTTGGATTTATACATAGATTTGGAAGATATCGCTCAAGAAGAAAGAGAAGCGAGTTTGGAAAACGTGTCATTTGGTGGTTTTTCAAGGGGGGAACGTGCTAGTACTTCTCGAAACCGTGATGAAGAAGAGACATATTTATTTGCACAAGATGACTACTGGGAAGAGTCGGATTTCGACTACATAGCTCCAAGTGAAAGCGAACAAGACTGTGATGTCTCCGGAGAGAGTGATTTTAAGAAAGTGATGATAAAAGGTTGGAAAATGAGGAAAGGGATTGTAATCCATTGCCCCGACGCCATGTATATAGTAAGATGGGGAAATGGGATGCCTCATGTGTGGACAAGGATGAGTTTGCTCTTAAGATGTGGGATGAGACGTCCGAAGGAATGGACATTGGTGTTTGTTTCAAATCTCAATCAGAAGCAAAGCATGCTGTGAAATTATGGAACATCCATCATAAAAGGGAATATACGGTCGCCGCGAGTAGTCCAACGACGTGGGATG